TTTCCCGGCTTGGATCGGGTAGAGTCCTATAGTGTCCAGTCCAGTCCATCCAGTCACTATAGGACTCTAGGATCGGGCGCAGCGAGGGCGCGGCGGCCGCCCAAAGTCAGACCAAATCACGACTTCTCCACATTTGTCCAGCCGTTGCACAGTGGGCCAGAAGACCGGTGGAGGCGGCCAAAACTCCAGACGCGTTTTGAGCTTCAGAGTCGCTAAACAGGCCTCGAACCGATCGTGTGACCCCACCAATGGATTCCTCGTTCGGAGAGCAATCCATTGGTGGGGTCACACGATCGGTTCGAGGCCTGTTTAGCGACTCTGAAGCTCAAAACGCGTCTGGAGTTTTGGCCGCCTCCACCGGTCTTCTGGCCCTCTGTGCGTTGGCGGCTGACAACCGTTGCTTCTCGGGCGAGCGCGGCTCCGCACCGACTTTGAAAGCTGCCGCGCTGTCTTGGAGCGCTAGCCGCGCGCCGCGCGCTCTGGCGGCCGGCTCTGGAACCGCGTCCGCGTTAGGCCCGCGGCCCCGCGGCTTGCACTTGCCCGCCGACCAGGCCGAGCCCCCACCACTCGCCGCGAGTACATCGCGTACTGACCAGCGTTGCGACGCGGGTGGACCTGAACGACAAATTGGGGTCTTGGCCGCGAGGACGACGCCCGAGGAGGCCCTGGAGCACGGCACCGTGCAGGGAAGGCTGACGGGGACCTCTGGAGGCCGGCCAGAGCCCCGCTGGAGGCGACCGGACGCCGTGGGGCCTCGGCGAAGCTTGCCTCTCGCGGCCGACTCCCCGGACTCTCTCGGTACATATAGCCGCGTCGCGGTCCCCTCCGCCGGGTCCGCTGCCACTCGCTCTCTCAAACACATGCGTATTACTTTATTATCGTATTACTCCCGATGTGACTATCCACTACCATTGACTCCAATCAATCCTTCCTCGGGCAAGTGGCGACATTGACCTTTTGGCTTCGGAACTCATGATGAAGTACCCAGCAGGGAGAAGGGCCATGAAAGCTACTTTTCATTTTCTACTCTGGCAAATATTGTTTCTGTAAATGGGTTGCATAGTACTCCCACTCGACTCCCACTCTCCACTTTCAAGCAGACCCACCGCTTTTTTCGGGAACTTTCTGCGCCGCGCTCACAGCCTAAGTTCAATGAATCGGATAGCGAGACGAATCGGCCGGGCCGGGCGGTCGCAGCGGGGAAGTCCCCGCAGCAGTGGAGTAGCGGCAGCGCGACAGCGCGACGGACGAGGGGTATCGACGGTCCACTACACTGCTGCGCCGGCCGAGTCAAGATCACGGAGACAAAAGACATACGGCTGGTCAGGAGCTTGTCCTGTAAAACCACACTCGTACTCCACTGCTGCGGGGACTTCCCCGCTGCGACCGCCCGGCCCGGCCGATTCGTCTCGCTATCCGATTCATTGAACTTAGGCTGTGAGCGCGGCGCAGAAAGTTCCCGAAAAAAGCGGTGGGTCTGCTTGAAAGTGGAGAGTGGGAGTCGAGTGGGAGTACTATGCAACCCGCAATCGGAGTCGCTGTCACGCCCGTCGTGACTCGGCGGCGATGTCTCTGTGCAACCGCGACAGTCTCTCTCTCTCTCTCTCTCTCTCTCTCTCTCTCTCTCTCTCTCTCTCTCTCTCTCTCTCTCTCTCTCTCTCTCTCTCTCTCTCTCTCTCTCTCGTACTCGCGGGCCGTCGCCGGGGCGTGACGGAGACAGAGCGACTCGGCTGCAAGAGGAGGATGACACTCTATCCTCCTCTGGCGCCCCGCGGCCGTCACAGCCCTGCGCAGTTCCCGCAGTTCCCTTGCGACACCTGTGCAAACCTCGTGCACCACGCCGATGACGACGACCATCTCGTCAACCAAATCACAGCGACGCCGTTGACGATAGTTTGCCCAGACTTGCGTCTCTATTTATTTTTCGACAAACAATTTTTTTTTCGTTTTTAAGTTTTGCCTACGCTTTCTACGGACGGCTTGCCGAGAGCGACTCGCGCCGCCGGCGGCGTGACATTGATGCTAGCCTTTGCGAGTCTGGCGGCAGTAAAGCCAGCGAAGCAGCGAAGCGCCAACACGTCTGCCAACTGCTGCACCGCTGGACCGCCAGCAGACTCATCCCGAGAGTCGTTCTCGTCGCTCTGTCTCTCTCGCACTCATGGGGCGTCCCGTACAGGTGCGAGAGAGGCAGAGCGACGAGAACGACTCTCGGAACGAGTCTGCGCCGCGCTGGGCCGCTGGTGGGCCAGGCTGCCGCCGAACCGGACTATTATTGCGCGGCAGGGCTGCCAACTGTTGGCCGCGCGAACTACACTAGTAGCCGGCAGAGCGGTGTCGCGGCGCTCGCCGGCCGGCGTGCTGCATTCCCCTGCTGTTCTGCCTAATGGCTGTCGTCGCTCTGTCTCTCTCGCACTCGCGCGCTCCCGTTCCAGGCTGCGAGTGCGAGAGAGACAGAGCGGCAAAACGCTCTTGTTGAGAATCAGCAGCCTTGCCGGGCCACCACCGAGTCTCTGAACAGGCCGCCGCGCCGCCGCCGCCGGCCGAACAAGACGTCTCTCCCCATCTCCGGAAAGGAGCAGCAGAGCCCCAATTTGTGTCGTCGTTTCTAAAGAAGTTTCGTTTGTTTCTTGGAGCGCCTGCGGACGCACCGGCCGACCGGCCTGCGCGACGCGCCTGCGCACCGCGTTGCCTACCCGGCACTTCACAGGCGCTAGGCCCGCTAGGCTAACCGCGGCGGTTTCAATTAATGTACGTTGCCGCAACAAAACAACAACAACAACAGCAACAGAGACTACCACTACTGGCACCACGTGGCCTGAGCTGGCGGGTGACGGACTGGAGCGGGGAGGCAGGGCACTGGCTAAGCAAAGGGCAAAGGCAAAGCAAAGGCAAAGCTGACGCAGCCAATTGAAACCTGCGTGGCCACTTACAGACTTACAGTGCGCAGTCCGCGCCAGAACAATGCCACTGCCTCGCGCGCAGGCCCAAGGCACAGACACGGGCAGACACACGCACACTTGTTTCAGAGAATCCCGCCAGGATTTCGCACCTGCGTCTGCGCGCCGCTGCGGACTGATGCCGAGCGCTGATTTCGTCGCTCTGTCTCTCTCGCACTCGTGGGGCGCCCCCTAGAGGAGCGAGAGAGACAGAGCGACGAAGGCCGTGCTCGGAATCAGTCTGCTGCGGAGTGCTCTGCCTGCCTTAGTTGCTGCCACTGTGCATAAAGGTGGTACTGCCTTTAGTCACAAATCAGCACCGCAGCCTCGCTGCCCCGTAACTCCTACGTGCTCCCTTCGCTGCTGCAGCCGCCTGGATTCCGAAGCTTTCCGCTTTCTCTCTCACTCACACTCACGTGGGACGTCGCGGGGGTGCGAGAGAGACAGAGCGACGAGACGGTCCTTCGGCAGCAGGCGGAGCGGCCGCCCTGCGTACAGTGCACCGCCGGGGGCGACCACCGATCACACACAACACCATGCTCGCCATGCTCCACACCACGCACGTCAAGCTCGCCAAGCGCGACGAGCAGGCGGTAGCTCTCGTGCGAGTGCGGTGCGCGTCGTACTTTTGCATGGCGTTTAGAGGCGAGGTGGCAAGATGAGCTTCTAACTGAGAGTGGTAATTGAACCGGGCTGCCCCGGCTCGGGAAGGCCGCACAGTGGGCCAGAAGACCGGTGGAGGCGGCCAAAACTCTAGACGTGTTTTGAGCTCCAGAGTCACTAAGGACTCGAACCGAATGTGTTACCTCACCAATGGATTCCTCGTTCGGAGAGCAATCCATTGGTGGGGCCACACGTCCGGTTCGATTCCCATTTAGCGACTCTGGAGCTCAAAACGCGTCCAGAGTTTTGTCCGCCTCCACCGGTCTTCTGGCCCACTGTGGGCCGCCGCCGCCGCCGAGGCCCCCCTCCCTGGCGCCGCTGGACGACGTTTGGTGTCGACAATGGGCCTAGAATCCAACGCCTGAGGGTACCAACGGATCGCTCTCGAAACGAGGAGTTCATTGATACCCTCAAGTGTTCGATTCGGGGCCAGTTTGATGAACCCCAGGGTGTCGAGACTCCGGGTGGGTCTTGCCCGCTTGCTGGGGGCGCGGCGCGGCGTGGCGGGCGGCATTGTTTTAAAGTGTTTCCGGTTCGGGCCACCGGCGCGCTCTCCACGTTTGCCGCCCTTTTTACGAGCGACTTTAGCCGCTCTAATCGCAGGCCGGCGTGGCAAAGAAGAGCAGCCCGCCGCCGTAAAACACCTCCGACAGTCTGCCTGCCTGCCTGTCTGTCTGTCTGTCTGTCTGCCCGTCTGTCTGTCTGCCGGCCACTCTCACTCTCTTCGCAGCCACTTTGGCAGCGCCCCGGCGTTCTAGTGTGAACAATTGATAAGTTCGCAGTTCGCCGCCGCCACACAGCAGGCGGTGCGCAGTGGGCCAAAACTCCAGGCGCGTTTCGAGCTCCAGAGTAGCTAAGCAGAGCTCGAACCGATCGTGCGACCCCACCAATGGATTCCTCGTTCGGAGAGCAACCCATGGGTGGGGTCACACGTTCGGTTCGAGTCCCATTTAACGACACTAGAACCCAAAACACGTTAGGGATTTTGGCCGCCTCCACCGGTCTTCTAGCCCACTGTGCAGTGGGTATGACGTGAAATCATCGGTCCTTTGTCGGCATTGTTTAGCGTGCAAAATGTTTCGTTTTTTGCGCTGACTACTTTTTTCACGCGAGACGATTCTCATCGGGAAGGCCGAACCAAAAATCAAGACATCAGTGAAAAATAAAAAAAAAGTTTATTGGAGGCATTCGTAAGTACATTGCGCGCATTACATACAAAATATACCGTCCCCGTCAAACCCTTCACGTTCGTATAAAACAATAAATAACAAAATAAATAAGGATAGTCCAAACAAAATAAAGAGGGAAGCACACTGGATAACACTGACCTGACCTCGCGGACGCCGCCCAGCCGCCGAGCGACACCGAGTCCAGCCCGAGTGGCGGTGGCCGCCGTGTCCGCCGTGTCCGGCCCCCGCGGGCCGCTTGTCTTTTTCGGCCTCACTTCACCGCCGACGGCACGCCGACGGCACGGCCACGCTAACAAGGCGGTCCATTGCGGAGCGCGAATAGAACGGGCAAACGGCAAAACGGCCAAGCCCACATCAGCTCAAATTTCACCACAGCAAAAACAAAAGAGCACTGGCACTGTTCGGATTCGAACCCCGGTCCATGGTTTCCCAGAGTCGCCGGCGGATCCACGGCGTCGGCGGTCAAGCGCGGGACGCACTAGTCCAGCAGGTCGACGAGGGCGGTGATGTAGGTCTGGGCCATCTGCAGCGTCTCGTACTTGGACAGCTGGCGGTCGCTGCCCAGCGAGGGGAGGTGCGTCCGCAGGCGGTCGAAGGCCGTGTTCAGGTTGAGCATGCGACGCCGCTCGCGGGCGTTGGCGGCGAGGCGACGCCGCCGCTGCACGACGGTGTTGACGCCGCCGCCGTCGCCGGCCGCGTGGCTGCCCGCCGCGTCCGAGTCCGGGCTGGCGATGGCGTCGTCCCCGTAGTCGGCGCTGGCGTCGTCCCCGTAGTCGGCGCCGTCCTCCGGGGCGTCGACGCCGTCCTCCGGGGTGGCCGGGCCGGACCAGTAGCACGCGTCCAGCGGCGGCCCCGGAAGCCGCGGCAGGCTGCGCAGGCTCCGGGCGGGGGCTCCCTGCACCTGCATCACCTCCAGGCAGTGCATCCTTGCAACAGGGAGCCGTGAACGCGAGTGGCCGTCAGGCCGTCAGTGACGGTCAAAGTCATAGCGCGCGCAACGCGCAACGCACAACGCGCTGCGGCCGGCCGGCGTCGCGCCGTCCGAGGCGTCCAGGCCGGCGAGGCAGGGAGGGGAGGGGGTAGGGGGTGCCCCGCCGGCCAGCCCAGCCCTGGCACGCGCCGCCACCAGCACCGTCAGCAACACCAATCGCCGCGAAAATTTATCTCCAGTTGGACGACGCGGCAAACTTGCATTCTTGTTGCTTTTCGCATTGCAGTTCGCGCCGCACGCGCCCCGAGCCGAGGCGGGGTGTAGGCGCGGCCGCGCGGCCCTTGGTGGAGAGACGCGCGAAACGCGCCGCCCGCGCACTGCCTCCGCCAACGGCCGCCGTCTTGGCTTGCCCAGGCTTGCCCAGGCTTGCCGCGTATCAAAATGATTGCACCACGTGATTTAAAGTGGCCCAGTTCCTATTCGGGGCGACGCTAGCGGAGCAGGCGGAGCAGGCGGAGCCCCTTCCGTCTTCGTCCTCCTGCCGGCCGATTCCGAGCGGCGCTCTGTCTCTCTCGCACTCATGGGGCGCCCCGTATAGGTGCTAGAGAGACAGAGCGACGGGGCTCTATTCGGGGTCGGCCCGCTGGACGCCAATGGGCCTGCCGACCGTCGCGCTGGTCGCGCTGCCTAGAGGCCTCGGCCTTCCTCGGCCTTCTCGGCGTCCTGGCCTGGGGCACGGGGCACGGGGCTGGCAGTCCTGGCCGCGTCGCCGAAGGGGCCGCGGAGACAGCGCAGGGCTCGCGGCACGGCACTGGAAGCGCGGGGTGGAGTGGAAAGCGTGCTGGAAGCGCGCGAAGGCACATCCAGAGGGTCTCGACAGGTTAGGTGGGACACTGTAAGGTAAACTTTGGAGCCCGGAGCCGCCATGGAGTTCGACGAGGCCCTGGAGAGGGTGGGCACCTTCGGCCGCTTCCAGTGCCTCAACTACGCCCTGCTGCTGCTGCCCGTGGCGCACACCGCCATCTACATGATGAACCACATCTTCGCGTCCAGGGACCTGCCTTACAGGTACGGCCTACCACGGCCACACACAGTGGGCCAGAAGACCGGTGGAGGCGGCCAAAATTCTAGACGCGTTTCGAACTGCAGAGTCGCTAAACAGGACTCGAACCGAACGTGTGACCCCACCAATGGATTCCTCGTTCGGAGAGCAATCCATTGGTGGGGTCACACGTTCGGTTCGAGTCCTGTTTAGCGACTCTGGAGCTCAAAACGCGTCTAGAACTTTGGCCGCCTCCACCGGTCTTCTGGCCCACTGTGGCACCGAGAGAGGCTGCCCGGAATGATGTGACGCCACTGCCAGGTGCTACGTGCCGGAGTGCGACGGCGCGCCCGGCGCCCAGGAGCTGGACCCGCCGTGGCTGGCGTGGGCCGTGCCGCCCAGCCAGGTGCAGCGGCCCTGGCCCTCCAACCACCGCCCCCCGGACACCTGCCTGCGCTACGCCGCGCAGAGGGGCGCCGTCGCCGACCCCGCCGGCCCGGGGTGCTGGCCGGAGACCTTCATCACGACGCGCACCGAGACGTGCGACCGTTGGGTGTTCCCGCAGCACGACAAGACCCTCGTGTCGGAGGTGAGGCCGCCGCCGCACAGTGGGCCAGAAGACCGGTGGAGGCGGCCAAAACTCCAGACGCGTTTTGAGCTTCAGAGTCACTAAACAGGCCTCGAACCGATCGTGTGACCCCACCAATGGATTCCTCGTTCGGAGAGCAATCCATTGGTGGGGTCACACGATCGATTCGAGTCCCATTTAACGACTCTGGAGCTCAAAACGCGTCCGGGATTTTGGCCGCCTCCACCGGTCTTCTGGCCCTCTGTGCGCCGCCGCAGTGTTTCCGCTGCCCCTTGCTTCGCGCGTGACGGCGGGGAGTTTGACTCGCATCCCTTGGCCGCCAGTTCAACATCACCTGTGCGGAGAACCGGTGGAAGTTGACGATGGTCGGGTCCATCAACTTCATGGGCCAGCTGCTGGGAATGCCGTTCGCCGGGGTGTTTTCGGACAGGTAACGCACGCCGCCCTCAGCACCCATCACAAAACAACGACAACGACATCAAAAACGTCTCCGTAGACTGATTCAGAAACGCGATCTCGTCGCTCTGTCTCTCTCGCGCCCCGCCCCACGAGTGCGAGAGAGACAGAGCGACGAAAACGACTCTCGGAATCAGTCTGTTGTGGGCATGCCAGGTTCGGCCGCCGCGGGCTGCTGCTCCTCACAGTGCCGCTGTCCTGGGCGAGCGGTATGGCGCGCTCCTTCGCGCCCAACTACACCGCGTTCCTGGTCTTCGAGATGCTGGACGCCTTCTTCGCGGCGGGCATCTACAGCGCCTGCTTCATCCTGGGTGAGCCTCCATTTCGGCTCGGCTGTTATCGTGATTTCGTCACTCCGTCTCTCTCGCGCTCTTGGGGCGTCCCGACGGGTGCGAGAGAGACGGAGCGACGGGCCGCTGTTCGGAATCAGACTGCCGGCGATGACACAATCTGGCAGCAACCGGTAAAGGTCATCTGGTCGGCGGTGCGTTGTGGGCCGCCGCTTGGGCCGCTTTGGCTGGAGCGTGGTCCAGTGGACTGATCCCGAGCAGCGCTCTGTCTGTCTGACTCTCTCTCTCTCTCTCTCTCTCTCTCTCTCTCTCTCTCTCTCTCTCTCTCTCTCTCTCTCACAGCCCTTCGCTACGCTCCATGAGTGCGAGAGAGACAGCGCGGGCGTAATGCGGCCGCAAGGACGAAGGCGAAGGGTGCCGTCAAGGACGCGGTCGCTCCCTCCCTGTGTGTCCAAGTGTGTCGTGCTGCAGGTGTCGAGCTGATGGCTGGGCAGCAGCGCGTGGTGGGCAGCTCGCTGGTGGCCAGCTTCTACTCGCTGGGCTGCGCCTTCCTCGGCGCCGTGGCCTGGTGGCAGCCGGACTGGCGGTGGCTCACCCGGGTGGCCTACGTGCCGGCGGGGTTGTCCGTGGTGGCAGTGTGGTACGTCCCGCAGGCCGAGACAGTGGGCCAGAAGACCGGTGGAGGCGGCCAAAACTCGAGACGCGTTTTGAGCTCCAGTGTCGCTAAATGAGACTCGAACCGAATGTGTGACTCCACCAATGGATTCCTCGTTCGGAGAGCTATCCATTGGTGGGGTCACACGTTCGGTTCGAGTCCCACTTAGCGACGCTGGAGCTCAAAACACATCTCGAATTTTAGCTGCCTCTACCGGTCCTCTAGGCCATTGTGCACCACAAGTCTGGCGCGTTTGGACGGGAATGTACACTCGCGCCATGCTTGCACACTGCCTTGTGCAGGCTGCTGCCCGAGTCCGTGCGCTGGCTGCTGTCGCGCAACCGCGTCGCGGACGCGCAGGCCGTCCTCAAGAGGGTGGCCGCCGTCAACGGCGTGCCCCTGTCCGCGCCGCTGCTGCTGCGTAGCTCCGACGCCCACGCAGGGGTAAGCGCCCCTTCCCACTCACTTCCCACTCCGAAAAATGAGTACATAAGCGACCCATGCTGACCACGCTTCACGGTTTCCGCCACTAGGACGCGAGCTCCATCGCCTCCACCGACACAGCGCCGCGACAATGTAAGTGCCCCACGCCGAAAAAAAATTATACCGCCGCCGGCGGTGGTATTCGAACCCGTTGACCAGTGTGTGAGTGTGTGCGCAGCGACCGGGGGCACGTCTGAGTGGCCGGTGCTGCAGGTGATCCGGTCCAGGCTGCTGCTGCGCCGGCTGTTCCTCACGGCCATGCTGTGGTGAGTGTGCGTGCGGTACCGCGTTCGCCCAGTGTGTCGTCTCCGTCGCCCACGCTCTCACCGCCGTGCCGCTCCGTCCGCCCACAGGGTGGTCAACTCGTTCGTGTACTTCGGGCTGGCGCTGCGCTCCGTCGCCCTGGCCGGCGACCTGCACCTCAACTTCATCCTGGCCGCCCTCGTCGAGATCCCCTCGTACGTGTTCGCGTGGTACCTGTCGGAGCGCTGGGGCCGCCGCGTCAGCGTCAGCGCGTCCCTGGCGCTCACGGGCGGCTCGCTGCTGGCCTTCCTCGTGCTGCCCTCCGGTGCGTCCTCTTCGTCCTTTTCGTCGCTAGGTCTCTCTCGCACTCATGGGGAGTCCTGTATAGGTGCGACAGAGACGGAGCGACACGCTGCGTGGTACACTGGTACAGCCCCGACGAAAGTCGCTTCACTCCGACCGTGTGTCTCGCCCCCCTCGGCAGGCCTGCTGCCCCTGCAGCTCATCCTGTACCTGACCGGCAAGCTGGCCATCACGGCCTCCTTCACGGTGCTCTTCGTCTTCACGGCCGAGCTGTTCCCCACCAACGCGCGCCACTCCATGATCGGCGTGTGCTCCACCATCGGCCGCATGGGGTCCACGCTGGCGCCGCAGACCCCTCTGCTGGTGCGTAGTGCTGTGGCTGCCACCTTTGCAGACCGATTCCGAGAGTCGTTTTCGTCGCTCTGTCTCTCTCGCACTCGTGGGCGCCCCGTGTGGAAGCGAGAGAGACAGAGCGACGGAAACGACTCTCGGAATCGGACTGCTGACAGTGTCCTCCCCTTCCGCAGGAGGTGTTCTTCTGGGGCATGCCCATCTTGCTGTTCGGGCTGATGAGCGTGGGCGGCGCCTTCCTGGCGCTGCTGCTGCCCGAGACGCTCAACAAGGCCCTGCCCGACAACGTGACGCAGGCCAAGGCGGTGGGCAGGGTACACCGCAAGCCGGCGCCCTCCGCGCCGTCGCCGAGGCTCTGCCACGTCAGCCTCTGAACCAGCCGCCCTGGCGTCCTGGCGCCGTCGTCCCGGTGCACGTCAAGGACGGCGACGGCGACAACCGGCCTTTCCCACCAGGGGAGATGATGGACTCGCCGCGGAACGCGTCCTGTCTCTGTCGCACTTGTGGGGCACTGCCTTGGAGTGCGATAGACACAGAGCGACGAGCCGCAGACGCACAGTGGGCCAGAAGACGGGCGCCGGCGACCGAAACTCTAGACGCGTTTTGAGCTCCAGAGTCTCTAGGCAGGAGTCAAACCGAGTGTGTGATCCCACCAATGGATTCCTCGTTCGGAGAGCAATCCATTGGTGGGGTCACGCGCTCGGTTCGAGTCCCATTTAGCGACTGTGGATCTCAAAACGCGTCCAGAGTTCTGGCCGCCGCGCCGGTCTTTGGGTCCACTGCTAGCCCACTGTGAGATGGGCGCGATATGGGCGGCCCGGAAGTGGCCGCCGTGCACCGCCGCGGCGAGTCAGTGACCGCCACACTGGCAGTCCTGGGCAGTCCACTCCACTGCAGTCCACCCGCGGCGCCGCGGTGCGCCATCCACTGTCTTGCCTTCTGGAAAATAAAGAACTGCAACCCGACGCCCTTTGCTTTCGACTCGGCGCCTCGTGCACCACGATCCTCGTGGAGACCCTCGTTGCCGCGACGCGCCTCGAAGCGGAAGCGCCTTGAGCTTCCGGCTTTCGGACACGGGTAGGTTAGGTTAGGTTAGGTACGTAGGTACGTCCGGTTCGGTGTTTGCTGTTCGGTTTGTTATTTTTAGACTCCCTTTGTCGCGTTGAGCCGACGGCATGGCCTGCGGCTGCGCGACCCGCTTAAGTCCAGTGGCACCCGGACCCGGGGTGCTGGGGCCCGAGCAGATTCGAGGTGAACCTGTCGGCGTCCACCCGGGTGGCGTCTAGAAGAGCTCACCATGCTCACTCACTCTCACTCACTCACTGATTCCCATCGTGCACAGGCAAACTAGTTGTTGCCAGTCTTACCCCCTACTTCAACAAACAAGCCAAAAAGTGACCCAGTGGCCTTTAAACACGTTTTACTTAATTTAATCAAAGTGACTCACTCACTCCTGCGGGTGAATGAGGTGCGCTCTTTCATCTCCTGCAGGTTAGGGAATTATTGTCAAAAGTTGGCAACAACTAGTCTACCTGTGCACGATGTGAATCGGTGAGTGAGTGAGAGTGAGTGAGCATAGTGAGCTCTTCTAGACGCCACCCCGGAGCATCTGGAACCGAGTCCCGTTTTGGGGGCAACACCACGGAACGTTCCAGAAGACCGAAAGAACAAAACCCCCCCTCCACCAGCAGTGAGCCTCAAATCGAAGGACTTTGATCAGAATGCGACGAAACGCGTAAAATGAAGAAGAGGAATTCCCTGCGAGTGTCTTCCCTCCCCGACCCAACGGACGGTGACCCCCCGCCCCCGCCCCCGCCCTCCCCCTTCCCCGCTCGGCACCGCTCAGGTGCCTTCGGCTCGGCTTCGGCCAGCTTCGGACGCTGTCGGTCGAGTCGAGTACAGTCAGCTCCAAGCTCGCGATCCCTTGGCATCCCGACCCGGGACCCGACCCGACATTCTTCCCCCGCTTCGACACAGATCCACAACACATCGCCGTAATTGAAACAGCTGATCCCGTCGGCGTCTACGCATCCATTCAACAAATTGGGATCGCTGCAATCACCCCAGTCGCCCAGTGTGCCGAGTTTCCCGCTTGGTCGTCGACCGCCCTCGGGCAGGGTCCCAGCCCAGGTCCCAGTTAACCTCGACTCAACTTGACTGCCAGCCACTCGCATACGTGCCAAGCCCAGAAAATGACCCGTAAGTAAACTTTGGTGTTTGGGGCTCCCTGGAGCGGCGGCCCCTCGACCTGGACACGTCCAATTCGAGTGTCGCGGTGCAACCACTCGCATCCAGAACGAAACCAGCAGGCCGCTGCGTCGATGTAGCGGTCGGGTTCTAGAAACTTCCACCACCAAGCTCGTCTCTTTCCCAGGTGTTGCCTGCAGCTCTCTCCCCGTTCTAGAGGGTGCTTGCCAACTGCCTTCTCTAAAGCCCTCCAGTTTTGTCTTTAAAATTGCATCCTGATTTCGAGCATAAAGGTTATTCTCATTTATGGTGGAGTGCAGTCGTTCCGTATTCTCTTTGTTCGCTGCATCACAATAGAGTTTTTGATGTTCTGAAAATGAATCTTTTCTTTCTGGTTGCATTTTGAGTGTTTTCCTACTTCACTAATATAACTTGTTATTGATCTTAAATTTTGATTCACAGTTGGAGCCATCAGACAGTGTTAAATTCACCCTCTTTTCATATCTGCGAGTTGCCTCTTCCTCGCCTCACTTGGATTCTTCTTGAATATAGTATATTTATATTGTGTTTCCATCCCCTTTCCCAGGCGGTAACCAGCGTGAACTTGCTCGTGCCAAGAACCAGAAGAAGCAGCTGGCAGCAGCTAAGTCTAAAGGACCTGACGATGGAATGACACTTGAGCAGAGAAGACACAGGTAAGTTAAAACTTCAAGGAATCGCAATTTTGTTTGAATCAGCCGTGATTAATTAAGTGTTTTGCTTGTGTTTAAGGGACGCTGAACTCATGAGGGAAAAGCAGAAAAAGAAGGAGGAACTCGCAGCAGCGAAAACCGCTCAAGCAGCCAAATGAAGCATATGTTTTTTTTTAAAATGATTCTAAACAAAACAATCATCTCTAAAACTCAAACGTGACCAAACTGTTCTAAAATGTAATTTAACATGCAAATTGTGCAGACGTCTCTTCTCAAAATTCCTCATGTACATTTCCATTTTGATAACTTCTTTGCAAGCTGTTAATATGAAGTGGGATGGGTCTAACCAAGTGGACTGGTTCCTCCCTTCCCCCTTTATATGAAAGTATTAGAGCAGTTTTGTCAGTGTGAAAAGTTGCACTGGTTTACCATTGCCTACTCCTATGAATTTATGACGTTCAAATATCCTTAATTGCTCACATATAATATTTTCTGCGAAGATTTTCTTCTTGGGCTTGGTCTGTGTACAGCAAAATTTGTCTACATAATGATATCATCAAGTACGACTAGTCTAGGGCATATTCATATTTAACATGTACGCTGATGTGTATTTTTTAATGCCATGGTTTAACATGTGGATGATAGCATTCTTGTAAACCAGGGAATGTATTAATCATTTACAATTACCTGTTACTCATCTTTTTCCATTTGAGTGATGTTTTTATAGAAAAGGCTGGTAGTTGATCGGTGATAAATGAACCTACAAATCAAACCTTTTTACTTGCTTGTTGTTCTTAGTAGTCTTTGACAGCCTAAACTTTTTGATTACTTCACCTACTGCTCATTCAAGCTGTGCTGTTTCAGTATCACTAGATTTTATTTTTAAATTTTCTTTTAGTTATGCCTTTGTAACTTTAATTTATTATTGAAAGTCTTATTGAGTCTCCAAAATTTAGGGAAAGCACAATAAATGAGTGGCCTTTTTGTGTTTTGTTTTCTTTTTTTTTACTGGCTAACAATTGTGGAACACTTCTACTGCTACTGCCTTCTATTCTGGGTAATAAAGACAAGCCCCTAAATTATTGTGTGCCTGGGGAGGACTGACTGAAGGGAATCTTTCTTTATACCCGAGTGTTTTGATAAAACCTCCACTTATCAAACTGTGTAGGATTCGGCTCTCATTATGTTTTGGTTATTGTCAAGCCTGTTGCTTTGATTGAACCATTGTAATTTGTGACCTTTCTCTTCCCTGTGCTGCTCATCTGTTCTGTTTGTTTAGAAAGCATTTTTCTGGTCTAGGGAATTTGATTCAGTTTTTGTATGCCTGCTAAGTTACTCATCTGCCTTCTTTTTTTTGGAGTAATTTAACTTGCATTTGTGATATTTTTAACACCTGGAATGCTCCTTTTTCATTCAATTTCCTAATTTTCAGAGCAAGATTGTTTCTAAAAAAAATTCCTGTCAGTTCAAATATAATGTTAACCATTTCCTGATTAGCATGATCCTGAATGTATGGTACTAGGTCCATGGTGAATGTTCCTTGTGTGTGAATGTGTGTGTGTGTACGAGTCCCCACCCATTTCTTTGCTTAGTGACTTTTTTTTTGTGTGTAATCCTGTTGCCTTTTGCTAAGTGATGAATTTAATAATAATTTAATAAAAGGGAACATTACGACTTTCTAGTTGCACTCCTTATTTCACTCCAGTGAAGTGTTTTATGTACTGTGGCCTGACACATGTCATTGGCAAAGCAAATTTGTGCGAATCTTGCGAAGTCACCAAACACCAGCAGAATACAGAGATTTTAAAAAAACACCAGTCCTCATCCACTCCACTCATTCCATTTCATTCAGAGACGCGGCGCGCAAGGCACAGCAAAACAAACGATTGGGCGCTAGTTCCCACACTGGCCGCGGCGTGTCGCTGCAAGCGAAGGGGGAGGGGCCGGAGGCTTGGGCGGTGCGAGGCTGCGTCCGAAAGAGGCAACGGTCTCTGCTCTCAGCTCCGCGTTGTCTCTCTCTCTCTCTCTCTGTCACACTCACACGCCCGTGCGGGCATCGTGCGCGTGGAACAAAGAAGGCGGCAGCGAAAGGAGGCGTGCGAGTCGCGCCCGGACTTGCAGTGCAGGCTTCGCGCTTCGGTCGTGACGGATACCGCAGCCCGCAGCACAGCAGCCGACCGTAACTTGCCGCAGACATGGGGAACAGGAAGAGTTAACCGCTCTCACGGTTTTTCGAGCCCCTCCTCCAATTTTTCTGTGAGACCGCTCTCTTTCACTGCAGCCCTTTTGTACCGAGTGGTTGCGGACACCAAAATGTTGCGGTTCGGCAGCAGGAACGACGTGAACACAACCTTCAAATGCACGGTGCGATTACTGGAAGACACAGAGGTGCTCGAATTAGAATTCCAGGTAAGTACCCGCTTTCTCAATGTTTTCAACGTGTAGAAGTGTTTGTTTCGGTTCACTTTGAATAAGAAGATCGTCGACCACCTGAGCGTAAATTCTTCGTTCTGACTCGCTTTGCAACCACTCCTTGCGAGGTTGCACTACCGCCTACCTGCAAATGACATGACAAGTTTGATGTTATCTGTTTTGTTCTTGATTTTGCACAAACTCCTGTTCTGTGTAAATTCTCTCTCTCTCTTCTTTTGCAAGTACAATGCTTGTCTCATTTAACTTTTATTGTTCAATCTCTCCAGGTCAATTATGAAGGGAAAGATCTGCTGGACCAAGTTTGTCAACAACTAAATTTGATTGAAAAAGATTACTTTGGCCTCCGATATGTAGATATAAACAAACAGAGGGTAAGTTTCTGTGTCTATTGTTGTGTTTCCTTCACTACTTTAAGTATATTTTAATAATTTACAATTCTGATTTCAGCACTGGCTTGATCTCAACAAGACTATCGTAAAGCAAGTTAAATGTAAGCAAAAATGATTTTCCAACAATATGTGAAGTCTGCAATATTGTAGAATTTTGTTTGAATAACCTTCTCTGTTATTTACAGACCTTGACCCGTTACTGTTTAGTTTCCGAGTCAAATTTTATCCACCAGACCCCTTTCGCCTGAAAGAAGAAATCACTCGCTATCAAATATACTTGCAGTTGCGACGAGACCTCCTTCATGGACGTCTCTACTGTACTCCTAATGAAGCTGCACTTTTGGCTGCCTATGTGGTTCAAGGTAGAAAGTTTTTCACATAGTTTTTATCGAGTACAGTATTTCAAACAAAACACTAAGTTGGCTGTATGAATTTCAGCTGATCTTGGTGACTTCAATCCAGAGGAACATGAAGGGAACTATGTACAAGACCTCCGATTATTACTGAAACAAACTCCTCAGATTGAAGAAAAAATAATAGAATTGCATCAAACTCTTTTGCTGGGGCAGACTCCACAAGAAGTTGAAAAAGAATTTTTAAGACATGCAAGTTCTCTCGACACTTTTGGTGTCGACCCTCACCCAGTGAAGGTAAGATCTACGCTAATCTGTTCTATTTACTGTGTAATTTTTTAATAAATTTCTGCATTTAAATGTTCTTGGAGAAGATTGCTCTCATGCCAACTTATTAAATAAAGTGGATAATAATATATTTCTTCTTTCATAGGACCATCGAGGCAATCAATTGTACCTTGGAATCAACCATCTAGGCATCCTCACCTTTCAAGGATCTCGTAAAACAAACCACTTCCGTTGGCCAGAAGTACACAAAATTAACTATGAGGGGAAAATGTTCATTGTTCATCTGACATATAATGAGGTTTGTTTTTCTTCTAAATTACGTATCGCTTTATGACTGTACTTTTTTTTTTTTTGAGCTCTCATTGATGTTCAATACTTCAAGCACCCTTTTAATCTTTTTTATATTTCCAATCCGGACCCACCAGGATCCCCGAACAAAGGTAAATTTTGCTTTCATTGCACAGAAGTACTTAGTTGTAGTCCTTATCTTAATTTTTGTGACATTAAGAATATTCTGTCCTTTTATTGTGACCATCCATCATTCTGTATTTTTCAGAAGAAACAAACTGTTGGCTTTAAGTGCCCCACTGGTGCAGCATGCCGCCATGTGTGGCGGTGTGCAGTGGAACAAATGCTATTTTTCACGTGAGTGCAGAATGAAGAATGAGCAAAATGCAGTTAAGTTAACTTGTGTACTTATTTTCTTACCGTGATTGCTTCCCTTTTCCAGCTTGCCCTCAGGTTCTGTTGTTCCTGTGGTCAGTGGTGGAAGTTTCTTCTCATGGAGTTCAACTAAGTTCAAGTACACTGGGCGCACTGAACGAGAATTACTCGAAGAAGCTGGGCCTTTGCGCCGCGACGAACCCATGATTAATCGCCTGGGCAGCTTGAGGCGTAAAGCATCCAGTGTTCCTGCAACTCCATCCTCGCCAACAGAAATGGGTGACATCTGTAAGCGTCAAAAGCCTCGTAGATTTTTATTTATAATAGTTGTTAGTAATTTGGTTGATTTTCTCATATTGCTGGTTCTTGCAGGTTATGGCCTACTTCCTCGCTCAAATCACTCTGTACCAGACTCCAGATTGGATGGTGGACCAAGTCTCCTTGCCTCAAATGATGAAGGATCTTTTTGTCTTGATAGTATACCTCTTTTGGAGACTGTGAGTGAAGATCATGAAGTTCATTCCAGGCAGAGAAATGCAGGTAAGAGTCGAAACCCTGAAGGCTTTAGTAATCGTCTTATGCTTTCATGGGGTATGTAGACTGGAAGTATGAGGCTGAATGAGGCTGTGTATCATAAATTTCACAGTCCTTCCTTAATTGCTAAAAGTTGCCGTTTTTATTTGATTAAAATTTTTCTGTCTTAATTGTGTTTTTAAGACACAATTTATTGGTGCTGGTTCCATTTTATGTAGATAAAGCAATGCATTAAGAGAGCTTTTGATCAGTTTAAAGTAGGTCAACTCTGGATGTAGCTTTGAATTGAAGTAGCTTGCTATGTTTTGTATTCAGTTAATGGTGGTATTTTGGTGTGCGTAAGATTACTTTTACTGTAGGTTTTACTGGCTTCTCATATTTTTGTTAGTGTGCTGTGTGGTCGCAGTGGTAGTGGTGCTTGATATCTGGTGTTGGTGCTTCTCAAACTTTTTAGAATTTGTATTTTAACTGACAAGATTAAGGTGAAGCTGGAAGGCATTTTTATAAATCAATGCTTAGCCAAAATGTTGATATCTATGTCAATAATATGTTAAAGATGAAAGGAATGGGGATGGATTTATGATTTTTAAGGAGACTCTGGGGAAGTAAAGCTCTGAATGGAGACGTATATCAGCTTAGACACAAATGAAAGAAGAAATGAAATCAACATTCTATGTAGAAAGGCACTGCTTTGGGTAAAAGTTAGGCGAAAGGCAAAACTCTTTGTCAGTATGTTAAAGGAAACGTCTATACTTCCATTTGCTGTTCAGTTTTAAGGAAATTTACCGAATCACTCTAGCAGCATTGTTTATATACAGCTTGGAAACATCTGTTGGGTATGTTTTATCTCGAGATGTTTATTCTCAGGCCATGGGCGATGAAGGTGAAGTTAACTTGGTTGTTGGACAAGACACCTCAAAAAGCTGCATTTGTCAGTCTAGAAGAAGCTCTGGTTACAAGAATCTTCAAGGCTCGGTAATCTTTAAAAATGTGTTCTGCTGATGGCTGTTGAATAGGAGATAATATTGTGATAATATTGTGAGGAGCAAGCAATGTTTTTTTTTTCCTGAGTGGCTTCAATGCATGGATTATCTTAGCATGAGTGCAAGTTTAGTGTGAATCTGACTGTTTGCTTGTGTTTCTTATTGAGGGTAGATTCTATTGCTTTTTTCTGCTATGTGCTGTATGAATTCCACTTTCCTTAGTTTAACATTTTATTGGTTAAAAATTTTTGAATTTGCGTATTTAGGGCTTCAATTCTTTCATTTTCCTTGCAGAACGGGACATGGATATTATGGATGGCGCGGCCACAGGGCTCTCCGAATATTACTTGCGCGAGTCTTATGACCAGTCATCTTCTGAATCTCAGCTGCTTGATGGTCAGGGTCGCTCTCATCGTTCATCAAGATCTCAAACACCAGTTACTCGTGGCAAAACAGGAAGCCGCTTGTCATTAAACAGTGGTGCTGTTATACCTTCTCAATGTGAGCATACCCTTTATATATGTGCATGATGATGTGTTCTTAACATTCTATAACTGCCTATAATGCTGCAGGCTTGAGTCCAATACTAGGAACCGAACAGCTCAATAATAATTTTAATAATGAAATTTATTACAGCTGCAACTGAAGGTGGGATCTCAAAGCAAGAGACACCATCTCACCGAATGCGGCTCCGAGCAAGTTACCTCCTACCAGCAGTGGCATTTACTGCAGTTTTGCTGGTGCTATTTTTTGCTCTTGTCCTGGAATCACCAGAAGATGGGCTTCTTGCACCATTGCGCCGCTTGCCTGAAGTTGCTGCAGTTCGCACATTGTATTATGAGCCTGCGAAAGAATTTCTTCGCAGTCGTATCAGCTCTTGGATTCAGTGAAAATACGTTCACAGCAAGTATGTGCTAGTATCATTGTCTACGCTTTTTAATTTAACATGGTACTAAAAATGGAAAAAAAAATCACCTCTCTATCTTCTTTTTTCAGGAGGAAGTCCGGGACCGACAGTGCCAAATGTCATCTGTTGAAATGAGATGTCCTTGTCCCAGGATGTTTCCAACTTGTATATACAAGATGGGAATCCTCTTGCTGTGTGCCATAGAGCAGCTCCATATTCTGTTGTTAGTCCCTGAACTCGATTGCTTCTGTTCAGTGGAATATCAACTCTTCCAAATTCATTGTGTCAATAATGGTGCATAATCTGTTGCATGTCTATATGTATGAAAGCTGTGTTCATGTCATCAATGAAATCAGTTACCCTCATTGCATTCCATATTTGTTGTTGGAGGAGTTGTCCCAATTAATTTTATTTAAGTATGTTTTATTCAGTTGCATTTGTTACCATGAATTCAGTATATTGAGTGATTCAACAACTTAACTTATTGTCACAGACAGTGATCAAATATTTTACGATTCTGTTCAGCATTCAAAGCTAGAACGGATGGGAAATCTGCAGATTCACTAGTTTCCCTTTTATCTCAAATGTAGTTGTTATAGTTGATAACTACATGCTAATGCTCGTTAATAGATTGTGATGTATAAACTACTTCCTTGTATTGTTTTGTTTTTTCTTTCTCTTTATTTTTTGTTTTTAAATATAGTGCAACTGGTGCAATAACTCATTATCAAAGAAAATGTAATTTCTTTTGCCAAAGAAGAAGCTTTGACTTTTCACTTTTATTTAAGTTAACTAATGTTATGTTAAATTAAAATGAATTTTTAAGAGAAAATATTCTATGTTTAATTTCATGTAATCTTTAAACATGGTATACTTTAATCTAATCATTATTGTTGAACAGTGTTACTTACACTCAATGCTGTTTGATTCATTACATACAGAGATTGTGCAATGTGTTTGCACTTCATTGTAAACGGGCCTCACCATAGACTTGCCATTCTGCTTATGTGCACCCATTCTCAATTTTCATGAACTTGAAATTTTATTTTGCCACGGAAGACCCTAACACTCAGCGCAGAATAGATGTTCCTCACAATTATTTGAACTCAGCCTATTTTATTTTGCCTGAATCTTGTTTGTATGTAGGGGAGAATTTGATTGTGTGTACACCTCACTTTTTGTGGTTTTCTTTCCTTTGTAACTAGCCATATGTCTTGCCATGTATTGCAAGGATGTGAATGACAATCTTTTGCATTGTGGGTTGTAATTCATTCATGTAATGAGCTTCTTTGCAAATGCTCAACTCTCAGAACTCTGTCCCACTTTGGTAATGTTTGTTGCAATTTTGCTCTCTTATTCACTCAGTGTTCTCTATGGTTTAGTTGTCTTTTTTTTTTTTTTGTCCTAAGCATTTGTGTGTGTGTCTCTGAGAGGAGGAGAGTTTTTTTTTTTTGTTCATTTTTATCTATTCATGAATTTGAAGTTCTTTTAATGTTTGAATTTTATGCATTTGACTTGCCGATTAGTGTTAAGATTTATTTTTAAGGTGCATTTCAAGAAATACCAGATGGATCTGAAAACATTCCCATTGAAGCACGTTTGCGGTTCAATTCCAGCTGTGATTTTCTTTCACATTCATACCCAAAGCAAAATTAGGGCCTCCTTAATATGGCATAGCTTTTTCATACAGTTTGTGTTTTGATTCCTAATTTTTCTCTTTTGAATTTTATGTAATGATTGTTGTGGGGCCAATGTTGCTTTCCCTATAAACCGTCACTACAGTACAATGTTTGTAAAAAGATCATTCTGAACTCAGTTTTAGATTGATGTACACTTGCACTTGCCTTTTATTTTCCTCTGAAAGGAGACAAAATCAAAAGGCTGAGAAATGATTTACGCTTCTGTTTCCAGTTGTTTTTCTTGATGCTTTCATGATACAAATGAAAGATGATTTGAAGTACTAAACTTTCGTTGAATCCTATGAGGTGAATTTTTGATGGTGTTATTCTCTCTAATTTATTGGCATTTTCATTCCTCATTACCTCTTTAGACATCGTGTGAATGGATTGCAATGGTTTGATTTGGTGATATTTAGCTCGTGTAGTATTACTGAATGGCTCAATTTTCTCAGAAAGTGGTCATGATGCATGGATACTTAAATCAATCGTACTATTAAAATTGGCATTTGATATTTTGATATTTCTCTGGATATCTTGTATAAATATTTCTTTATCCCTTCGTTCTAATTCTTTGGTTCTCTTGTACACAAATTATTTCAGTAGTCACAGGGTTTCTTTCTTCAACTCCCTCTTCACTTGTATTTCTGTACTCAATCCATTTATGTCACTTGTATGAAATTGCTTTACATTTTCTTCCGCTGCTCGTGCTTCTTCTGTCATTCTAAACGAAGCAGTACCAGTTTCTTGATCTTTCATGTGCTGTTTCCATGTCATGATTTTTTTTAAGGAGTGAAAAATACTTGTGTTATTTTTATAGCCTAGACTGAAAGTTCCGTCTTCTTACTCATGCCAATTGAGAAGATATGTCTGTTTCTTCAGAATGCATTTTGAAATCAATATTTTTAAGTCGCTATTAATCTTAAGAATGAGAAGTGTATTTTTGAGGTGTGGTGCATGGTTGTTTGTAGTTTAGGTGTGGTTTGTGGTTGTTTTTAGAGTTTGGGGTTGAAGTACAAAATATTTTGGGTATCCACTGTTTGATTAGGGTAAGCCTTGTTTTTCAAAAGCCATTATTTAAACCTGCTAGAAGATTCTTTGAAAATTAATACTCTGCCTACAATTTAATATTTGATGATGTAGCTCTCACCAGTTCTGTATTTTATTAGCCCTTGCTTTTCAGGTACAGATTAGAAAAGGAAATTTTGGAACATTGTAGGTATTTTATGATTTATGGTGCTCCAATTACATTCCTGGCCTAGACATGTGTATTTAGATTTAAGTTTTAAATTTTTAACTATTTAATATGTCCATTGACTGCATTTTGAGATATTCTTAAAATCAAACATCCCCCTCCTAAACTGTTATGCTTTTGCAATTGACAATAGTTGAAACTGTATAAACAATAAAATCAATTGAAAATATCAAAAAGCTTTTATCACTAAAGTATAAAATCCAAAAGCGACACACTTGAATAGTTAAATTTTAAGCAAGAAGTCAGCATAAAAGTTGTATAAAATTTCTGCTGAATAAATGTGTCAAATCCTGTTATTGGTTAATGAAGTGTCTATTTAACTAATAACACCTAATCCTTTCTTTTTCTTTGGTCTACTCATTGAAAAATATGATCAGAGCAAGGATCCTGTCTGTTGAATTTCCAAACACAGCTGACGAAGTGCATCTGAACGTGCTTGTGATTCCTGAATGAATGAAATGGGACACCAACTCTATTTCCAAAAATAACCAGGATTAGGTGATTGGTTCATAAATGCTTACCGTGAATAAAACGAGTTCTGATGAAGTCACACACAAGACAGATTTGCAGTTCTTCATCTTGTCATGCTGGCTGTCTACAGTGCCTGAGAAATATTCAAAAGAAACTGTGAAAACTTAACATTATAAAAAGCAGTACCGGACTTTAAATCAAATGTTTGCTTACTAGACACATGCATCCAGCGAGACTCTAGCTGTAACTTTACATCTGGTGTGTACACCCTCTCTTGTAAAACAGCTTTGTTTCGGCAAGACAACATGGCAAGCAAAGTGCGGTGACGCTCAGCTAGTCCTGTTAGTTCACTAGACAATACTTCAAGGGCATTCTCCAGCCCTTTATACGTGCTCTTCAGCATCTTACCCGAACCATCACCTTGGAATAAGCGCAATACCTCGACACGGAGCTGCGGAATCAGAGAAGCATAAGCCTTCAGACAAGAAAAAGTAGCTTGAATCAATTAGCTTGTCAAGAATTTGTAAACCTTGAGCTGAGCTGCCATGCCTCTTGCTGCATCCCTTTCCTGCTTGCTGGAGTGCTGCCCAATGCAGTGTGGTGCTGCACCAATTAACACAAAATATTAGACGCTTCTATACGGAAAAGGCATTGACACTGTCTATCAGAACTTACCTAGAGCCCTGCTAATAGCACGCTCTGCTTCACAAAGGCGAACTTTAGCCAGAAATGCATTCCTTAGAGCACGAACTGTATTGGTACCTTGATCAAGAAGAGTTGCACACAGAGCAGTCACTCTGCCCTGCACATTGCACAGGGCATTCTGGATAGTCAGGGAAGGTACATTAGTTAACAACAAAAAAAAACAAAAACTGAAGACCAAAGCAAAGTGTAATTAAATACTTTTTTGATTGTCACTATCTTGACCATGTGCTCTACCTCTTCTGTTAAACGACGAACCACAATGCCCAAATCAAAGTCATCATCACACTGGGCACACGAATCTGTTAGTAAATAGGAAGGTAACAGTAGAAATGATTACAAGCAATTATGTAAAACATTTGATGCAGATTTTCACCTATATTGTGGTGTGCTGAGCTTGCCATCGTGTATAGGCACAAGTTAACTTCACTGGAAAAGATAAATGCAGTTCCTCCTGCCCTTGGATACTCTTTACAACAAGTGCTTGTTGCAAGAGGGAAGCGCTATCGGTGACGACGGGTACAAATATTTTCGACGTTTCGAGGCAAAAGTGGGTAAAATTTGAAAATCACCTACTCACACATTTCACACTTACTCACACCTACACTCGTTTCCCGCTCTCGCTCCGCGCCTCTCCTTTTACGTTGGCAACTGCTGTAGAGAGGATGGTGCACCTGTGCTGCGAGAGCGGCAGCTGTTTGTTATTGTTTTTGTTTCTGTGTTTACGCCCTTTAGCGCATGTGATCCCTGTCTTCCACGGGTTTTCTGTCGTTATTGTGCCGCGACAGTCCACAAGCATGTCGATTCCACTGTTTCCCAGCTTGAGACCGAATATTTCCAGCCCTTTCTGGCTTGACATAGACCCTCCGATTGATGAGGAGGCCGAAATCTTGGAACTGGAACGAGGACAACAAGACTGGGTCAGTGCTCTTTCTGCTTTTTGCTAAACTGGTCTGTTTGTTAACGTTTTGAGGCGCAAGGAAACTTGAAGTTTGCTTGTCAGTTCAAGGGAAGCCCAACTTACTGTCCTCTTCACTCTGATCTCTGCCCTTGCCTCTCTATAGGAGGTTAACGGCCTGACTTTTTATGCCTCCAATGTTGCACAATAGGTTCCTAGTTCACAAATAATATTCAGATTGCAAGAAATTTCTTTGGCATGTGCTCTTTTCTTTGCCATAGAAGTGCATAAGTTCAAGCCACATACTGTCTAGAGTTTGGTTACTTTTATTTCCCCAGACAAAACCCTTTTTTCTAAACATTTCTGCTTACCTTGACAATTTACTTATGCTTAGTTCTTGTTGTTATTTAACAGAAAGTGAGCCTTGGGCGAGTCTTTACTAATGTCCTACCGATTGGTAAAACAAACCATGATGTAAGTCTGTAATTTCATTATTGCTTTCTGATTTTCTTTACATGCCATTTTGTGTCTTTTTAATGCCTATTTTCCTCTATGTTGTTCAGGTAGACGAAGAGGACTTGGACGACCTTGCCGATGAGGAGGATGACACAACAAGCAGTGATGACATGGAAGATGATGACGGCGCAGATGTGTATCAGCTTCAGGAATCTGAGGCTACTATGCAAGCTCCCTCTCCTCCAGAAATTACAGATGTGCCAGCTTTGACTTACTCTGATGTGGAAACTCTTCCTGCTAATTCAATAGAGGCACCCATCATGGAGACTTCAGACAGGCCTGAGATGCAGACTGACAGTAGTAGTGCGCATGAATCTGGTTCTTCGCCTCCCACAAATGGACGACCTTCTCGTATGATTGTAGGCAGGCTCATTCCTGCTCCTCGTCCTGGGACGTCTCAGCAAGGAGCCCGAGCCGCTTTCATCGACACTGCAGGCCGGCCTGTATACAGTGGTCGGACCAGCACTGGCTCTGTTTCGCCCACCAGTCGAGCTTACATTCAAGCTGCCCTGCACTCTCCTACTGGATCAGTACATCTCGACATACCTGATGGTGATGATGACACAGATGATGAAGTTCCAGACAGAGGAGCTCCTACCCATCAAGCTCTTCAGGAAGGACGCTCCTCACAATCGCCCCTGTATGAACAAATGTTAGCAGCAGGACAAAGTATTCATCCTTCAGAATCCAGCACCCAAATAGACAATCTAATTGAAACAATGCATCAAGCCCAAAGAGCGCATGCAGCAGGAGTTACATCTCCTGTGGAGCGAACCACGGCTCTTGCAGAGGCAGGTTTTTCTAATGTTGGTGGTTTGAACCAAAGCTCCGATGAAGATGTCACCGCACCTTCTGATGAAAATTTATAATTGCTTGCAGCTCCAAATGTGACAGCATTTCTTCCAAGTGAAGAAATCAATTTACAATTTGACTCAAAAATGTGTTTGTTTGTTCTCTTTTATTTATTTGTACTGTCTTACTGTGATTTGCTTTGCCCTTGAATAATTTACATTGTGATATGATGTGATTTTTTTCTCCTTGTGTTTTCATAACAACAAGAATACACCCAGAAGTTTTCCAAGTGAACAAGAATTACTATAAATTTGCATGAGTAAATTTTGCACTCATGTAACTTGTCCTCTCTGTGTTTGACAGTACTGCATACTTACAAAACTTCATGGTTTTTTTCTTTCTTTTTCTTGGGGTAGGTATTATTTTTGTCATATGTTCTAATGGGTCACCTTTGTACTGTTTTGACAAATATTTTAGCCACCCTAAGGGTTTGTGTTGGCTGCAAATACACTATTCCTCCAAAGAAATGAGTAGATTTAAGATGCTTCATACTTTACTGTAGTTGTCCCAGGTTTTCAGTTTGCAAGATATAAAATATTGTCAGTCCTCCTTCATCACATTTAATGTTTAGTTCTAGTTTTTTTGTTTATAAACTGTGCATTAGTACAAAACAAAGTTATTCAAAGAAAACTTGACTTACTGGATAAATTCCTGCCTCATAATTTCTAGGGTAGTGCTAGAGTTGATAAAAGTTTATCACTATATTTTTTATAACTTTTGTAAGTTTAAACTGCTCTATAGTTGTAAAAGAAGAATGTTTCTGTTTACATACCTTTAATGTGCTTTGGGTATTTATTATCATTGTCTCAGAGCAATATAGGAGGTATTTGATATCTAGTCGCATGCTTTTTATTATTTGAATCTTAGTGACACCTGTTAATGTTTGGCTTTGTTGTGATTCTGTGATTCCAGAATACTTGTTTTATTTTTCAATAGTTTATCATTCTCAAAATCAATTCTTATGTGTCTTTGGTTGTACTTTCTGAGATATATAAATAAATGGAAAGGATTGTTAAAAAAATGTTCTGAAGAAAAGAAAGAACTTAATATTGGAGTTGTTTCTGTTTTTGTTTTATCACATTTTTGTGTTGAATTTTCACTGTCCTCTCTGATCTGAACTATTTAATTTTTATTAAGACTCTAAAGCTGAAAACTTATCTCAGGTTCTTATACTTGTCGCAGAAAACGCGTCATTGAAACATGCTCACTGTATTGTTAGCTTTTATCAATAAACCAATGACTGCTAGGTGTCTTTCATCATTCGAACCATTCCGATTCCTGTTTCGTGGCCACCGGTGTCCTACCCGCGTCGTTTAAAGGTCCATGAGGTAGCGAGTGCTGTGCACCCCAACACACCACACTGCGAGGCGCACCCTGCACTGTACGCAGCCGGCTGTGGTGTTTCGGCTTCGGTCGTTACCAGGATCGGGTGTGCCCGAGGCCAGAGGGTCGGGTCGGGTAGACGGATGGTGGGCGTAGGGCTGGCGCAGCAGACTGATTCCGAGAGTCGTTTTCGTCGCCCTGTCTCTCTCGCACCCATACGGGACGCCCCGCGAGTGCGAGAGAGACAGGGCGCCGGGGCGCAGTGAAGGGTCCGCCCAGCGCTAAGCCCTGCCTGAGCTAGCCCTGCGGATCGAAGCTCGGAGCGCCGCCCCGCGCGGCCACCTCCTGCACCACGCTGCTGTCCTGGTGCGGAGAATGGTGAGAAACGCCCCCACGAAGCTGTACCTGTGCCTAAACGTCACCGTCAGGGTGGGAGACGAACCTCCCGCTGGGCCGCTGCGCCCCTGCCCGTATACACCTGCGGTGGTGATGGCCCCGTCGCACAGTGGGCCAGCAACCGGCGCAGGCGGCCAAAACTCGAGACGCGTTTTGAGCTCCAGAGTCGCTAAATGAGACTCGAATCGAACGTGTGACCCCACCAATGGATTGCTCTCCGAACGAGGAATCCATTGGTGGGGTCACACGCTCGGTTTGAGCCCCATTTAGCGACTCTGGAGCTCAAAACGCGTCTCGAATTTTGGCCGCCTGCGCCGGTTTCTGGCCCACTGTGCGTCGCGTCGCCCCGTCGCCCCCTCATCATCCGCCCCCGGCGTCGCAGGCGTCGCCAACGTCAAGCGGGCGGCGAGACCCAAACGAGAGACGCGTTTAGAAACGCAACGCGCTGCAAATTTGACTCCGGAACGCTATGAGAAGCAAACAAGAGTAGGCAAGGCTGGGCTGGGAGGCCGGCAGCGCGCCTGCGATGGACGGCGTAGGCCAGCCCGCCACGCACGGCCGGGCAGCGGCACTGCCTACGCCGCCTCTCGCAGGGGCTCGGCCGCGGAGGGAGGGTGGGGTAGACAGAAAGTAAAAAAGAATAGTAGACAACAAGAAGAGATTTATTGACACAAAAATGAGCATGCAGACAAAGTCGCAAAAAAGACGAAAAGAATCCCGACAAGGAAAAAAAAAAGGATCAAATATGATATGTTTGAAGCAGTCCTTCCGTTTCCTCCTCCTCAATTATTGAGTGTCGCTCCCGGTAGTCGCGACGACGTCCTGGCTGACGGCGTCCTCGTCAACGAGGTCCACGTCGAGGCCCATGTTATTGCTTGGCGTCCGGCCGCTTCGGCGGCGCTGGAGTGGCTGGAGTGGCGGTGGCGTCGACGGGGACGTGTCCGACCGCCCCCTGCTGGGGCCCCATCCCGGGCCTGGGCCTGCCGGTGCTTCCGGTGGCCGCCGCGGCCTGCAGGGGCTGCAGGGGCTGCACCTTGTGCCTGGTGAAGCCGTACGGACCCGGGATGGCCTGACTCTTGACGAAGGCCGGCCCCATGCCTGCCAATCACAACACACGCCTTGCGAGCCCGTCTGCCTGCCTGCCTGCCTGCCTGCCTGCCTGTCTGCCTGCCTGCCTGCCTGCCCGTCTGCCTGTCTACCTGTCTGCCTGCCTGTCTGCCTGCCCGTCTGCCTGCCTGCCTGCCTGCCTGCCTGCCCGTCTGCCTGTCTGCCTGCCTGCCCGTCTGCCTGCCTGCCTGCCTGCCTGCCTGTCTGCCTGCCTGCCAGTCTGCCTGCCTGTCTGCCCCGGCCCGTCCGCCCTCCGCCTGCCTGGACAGCCCGCCTGGAGTATTGATTTATTATTTCTGCACCCTGGACCCTTCTTCCCCGCGGCGTCGGGCCTGCCGTTGCCATGGCGACGGGAGGGGGTTGGAAAGGGAGGGGGAAGGGGGTTAGGGGTAAGGCCCCCCGGGGCTGGGACGCTGGAACTCTAACCTAGCTCTCCAAACAGGAGACAGTACAGTGCGGTGGACGCCGCGCTGCCGCGCTATCTCGCCGACCGGAAGCCAGAGGCCGGAAGCGGCTCTGCGAGTACAGTGTACACGCCAAGATGGCTTCTCTCTGCGAAGCGGCCTGCGCTCTCTTTTCAACGAACGTTGCAGCTCTCTCTCTCTCTCTCTCTCTCTCTCTCTCTCTCTCTCTCTCTCTCTCTCTCTCGCTCTCGCCCGCGCCGAGACAGGCAGCCAAGACGACAAAGCCAAAGCCGGAGGAGAGGAGCGGGCGCTTACCTCTGCCACGCTGAGCCTGGAGGGCCTGGAGCCTGAAGCAAGGCCTGGAGCTGGATGGGGCTGGAGTAGGCTGGGCCTGCCTGGCCCATCCGCATTTGGGTCAACCCCCTCTCCCACTGCAGCGCGGCGCAGGCTCCAGCACGCATGCGCGCCGCTACCCTCTGGAGCCTCCAGCCGGCCGCTTCCGGAAAGTCGCTCTCTGTCGCACGAGTCCCGAGTCCCGCGCGGTGCGAGAGAGACGGGGCGACGCTCCTCGGAATGGATCGGCAGCCCGGAGCACTAGCGGAGCACCCAGCAGCCCTCGGCCGGAAACGGCTCGCCGGAACGCGGCACAGCAGACACATTCCGAAGCGGCGCCTCGTCGCTCTGTCTCTGTCGCACCCGTGGAGCGGCCCGCAGGCGCGCGCGGGAGAGAGGGAGAGAGAGAGAGAGAGAGAGAGAGAGAGAGAGAGAGAGAGAGAGAGAGAGAGAGGAGAGAGAGAGAGGAGAGGGAGAGAGGAGAGAGAGAGAGAGAGAGAGAGAGAGAGAGAGAGAGAGAGAGAGAGAGAGAGAGGAGAGAGAGAGAGAGAGAGAGAGAGAGAGAGAGAGAGAGAGAGAGAGACGGGGCGACGAAACGACTCTGCGGAATCGCTTGGCAGCTCGATCTGCTAGAAATGGGCGCGTCGCTGCTACGGCAAAGTCAACGTCAAATTCAACGTCAAAGTCAGCGTTGAATTCAACGTCAAAGTCAACGTCAAATTCAAGGACCCCAAGCACCGCGTCGACGAAAGGAGTAGAATGCCAGAGCACACATTGCACGTGTTTCATCCAGTATTTTTATTATTCACACCAAAAAGGATATTTCGACACACGTATTTTGCAGCCCCGGTCCGGACGCGATCGCGAGTAAGAAGGACGAGGACGATATGTTGGCTGTGGCTATTCGTGGGGTAGGAGCCTCTCAGCAAGGCAACAACAACAGAAAAAACTGATAATAAATATATGGAGAAATAAAAGAGATCGCTAGGACCAGGGCTGTCTATCTACATAGTTGCGTCCAAACCAACACTTTAGCATGGCGTGTGAGTGGGACAAGGATAGCAATGCACACAAAAGAACGTCCGAGACCAATGCAACGCTCTTCACAACACGACAACAAACTCTCAAAACGAAGGGATCAATGGGAGTAAAACACGAAAATTTCCAAGACGAAATGACCTTTGAACAGTACAGAAGGCAATTTTCGAAAGAGCAGTAACAAATTACAAAAAAAGTATCGAAATTAAGAAAGTCGTATACACAAAAACAGCGTACCTCGTTTACCATCGAGAGCAAAGTGTCGAGATTCGTGTAAAATGGTCACCGTGAATTCTATAACGATCAAGATGTATGCTTAGCCAGCAGCTTACACGATGTAAAACCAAATTCTCGCTAGCTACCACAATAGAAAATATTCAAAGACTATAAACAATAGTTATGCATCTCGTGATTAGTCAAGAAAACTTCTAGGATTCAGAACCAGTCTTAAAAAGTAAGAGATGGGCTTTTTTTTATTACATGTATATACCCTACTTCGTACAGCATACAAGGAAGATCTAAGCCCATTAAACAAGTAAATCACAAATAATTAGTCAGATCATCACACTCTGCAATCACAAACATATCCAAATGCGTTCTTCAGCCGCCTGCCGCGTTCTAACTGAGAGAAGCACAGAATATCGCCTTAAATTTCATGGTGTTCTCATGGGAAGGCGGGTAACTAGGTGATATCTCGAAACATCGGGTAAACGATCATCTCGAAATATCAAAACCCATGCATAAACTTTCTCAATCCATCGCACATAAATGGTTTTAAGGTTTGCCGAAGGCGGGAATCCACCCTCTACTTAAGATTAGTTTAGTGACAAAGAACGTCATGACAAACAAATTGAGCAAAACTAGGACTCCCCGAACAAATCATGACTCAATATTTACACACGAAATAACAGGGCTTTATTTAGATTCAATCTAATTTGATAGACTTTGTATACGAATAATATTAACCGCGCGAAAGAGATACAAGTCGTATACAATTGTTTATGGAGGGTACATTTAGTGTTTTGGCTAGTTTAGTCGAGGTTCCTACTATGATAAACAAACCGTAATGCGCTCCAGGGAAAGGACTTTGGCACAGCGCACTACGCTCTCAATTCACAAGGGGGCTTTTGCTCTACGGGCATACAGGCCGTTCAAGGCACCAGTTACTACACTACCACACGTTAAGTTTTCTTTCCAGGAAAAAAGTATAAGAAACCTGTGAGGGCTGTCTCGACGGGGAGACGAGGCAGCCACGCTGGCTAGAGGGCACGACACTGTAATACTGCTTTAGGCAAGATGTCTCTTCTGTCCTTTACTCTAAACTCTAGGGCGGCCCTCCTTAGAAGGCCGTGCCGCCGTCGTGTCTCTGGAAGGCGTGCGGCACCACGGGCTGGGAGGCCCACTTGCCCGCGGCGTTCATCACGTTCACGGCGTTCACGTTGCCCATGGCGTCGGCGGCGTAGGGCGGCGACACCACCGGTTCCGCCCCTGGCCGCGGCTGCTGCTGCCGCCTGCGTTGCGGCTGCTGCCTGTCCGCCCAGGCGCACTGTGGGTAGTCCGTGGAGCTGGTGACGGTGGGCGAGGCACCCCACCCCCCGTCGGCCTGCGTGCCCTGCGTGGCGTGCGTGGCCTGCGTGCTGGGGGGTCGGTATTGCGTCTGCAGCTGATGTTGTTGTTGGTGCTGCTGTTGTTGGCCATACGAGAAGCCCCATCCCTCATGTCGGGCCTGGTCGGCCTGGCTCACATGCAGGGCGTGGGGGCCTTGGGGCCCGGGGGGCATCTGGACCGCGTGTCGCTGCGACGGCTGCGCCTGAGAGGGCTGGGGCTGCTGCGGCTGCTGGGGATGCTGGGGATGCTGAGGCGGCCCCTGAGGCACGGCGTGGGGCGTAGTGTGGGGAACGGCGTGGGGCACAGCGTGAGGCGTTGCGTGGGGAGCGGCGTGGGGAGCGGCGTGGGGAGCGGCGTGGGGAGCGGCGTGGGGAGCGGCGTGAGGCGAGACGTGGGGAGCGGCGTGAGGCGTGGTGTGCGGCGCCGCGTGGGGAACGGCGTGTGGCCCAGCGTGGGGTGCCGCGTGGTGAACGGTGTGAGGCGTGGCGTGGGGAGTAGCGTGGGGTGCAGTGTTGGGCGAGGCGTGGGGTGCGGTGTGGGGTGCGGCGTGGGGTGCGGCGTGGGGCGTGGCATGGGGCGAGGCGTGGGGTGCCCCGTGGTGAACGGTGTGAGACGTGGCGTGGGAAGTAGCGTGGGGCGAGGCGTGGGGCGCGGCGTGGGGCGCGGCGTGGGGTGCGGCGTGGGGCGAGGCGTGGGGTGCGGCGTGGGGTGCCCCGTGGTGAACGGTGTGAGGCGTGGCGTGGGACGCAGCGTTGGGCGCAGGGTGGGGCGCGGCGTGGGGCCCTGTGGGGGGCCAGGCGCTGGCCGGGAAGGTTGGAGTGGGTTGCACGGGCTGCTGGTGCTGCTGCTGTTGCTGGGGACGGTACCACGCCGACATCTGCTGCTGCTGCTGCTGGTGGCCCTGGTGGCCCTGGTGGCTCCAATCCGCGTGGTAGTCGGCGGGGTAGTTCCGGTAGTAGCCAGCAGAGTCGGAGTGGAAGTCGGGCGTGGACCAGCCGGCCCCGGTCGCCGCCCCGTTGCCCCACTGCTGCCACCGCTGCACCGCGGGGCTGGGCGCGGGAGGCGGCACGGGGGGCGGCGCGGCCACGGGGGTGGCCGAGGGGGTGGGCACGGCAGCGGGGGTGGGCGCTGGCGCGGGGGCAGGCGCGGGGGCGGTGGAGGGCGCGGGGTAGTTGGCGTACGCGTCTTCTCCCCATCCGTATCCCGGCCTGGTGTAGCCGCCCCTGTTGTCGTATCGGCCGTATTGTCCGTACTGCTGCTGCTGGGCATGCTGCTGGACATGCTGCTGCTGCTGTTGAGGCACATGCGGTCGCTGTTGTGGCTGTTGCTGGTGGTGTGGCTGTTGTTGTTGTTGTTGCTGTTGTTGGTGCTGTGGTTGCTGCTGCTGCTGGCCGAAGCTGGGCCTCCGCTGCGGGTAGGCCGCGGGGTCGCAGTAGCCGCCTGGGCCGTAGTCGGCGTAGGCTTTGTAGCGCTGCTCCTCGTGGTAGTAGCCGTAGCCAGGCATACTGGCTTGGTAGGCGGCGGTGCAGGACGGCGTGGCCGCGGCCGGTGGCGCGGCGGCTGGCGTCGAGACTTGGGCCTGCGCGGCGTGCGCGGCGTGCGGCCGGTTCGCCGCCGTGAGGTTGCTGGTGGCGTCCGTCTGCCGGTCGCACGGGGACCACACCTCCGGCAAGCCCGCGGGCACGCCCATGGGGGTCCTGACGGGGGTGAAGGCCCCCATCTCCACGGGGTAGTACGTCAGGTCCTCGGCGTGCGGGCGGTGGTGCTCGGGGCCGGGCGGCGCCCTGGAGACCGCCATTCCCGACATCGCCGTCGCGTCCATGGCCGTGCACGCCGGGGTGCGCGGCGGCGTGTCGCGCTGCGTGCTATCGGGCAGGGCCGTGGACAGCTTGTGGGCGACGCCGGCCTCAAGCTCCATCTGCGCGCTGGGTCTCCTGCGGAGTGAGCGAGGGATGTCAGTGCGTGTCCTCGTCGTGCACCCCCAGCTCACACTGGACGCTGCACAGTGGGCCAGAAAACCGGCGGAGGCGGACAAAACTCTCGACGCGTTTTGAGCTCCACAGTCGCTAAATGGGACTCGAACCGAACGTGTGACCCTACTAATGGATTGCTCTCCGAACGAGGAATCCATTGGTGGGGTCACACGTTCGAGTCCTGTTTAGCGACTCTGGAGCTCAAAACGCGTCCAGAGTTTTGGCCGCCTCTTCCGGTCTTCTGGCCCACTGTGCGCTGGCGGCCTTACCTGGCCTTGCCGCCCTCACCGGCCTTGGCGCTGCGCTTCCTCGGCGGCTGCCCCTCCACGTTCTTCTTGGCGGCAGGCTTCCGCTTGGCGGCCGGCCTGCAAACAGAGCGAGCAGAGCACACCGACGGTCAGCCTCCCGTGTCTGGAAACAGCGACATGGGCCCACTTTGAGCGACCATCCTGTCCAAGCTCGCTAATCAATCGTGCTCCCTCTACGGGACCTTCCTTTTGTATGCCCTTGTGAAGGTATGCGATCAACCACCTCGGTTTCGCAGCAGTATTGCCGCGGAGTTGACGGAAACGACGACGAATGTCTGGAAATTGTGATTAGAGTAGGGCCGACTCGATGGAGCCGCCACTGCGTCCAAACTAGCATGTCAGGTCTTTGGATCAATTAATGAATCGATTACTATTGAATATCTAAAAATACATGTGAGTGTTGAGACTATGAATCTACCAGTATGATGTCACAGAAAAGTTCCGGACGTGAATATCCCTGCGCGCACAGAGAATATCTGGAGTGGATTCCTCCTCGTCGTACTCACTTTGGCGGCTGCCCGTCCGTCCGCACTAGCCGGGGCCGGCCCCGCCCCCTCTTGGGGGGAGGGCTGGGCGTGGAGTCGGCCTCGGCGGGCGTGGCAGGGCTGGGGGCCACGGGGGCCGCGGGGGCCGCGGGGCCGCGGGGGCCGCGAGGGGCGCGGTGGCGGGGGGCGGCACGGCAGGGGGGATGGCCACCTCCGAGTCCACCGAGCCCTCGACGTAGACCCGGCTCTTGTCGGCGCGGTCCGCCGCGCTGGCCTGCTTCGCCTGCTTGCCGCCCTCCTTGACGACGTTGCCGACGGCCTCCGGCAAGGCCAGGGGGCCGCGGAAGTCCGGCAGGCTGGCGGGGCTGGCGGGGCTGGCGGCACGAGCAAAACAACTTAACAAAACTTTGCGCGCTCTGCACTTCGGCGGCCAAGGCGACCCGAAGGCACACTGGGGGGTACCTCGGCTGTTCGGCGGGTTTCGGTGAGGCCTCCGATCGCTTCGAAGGGCCCGGGTCCTCGTTGATGCTCTTCCGCGACCTTGACCTCTTCCTCGACCTTGACCTCTTGACCTTGGGTCGAGAGCCCCCGCTTTTTCTGCTGCTGCCCACACTGCCGGTAATCGCACTGGGGGTTTCATTCGCGGAACTAACTACTTCTGATTGGTCTAGTAAGTCTCCAGTATTTGAAGAAGATACCCTGTCGGATAGGATTGGTCACCAGGATTAATATTCAGTTTCGTATACGACACGAATGCAAGGTCCGACTAGAGACTGGACAAACCTAATTTCAGTGCTTTGGTCGGAGCCATCAGTCTCTGGTTTACTCGTTCCCTGCGTCGGTTCGAGTCTACTCGGTAGTGCCACTGGAGAAACACGTTCAACGGTCGTCCTGGAATCAAATAGAAATGTCAACAACCTGTTACAAAAAAAAATCGCTAACAAAAATAAATTAGCCTCCTTGTTGTTTGGCCTAACCTGTTGGTGGTTACGTCCATTTCGTCGGACTTGGTTCGCGTCCGCGTGCACGCCCGGGGCGCGGCCCTCCTCAACTCCGTGGCCGTCGTGGCCGCCGAGGCCGCCGAGGCCGCCGAGGCCGCCGACGGGGCGCGCTGTCGGCGTCGCAGGCCGGGCTGCAGGACACAGAAGCCAAACGCTCAAGTAAGACGCAGAGAGCAGGCAAAACGACAGCTCAAATCGCGGAACACTCACCCTCGAGGAGATGAAGGGCTGGCCGTCTTCGACGTCCTTGGCGGCGGTGTTGGCGACGTCGGGAGCCTCGTGGGCCTCGCATCCGGACGCCGCGTCCGCCCGGGGAGAGCCCACCTGCTCCAGCATGCTGTTGATGGTGTTGTCGAGGTCGGGGCTGGGCTTGGGGCTAGGCTTGGGACTGGACTTGGGGCTGGGCTTCGGACTGTCTTTGGGGCTGGTTTTGGGACTCGATTTGAGCACTGTCGCGAGGCAAGAGAGCGGAATGTCTTCGGAGGTCGAGTCGAAATCGTCCGGGAAGATGCTTTCGGGGCTGGCCTTGAGGACTTCCGAGCACTCCAGGGGGATTTCCTCGCAGTCGGCGTGAGGCTCCACCCCGGGACTGACCTCCGCGCCTCCCAGGCTGTCCTTTGGGGCTGCCTGCGGGCTGCCCTTCGAGGTGTAGTAGCTCTCCTTGGAGCTCTCCTCCGGGCTGTCCTTCGAGCCCTCCTTCGGGCTTACTGCGGGGCTCTCCTTGGGCGTCACCGCAGGGCTCTCCAGGCGGCTTTCCGCTTCGTCCCCAGGCCATTTGGCCGGGCTCTCCTCCGCCTTGCAGCCCTCCTCGACGCCGTCCTTCGTGGCCTCCTCAAGGCGCGCCCCGGGGCACCCCTGGGAGGCGTCCCTCGAGCCGGCCTCGGGGCACCGACTGGCCTTGGCCGACGGGCAGGCCTTCGGGGTCCCCTCCAGGGCGGGCCTGTCCGCCTCCGTGACGGGCAGCACGGGCGTGGTGGCACCTGCAGACACGAGTGGCGTGAGAAAGGGCCTACACACAGTGGGCCAGAAGACCGGTGAAGGTTGACAAAATTCTGGACGCGTTTTGAGCTCTAGAGTCGCTAAGTGGGACTCGAACCGAACGTAAGACCCCACCAATGGATTGCTCTCCGAACGAGGAATCCATTGGTGGGGTCACACGTTCGGTTCGAGTCCTGCATAGCGACTCTGGAACTCAAAACGCGTCCAGAGTTTTGTCCGCCTCCACCGGTCTTCTGGCGCACCGTGCCACACCGGCAGCAACACGTAGCGCGTCCTTCCAGACGGGTGCAGTGCAGTGTACTCACTGGCGCGGCGCTCCTCGACGCTCTTGCGCGTGACGCGGCCAACCTTCCGCAGGCCGACGGCCACGTGGTTGGCGTCTGCCGCGTCCGTGGCGTCCGCCGCGTCCGCCGCGCGCAGCAGCTGCGCCACCCACACGTGCGGCCTGGCCAGGAACTCGTCCTCCGCGAGGACGCGGTCCACGGGGCGCGGCCCGAAGCCGTCCGGCAGAACGGCCGCCACCAGGGTCGCCGTCGCACCTGCAGGGACAGAGCGGTTCACGTCAGAGTCAAGTAACGGTGTTTTGTGTCCAGCCCCAGAGGGCTGCTTGCGAACGGCGCGGCGTGGCTCGTCGCTCTGTGTCTCTCAGCCCTTCGGGACGACACACAAGTGTGAGAGTGACGAGAGACGGAGCGACGAAAGCACTGCTAGGTATGAGGCCGCGCCCCTGTGATGCGCAGCATAGGCCAGCCCGCCGAGCTCGGCTGTCGTGCGGGACTGTCTCTTCCCTCTCTCGGGGGCTTCGCGGTGGTGGCGGCACCGAGGCACAGTGGGCCAGGAGAGGCACAGTGGGCCAGGAGAGGCACAGTGGGCCAGGAGAGGCACAGTGGGCCAGAAGACCGGTGGAGGCGGTCAAAATCCAGGACGCGTTTTGAGCTCCACCGCCAAACAGGGCTCGAATCAAACGTGTGACCCCACCAATGGATTGCTCTCCGAACGAGGAATCCATTGGTGGGGTCACACGCTCGGTTCGAGTCCTGTTGAGCGACTCTGGAGCTCAAAACGCGTCTGGGGTTTTGGCCGCCTCCACCGGTCTTCTGGCCCACTAAGCGAGGGCGGCACTAAAGCTCAGCACTGACCCGACAGCCTGACGGCCTTGGTGACGATGGTGCAGACGTTGCGGTGGCGGCTGAACAGGTGTCGCAGTGTGGCGGTGAAGCTGGTCTCGGCCTCGTCGCCGGGGGCGTCCCGGCAGTCCCGGCGGCACGTCAGGCACAGCCACCGCGGCGGCCCGTCGCCCTCCAGCTCCACGGCCTTGTACGCGTAGTCCAACGGGGCGGCGGCGTGGCCCGAGTCCTCCCCCTCCAGGCGCCTCTCGGCAGAACTGCAGCAACACGTCGGTGAAAAAACGTTCGCGTCGCTGCGCTGACCTGGACCCACACTATAAACAGAACACTCACTCGGTGTGGCCGAGGACCTTGTTGACGCAGTCCAGCAGGAACCTGACCCTGGTCCTGATGGCGGCCTCCTCGTTCTCGTCGGCCACGTGCAGGCCGTGCAGGCCGTGCAGGCCGTGAAGGCCGTCCTCCTGCTTGGCCTCGGACGAGGGCCTCCGCGGCGACGACCTGGCCTTGGCTTTGCCCATCTTGTCGGCGTCGGGGCTCTGGCCCTTGTCGGACATGGGCTTCTTGGAGCGCTTGCGGTAGTCGCCCTTGCACCAGGAGCTCACCTTCCGGTACGGCCTGCCCTTGGACTTGGACTTGGACTTGGCCTTACCCGGCGTCTTGATTTCTGGAAGCAAGCAAGGCGAGCGTCAATCAAGCCGAAGACGAAGTTTCCCTAACAGTGTGCCCCATTCCCCCTCGCACGGAGGGCTCCGCTGCGTTCCGCGACCTTACGCCAGGCCCCGCGGAACGCACCTATATGACTTTAGCCTGGTGGAGTCCCATACGGTGCGCGGATTTTTTTCTTTAGCCCAGATAAGTGAAAGAGCGATGGGTTGGTGTAGAGGACGGCTTAGTTTGCACAGATCCAGCTTGTTTGCAGTGTACCTGCGCACCGCGCGCCCCGTTGAGGCGGCAGGCAGGCAGGCAGGCGGCCCGGAGACGCACAAACAGGTGGTTAATAAATCCCAACTGTCTCGGGAAGGGAAGGGCCACATTGGTGGGCACATCGGCGAGCCGCCCTGGTGGGGCGTGGGGGTGGCGGTGGGGGGGGGTGGCGGGGGAACAGGGCGGGTCGTCCACCGCGCGGCCAGGACAACAAGAACACTCGCGGCCAGCCGAGCGAGCCGAGCGATTCAGAGGAGTCGTTTCGTCGCTCTGTCTCTCTCGCACTCATGGGGCTCTCCGCAAAGGTGCGAGAGAGATAGAGCGACAGAGCTATCTTGTGAGTCACTCGGCAGACGCCGACACCAAAAAGGCTTCGCAGTGCGCAGCATGGCGTAGCATGGCGCAGCATTGCGCCACTTCTGTCGCCCTCCCTCCCCGGCGGTCCCGGGTTCGAATCCCGGACCGAGGTTTCCTCTTTCCGTCGCTCAGCGTGCGCTGCGTGCCGCTTCGACGCACTTCCGCGAGGCCCGGCGGCCCGGCCGGCCGGGGGGGCGTGGCCTGCGCGGGTTCGACTCCCGGCGACTGCGGCCGTTTCGGCGTCGCCTGGGCCTCCCTCGGCTCTCCGACGTCGCCGAGGTCCCCGACTCACCCGTCGTCTCCTGGGGCGCCGCCGTCAGCTCGAGGAGCACCTTGCGCTTCCGGTCGGCGCCGCCGTCGCTGGCTTCACTGTCGCCGTCAACGTCGTCCGCGGGCCGAGTGCCCATGGCGTCCACCAGGACGTCGTCGCCTACAAGCCCGCCACCGTCGACGGAGTCCCCGAGGTGGGCCGCGGTCAGACAGACGGCCAGACACACAGACAGACAGACAGACGGGCAGGAAGGGACGGACGCGGAAGCGGAGCGGATCGGGATGCCTCCACAGCCAGGCCCTGCAAGGCCTGCAAGCACACTGCGCGCTACGCCGCTGCTACGCCGCGCTTCGCCGGGGGCTGGGGGCGGGGGGCCGGGGGCGGGGGGCTGGGGCCGCGCTCGGCCAGACGGGAGGGACGCGAACGAAGCGAACGCGGAGGCTGGGGCCGAGCCGAGGCCGGGCCGAGCCTGGAGCCGAGGCTGGGGCCATCGCTCATGCGCCGCGCGGCGGCCCCCGCCCCCCACCACCCCGCCGCTCTCGCCGCCGCCGCCCCCCGCCACCTCCGCCGCCCCCCGCCACCCCCGAGCATCCCCTACTGGCACTTGATCCCCCACCCCCAACTCCATGCGCCCCTGTACCTGGATGCCGCCAGTCGAGCCGCTGTCGTGTCGCTTGTTGTTGTTGCTGTTGGTAGTGGTGGTCGTGTTGGTTGTTGCTAGGGCGGTTGCTGATTAAATGATACGCCGCGCGCACAGCCGCCTTCGTGTTGCCGTCGTACTTTGCTGTTAAGAACCCTCTTTGCTGCCGTCAGCCAGCTACGCAATACCAGGGCTATCCCGTCGGCTATCCCATTGCTGGAACTCGCTGGAACTGGAACGTACTGGCTCGCGCTTCAGAGCTACCCCTCGGCCTGTCTGTGGGTCTGTCTGTCTGTCTGCCTGTCTGTCTGTTTGTTTGTTTGTCTGTCTGTTTGTTTGTCCGCGTGCGAGTGCGCCCAGCGTGTTTTGTGCTTGCTGACAGACCGGCCTGGCGGCCTGGCCGACTGGCCAACCCCCTCGGACACAACGACCCGTGTAACAATGATTGAGTCGTTTTGTTTGCTCGTCTCCCTTTATTTCCTTCCACTAGTCCTTTTATTTTCCAGGCACCAGTCCCAGCAGCGGCGCTTCGTCCCCCCACCCCCCCGGGGGGTTCACACGCCAATGATTGCAAAGTCATAGGGGACGATCACAAACACATGCACGGACGCACCGACACACGGACAGACACGCACAAAGCCTCCACACCGCCACCCCGTCTCATCCCACATCCCTGAACGATCCCGGTGCTGCCCCTCCCCTCCGGCCCTCCCCGCCGTCGAAGCCAGCAGGCGGGTCCAGCCCGACGAAGGGGGTGGGAAAGCGGGCAGAGAGGAGGAAACAAGGCCAGGAAACAGGAACTGGGAAGAGGGAGAGAGAGAGAGGAGGGGGGTAGAAAATATGGTTGTCATAGGAACAAACCAAGCGGAATGAAATGAAAGGAATCAATAAAACATGCTGGAGTCTATGTTGCAGGAAATTGCGCGCAGAAATCTCTCTCCCTCTCTCTTTCTCTCTCTTCCGCCTTCAGCGACGACGGGACGGAGCAGCGTTTCTGGCATGCTGGCATTCTGGAGCCCTTTCCCCCTCCAGCCCCTTCTACTCCCTCGCCCCCTGCGACTCCGCCACGCTGTCTGGCCGTGACTCGCCGCGCCGGGGCGCCGTCGGCCTGTCTCGCTCGCGCCCATGCGCGGCTATGCGCGGTCCCCCGTCAGTGCGAGAGAGACGGCGAGGCCTTCCGCAGCCCCTCGCCCCTCGGGGTGGGGCTGCAGCGCGAAGCAGGGGCCCTCGCCGCTCTCTCTCTCTCTCTCTCTCTCTCTCTCTCTCTCGCTCGCTCTCTCTCTCTCTCTCTCTTCTCTCCCCCACGACAGCTTCAGCTTCAGGTGTCTGGTACAGTAGACCGATTCCGCGAGTCGTTTTCGTCGCTCTGTCTCTCTCGCTCTCATGAAGCGGTCCGTGTCGGCGCGAGAGGGACAGAGCGACGACTCAGTGTGCTGGTACAGAGCGCTGGAAGGAGAGCAACGGGGGGAGTCTCGCGCCGCACCGTCTTGCTCGTTCAACGACTCGGAAGAATCGTTTAATCCTCAAAGCGCCTTCCAGTGCCTTTCCAGTGCCTTCGAGCGGCCGTGCGCTTGTTTTGTTCCGCCCGTTTTCGTCCTTGTTGTTGTTTTTATCCCGCCTTTTAAACAACTCATCCCTCGCGGATCCCGGCAGAGGCGATATTCCTGCAGGGATATTATTTCGACCCCCACCTCCTTCTTCTCCTCCTCCTCCTCCCCCTTCTCATCTCCTTCCTCTCTTTCTCCTCCTCCTCCTCCTCCTCCTCTTCCTCCTCCTCCTCCTCCTCCTCCTCCTCTCTCCTCCTCCTCCTCCTCCTCCTCCTCCTCCTCCTCCTCCTCCTCCTCCTCCTCCTCCCCCACCATCACCCCGCCTCTTCTTAAGGCTCGGGCGGCCCACCCTAAGGCCCCTGCAGACTGACTCCGAAGAGTCGCTCTGTCTCTGTCGCTCTCAGAGGGCGTCCCGCAGGGGTGCGCGCTGCGAGAGAGAGAGAGAGAGAGAGAGAGAGAGAGAGAGAGAGAGAGAGAGAGAGAGAGAGAGAGAGAGAGAGAGAGAGAGAGAGAGAGGGCGACGAAACGACTCCTCGGCATTGCTCGGCAGGTCAGACTGCGCCCCGCGGAGTGCAGGAAAATAAAATTAACCCGCTAATTGAAAGAGACGCAGACGGTGGCACTGAAAAGACGCGGAGAGCTGGAGAGGGAGAGAGAGGGAGAGAGAGAGAGAGAGAGAGAGAGAGAGAGAGAGAGAGAGAGAGAGAGAGAGAGAGAGAGAGAGAGAGAGAGAGACGGGGCGAGGAGGAGGGGGATCGATCTCGGAAGGGAGACGCGGATAGCGATGGAGAGCCACACACTCACAGACTCACAGAGCAGAGTGGACATGGCGGACTCAGGCCTCACCGTGTACACCGCCGTGTAGTGGGGCGCGGCGGAGGCGACCAGTTGCAGAGACAACTCGCTAAACTCGACTCGTTTCGAGCTGGGACTCGAAAACGACTCGAGTCGAACACGAGGGGTCGGCAACTCATATATTACTTCGTACGCGGTGGCTATATTACCCGTATATTACCATATATTACTTGCATATTACCACAATTTCGCCTCTATAATACCCCTATATTACTATATATTACTTGGTATTACTTTATATTACACATATATTACCTATATTACTGGTAATATAGGTATACTCCCTCGTACACGGCCAAGGGAAGTTGCCGACCCCTCGGTCGAACATCCAACATGCAACATGTAAGAGCAGCAATGGCAACACCACTGGCAAATGCGTCCGGTAAACCCCTCTCGACCGGGGAACGAAACCCCTCTCGACCGGGGAACGAAACCCCTCTCGACCGGGGAACGAAACCCCTCTCGACCGGGGAACGAAACCCACCCAGTCTCGCACCGCGCGACGCACTGCGTGTTCGCGTTCGCCATGGTAATGAGAGATAAATCTAAGCTCCGTCTCTCTCGCACCCCTACGCAACGCCCCGCGAGTGCGAGAGAGACGGAGTGACGAAACTGTTTGGAAACAGGCCGTAGGGCCGCGCCTCTGGAGACCAGCAATCACGGAGCTTGTGTGCGAAGCGCGCGGGGCGCCCCACGGTGTTACGGTGTGTGTCACTGGTGGACGGACGGACGGACGGACGGACGGACGGACGGTCAGACAGACGGACAGACAGACAGACAGACAGACAGACAGACAGACGGACAGACAGACAGACAGACAGACGGACAGACAGACAGACGGACAGACAGACAGACAGACAGACAGACAGACGGACGGACGGGCGGACAGTCAGACAGACAGGCAGACGGACGGACGGGCGGACAGTCAGACAGACGCAGTCATGGTGATAATTATCGCCGTATTCGACTTTTGGGCGGACAAAGGACAAAGCGTGCGAAACGAGGAAAAGGACACAATGAGCTCGCCGTGCCGCGCCGTGCCGCGCTGGCGCGTTCATAATGTCCATACTGCATTGCGATCGGCGTGCCCCGCCCTGCCCCGCCCTGCCCGGCCGTCGGCGGGGAGCTTATTTTCATTTTGCGCAGCGAGGGCTCAGCCACTGGCCTTCCTGCCCCGCAGTACACTGTACACAGCCGCGCACGACTGCACGGCATTTCGGATATCAAGTGACAATGTTCATGGCGGATGCTCGGCGTCAAGTGGAAGGGGTGCGGGGCGGCCAGGGGCGGCCCTGGCCCGGCCGGCGTCGCCATGGTAACGGGGTCCTTGTCGGCGAGCGGCGACGCGGCGGCGCGGCGCGGCCCCCCGGGGCCACTCCGGCGGCTCCGTCGCACTCCGTCGACGGCGCGATGGCCGCCACGGGGGCCACGGGGCTCGACAGCGCCCCGACGGCGGGCCACTGGGAGTGGGACGACAATGAACGCGGCATCAGGCTGCTGGGGTGAGCGCTGGGCGCGCTGCTGGTCGCCGCGTCGCTCTGTCTCTCTCTCTCCAGCGCGGAACGCCCCACAGTGGGCCAGAAGACCGGTAGGGGCGGCCAAAACTCCGGACGTGTTTTGAGCTCCAGAGTCGCTAAATAGGACTCGAACCGAACGTGTGACCCCACCAATGGATCGCTCGTTCGAAGAGCAATCCATTGGTGGGGTCACACGTTCGGTTCGAACCTCATTTAGCGACTCTGGAGCTCAAAACGCGTCTAGAGTTTTGGCCGCCTCCACCGGTCTTCTGGCCCACTGTGCGCCCCGTGCGACTGAGAGAGACAGGGCGATCAAGGCGCTATTCGGGATCGCTCTGGAGATCACAGAATGGCCGCCGCAGACCGCGGTTCCAAGCCGCACAGGGCGCCGTCGCTCTGTCTCTATCGCGCGGTGCCGCGAGTGCGAGGGAGAGGGAGGGAGAGGGCGACCACACAGTGGGCCAGAAGACCGGTGGAGGCGGTCAAAACCCCTGACGCGTTTTGAGCTCCAGAGTCGCTAAATGGGACTCGAACCGAACGTGTGACCCCATCAATGAATTGTTCTTCGAGCGAGGAATCCATTGGTGGGGTCACACGCCCGGTTCGAGTCCTGCTTGGCGACTCTGGAGCTCAAAACGCGACTAGAGTCTTGGCCGCCTGCGCCGGTCGTCTGGCCCACTGTGCACCACCGTGTTACGTGATAAGCGGACTGGCCGGGCTTGGCCGCGCTTTGCCGGGACGGTCCTCATTCAAAGTTTGCGGCTTCCCCCGCCTCGGCCACACCGCCACGCTGCCACGCTCCATTGAGCGCCGCGCCTGCTCCTCGCCGACTAGACTGTGGGGCCCAGGCAGAGGCAGGCCCGTGGGGCCGGCGCGGCTTGGCTTGGGGTGCCCTGCCGGGCCCTGCCAGGCCCTGCCAGGCCCGGGCCCTCGACCTGTTGCTGCCGAAGTATCGGCGCGGGCAGCGCGCGACACCTCGCACCGCTTCAGGCCACTTCACCACTCGAGCTAATCTTGGCCTTCGCTTCGCCGCTTCACAAAATTTGGTTGTGAACTTCGCCACCTCTTATGGGCGGTATACACTTTACCACCACCGTACACTTCATCGCCGCTTGGTTTACACTTCACCTTCACATCATGCGCACTTCACCTTCACATCATCTGAACTTCACCTTGACATCATCCGTACTTCACCTTTTCATCATCCGCACTTCACCTTGACATCACCTGCACAACTCCTTGACATCATCCGCACTCCACCTTCCCACCATCCGCACTTCTCCTTGACATCATCCGCACTCCACCTTCCCACCATCCGCACTTCTCCTTGACATCATCCGCACTTCACCTGTACACCATCTGCGCTTTGGTGTTCCACTTCACCACACCCCATGTCGCACTTCACCACTGCGACGCTGCGCAGGCACGACGTGGACCCCCTGGCGGCGGCGCGGGCCGCGTCGCGCATGCAGCTGCAGGGCGCCTCGTGCCAGCTCGCCTACCTGGACGTCACCTTCCAGGACAGGGTGGACGCCAAGGACCAGGTCCGCTTCAAGCGCCACTGGCAGCGACGCGTGCAGCCCGGCGACCCGGACGTGGTGACGCTGCGCGACGTCAAGGACGTCGTGCTCTTCCAGGTACACTGTAGAGCGCCGTGCACCGTGAGCGGCCAGGGCCAGGAAGCCCTGGGCAAGCAGCAGCAGCTGGGCACCGGTACCCGCTGTACCCGCCAGCCCGCCCCGCCAGGCTCGGGCTGTGCTTCCCGTACCGCGTGCGTGCCGCGCTGGCCTGCCTCCCTGGCCCGACGGGGACGCGCGCGGACTGCTGCGGGCTGCTTCCGAGAGTCCTTTTCGTCGCTCTGTCTCTCTCGCACCCATACGGGACGCCCCACGAGTGCGAGAGAGACGGAGCGACGAACAGGACTCTCGGAAGCAGCCCGCAGCATCCGCCGAGTGGGGGGGCTTCGGGATACTTCGGCGTCGCTCGGCGTGCCCGACGTCGACCCCCTCCCCCCGCGCGGCACGCGAGATGGGAGATGACCCGATGCATCTATCTGTCTCTCACTATTTCCAGGCTGCATCCGATTGGCTGACGCACGACACAAAGGCGGCGGGGAGGGGGAGGGGGCGAGGGGCAACTCGGGGGGTGGTAACATGGTCGATAAATAACCTAACGGTTGTCACAGGGGGCGGGGAGAGGAGAGGGGTGCTCTCCGGGTCACTAGAAACTACTACCTCTGCTAAGCCGGAGCTAAGCGTGCTCGCGCCTCAGAACCCTTCGTCCTTCGGCCTCCTTGCCAAAGTCTGGTGTTTCTACTTTCCCCGGAAAAAAAAAAGTTTCAACAACAACAAGGCAGCGAGTTGCAGCTCTGCTAGCAGACTGATTCCGAGAGTCGTTTTCGTCGCTCTGTCTCTCTCGCCCCTATACGGGACGCCCCACGAGTGCGAGAGAGGCAGAGCCACGAAAACGACTCTCGGAATCAGTCTGCTGGGGTTGGTGGCGGCGTGCTCGTCATCACCTTTGTGTCCCGGCAATAGATTCGGCTGCACTCTGCCTGCTCGGGGACGCGCGTACACTCTCAGGTGGAAAGAGGGGGGGGGGCGGAGGGAGCAGACTGATTGCGAGGGTCGTTTTCAAAGCTGTCTCTCTCGCACTCACGGGGCGTCCCCTATGGGTGCGAGACAGACAGAGCGACGAAAACGACTCTCGGAATCAGTCTGCCCGCTGCAGCTGCAACTACGCGCGCGTCTGTGTTTGTTTAGCGCGTCCCGCTGTGATGCAGGGGCGGGCCGAATGATGCTCTGTGTACATTTCAAAATGGAGTCCGCACTCCCCTTTGTAGCGCCTGCGGTAGAAACCCCTGCGGGGGCCGAGGTAGGCAGACCCGGCCAACCTGCGGCCCCGGCGGGTGGCCTACCCGCACTTCTGCGGGCGCTCAGCCCTCTCAGCCCGGGCGGCCTGGGCCCCTCGCTGGTCCTGGAGCCCCAGCAGACTGATTCCGAGAGTCGTTCTCGTCGCTCCGTCTCTCTTGCACCAATACGGGATGCCCCAGGAGTGCGAGAGCGACAGAGCGACGGAAACGACTCTCGGAATCAGTCTGCAGGACGGCGGCTGGGTCCCCGAGGGCGCATTCGACGAACCAAACACGGTGAGGGGGAGGGGAGGGCGGTGAGGCGGGGCGAAGGGACAATTTGATTGATACAAAGGGGGTCGATATTTGATGTGCGCCGCACCGGAGAGGGGGAGGGGAGGGGGCGGCTCGCCCGTCCCGAACCCCGAACGCCGTCTCCAGTTAGTTACGGCCAATCACAGCCTCCCCGACGACGGGCCGGGGGCGGGGCGGGGGCGGGGCGGCGACTCTTTGTCGCTCCACGCCGTCAAGACCGTGCTCGCCGTGCTGCTGCAGGTCCAGCAGGGGCTGCCGGCAGACTTGTTGACGCTGTTCCACACGCGCCCGGTGGACCGCTTCCTCCGCACCCTCATCCTGTACTGCTTCTACTACATCCAGGTGGGGCGGCCCGCCAGACAAAGAGGCAAACAAACTCTAACTTCAGTGACTTGATTCCGACCGCCGTCCCTAGACGTGGGAGTGGATCACCTTCTCGTCGACCATCACGGAGAACATGATCCGCGAGCCGGGGCTGCGTCCGGGGCAGCTGCGGCAGCAGCGCAACCTGGCCACGCTGCGGGTGCTGCTGGCGAGGGACTACCACACGCTGCTCATGGGGGAGGGCGCGGCCTGGAAGCAAGTGCACCAAACACCACCAATATCTCAAACGAAAAAAAACACAAAAAAGCGCTTTCTCTGACGGGACTCGAACCCGCGACCCAGGTACCACCACATGTCCAACGGCGTGCAGTCCTGGTCGCAGCGCGACGCCCGCCTGTGGGAGCTGCTGCTGCGGCTGGCGGTGCGGGTCACGTGGGTGGCGCTGCAGCGGCGCTACCTCAACCTGGTGGACGCCGAGGTGGGCCGCCTCTTCCGCGGCGACGCCTTCAACCTGGCGGCGCGGCGCCAGAGCGGCAGCCGCCGGTCAGACTCGCACAAATACCACTCTTCAATTTAAAAAAAAAAAAAATAATAATAATTTTTTGAAAAAAAAAAAGAAAAAGTTTTTTGAACTTTTTAAACTGTTTTAAGAAACGTGTTTCGATTTTTTTTTTTTTTTTTGAAAATAACGTCTTTAGAAATTTTTTTGAAGGCTTTTTAAAATTAAATGTGCAGTATAAAAACCATTTTTTTTTTTGCAGTGGCTACAAGAGCCGGAGGCAGGTCCGCGACGTCCGCGAGGAGATCCTGCACGGCCCCGAGGACGGATCCGGCGGCTTCCTGAACCTCTTCGCCCAGTCGCCGGCCACCAGGGAGCTGCTGGGCCGACCAGGCCGACCCGGGGAGGAGCCGCACTGGACCCTCCTGGCGCTGGGCCGGCTAGAGTTGCCCTGGTACATCCGGAGTAGCGGCAAGTGTATGGCAAGCGGGGGCCACTCACAGTGGGCCAGAAGACCGGTAGGGGCGGCCAAAACTCCGGACGTGTTTTGAGCTCCAGAGTCGCTAAATAGGACTCGAACCGAACGTGTGACCCCACCAATGGATTGCTCGTTCGAAGAGCAATCCATTGGTGGGGTCACACGTTCGGTTCGAACCTCATTTAGCGACTCTGGAGCTCAAAACGCGCCTAGAGTTTTGGCCGCCTCCACCGGTCTTCTGGCCCACTGTGCCACTGTTCAAAACACACTGTCTTGTTGTTGACTAGGTTGGCCGAGTCGCTGCGGCGCGTCGAGGCGGCCTACACTCTGAGCGAGGAGCAGCTGGTCCGGGAGCACGCCTCGTACATCGGCATCATGGGCATGCCGCGCGGCCACCTCGACGTCATGCTCAACCTCAGGGACAAGCAGCGGCGCCACGAGCTGCTCTTCAGCCACGCCACTGGTCAGTCCCAGTTTTTACATTGCCGTTCCAGATCATTTCAAACCAATTTTTGATATAGATTTTACGTTAATTTTGAACACATTTCGATGAACTGCTGCCATGTTTTGATAAACTCCGCAGTTGGATTCTGAAGAAAAGTTTGAACTTTAACGGAACGCTTTGACTTTGGAGGAGTTTTGCCTAAAATTCAGGAACGCTCATGAGTTTTGGTCCACATAATGTTCGGAGTACTTTCTCCTTACAAGGGAACGTTTTCAGGTGTCAGGAGCCGATTGCTCCCGTACTTCGGGATCTTAAAGACCACCTTAAAAAAGAATTTTCGGCACCCACAGTTCGTGCTGAAAGTCACTACAACGCCCTAAAATGAAAGTTGAAAATTGACCAATTTTCATAAACTTGACCAAAAAATTTATCTTCAAAGAACGTCCATGAAAGCAGATGATTCTTAGTTCCCGACGAAAAAATTTAAGAGCAGAAATTACAATTTGCCATGGTAATTGTTTTAGTTTGAAAAGGTCTTATGAATTTTCCCAGCCTATTAAAAATTGAAAATGAAATAAATTGGATCAGAAGAGGCTTTCCAAGGACCCACAGCACCGTGCGGGACACCATTACCCCTGCCACACCGCAGGACCTCTGACCATCCGAGCCTATCCTTTCCTCGTTTCGTTGTTTTTGTTTTTGGGGGTGGAGCACAAATACCCCAGGACATCTCGCAAGTGCCCGCGCCCGCGTACAAGCTCAGTGGGGCTGGCTAGGAGGGTCATCGGAGACGGTGCTCGGAAGCGGCCTTCTGGCATTGCGAGAGACTCTGAAGAGGCAACTCGCTCGCTTGCCCTCGCTAGACTTAACGACATTGGGGAACTCACTAGGCGCAGACGAGCAAGTACGACAGTCGCACAAGAAGCTGGCTAGAGGCCCACTAGAAGTTTGGAGGCTCAACTGGAGCCAGGCACGCCTGACCTTTACACCCGAGGAGTCGCCACAGTCCCCAAAGGCTTGCCAGAGCAAGCGCCGACCCAGGCAAGGTGCACCAGGGATGAGTGAGCCACCCTCAGAAACAGAAACAAAGGAACGAGAAGAGGGTAGGAAAACAGGGATTCCGCAAGATCGTGCAGTTTGCGAAGTTGATTTCCTTTCTGTTCAGGTTTGACCAAACAGTGGTGGGGTGGATTTCGGTATAACCCGCGGTGGCAATGCCAACGGCCTAGTGGCCTAGCAACACTAGGAGTGACAACTCGAAGTGACACACGCACTTTCGCCGCGTGACCCGACTGACTGGCCACTGGCCGCCGTCCGACGGCTTGGCCAAAACGGGCCGGCCCTGACCTTGAACTTTCATTTTAGGGCGTTGTAGTGACTTTTAGCACGAACTGTGGGTGCCGAAAATTCTTTCTTGAAATGGTCTTTAAGATCCCAAAGTATAGGAGCAATCGGCTCCTGACACCTGAAAACGTTCCCGTGTTAGGCTGTCGTCTGAGACCTCATGCCTAGATTCAAATTTCAGTCCTGGAGATGAATTTCCCTTAAACCAGAAAAGTGACGTTGTGACTCTGCTGTCTCCGTCTCTCAGGCTCCAGCGTGGCACAGCAGTGTTCCGCTCTATTCCCAGCACATGACGAAACCAACTACGAACAGCCAGAACCAGAACCAGGGACCTTCCCGTATCCTTAGGTTTAATAGCGTTAAAAGAAATGGGTAAGTAACAGAATGAAATGCCAAGCTTGTTTCTTATATTTATCTTACACAATGTGTGGTGGTAGAAACATTGAAACTTTGAAATACCGGTACTGCACACTTCCATCTAGAATTCTGAAATGCTCATTTCTTCTTTGCAGATTGTACATCTCTAGCTTCTGATACCTGACAAAACCAAACAAACATACTCTTACTTCATGAGTGTTAGCAAACAAACCGAAAAGATCAAGACTTTCTAAACAATAAAATAAAAGGATTTACCTGACAATAATTCTCTTGCCTCTTCACTTTTCACAAAATATGGGCTGCAACTTTGTACAATATGAAAAACCTGCTTGTTTTTTACCTACAATTATGAAAAATCCGTCAGCTACAAGCAAAAAGTACTTCAGATATATGGTATTTACAATTCAAATAGAACTTACCACAGTGACTGTGAGTGTTGATGATGAATAATACTGGTTGCTACATTAGTCGCTGGGAGAGGCTTTCCCTCCTGCAAATACTTCCTTCTTGGTCGTCGAAATGAGTCCTTTCTTATAAGCAAAGATGCTGTCCTCAGAAACAGAAGGAGATTCATTGTCTTCATCAAGTTGCACTCCATTTCGAGAAGTATGCGTATCTTCAATTTGACGGGGCACAGCAACTTTGGTAAGATACCTTGGGAGCCCTTAAAGGATGAATGGTGGATTATCTTTAGCATATTATGGTCATGCAAGGTTGGTACAGTGTTTCAATTCGTTTCATTCAACCTACCTCTCCGTCTCGTCCAACAGAAGGAGTCCTTGGCTGAGAAGCAACTTTGCATCGGTGATGGGCTCTTAGACTGGAACTGAAAGCAACACAAACCCGTTGAGGGAAAATCTGACGCAAATGAATCAACGGAACTGCATTATTTAAATAGAACATCACACTTACCACATTGCAGGGGAGGAGAGGTACGAATAAGTTCCGCTTTCCTCACATTGTAAACTTTCATAGGATGAAGTGCTCAGAGGAAGCAGTATTTGCAGTTGTGCACACTGGTCACTCGACGGGCATTGCCACTGCGTTCTATCGAAATTTTGGCACATACGAACGGGATAGAGGGCGTTTTTACCCTGTGCGTGGAACGACTAACCTGTCGGGTATGCAGGAAGGAAAACAATGGAAATTTTTCCTTGATGTGATTTGAAATTTTCACATCCACCATGAAAGCAGTTCATCCGATGGACCATGACCATTTCTATTTCATCTCGAAGAATGTGAAGAACGCCCACAGAGAACAATTTTTTCATGTTGAGTTGTTGATCAACAAACCAAGAGTAGCAGTAGGACCCGCCAATAAAACTCTAGCCAACTTAACGTAGTTTGTGGCTCGTATTTGAAGAGTGTCATTCGAACCGGACCAGTCTATATCTTGAAGATCAGAAGATCCAACGGCTTTTCATCAGTTTTTAATGCAAATTCTTTGATAATCTGTGTAAACGTGCAGCAACTTTGTCAGTAATGTCCAGTTTGTCAGGTTGGTGTTTTGTTTGCACCATCGGTGTTTCGAGAGGCAACGAGTCGATTACTCGAAGCAAGCAGTCGACTAGTCCACTCGAGGTTTAGCGCGGGGAATTTGAAACGTGTGCAGCAGCAAACGCAGAGAAGTGAAGGATCTCTACTGGAGCTGAAATCTTTGCATGTGAGGCAACGACGCAACGAAAGCATGCTTTGCTTTGGAAGTGTTGTTCGATTGTGCGAGGGGGAGGGGGAAGTGATTGCTGGCGTGATCCTTATTCAAGTCATTTTGATCAAAGCAGCGCTATATCTTGGTGATTGAATCAGCGGCCTCCCGAGCTCTAGCCGAGGGTGGGACTGACGGGGGCAGGCCACCCCGAGGGCCACCCTGGGACCGTTTCTCGGACCAACTGAGCAGCCGGACAAGCCGGGCCGTGTGCCGCCACCTCTCCGAGTCCGTCTTGACTCGTTCCTCCTCCTCCTCCTCCTCCTCCTCCTCCTCCTCCTCCTCCTCCTCCTCCTCCTCCCCCTCCTCCTCCCCTCCTCCTCCTCCTCCTCCTCCTCCTCCTCCCCCTCCTCCTCCTCCTCCTCCTCCTCCTCCTCCTCCTCCTCCTCCTCCTCCTCCTCCTCCTCCTCCTCCTCCCCCCCCTCCTCCTCCTCCTCCTCCTCCTCCTCCCCCCCCTCCTCCTCCTCCTCCTCCTCCTCCTCCTCCTCCCCCCCCCTCCTCCTCCTCCTCCTCCTCCTCCTCCTCCTCCTCCTCCCCCCCCCTCCTCCTCCTCCTCCTCCTCCTCCTCCTCCTCCTCCACTTCTCCGGCCCTCCCCCCACCTCTCTCCGGTTCGCTCCTGCCTCGCTTTGCCTGCTCAATCTAAACATGGCCCCTCCGCCTCCCCCTCCCCCTCCACGAGAGCCCAGCAAGCCGGGCAAGCCGAGCAAGACGGACAAAGATGTGAAAGAGAAAGCTTTCTGCCTCTTCCTCTTTTTCCAGCCGGCCGCACCAAGCTCGCGCACCGCGTCGGCCGTGGCGGGGCACGGCGGGGCGGGGCGGGGCGGGGCGGGGTGACGGTGACAAGGAGGCGTACCGCCGTCGTACAGCATGGCCCTGACGGTGGGCTTCCCTGTCCTGGTGCACATATCACGTAACGATTCCAGGATCCAGGACGAGTCCAGGACGAGCCACCCCCTGCGGTTGGCGCGCGCCCCGCCCCGCCCCGCCTCGCCCCGCCCCGCCCCGCCCCACCGGCGCAACACTTACGCGGAACGCCTCGTGACGCATCGCGTGGAAAATCCGCGGGGACCCCAAACCAGCCGCCGGTCCGCCAGGATGCTTCAACTGCCTTGACTTACTTACGCCCAGCCAGCAGCCGGCGACCTCAATCAAGGCATAAACAAAGCGACTGACATCCGCGTCGGGCCCGGCCGTCGTGATGTCGCGATCGGAGCCTCCTCCAGTGTGCCGATCTTGCGCACACCCAGGCGGTGGGCTAGCCTGCCTGGATCCAAAAATTGACACTGGGTAGAGAAGGAGACTTTCGAGACTTCGTCGAAGGGAGGCAAGGCGCCGCGAAAGGATTGACGGCGTGCACGAGTGCAACTATCCTGGCCAGGATCAGGACGCGATATACAAGTCATTTGAGAGTGTTTCAGGCAGTGTGACTGGACAGGGCCTGGGGCACGGTGTACTGACGCATCCACGCCCTGGGCGGCCTGGCCCAGGGCTAGGCTGCTGCAGGCCGCTGCGGCCGGGCTTCGACGGGCAGGCCAACAGGCCGAGGGGCCGGCAGGGCAGTCGATAGCTGTCTTCACACGTAACCGACATCGGGGAATTTCTATGGTGATGTAACCCAAGCGCATAGCATGGTAAGGCCGGCCGGGTTTGATCCCCCCTCCAAACCGGAGGGGCGGGAGGGGGCCCTCTGCCCACGCCGCCGGGAAGGGGGCGGAGCGGCGGGGCGCGGGGCGGGGGGCGGCGCGGCGGGTGGGGTTCACTCTCCCTCTCGGTGAGGTGGTGGCGTTGTTCGGTGTGGAGCCCCGTGCAGACACGAGCCAGACGCGCGCCGACCCGCCCGGCGTAGACCCGCCCGGCGTAGACCTGCCCGTCGAAGTGCATCTCGTCCAGGTCGCCACCACCAGGCCGTCGCCACCAGGTCGCCGTCGAGGACCGCCGCACGGCCTGACTGTGAGTGTCACCGCGGGTCAACGAACGCGCACCCACGGCGCCGTCGTCAGGAACTTGTGGGTCTTCGTGTTGTCGAGGCCCTGGTCCTCTGAAGTCGTTGGCGGCCTGGTTCTCCAGCTCCGCGATAAGACTGCAGCGTCCCGTGCCGCCGTGCCGCCGCGCCGCTCCAGCGGCCACTCCACCGTAAGGTCCCGGGACCCGGCCGGGACGTGCCGACGGCAGCCGACGGCGAGGCTTTCCATGAGGCTTTCCAGCAGCGGCATGGTGGCGGCTCGTGTGACGTCTGGTTGGATTACGAGGAGCGCAGCGGCGCCACTTTGGCTTTTATCGGTCCTTGGCGGTCCTTGGTCCTGGCCCAGGCCGGGCATGCAGGTCTTGCCATCCGGCTGCGAGCCGCGCTGCGCCCGGCCGGCGCAACCCGCAGTCACCCGGCCTAGTCTGCTCCGGGCAGCCTCGGAACCAGCGTCTGACCCCACCAATGGATTCCTCGTTTGGAGAGCAATCCATTGGTGGGGTCACACGTTCGGTTCGAGTCTATCTTAGAGAGTCTGAACGCGTCTGGAGCTTCGGCCGCCTCTACCGGTCTTCTGGCAAAGCCGCTGTGCAGTGTGCCTCCGGCGTGCCCGGGGTGTCATCGCCGCTGGTCATTCCCTCCGCGTCGTGTTCCGTGTTTCCCGCTACACTGCATAGTCCTCGCGAATGGCTTTCACCCGTAGCCAAATCGGGTGGGTGGCGGCGACAGTGGCGGGGCGCGCGACAGTGTCCCCGTCCCTCTCCCTCTCTCTCTCTCTCTGTCTCTCTGTCACTCCGCTGGGCGACCCCGTAGGGGTGCGAGAGAGACGGAGCGACGCGGGCCGCCACCGCACGTATCTGCCCAAAACAGCGAGCACCCCGGCGAGGCACGGCGGCTCTCGGAGATTGCATCTCGAGGCGTGTTTCGGGGTTTCGTCACGTCGCGCACGCGGGGGCGGGGCGGGGCGGGGCGGGGCGGGGCGGGGCGGGGCGGGGCGGGGTGGGGTGGGGCAAGCGGTGTCCCGACTAGAGCATTAATTTGGCCAAACCGTTTCGGCTGAGCTCCGCACGAGGCGGGCTTCCTCATACTACCCAACGACTCGAGAAGAAAAATGTCCTCACTTCCTGACTGACTGTCCTTTTGGTGTGTTTTCCTTTCCAGGGACCGCCGCGGCGGCGTACCGAGATGCACCAGCGGCGAGCCGAGTCCGCGCCGAACCGAGCCGAGACTGAGCCGAGCCGAGCCGGGCCGGTCCGGTCCTGAGGCTGAGAGGCCCTCCGGGTCCCCGCTCCGGGACCCCTCGGCGAACCCGCAACCCGCAACCCGCAACCGGAAGTGAACGCAGTCCCACCGGAAGTGAGGAAGCGAAGACCGTCCGGACCGATGAGGACGAGGACGAGGGACTTTGAGTGAAAGTGAATTGTGAGTGTTTTGTGCGTGGGCGCTTCTGGATACGCGTCACCATGTGGAACTCGCCGGCCCGCTGCGTCGCAGGTGAGTCACCCAGAATTAAGGCAAGCCCGGTAAGCCGGCGTCAGACGGCCGGAACAAAATAAAAAAAATTCGGGCCCGAGCCCAATTTTTTTTCTTGTCTTTCGTATTTTGTTGAAGCCAGTGGCATCCTTCTGGAGCTACTTTCGGCCGGCGGATCCTTTAAGCGTGTGAAAAGCCATAAGGTTCAGAGCACGCACCGCACCTGGCCCCGCCCCGCCCTGCCCCGCGCTGTGAGAACAAGGCGCAAAGTGGAGTGGCTAGACATTCAAATTACCCCAGCCTTGCTGTGCCGGCTTGCCGGCGTTGCTGGCTTTCCACCAGTGGGAGGTTCGCCAGACTGGACTCCGCGCTGGAAGCTGCTGGAGCTGGAGCAAGCTGGAGCACGGCGCCCAAACGCCCCGCCGGTCTCTAACCGACCGACCGAGAGGTCTCTCTCTCTCTCTCTCTCTCTCTCTCTCTCTCTCTCTCTCTCTCTCTCTCGCATTCGCGGGGCGTTTCGGACTGGTGCGAGAGAGGCAGAGCGACAGAGCCCCCCGCGTTCGAATACATATATGGCATGGGTTCTCCGCGTTCTTAATCTCTCGGCCAAACTGCCACCGGGCCGAGGCGGCCGAGGCCGAGGAGTCAGGGAGACTGGAGGGACTTTGTGACGAGAGTGCACGCACTGCACGCACGGCCACCGAGTAGCTTCAGAAATAGTACTGGAAAATTAATTCTCCTCGTGTACTAGCCCTCTGACGCTCTCGCTGCCGCCCTGTGTTCAGTCAGTCCCTGCAGGGCATGCCCGGTGCCCGGTCAGTCTGGCTGCAGACTGATTCCGAGAGTCGTTTTCGTCGCTCTGTCTCTCTCACGCCTACAGGGACGCCGTAGGAGTGCGAGAGAGGCAGAGCGACGGAAACGGCTCTCGGAATCAGTCTGTTGGCCGGCCCGGAGCCGAGCCCGGAGCCAAGCCCGGAGCCAAGCCCGGAGCCAAGCCCGGAGCCAAGCCCGGAGCCAAGCCCGGAGCCAAGCCCGGAGCCAAGCCCGGAGCCAAGCCCGGAGCCAAGCCCGGAGCCAAGCCCGGAGCCAAGCCCGGAGCGCGGCGGTTGCCCAGAGGGCCTGGCCGGCCGAAGCCATTGTCTTCACTTCACACTCCCTTGCCATCATCCTGGCCTTGGGCTGCTTCAGGCCTCCAGGCTCTCCAGGCGTCTCCCGGAGCGCCGGCCGGCCTAGCCCGGAGTACTTTCCTTCTCCCAGACTCCGCGGGGCCCTCCCGTCCCGTCCAGGCCCACAGTGGGCCAGAAGACCGGCGGAGGCGGCCAAAACTCTAGACGCGTTCTGAGCTCCAGAGTCGCTAAATGGGACTCGAACCGAGCGTGTGACCCCACCAATGGATTCCTCGTTCGGAAAGCAATCCATTGGTGGGGCCACACGCTTGGTTCGAGCCCCATTTAGCGACTCTGGAGCTCAAAACGCGTCTAGAGTTTTGGCCGCCTCCACCGGTCTTCTGGCCCACTGTGCGGCCCGTCGGGGCACTCGGGGTCCCGAAGCACGGGCACGGCGGCGCACGGCCGCATCAGCTGACGCCCCGTCTTCCCCCTCCCCTCTTCCCCATTCACCTCCCCCTCCCCCCCCCCTCCCCCTTCACCTCGACTCCCGTTCGGGCGGGAGAATAATGATGATCGGCCTAATCGTAGCGATCAGGCGAACGCTTCCTAGCTTTCCACTCCACTCACTCACTTACCCACTCACTTAAGAAAAAATCAAAACAATTCTCTTTTATCTGATTGTGGCCTTTTGCCTGTCGCATTGCAAAGCCGATTCCACTGTTGTCATTCCGATTTTTCAGAATTGTTGAACAATTTCCATGTTTTTTTTTCAAAATGGGGGGAATAAAATATGTGGAGGAAGGAAACCTCCTCTCCATATTTTTTTTCATTTTAATCCATTTGCTTTTGTGGCTATAGGATTTTTTTTCCAAGTAGTCACACTCACCTTAGCGTGACTGAGTGGGGCGTGCAGTGACACGGAAAAGCGCTCTGCCTCGCGGTGCATCCCGTGTTCCGGAGGAAACTGCACGCACGCACACACGCATGTGGGCATGCACACACACACACACACACACACACACACACACACACGATGTGAGGATGACTCGGCGCGAGTGGCGTTACACGCGATGACACAAGCAGCATCGAGTGGCCAACGAGCCGCCCCGCCCCGCCCCGCCCCGCCCCGCGACCCACCCCACCCCGCCCCGCCCCGCCCTACCGGCCGACTGACCTCAACAACAGGGTGATCTTAACGTGCGCCCGGTCGCCGCGCGCGTTGTGCGGGAGGAAGACGAACCTTCACTTTCACCCGCCGCGCCCCGCCGCGCCCCGCCGCGCCCCGCCGCGCCCCGCCCCGCCGCGCCCCGCCGCGCCCCGCCCCGCCGCGCCCCGCCTCGCCCCGCCCCGCCCCGCAGCTCAGTTCGTGCGCGTCTTCTCCAAGGTTACCGACAACGACACCGCGCACACCCTCCGCAAGCCCACCTTCTCATCTCACAAGAAGTAGGTTTTGGAAGCCCCCAAAAAAAGCTTGTCAAAATGCGGTGAGAGTGTCGAACCTCTGAGAGGTAGAACTGTACCCTGCTTTGACAACGGAAGTCCAGTAGAACTCGACGGCCGACCCGAGGTTGAAAACTCGCTCTGGGAGCGGGTCCGTTCAAATGGCACATTAATCTGCAGACTGATTTCGAGGGCCGTCTTCGTCGCTCTGTCTCTCTCGCACTCATGGGGCGTCCCGTCTAGGTGCGAGAGAGACAGAGCGACGCAAACGACTCTCTGAATCGGTCCGCTGGTGTCGCAGAGAACCAGTGAGCGGCTGTGCTGCGCTGCACTTTGCCAAAACCGCGAGTCGTTTGGTGGCTGAGCCTTGCGCTCCGTTCCTTCTTGCGACGCACAGTGGGCCAGAAGACCGGTGGAGGCGGCCAAAACTCTAGACGCGTTTTGAGCTCGAACGTCGCTAAACAGGGCTCAAACCTAACGTGTGACCCCACCAATGGATTCCTCGTTCGGAGAGCAATCCATTGGTGGGGTGGGGTCACACGTTCGGTTCGAGTCCCATTTAGCGACTCTGGAGCTCAAAACGCGTCTAGAGTTTTGGCCGCCCCCACCGGTCTTCTGGCCCACTGTGCGACGGCCAGTCGGCCAGGCCGGGACGGCAGACGACAAATGTCACCGCCTTGTGTGGGCGTTGCGCCGCGCCGCGCCGCCTGCTGTCGCCGCGGACTCACAAAGGCGGTGCCCTGCCGGTGCCCTGCTTAACTGAACCTGCTTGACATTCGCGGCACACCACCACGGCGCCATGGTCGCACACGCCGAGGGAGTGGCCGGGCCCTGGGCCGGGCTGAGCCTTTGTATATCGGAGCGCCTCGCTCTCATTCTGAGTCCGGCTTTCCATCTCACTCTGTCTCTCTTCCGCCGCGCGGCTCGGCTCGTCGCGCAGTGGGCCAGAAGACCGGCACAGGCGGCCAAAACTCTAGACGCGTTTTGAGCTCCAGAGTCGCTAAATAGGACTCGAACCGAACGTGTGACCCCACCAATGGATTCCTCGTTCGGAGAGCAATCCATTGATGGGGCCGCACGTCCGGTTCGAGCTCTCTTTAGTGACTCTGGAGCTCAAAACGCGTCTAGTGTTTTGGCCGCCTCCATCGGTCTTCTGGCCCACTGCGTCGTGAGCTTGGCCGTCCGTCTTTTCGGGCCTCACTCGACCGACGGAAAGGACGAAATAATTATCAGAGTGGGCTCGCAGTGCTCTCGTCGCTCTGTCTCTCTCGCACCTGAACGGGGCACCCCGTGAGTGCGAGAGAGACAGAGCGACGACTCTCGGAATCAGTCTGCTGCGGCGCCGTGCGGCGCGTTGTGATGATGATTCGGCAGAAGGTGTAACCGCAGACCGCCGCGCCTCGACGAAGAGGGAAGGCCTGGCGGTGACAGGATCATTGTCGCGTCTTTCTCGTCACGAGTCGTCATCTCCCCCCTCCCCCCTCCCCCTCCCCCTCCCACCCGCGGCCATCGCGCCTTCGCCATTTGCATAAAATACTGTCCTGGCGGCGCGAGGCGCGAGACGCGGGCCACAGAGAAAGCCGAGGCCGCCGCAGCACAGTGGGCCAGAATAACGGTGGCGGCGGACAAAACTCGAGACGCGTTTTGAGCTCCAGAGTCACTAAGCAGGCCTCGAACCGAACGTGTGACCCCACCAATGGATTGCTTTCAGAACGAGGAATCCATTGGTGGGGTCACACGTTCGGTTTGAGGCCTGCTTTGTGACTCTGGAGCTCAAAACGCGCCTAGAGTTTTGGCCGCGGCCACCGGTCTTCTGGCCCACTGTGCGCCGTGCCGCCCTGCCGCTGTCCGGCGTAGTGTCCACTGAAGTGTGCACCGCGGTGTACCCGAGTGTCCAGTGCAGTGCGCTACCACCCATGCGCCCACCTCTACACGGCAGAAAAAGACTTGGATGCCCCGACGATAAAATTAATCGCTGCAGGCTCCGTCATCACCAAAATAAGAAAGAAAAAGTAAATGTTCGCGTAACGCGAAGGATGGTACACGCTTAATCACCTTACGAAGTATTTTGAGCGTACGTAATACAAACTAATTTACTTTGTTATACGAAGAAACAGTTCGCAAATTACGAAGTATTTTCTTTGTAAGCTTGGGTATGCTCACTGTGTTATAACAAGCTGCTTTTCTTTGTAAGGCCTGAAATAGTTTGTAAGGTCATCTCAGTGTACAGTTCGTTTCGTTGAAGGGGTGGATCGAGTCTTCGGTACAATGTCAAATCTCGGTCAGTGGTAATCCGTGCTGAGCCGCGTGGGGCCGAGCTGCCGTGAGTGAATTACGTTGAGATGAGCGGTCCAGGCTGCCTGCCGCGCTGCGCGGCGCTGCGGCTCAGCAAGCCTCAGCGAGCCCTGCCGGACGGGTTGGAAGTAGTTAGAGCAGCATTCTTAGTGCTGGTTGATGGACGAGTGTGGGGTGAGCTCGGCGGGACGGCACTCGGCACTCATCCTGGCACCCGTGTTACTCCGACTCCGTGGCGGCAGGGTCGCGGTCGGAGCGAAAACGCTGTGAGGCTGCTCATCGCGAAGGTGTCCGAAGCCGTGTCCGAGGCCGTGTCCAAGGCCGTGTCCGAGGCCGTGTCCAAGGAGGTGTCCAAGGCCGTGTCCAAGGCCGTGGCCAGGGACGTGTTCGAGGCCGTGTCCGAGTCCGTGTCCAAGGCCGTGTCCAAGGCCGTGGCCAAGGAGGTGTCCAAGGCCGTGGCCAGGGACGTGTTCGAGGCCGTGTTCGAGTCCGTGTCCAAGGCCGTGTCCAAGGCCGTGTCCAAGGCCGTGTCCAAGGCCGTGTCCAAGGCCGTGTCCAAGGCCGTGGCCAAGGAGGTGTCCAAGGCCGTGGCCAGGGACGTGTTCGAGGCCGTGTCCGAGTCCGTGTCCAAGGCCGTGTCCAAGGCCGTGTCCAAGGCCGTGTCCGAGTCCGTGTCCAAGGCCGTGTCCAAGGCCGTGTCCAAGGCCGTGTCCAAGGCCGTGTCCAAATCCGTGTCCAAGGCTGTGTCCAAGGCCGTGTCCAAGGCCGTGTCCAAGGCCGTGTCCGAGTCCGTGTCCAAGGCCGTGTCCAAGGCCGTGTCCAAGGCCGTGTCCAAGGCCGTGTTCGAGTCCGTGTCCAAGGCCGTGTCCAAGGCCGTGTCCAAGGCCGTGTCCAAGGCCGTGTCCAAGGCCGTGTCCAAGGCCGTGGCCAAGGAGGTGTCCAAGGCCGTGGCCAGGGACGTGTTCGAGGCCGTGTCCGAGTCCGTGTCCAAGGCCGTGTCCAAGGCCGTGTCCAAGGCCGTGTCCGAGTCCGTGTCCAAGGCCGTGTCCAAGGCCGTGTCCAAGGCCGTGTCCAAGGCCGTGTCCAAATCCGTGTCCAAGGCTGTGTCCAAGGCCGTGTCCAAGGCCGTGTCCAAGGCCGTGTCCGAGTCCGTGTCCAAGGCCGTGTCCAAGGCCGTGTCCAAGGCCGTGTCCAAGGCCGTGTCCGAGTCCGTGTCCAAGGCCGTGTCCGAGGCCGTGTCAGGCCGCGTCCAACGCCGTGCTCTAGTGTCTAAACCTGTGCCCGAGGTGGTGTCTAAGGCCATGTCTGAGGCCGTATCTAAGGCCCTGTCCAGTCCAAGGCCCTGTCTGAGGCCGTGCGCAAGGCCGTGACAGACGGCCAACGCCGTGCCCCAATCCGAGGCCGTGTCCGGGGTCGGGCGGCCCGAAGGGCGCATGGGATTGTTTTCGACGAGGTCTGCCAGGTGTGGAAGCCGGAGCCCGAAGGCTGGACCGCGTTGTTTATGGACCCCTGATAACAGGTTCCCTTGGGTGCAGCCGGCCTGCGCGGTCCTGGCTTTGGCCCGCGGTAATAAAGACATTCTCTCTCTCTCTCTCTCTCTCTCTCTCTCTCTCTCTCTCTCTCTCTCTCTCTCTCTCTCTCTCTCTCTCTCTTTTTCCCTCTCTCTCTCTCTCTCTCTCTCTCTCTCTCTCTCTCTCTCTCTCTCTCTCTCTCTCTCTTTCCCTCTCTCTCCCTCTCTCTCTCCGCATGACACCGGGAAGAAGGCGTTGTTGTGGTGCTGGGGGTGCGAGGAGAGTCAAATAGGCCCGCGCGGACGCATTCCGGTTTAACCCGCCGCCGTTTCCTTTCTAAGGCGTTTTTATTGGGCCAGGGTTCTTTTCAATTTCGAGTACTGCGTCCGTGTCTGCGTGTTTGCCTGTCTGTGTGTGTGGGGGGGAGGGGAGGGGGTTGTTTGAGAGGATTGTAATGAGGTAGCAACGATCTCCAGTCCGGAGACCGCGATCTAATTTTCGACCCGAATTTTCGGGAAAGTTTCCGAAGTGTCTAGTGTATGAAGGGAAAGGTGGAGGAGCAGGGCGGGCAGAGCGGGAGAAGAAAGGTCCCTCCTCGACGTCGTCGAGGACGTCGCTCGGCGTCGCTCCGCACGACGGGCCCCGGACAATACGAACCGCCAGACTGATTCCGAGAGTCGTTTTCGTCGCTCCGTCTCTCTCGCGCCCATACGGGACGGCCCACGAGTGCGAGGGAGGCGGAGCGACGAGAACGACTCTCGGAATCAGTCTGCTGGGCCCCGTCGAGGCCCCGCTCCGCCGCGGCCGCCGCGCCCTGCCGCCCTGCCGTGTGTGACGCTACGCGCGCTGCTGGCGTACCTGCGGCCCTATTTGCTGCATCTCTCTAGGCAGCGCCTGCATTGTTGTTGTTGTTGCTGCTGCTGTTGTTGTTGTCGTCGTCGTTGTTGCTGTTGTTGTTGTTGTCGATGGCCCTCCTCATTAGGCACCCCGTTGGCGGCGTGCCCGTACAGTGCCCCGGCAACCCCGCACAGTGGGCAAGAAGACTGGTAGAGGCGGCCAAAACACTTGACGCGTTTTGAGCTCCAGAGTCGCTAAACAGGACTCGAACCGAACGTGTGACCCCACCAATGGGTTCCTCGTTCGGAGAGCGATCCATTGGTGGGGTCACACGTTCGGTTCCAGTCCCACTTAGCGACTCTGGAGCTCAAAACGCGTCTAGAGTTTTGTCCGCCTCCACCGGTCTTCTGGCCCACCGTGCCCCGGCCTGCTCGATATGACGGAGTGTTATTCCCCATTGTCCGGGCCGGGCGGGCCGGGCCTACGCTCTCGGGGGTCACCAGCTGAATCGGAGATGGCCCGGCCAGGCCAGCCTTTGGCCCAGCCTTTGGTCGGAGCGATACTTGTTGGGGAAAGCTGCGCCCGTGCCCGAATTTCACAGTGCCGGTGTCACCAGCGTGTCCCCGACGGTGTCCCCGACGTCGTCGCGACGTCGCCGGGACGACGGCTTCTCGGCTCCGGGCTGGAATACTAAGACGGCCGGAGAAGAGAAGTGGTCCAGAGGCACCGGCGACGAAGCGCGCCTTTTTCGATCGGATTTTCGGCGGTCAAAACCTCGGTCGACTCAAACCGAACGTGTGACCCCACCAATCGGTTGCTCCCCGAACGAGGAATCCATCGGTGGGGCCACACTTTCGGTTCGAGTCCCATTTAGCGACGCTGGAGCTCAAAACGCGTCCGGGATTTTTACCACCTACCTCGCCGGTCTTCTGGCTCACGGTGCGGTGGGGCCTAAGTAAGAGTCTTCAGCTCCATAAAAGAGTTTCAAGATGTGGGGTTTTGGTTAGGAACCTCAATTCAAGGATACATTTTGTCTCGAATGCAAAAATAGGATTGAGATTTTGAGGCGGAAACCACGCCGAGCGCCTTCGTTTTCCCGACGATGTCGATCGTGCCCCGAGACCTGCCCGTGGTGGCGATGTGGGCGATGATTCAAGACGACAGCCGAGCACCGTTTTGTAATCGGCCGGGAGTTAAGTTAAGTAAAAGAAAAAAAGGAAAACAAAACAAAGCGAAAAAGAGCATCGTGCCAACGACACCATATCGCCATCTAGTTGGTGTAACTTTCATCGCAGCAGTCTCTGCAGCGACTACACTTCGTGTCTGTCTGTCTGTCTGTCTGTCTGTCTGTCTGTCTGTCTGTCTGTCTGTCCGTCCGTCTGACCGTCTGACTGTCTCGGTGTCTGTCCGCATCCGGCTTCCGAAGGGCTTAATATTCAAATCCTGGTGTGGCCATACACACATGTGCCGCGCCTCGTACACTCGTAGGCGGCTGGCAATACTAAGAATATCTTGGGACGGAAAAGGAGTACCGTGTCACCGTGTGTGTATGAGTGTGCGTGTGTGTGTGCCTGCATCTTACCTTGTGTGAGTGTGTGCGCCAAGTAAACAGAATTGTGTAACGTCCCCCCGTAACGTGACGTGGCACCCTAGTGCACGGGTGCGTGCGTTGGATGCTTCAGGCCCGCCACCGTGACGCTAGTGCCTCTGTGTGTGTGTGTGTGTGTGTGTGTGTGTGTGTGTGTGTGTGTGTGTGTGTGTCTTGCCTGCATGTGTGTGCGTGCTTCCTCGCGCTGGGATGGGTGGGTGGATTCGTCACAGCCGATATAGGAAGTGGTTCGTCACGGAGACTTGCACGCGCGTCGAGACGAGAGCGCAACGTGCCGCAACGCGATGCGTGTATCGCTCCATTTTTTTTTCTGGCGCCGCGGCTCCGGCTCGCAACACACCATTCCTTAAGTCATCGCCGTCCAAGACGTCTTCCTAATCCATGTTGCGTCTCTCTCCCTCCGCAGGCGTGGTGGTGCTGGTGGTCGCGGCGTCCTGCTCGCAAGACGGACACCCCAGGGGACCCCGACACCAAGGTAAGCGCCGTCCGCACAGTGGGCCAGAAGACCGGCGGCGGCGGCCAAAATCCCGGACGCGTTTTGAGCTCCAGAGTCGCTAAATGGGACTCGAGCCGAACGTGTGACCCCACCAATGGATTGCTCTACGAACGAGGAATCCACTGGTGGGGTCACACGCTCGGTTCGAGATCCATTCAACGACTCTGGAGCTCCCAAACGCGTCTAGAATTTTGGTCGCCTCCACCGGTCTTCTGGCCCACTGTGGTCTTCTCCGCCCTTGACGCCGACGGCATCACAACGACCCGCTTCCCCCGAAAAAACAACAACAACAAAACAAACAACAGCGCCGCATGAAAAAGCGGCGGGAATTCCCTCAAGACCAAAGCCCTTGGATTTTGAACGGGATGCCGATGGATCTGCACGAGGATAGCCTTTGGGGATTCCCTGCACTCATCCGTGCGCGAGTTTAATCCCTTTTTTTTGCCTCATCCTCCTACTTCCGGGGAGCTATCATTCTTTATTATTATTGGGCGCGCGCGTCTATCGTAACACTTGTTACGGCGAGGCCCGATTTTGCAGCGCGCGGCCCGGCCGCCGTAGACACGAAGCAGAACGGAACAACGCACTGGAACATTGAATGTTGTTGCCTGCGTGTCGGCGGAGGAGGGGGCGGGGGAGGGGGCGGAGGAGGGGGCGGAGGTGGAGGAGGTGATGACTCAGGTGGCGCTCAGCGCGCTCTGCGGTGCCTTGCCAGTGAAAGTAACGTGTCTGCATCCTGGAGTGCTAATAGTCTGGCCCGCCGAGCTTTGGCGGGGGAAGGGGGGGGAGGGGGGCTGCAGCCTTCGATAATCACCTCAAGGACGCCCGGCCCGGTCCTGCCGGCCCTGCCGGCCCCGACCGCAGCCGGGGGCCGCGGGGGCGGGGCGGGGCGCCGGAACTAAACCTGCAGACCGATTCCGAGAGTCGTCTTCGTCGCTCTGTCTCGATCGCACCCATAAGGACGCCCCGACGAGTGCGAGAGAGACAGAGCGACGAAAACGACTCTCGGAATCAGAATGCCGGGTCATGTGGTAACGCCCCTCCCGGTGCAGACTTCCTCTCCATCACTCATATTTGTTCGCTTCGTTTCTCTCTTTCCGCGACTTTCCTCGGAAGGACGAAAACATTGAAACAAGAACGGTGCGACGCCGCGCCGCGGACGGAGAGGCTGCCTTTTGCCTTTACCGAACCCAACGCGCACCGAGGCCAGCAGACGGATGCCGAGAGCCGTTTTCGTCGCTCTGTCTCTCTCGCACCCATACGGGACGCCCCATGAGTGCGAGAGAGACAGAGCGACGAAAACGGCTCTCGGAATCGGGGCACCGCGGCGGCGTCGCGGCGTCGCGGCGTCAGGTCAGCGGGTCGGTACTGTACAGTGCACACACCGCCCGTCTGGGGCGAGCGGGCCGAGCGGGGCGTCCCCGTTGGGCCAGGCCGGCCAGGCGGCGTTGCCTCACCGCGTTCGTCACCACGCGGACGTCGCGGACACAGCCACTCGCTCGTCGTTCGCGTCCGTCCGTCCGTCCGTCCGTCCGTCTGCGGTGGGGTGCCGCGCGACGTGTGACGAAACGCGGCGCGACAGCCAGGCAGGCAGGTCCGCTTCGGAAACGGGGCGCACTTACTTATGACGTGTCCGCGCGCTGTGTCGGCTGTACCGTGCACACTCACACTGGACGCAGAGTGCACAAACACCCAACTCACCCATACACACGTACACGGACACACACACACATGCGCGCGCGCGCACACACACACACACGCACGCACGCACACACACACACACACACACACACACACACAAGCGCGCGTTGCGTCAGCGTAGTCCACGGCAAGGAGGTCGACATGCATTATTCCGTGTCGCCCCGTCCCGCGCGTCTCGCCTCGCCTCGTCTTTCCAGTGCAGGCAGTAAAAGCGAAAACGGAATAACGATCGGGAAGCCCTGGAGGCCTGGAGGCTCAAGGGCGAGGCGCCTCTGCGTCTAGGACGGCCTGGGACTTGTTGTTGGTAGTCATCTTGTCCTTGTTGTTGCAGTGACGGAATGGATGCCACCCTGGAGCCCGCGCGTCGGCGACATGCAGTTCACGCCCATGGCGGCGTCCGCGCCACCCGAGCCGCCGCCAGGCCCGCCCCCGGGGCCGCCGCCAGGGCCGCCCCTCGACGCGTACTCGCACCGCGCCTCCAGGAAGACGGGCGCGAGCCGCCGCAGCCGGCTGTCCCACGAGGGCGGCCCCGGCGGCGGCCCCGGAGGCGGTCCCGGCGGCGGCGGTGCTCGCTCGCTGCCGACCGTCGGCGACTTCATGCCGGACAACTCCCTCTGGTCGCCGGCCACCGTGGTGGGGGCGGAGCCGCCCCCGCTGCCACCGCGCGCGGGCGCCGAGGGCCGCAGCATCGGCTCGGCGCACCACGCGCAGAGCCTGCTGCACGAGGACGCCGGCGCGGCCGCCGCCCCCGAGGTGGTCGTCGTGGTGCACGAGAAGGACCAGCCCCTGTTCGACAAGGCGGACACCCCCCGCCCCCACCAGCCCCGCCCCCAGCGCCAGGCCGCGCTGCAGTCGTGGTGGGACGCGGTGGCGGGGGCGGCGGGCATGGGGGGCGGCGAGTCGGTGGCCGAGGCGTTCCCGCACTCGCGGAGCCCCGAAGGACTGCCGCGCGCCGAGGCCGGCAGGGACCTCTTCGGGCCCGACCGGCGGCAGACCCTGGCCACCATCTCGGAGACCCTGGGCGCCATCAACACCGTGGGCCGCTACCTCGTCAACTACACCCGCGGCAGCAACAGCACCAACGCCAACGTGGGGCTGGCCACCACACTGCTGGGCACGCCCACCGTGCTCTCCGACGGCAACGACGACGTGCATCGCGACCAGTGAGTGCGAGCAGGACCACCAGGACCAAGCCTTCAGTATTGGTTTTGATCCGCAGGGCAAGCCCGGTGAACACGCATGTCGCCGTGTTGCCTACGCCCACGGCGCCGTGAGGGCTCTGGGTAGGCAAGCCCGGTGAACACGCGTGTCGCCGTGTTGCCTACGCCCACGGCGTCCAACCGAGGCAGGCCGCCGGCCAACTCTCGGCGGTCGTCGGCCTCCTCCCGGCAGCTAACCTTGTTCGTGCTCCGTCTCGCTCTGCTGCAGGCGCCGGCCCGGCCGCTCCGAGGACCTGCCCGCCGCCATCTACACCATCAGCAAGAACGTGCTGGGCCGCAACGTGACGGACCAGATCGCGCCGCTGGTGCGCGTGGTGGGCGCGCCGCTGGTCACCATGACGACGGGCAAGGTGGTGACGGAGCAGCAGCGGCCCTCGTCCACCGTGCTCCGGCCCGTGTCCGCCAGCACCCAGCTGTCGCCCGTGTCGGGACCGCTGCCCAGCCCGGCGGCGACGCCCCTGCCGGAAGACGGTCAGTTCCCGGGTTCAAATGCCAGCTAACACTCCTCCGTTTTTTACACAATTTTTTCACGCCTCGTTTTGTGGTGTCCCAGGTCGTGAGCCGGCGGGCGGGTCGCGGCCGTGCACCACGCCGGACGGCGGCACGGGGGTGTGCGACGACCTGAGCACGTGCCCCCAGCTGCTGCTCGACCTCGCCAACCTCCGCCAGTCCATCTGCTTCAAGAGCCTCTTCGTGCCCGGCGTGTGCTGCCCCGGCCGGCCGCAAGAGTGCGTACCCAAATCAGTTAGCACGAGGCGCCCTTCTGAGGGCTGCCTTAAGGGGGCTTTCCTCTCGTGTCGCTGCGCGCGCCGCGACGCGACGCGTGTTACGCAGTCGGACCGGCCTGCATCCGGGACTCCGGGACTCAAATGTGCCCCGCCGGAGCGCCGCCATGCACTACACTGCCAACGCGACTCATTCTCGGCATTTTGCAGCTCGTCGACGCAGCGGCCGCACCGGCCCCAGCTCATCTACGCCACCAGCACCACCACCACCAGGCGGCCACCAATCATCCTCACGACGTCCAGCACCGCCCCGCCGCCGCCCAGCCCCGTCACCGCCTCCCTGCTAGACGACTGGGACCCCGAAGGTACGCGAAGCCAAGGCACACAAGGAGGGCCGTCCTGGAGGACCTTCCTGGACGACCTTCCTGGAGGACCTTCCTGGAGGACCTTTCTGGAGGAACTTCCACTGGAGGACCTTCCTGGAGGACCTTCCTGGAGGACCTTCCTGGAGGACCTTCCTGGTGGACCTGAGGACCTTTCTGGAGGAACTTCCACTGGAGGACCTTCCTGGAGGACCTTCCTGGACGACCTTCCCGGAGGACCTTCCTGGAGGACCTGAGGACCTTTCTGGAGGAACTTCCACTGGAGGACCTTCCTGGAGGAACTTCCACTGGAGGACCTTCCTGGACGACCTTCCTGGAGGACCTGAGGACCTTTCTGGAGGAACTTCCACTGGAGGACCTTCCTGGAGGACCTTCCTGGAGGACCTTCCTGGAGGACCTTCCTGGAGGACCTTCCTGGAGGACCTTCCTGGAGGACCTTCCAGGAGGCTGCAGCCGTACCGGGCGGTCTCGCTTTCTACCGTGGGAAGTTATTTGCTGCGGTAACAACAACAATGCTGCAATGCCCTTTCCGTCATTTCGTTTTATTTCACTCCGGAGTGGCTGCAGTGGCCTGCAGTGCCCTGCTGGGTCCGTTCGTAAAACTCGTGACCAATGGCGGGCCCGGCGCGGCGCGGTCACGGAGCAGGGGGTCACAGTGTGGCCGAAAAGCCGAAAATCCGCCACGGTTTTACGTGGTTTATGAGCGGACCAGTTCGGAAACGGAAGGAAACAGGGAAAGTGCCGCCCGGGCCGCCGCCGCCGCGCCGCCTCGGCGTCCGACCGTCCGCCTGTCTGTCTGCCTGTCCGTCCGTCCGCCCGCCCGGTCGCGTGCCGCAGAACCGGGTGCCGCTAGAACCACTTGCCGACGCCTGGCTGCGCTGCTGCGCTGCTGCGCCTGGCGCCACCCGACCCGGCCAGAAATAGCGCGCCAAACTAATTGCCTTGTCCATGTTCGTCTCTTCGTCTCGCTGCGCCGCCCTGGCGTGACCCACACCGGCCCCATTTGGAGTGCGCAGCTCTCCGCACAGTGGGCCAGAAGACCGGCGGGGGCGGTCAAAATCCCGGACGCGTTTTGAGCTCCAGAGTCGCCAAATGGGACTCGAACCGAACGTGTGACCCCACCAATGGATTGCTCTCCGAGCGAGGAATCCATTGGTGGGGTCACACGTTCGATTTGAGTCCTGTTTAGCGACTCTGGAGCTCAAAACGCGTTTCGAATTTTTGGCCGCTGCGGTGCCCCGTGTTGTCGTCAGGTTGGTACCGCTGTGCCGTATGCCGGCGGGCCGGCGTGGCGGTGGCGGCGGCGGCGCGTGGCGGCAGGGCTGCCAACGAACGTCCTTGATGACCCGTCGGACGGGTCGGCACGGGCTGCCGGGGCGACGGGAGGAAGGGGGCGGGGGGCCTGCAGCAGGGAGACCGGAAAGCGATCATGGAAAGTGAAATAAAATCGGACGTACTCAAAAGAAAGAGGAAAAAAACTCTTGAAAAAGAAAACAACAACAAAACTTGAGTATCGAATTACTCAAAGAACGGTTTGAACGCCGTTACCGCAGTTTTGCATCACAAACCATATGGAAATCTTCAGCTATTCCCTTTCTTGAACAGTGTCCCAGTACGGTTCTCTGTCACAAATTACTCTCCGATTATTTTTTTAATTTTTGCACTGCGACTTCTAACTACTTCCGACCGTCTTCCTTCCAATTCACCATTTCTCTTCCCTCGGCACTTGGCAGACTGCGGGCAGCCCGAGGTGCCCAAGTTCCGCGTGGTGGGCGGCGACGAGGCGCTGCCGGGCCGCTGGCCCTGGATGGCCGCCATCTTCCTGCACGGGCCGCGCAGGACCGAGTTCTGGTGCGGCGGCTCCCTCATCTCCAGCAAGCACGTCCTCACCGCGGCCCACTGCACCCGGGACACCCGCCAGAGGCCGTGAGTATCTCAGTCAGTCAGTCAGTCAGTCAGTCAGTCAGTCAGTCAGTCAGTCAGTCAGTCAGTCAGTCAGTCAGTCAGTCAGTCAGTCAGTCAGTCAGTCAGTCAGTCAGTCAGTCAGTCAGTCAGTCAGTCAGTCAGTCAGTCAGTCAGTCAGTCAGTCAGTCAGTCAGTCAGTCAGTCAGTCAGTCAGTCAGTCAGTCAGTCAGTCAGTCAGTCAGTCAGTCAGTCAAAGTCAGTCACACTGGTAGAACTGAAGCGTACTTTTACGCCTTTCTTCAAGTGTAGTAGAACTACGCTCGGCTTCAAGCGTAGTTCTCCAATTCGCCTCTTTCCCGCCTATCAAATGCATGGGTGAATTTCTTCTCTACGCTTGACTTCAAGCGTAGAGTCTTCAAGCGTAGTTGTATGCTTGAATGAAGCATACAACTACGCTCTAGTTTTACCAGTGCAGTCAGTCAGTCAGACAGTAGTCAGTCAGTCAAAGTCAGTCAGTCAGTCAGTCTCACGTTTTCTGATACTTTTTCCTCGTTCAGTTTCAGCGCGCGGCAGTTCACGGTGCGCCTCGGGGACGTGGACCTGAAGCGCGAGGACGAGCCCAGCGCGCCGGTGACGCACCAGGTGGTGGAGGTGCGCGCGCACTCGCAGTTCTCGCGCGTCGGCTTCTACAACGACATCGCCGTGCTGGTGCTGGACCGGCCCGTGCGCCGCTCCAAGTACGTGGTGCCGCTGTGCCTGCCCTCGGCCCGCATGCGCTCCGACACCTTCGCCGGCGCCAGGCCCACCGTGGTGGGCTGGGGCACCACGTACTACGGTGAGAGGACTAGGACCCCGAGGGGGCAGATCGCACAGAGGGCCAGAAGACAGGTGGAGGCGGTCAAAATACCGGACGCGTTTTGAGCCCCAGAGTCGCTAAATGGGACTCCAACTGAACGTGTGACCCCACCAATGGATTGCTCTCCGAACGAGGATTCCATTGGTGGGATCACACGTTCGATTCGAGTCCCGTTTACCGACTCTGGGGCTCAGAAACCGCGCCTAGAAATTTGGCCGCCTGCGCCGGTCTTCTGGCCCACTGGTTTTTTTACCTGAAAATGACGTCATTTCGATGCGGTTTTCCCTCGCAGGCGGCAAGGAGAGCACGGTGCAGCGCCAGGCCGAGCTGCCCGTGTGGCGCAACGAGGACTGCAACCGCGCCTACTTCCAGCCCATCACGGAGAACTTCATCTGCGCCGGCTACTCCGAGGGCGGCAAGGACGCCTGCCAGGCAAGTCTCGCCACGTATTCCACAAAGAGCTCTTCAAACTTTCAGTTCACTTTACTAGAAAACGAGTCCAGATCATAGTTCCATGATCGTATATGATCGGAAATAAGGACCTTTTAAATACTTTGATGTAGGTGATGTCGGTGATGTATTACTTCCATACATAAATAACCAAAAAAACTAAAATAGATTTAAAAGTGTACTTTTTCCTAGAAGTTTTTTTTTTAAATAGTAATATTGGTGTTTTTCCCTTCAGGGCGACTCCGGCGGCCCCCTGATGCTGAAGCGGGAGGGCCACTGGTACCAGGTGGGCATCGTTTCGTTCGGCAACAAGTGTGGCGAGCCCGGCTACCCCGGCGTGTACACCAGGGTGACGCAGTACCACGACTGGATCCGGGAGAACACCATCAACTAGTCAGCTATCTAACTTATTATTGTCTTTCCCTTTTTGCAATGTCCTTTGCGGCTTTGTCCAACTGTTAATTTATATGGGAGGAAAACCCTTTTGTGTTGTGGTGGAAAAAAAGAACTCGCGTACGTCTCTCCGGTGACTTGAAAAAAAAAGGATCTTGTATAAAAATTTGACTGTCTAAAATGCGTAATTTATTAAGTCTGCTTTCGCTAGCCGTGATGGCGCGTCTTGCCCGAGGAAAATGTCATTATTTATTGAGACTCAATTGACATGACGAGTAGGCATTATATGCCAGAGAAGTGTGAATTACATTGTATTTGTGCTCACTCATATTGTTCCTTCATTCATCCCCACAAACTCACTGCCCTGCCAACAGCCGACAACATCTAAAAATAGAGAAGGCATCCATTTTTAGGCGTGGTCGGCCGGAAAACAGACACCAGTGCGATAATCCAGATCTGCCCGGATCTGCGCACTGTTTTGTTTTTAAAACGCGCCTGGGAGCTAGGCATCCCTTTTGCCATTGGTGCTCCCGGCCCGTCCCGGTCCGTCCCGGCCGCTCGTCCACCGCACCGGCACCGGCGCACATTGGGCTGCCTGCCCTCCAGGCGCACAGTGGGCCAGAAGACAAAGGCGGCCAAAATTCTAGATGCGTTTTGAGCTCCAGAGTCGCTAAAAAGGATTCGAACCAAACCTGTGACCCCACCAATGGATTCCTCGTTCGGAGAGCAATCCGTTGGTGGGGTTACAAGTTCGGTTCGAGGCCCATTTAGCGACTCTGGGACTCAAAACGCGTCGAGAGTTTGCTGCAGCGCCTCGGCCTCTCCCTGAAGACCAACAAGCAGGCCGCCACGCTGTCGGGCTGCGCTCTTTTTGTCGCTAAATTGGCCCGAGTGTGGCGAACATGCAAATGGGCCGCGCTTCCAGTGCCTCGCGGCTTCAAGGTTGGCGGCCGTGTTGCCTGCAAACGCCTCGTGTCTGCCTGTCTGTCTGCCTGCCTGTCCGTCCGTCCGCCCGTCCGCCCGTCCGCCCGTCTACTGCATCCGGCCCGGCCGGCCCGTGAGAATCCCTCGCCTGCCCGCCTGGGGGCAACCCGAATGGGTGTAAGCGCCGACTCACAGACGCGGTACGGCGGGCCAGCCGCGAGGCGCCGTGCCGGCCGAGGCGCCAGCGCCGTCGCTCTGCCTCTCTCGCACCCCTACGGGACGCCCTGGAGTGCGACAGAGACGGCGCCACGAAACGGCTCTTCAGAACCAGTGTAGGAAGCCGCGCGGCACAATAGAGCTTCTAGGAATACGGATCCTCCAGGCCGCCCGGCCACCAGGCCGTCCGACGAGGAGGACAACATGCATTCTATTATTTGTCTCGTTTAATCGCTCCGCTGAAATCGTCGGCGGGGCTTCCCTGTGACGTCACTCGGGGTGCGTGGGCCGAAGTGCTGTGCTGGAGCGCGCTGGAGCCAGGGGGCCTCCGGACAATGGGGCAGGGATCACCTTGGTCGCCGGAGAACAAACGGTTTGGGACACGGAGACGGGGCTGCATGGCCATGCACCGACACCGAAGCGGAGGACGCACAGTGGGCCAGAAACCGGTGGAGGCGGACAAAACTCTAGACGCGTTTTGAGCTCCAGAGTCGCTAAATAGGACTCGGACTGAACGTGTGACCCCACCAATGGATTGCTCCCCGAACGAGGAATCCATTGGTGGGGTCACACGTTCGGTTCGAGTCCCATTAAGCGACTCTGGAGCTGAAACCGCGTCTAGAGTTTTGGCCGCCTCCACCGGTCTTCTGGCCCACTGTTGGACGGTTTATTATTGGGGAGGGGCCGCGGCCAAGCGACGAGGATGGATCCCACTTGCAGTGGCGTGATGCGCGGAGGGATGCTCACGAACAATCCCTGAGTGAAAAACAAAAAGAAATTGCGAAAAAGATTTTAAAAAGTTCAAAGTAAAATTTAAAAAAAAATTAAAAAAGAAAAGAAAATGACCTACAATTTGTTCAGCTTTACGGCCGCCCCCTGAATTAAACGGCCGCAATTGCGTCTGGACTGAAGCGTGACGTCGCTGTGACGTCGCTGTGACGTCACTGTACACTGCAGACGCGGCCGGACACGGCGTCAGACTCGCCTCTGCAGAGGTGTGTCTTCGCCGGACCGACGGGGGGCGATCCCTAAGCCACTCTTTTAAAAAAAATTAATCAACTTATTTATGAGAGCGTATGACTAATGTACGCATGGACGGTGCCGAAAACGAAGACCGTGGCGAAGGGAAAAAAACAAAGGAGGAGGTTCACACACTAATGACTCATAGCCTGGGTGTCACAGTGGGCCGGAAGACCGGTGGGGGCGGCCAAAACTCTAGACGCGTTTTGAGCTCCGGAGTCGCTAAATGGGACTCGAACCGAACGTGTGACCCCACCAATGGATTGCTCTCCGAACGAGGAATCCATCAGTGGGGTCACACGTTCGGTTCGAGTCCCATTTAGCGGCTCTGGAGCTCAAAACGCGTCTAGAGTTTTGGCCGCCTCCACCGGTCTTCTGGCCCACTGTGGGTGTCCGACTTGCGCCGCAAACTGATTCCGAGAGTCGTCTTCGTCTCTCTCGCACCTATCAGCACGCCCCGTGAGTGCGAGAGAGACAGAGCGACGGCAGTGTGCCGCTCCTGCCCTTGCTCCGCGCTCCCTTCGTGGAGACGACGCGCGGCGTGGGCACGAAGGCCCTCGTCCTGGAGGCAGCGGCGGCCAGTGGAGTGGAGGGGGGTCCGGCGCCGGCCGGCGAGACGATTCGCGGAGGTGCTTCGCGGGGACAGGTGTGTGTGTATTTGTGTGAATGTGTGTGTGTGTTGGCGAAGTGTCCTGCTTGATGGTTCGGGCCCCCGCAGCCCCGCAGCCCCGCAGTCGACAGCCGGCGGCCCGCGAGAACGCTTCGCTCCTTGCCCGCGATGGTGCTGGTTCCGCCGCCCGGCGGGGCGTTCCTCGCCGTCCTGCGCGTCGCGCTGCCCGTCGTGCTGCTGCTGGCCCACCCCGCCCTGCCGCAGAACGCCCAGAACGCCCCGGGCGCCCAGAACGCCTTCCGCGCCGAGCTGTTCCCCGAGCAGCTGGAGCAGCAGCAACTGAACCTGCAGACCCAGGCCGTGCAGCAGCGCCTGCAGGACATGCAGCGACTCCTGCAGTTCGCCCCCGACGCGCAGCAGAAGGTGCGGTACAATCCTATCGCGCGCAAAAATAAAACAGAGACCAAACATACAAAAAAATAAGACTATTCTAGGTACGTTAAAATGAAGGTGTAAAGGTATCATCCGCTAAAAAAGAACAGGAAGTGGCAGTTTTGACATCTTCCTCAAATGGAAACGACGAAGTGCATTGCTCGGCTTTGCCACTGGCGCTGAACCATAACACCACTACTCTGCCTGTTTCTGGAGGAAAACTAGACACCGTTCAACAAAACGTTTCTGAAAAGAAAAGAATACCATCGCAAACTTTGGTCTTAGTTTTTACAAACCTAGACCGAAAAATTGACTAACATTCCGAATTGGCATATTTTGGTACCATTTTTTTTCGGAACTTAATGTTCACACAGGATATTCACTGCAATGCCAGTGGTAAGTTTGCTTGCCAAAAATTTTGTAACCTCTGATCTGAAATCGTGACATGCTTGCCAAATTTCGGCAAGCTCAGGAGTACGACTGAACCGAGCTTGCCAGTTTTTGCCATTCAAAACGGCTTGCCAATTTTGTGGCAATCAAACTTAGCCTACCACTGGCTTTGCAGTGTTTGCTGTTTTTTTTTTTCGTTTGTTCTATATTTTTATAAAGTTTTTTGTGTGTATTTGTGTGGGTGTGAGACTTACTTGTTCGAGTGAGCGCTCACTTTGGGCGTGCGTGCTGCGTGCCCCACTGTGAATGGCGGTGCGTCCTGGCGGTGGCTGGCGCTGCTCGCGCTGCTTGAGTCGCCCAGGGTAATTTGGCGTCCAGGATGTTCAACCTCCGCCGTAATGATGCGGGTGCCGGAGACGAATCGGCCGCGCTGCCGGCAGGGACCAGGGATCAGCAGGCACGTTTTGTTTTCCCGCAGGACCAGACTGGAGCCGGCTGCTTCAGTCGGGCTCATGCCGGATGGGATGGATAAATTTAACTCCTTTTAGATTTTTCCGCCTCCGTCTTCTTCCTCGATTCCGCTGTACCCAAAGCGGATCGCTCCGTACAGTGTGGCTGACATTGACGGATTGCGTATAAACATGCACACGTGTGCGCACTGACGTCTGTGTGTGTGTGTGTGTGTGTGTGTGTGTGTGTGTGTGAGTGTGAGTGCGGTCGCGTTCCACCGTGAAATCCTTCCGCTGAGCGGATTCCCGCAAAAGGATCAAGGAAGGCGCCAAACGTGTCACGTACACTCCGACGAACTCTGTTAAATTTTTAGCAGATGATACCTTTACTTTAAAATATCCCTAAAACTTCAAGACACGTAAAGGAGTCAGCTAGCTTTAGCTCTTACACTCGAGTCCAAAAAGCAATCGCCTATCCTAATAATAATTTTTAAAGACTTATTAAGTCCGATAGACTTCACAATGATCAAACAAAATAATGACCACTTCGATGTCTATCGGCAGAGTGTCTATTGACAGAGTGCAGTTGACCCGTCAGAGCGTCGCGGACGCGTCTCGCACAGCCTCCAAGACCACCAGCGCGTCTTGATACAGTAGACGAATGGGACACGAGCCGCAGTGTTCACGACGATCGTGTCGCCGGTTCAATCACTTAACGCTCCGATCGTGGCTCTGCGCTCCGTCGATTACCACCGAGTAAACCGGACGTTTAAAGTCGACCATAAACTTCGACGTTTATTTCTAAGAATCACGGATTTTTAAAAAACAACATTTTTGTTAGTTTCTAGGCCCAGCGCATGGGCGTCCCTGGGTGTCCACACAATGAGTTGTTGGCGTTTAGGCAGTGAAATACAAGCCGATAAATTTAGCGCCTAAGTCGGGCCTAGCCAAAATGTTGCTGCGCGCGGACCGGCCGGCCACGGTCTGCTAAGCCGCGCCACTGCCTCGCCTCGCGCCATTTGAATAATTCCCGCCATTTTTAACGACTTTTCTTCTGCTTTTGCTTTTCCAGGCGAACCTCGCCCGCCAGCAGAGCGACCTGCTGCAGCAGCTCCAGGACGTGCAGCAGAGGCAGCTGCAGTTGCAGGCCCAGCTCCAGGAGCAGGTCGTCCGGGGGCAACAGCCGTGAGTTCAAAAGGAGCAGCTTTTTTTTATTCATTTTTATTTTTATTCCAACGCGTGGCTATCCTCTCGGAATATAAATTCCCGAATGCCCGTTCCTCGAATTCCGCGGCTAGTCCTGGCCGTGTGGAAGGCTCGGCAGGCCGCCAGCCCTCGTAAAACAAACAAATTAAAACTTGTAAATTTTTTTATTAGTTTTTTTAGTAAGTTTTGTTAAATTTTAAAAATTGAGTTAAATTTGAATAAATTTAGGTATTTTTAAACTCAATCTTTAAAATTTAACAAAACTTACCAAAAAACTAATAAAAAATTTACAAGTTTTAATTTGTTTGGTTTCACGAGGGAGGTTGCTCGTCGCTTCTCTGACGACGGTGTCCGTGGTGTCCATGTTGTCCAGGGTGCAGGTCCAGGTGCTGGAGAACAGACTGGACGCCCAGCCCCAGTTCCAGCAGCCCCAGCAGCAGTTCCGGCAACCCCAGCGGCCGCAACAACGGCCCAGGCGCCCGCAGGTCGTCGTCCGCCAGGTTCGACTTTTCGCTAACAAATTCCCCCCCAAAAGTCTGGGAAGTTCCCGTTCGGGTGGACCGCATCCGCGCGCGGGCCCAGGGGTTCATTCTGACTCATCGGCGCTTCACTGTCACCCCGGCCGACCCCGGCCGACCACGGCCTTCGCAACAACCGCCTCAAACCTTGAACGGCGTCTCTCGGCGTCGCTCGGCCGGCCGCGACTCGCGAAAACCGGCCGGGCACGCCTCCTGCCCCCCCCCCCCCCCCCCCGGGTCGTCCGGACCCACGAACCACGGCGGCGGCGGCACGTCAGGCGCGCCTCCAGGTCCTCCAGGACCCGCGCTTGCGCGCTTCGGCTCAAATTGCCGCGGATAGGTCCCGGTCCTTTGCTTCTTTTATTTTCGTTCCGTTCCTCGCGGGAGAGCCGCCGTCCTCGCGTTTCAGCGAACCGCCGCCGGAGAACAGCTTCATCATCCTCGCCTCCCAAAAGCCGGTGCGGTCTTTTGTACACTCTGACGGTCTTGCGAAGAAATGGCACACAAAGAAAAAGGCGCAAGCGTAAAGAGGGTTTTCCCTGTTAGGGAAACAGAAAAGTCACTGTATTTTGGGTATTTTGGCTCTAGTTTTACGAGACTTGGTGGGTGCAGGCGTCTTTCGATGGTGCCAGCGCCAGCACGACCGACAGAAAAACTACAAAACTTCGTATCCATTCAATCACTGCTGAAAATGCAAACGGCGCAATGACTTTCCCTGTTCTTCTGTTTTTCGCGTGTGGCAGCCACCGCCGCCACCACCGCCTCCGCAGCAGCAGCAGCAGCAGCCGCCGCCGCCGCAGCCGGAGCCCGTGACGTTCCCCGGCAGCGACGAGGAGAGCGGCGTGCCGTGCAGCACGCTGAGCGGGCGCGCGGGGACGTGCCGCCTGCTCGTCAAGTGCGTCACCTTCTTCGCGCAGATCCCCGAGCTGCGCAAGCAGCCCTGCGCCCTGGACAACCAGGGCAACCAGGGCGTCTGCTGCCCGGCGTCCGACAAGAACCCGCGTAAGGCGCAGCGGCACAGCACAGTGGGCTAGCTGGGCGGCAGAATACGCGGTTTGAGCTCCGGAGTCGCTAAACGGGACTCGAACCGAACGTGTGACCCCACCAATGGATTGCTCTCCGAACGAGGAATCCATTGGTGGGGTCACGCCACGCGTTCGGTTCGAGTGCTGTTGAACGACTCTGGAGCTCAAAACGCGTGTGGAGTTTTGGCCAGTCTTCTCGCCCACTGTGAATTCATTAAAAGTGCACGCCGAGTCGGGATTTTGAACCCTTTCCTTTCCTCCCCAGCCGCCAACAGGGGCAACAACGGCGTGCTGAAGCCGCCGCCGCCGCCGCCAGTGGAGGTGCCGCCGCTGACGCCGCAGCAGCTCAACACGGCGGCCGACCAGGGCCTGCAGCGCGTGCGCGAGCGCCAGGAGCTGGAACAGCAGCTCGTCAACATCAACCGCGTGCTGCAGCCCGACACGGCGGCCCAGCGCCACCTCGAGCTCTTCCCCACCTCCAACGACACCCTCAACAACGGCAAGCAGGCGCAGTCCTCCGTCGAGGCCTCGCTCGACCTGCTCAACGAGTGAGTGTCTGTCTGTCTGTCTGTCTGTCTGTCTGTCTGTCTGTCTGTCTGTCTGTCTGTCTGTCTGTCTGTCTGTATGTCTGTCTGTCTGTCTGTCTGTATGTCTGTCTGTCTGTATGTCTGTCTGTCTGTCTGTCTGTCTGTCTGTCTGTCTGTCTGTCTGTCTGTCTGTCTGTCTGTTTTATCGACGCACTTCTGTCTGTTCGTCCTGCTGTGTCTCCCCCACGCACGCGCGTGTCGAAGGCACAATGGCGCGCCGCGTGCCAAACCGAGACGACGACGAGCCTCTTCGCTGCCCCCAGGTTCCGGCTCAGCAAGGACCAGGGCACGTTCGCGCTGCCGCAGTTCTCGGTGCTCAACACGGTCATCGCGGACCTGTGCCCGAAGCGGCTGCCGTGCCGCGTGGGCAAGTACCGCACGGCGGACGGCACGTGCAACAACGTGGTCAACTCGCGCTGGGGCTCCACGGGCTCGGCGCTGCAGCGCCTGCTGCCCCCCAAGTACGGCGACGGCGTCAACTCGCCGCGCGCGCAGGCCAACGGCGCGCCCCTGCCCAGCGCCAGGCTGGTGAGCAACCGCCTGGCGCAGGAGTCGGACCGGCCCTCCGACAACGTCACCCTCATCCTCATGCAGTGGGGGCAGTTCCTGGACCACGACCTCACGCACACGCCCATCTCCAGAGGTGAGGGGGACGGCGCCGTTGCGGCCAGCTTTGCGGCGCCACAGTGGGCCAGGGGACCGGCGCAGGCGTCCGAAAATCTAGACGCGTTTTGTACTCCAGAGTCGCTAAATGGGACTCGAACCGAACGTGTGACCCCCACCATTGGATTGCTCTCCGAACGAGGAGTCCATTGGTGGGGTCACACGTTCGGTTCTAGTCCCATTTAGCAACTCTGGAGCTCAAAACGCGTCTAGAATTTTGGCCGCCTCCACCGGCCTTCTGGCTCACGGTGTCCGAAGGCGAGCCGCTGACGGGGACGTGGTGACGTGGTTCTCGTTGCAGGCCAGAACGGCGTAGGCATCTCGTGCTGCCAGGACGGCCAGGTCTCGGACCCGCGCGTGTCGCACCCCGACTGCTTCGCCATCCCCATCCCGCGCGACGACCGCTTCCTCGCGCCCTTCGGCGAGCGCTGCATGGAGTTCGTGCGGTCGCTGCCCGCGCCGCGGCCCGAGTGCAACTTCGGCCCCCGCGAGCAGATGAACCAGATCACGGGCTACATGGACGGCTCCAACATCTACGGCTCGGACGCCAACAAGCAGCAGCAGCTGCGCCTGTTCCGCGGCGGCCGCCTGCGCGAGCAGAACGTGCGCGGCCGCTCCATGCTCCCCGCCAACCCCAACGAGTGCCAGGACACGAGCGGCGCCGCCTGCTTCGTGTCGGGCGACGGGCGCGTCAACGAGCAGCCCGACCTCGCCCTCATGCACACCGTGTGGCTGCGCGAGCACAACAGGGTGGCCAACCAGCTGCAGGTGAACTGTCTTTGCCATGGCGGCACGTGGCGCAGTGGGCCAGAAGACCGGTGGAAGCGGCCAAAATTCCTGACACGATTTGAGCTCCAGAGTGGCTGAATGGGGCTCGAACGGAACGTGTGACCCCACCAAGGGATTGCTCTCCGAACGAGGAATCCATTGGTGGGATCACACGTTCGGTTCGAGTCCTGTTAGCAACTCTGGAGCTCAAAACGCGTCTGGAGTTTCAGCCGCCTGCGCCGGTCTCCTGGCGCACTGTGCATTGGCGGCCTCGACGGCCTTGGTGGTGCGGCTCGCGCTGCCTCCAGTCCGAATGGAGTCGCTCCGCTATTTCTGTCGCGAAATGCATTAGAACCGAGCGAGCGTCGCCTGCACCGTGGGAATCCCTGAAACCAGTGCACACACCACGCGTGTCGCTTATCTCTGTCTTTGTCACACTCAACACGTGTCGCTTATCTCCGTCTCTGTCGCACCTGCAGGCGCTGCACCCGCAGTGGACGGACGAGGAGGTGTTCCAGGAGGCGCGACGCATCGTGGTGGCCGAGATGCAGCACATCACCTACAACGAGTTCCTGCCCATCGTGCTGGGCAAGCCCTACATGGACCGCGCCGAGATGTCCCCCAAGGACTCGGGCTACACCGCCCTCTACGACCGCGAGCTCAACGGGGGCATCACCAACGCCTTCGCCACGGCCGCCTTCCGCTTCGGACACACGCTGCTCGTCAGCAACCTGCAGTGCGTGCGTCCCCACCTCACAGTGGGCCAGAAGACCGGCGGAGGCGTTCAAAATCTCGGACGCGTTTTGAGCTCTAGAGTCGCTAAGTGGGACTCGAACCGAACGTGTGACCCCACCAATGGATTGCTCTCAGAACGAGGAATCCATTGGTGGGGTCACACGTTCCGTTCGAGTCGCATTTAGAGACTCTGGAGCTCAAAACGCGTCTAGAATCTTGTCCGCCTGCGCCGGTCTTCCGGCCCACTGTGCACTTTCCCCCTCTCATTCACGTTGTTTTAAGAGTAGCCAGGGATCGTGTTTTGAAAGACGAGTCCGCTGTTCCAGGGGCGTCGGTCGCTTCGGCAACGTCCGGAAGAACTTCCCGCTCAGCAAGTCTGCCTTCAAGCCCTTCATGCTCTACGAGGAGGAGGGCATCGACGACATGGTGCGCGGCCTCACCACGCAGAGCTCGCAGAAGTTCGACCGCTTCTTCACCAAGGAGGTCGGTGCCGCCAGGCCCTAGCCAGGCCGTTACGGCGATACCCCGCGCCAGCAGCGCCTGCAGCACGCCGCCGGCCCGTCGGCGTGGAGTAGCGCTGCGGCGGGCTGATGTAGCACAGTGGGCCAGAAGACCGGCGCAGGCGGCCAAAACTCCAAACGCGTTTTGAGCTGCAGAGTCGCTTAATGGGACTCGAACCGAACGTGTGACCCCACCAACGGATTGCTCTCCGAGCGAGGAGTCCATTGGTGGGGTCACACGTTCGGTTCTAGTCCTAGGTCGCGACTATAGAGCTCAAAACGCCCACTGTTTGTATGGGTGCGAGAGAGACAGCGGCTCGATGCTCACGCCGCCGTTCCCTTCCAGGTGACGAACCACCTCTTCCAGAACGACCTGCCCTTCGGCCTGGACCTGGTGGCGCTGAACCTGCAGCGCGGCCGCGACCACGGCCTGCCGGGCTACACCGAGTGGCGGCAGGTGTGCGGACTGCGCCGGCCGCGCTCCTGGGAGGACCTGCAGGGCATCATGGAGCCCGACGTGAGTCGTCGTCCGTCGACGCGGTCCTAGGGGTGCGCAGTGGGCCAGAAGACCGGTTGAGGCGGACAAAACTCTGGACGCGTTTTGAGCTCCAGAGTCACTAAATGGGACTCGAACTGAACGTGTGACCCCACCAATGGATTGCTCTCCGAACGAGGAATCCATTGGTGGGGGTCTATGTTCGTTTCGAGGCCTGTTAAGCGACTCTGGAGCTCAAAACGCGTCTAGAGTTTTGTCCGCCTCCGCCGGTCTTCTGGGCCCACTGTGGGGTGATGCCTCCACTGCTAATCCACCCCGTCTCCCCGCAGAGCGTCGCCGTGCTGCAGTCGCTGTACCCGTCCGTGGACGAGGTGGACCTGTTCGCGGCCGGCGTGTCCGAGAAGGCCGCCCCCGGCGCGCTGCTCGGCCCCACGTTCACGTGCATCGTCGGCGACCAGTTCGGCCGGCTGCGGCGCGGCGACCGCTTCTTCTACGAGGAGGGCAACCAGCCGTCGTCCTTCAAGCCGGAGCAGCTGCAGCAGATCAGGAAGGCCAGCCTGGCGCGTATCCTGTGCGACAACTCGGACAACATCGCCCTCATGCAGCCCCTCGCCTTCTTCCACGCCTCCTTCGTGTAAGGCAGCGGCAGCCAGCAGACTGACCCCGAAAGTCGTTTTCGTCGCTCAGTCTCGCTCACACTCATGGACGCCCTATGGGTGCGAGAGAGACAGAGCGACGAAAATGACTCTCGTTATCAGTCTGCTGCAGCCCTATCGCCCTATCTCTCTCGCACTCATGGAGGGCGAAGCGCGGTTGGGACTCAGCCACTGACATGAGCCTGCAGATCTGGGGAGGGTTGGCCCGTCGCTATCCCACGCGCCAGAGACTCGGCGCCAACCCTTGGCGGCGCGCGGGGTAGCGACGGGCCGCTCCCGCCAGCGGATCCAGCGGTCCTGGGTCAAACTAGATTCTCTCTCTCTCTCTCTCTCTCTCTCTCTCTCTCTCTCTCTCTCTCTCTCTCTCTCCTCTCTCTCTCTCTCTCTCCCCTCTCTCTCTCTCTCTCTCTCTCTCTCTCTCTCCTCTTCTCTCTCTCTCCTCTCTCCTCTCTCTCTCTCTCTCTCTCTCTCTCTCTCTCTCTCTCTCTCTCTCTATCTCTGACGACGCTCTCTCTTCGCTCTGCCCACAGGAACCAGCGAGTGGCCTGCAGCAGCGACACCATCCCCAAGGTGGACATCCGCGCCTGGGCCAACGAGCGTCCCAGCAACTTCTAGGCCTTCTAGGCCTTCTAGGCCGGCCGCGCACAACAGCGCTCCCCGACAACCAATGTGATAAACTAATGAATAACTATTCGTACTGTAAGGCTTTCTGCTGGAATAAAATCGCGACTGAAACGGACGAGGACTGTTGGCTCGAAACGCGCGCGGGAATACTCCGCGCGCTCCGCGTGCGTCGGCGTGGCGATACCCCGCGCAGGGGTGGCGGCAGTGAGAACACAGTCTTGCTGCGAGTCCCACGCGGGTGTGGCGTGGCGTGGCGTGGCGTGGCGTGGCGTGGCGTGGCGCGGCGTGGCGTGGCACGGTGCTGGTCGGAGTGTCAATTCACTTGCTGCCGTACTTCCCCCGGCCCGCGCCGCCGCGCTGCCGTCGCCTCCCCCGAGACCCGGGGGGTTCCCCAGACACCGCCCGGCCCGCAGAAGGGGACCTGCTGCATGGCTGCGGCCCGCGGTCGGGCTGGGGTTCGCGTCCCGCCCGGTCCCGCCGCGGCCGGACGAAAATATTAGCAATTGACTGCTCGCTACACAACCGCACCGCCCCGCCCGGCCACCCCGGCGCTTCCCACATTAACAATTTAGGCGAGGAGGGACTCCGGGCCGCTTCCCAGCGACTCGCAAAAAAAAGGAATCTTTCCCTCTCATACATGGGAGAGGACACGGGCCTTCCCGCTGCAGCTCTCCACGGGGCTCGTTCGTAAATTACTAGCCAGGGGAAGGCCTTCGGCCTCGATGCTGAGCTGCATTCTGCTGGAGATGAAAATGCATTTTCATCAGTAGTTAATTTGGATGTGTTTATTTTGAAAGATTTTGAAAAAAAGACCTTATTCTCAAAGTAAGTGGTCCAACCAATCCTAACCTAACCTAACGGGCTCGTGACAGATCTTACTCTACTCGTGACAGATCTTTCCCTACTCTCGACAGATCTTATTCTCAAACTAAATGGTCCTACCAATCCTAACCTAACCTAACGGGCTCGTGACAGATCTTACTCTACTCGTGACAGATCTTTCCCTACTCTCGACAGATCATATTCTCAAAGTAAATGGTCCAACCAATCCTAACCTAACCTAACGGGCTCGTGACAGATCTTACTCTACTCGTGACAGATCTTTTCCTAATCTCGACAGATCTTATTCTCAAACTAAATGGTCCAACCAATTCTAACCTAACTTAACGGGCTCATGACAGATCTTACTCTACTCGCGACAGATCATACCCTACTCGCGACAGATCTTATTTTCAAATTAAATGGTCCAACCAAATCTAACCTAACCTAACGGGCTCATGACAGATCTTACTCTACTCGCGACAGATCATATCCTACTCGCGACAGATCTTATTCTCAAACTAATGGCCTATGAAGCTTGGCGTATGGCGCTACGACTATGGAGCTTGGACTATTGAGCTGTGACTTTAGAATATGGACTATGGAGCTTAGACTATGGAGCTTGGACTATGGATCTTGGACTATGGAGCTCTGACTATAGAGCTCTGACTATAGAGCTTGGACTATAGAGCTTGGACTATAGAGCTTCGACTATGTATACGCATATGAATATAGTAAAAATAAACAGAGGAAGATACCTCTAGTAAACTAAAGGTATCGGGGGGGGGGGGGTCGGAAAAATGAGCTATTCAAAATCCCAAACAGGGTGCTTCGCTTCGCTCAGCAACGAAAACAACCAGGAGGGCGTGCACGGAAAAAAGAAATTCGTTGACCCAACGAAAATGTACGTTGATTCCGTGATAGCCGAAAAAAATCTGTTTGAGTAACGATAAGTTTGTTCGCGTAACGAATAATTTGTTGGTACGACGAACAATTCATTGGCGGAGCAAAAAAGTTAGTTGGAGTGACAAAATCATGACTTCGTTCCTTTGACGGATCTTTTGGTTGCGCTTAATGATTGTTAGTTTTGCCGACAAAAAATTTCAGTGCTCAAACAAAATTTTCGTAACTCCAACAAATGTTTTCGGTTATCACGGAATCAACGCACATTTTCGTTGGGTCAACGAATTCCTTTTTTCCGTGTGGAACTACAGCCCGCACGGTAAACGAAAACCTCTGACTGTGAGTTCTCCACCAGTGTTCATTTTCGGTTTCCAAAGTGACGGCTTGAACTCGGCGCGCGAGGTCTGCTCGGGCTGCAGGTCGTTTCGGACGCCACCGTCGAAAACCGAAGAGTTGCATCCGTTTTTGAGTGACAGCGACTGAGAAACGGGCAAGTCCCGAAAACCGAATCACGCCACTCGAAATGCGGGATTTTTGTTTACCGTTAGGGCGAGGACCCCGTTATACGTTACGTCATGGTGACGTCCGAATGGACCAAACATTGACTTCAATTATTGCTCAACAGAAGGTCGCGTTCACAGTTTGGTGTTTTCACCAGTTGTACTATGGTGGGTGCGGCCGAACAGAAATACACCCCGACTCGAGGGGGTAAACGCTGCGAAATACCGTGTAAGTACACAAAAACCGTGTATTACGCGAAATACACGTAATTGTAATACCATGTTTGAGCCAATCGTGCCAAATCTTGGCATTTTAATGCCGTAATACACGTGTTGCACCCTCGTAATACAGCGTAATACCGCGTAATACCGAGTACTCCGTACACGATTTCTTGGAGTGATTACCTCCTCGCCCCGACTCGTCTCACACGCGCTGTACAGTAAAACTGCCCTCCGCGCGCCTTCGCGGCTGCAACTGCTGCAATCCGCGGGCGCCGTTTGTAATCAGCCTCTGTTTTCCCGCCAAATTATCGCGCGCGGAACTGCTTTTTTTCCCGTCCCCGTCTCCGTTCCGTCTCGCCGCCGCGCCGCGCCCCGCCTAGTGGGCCGCCCCGCACATCGCGGCACCGCTCTCGCCGCTCCAGCCAGCTAATCAGCTGAGTGCACATTATCGCCAACCTCGCCTCCCCCCTCCCCTCCACTGGAGCAGCGGCGTCAATAACGACAACACCCCAGCCGAAAATCCCGGTTACGGTTCCGGAGAAAATCTCCGCTTACGATCGTAAATCGCCCCAAATTTTCCGGTTGCGATCGGAAACCGGACCTAATTTACGGTTACGGTCGGTCACGTCCCGGTTACGATCGGACTTGTTCCGGTTACGATCGGACTCGTTCCGGTTACGACCGGACCCATTCCGGTTACGATCGGACCAGATCCGGGTCCGAGGCCGGACTCGAAGAAGCATGTCCCATGCGTTTAAGTCTCCAGCGAATTTTCAGAAACACTCCATAACTTGTGAACGGTAACTTATAATAAATTTCTGAAGTCAAAATTGGGCGTAGCTCGCAAAGTTTACCCTGTCGTCATGCTTATATAACGCGGATCTCTGCTTGATGGAGCACCACAGAAGACAAACTTGATGTCTTGTGACACTTTGTACTCCGACCGGAATGGTCAGTTACGGTCGTAAACCCCTCCTGGTTACGATCGTAATCGTAACCGGAAATGTCCGAAATTACGGTCGTAATCGTATTCCGGCCGGAATCGTATCCCGGTCGGAATCCTATCCCGGTCGTAACCGTACTCGGAACCGTAACCGGGATTTTCGGCTGGGACAACACCGGTGACAACAACAACAACAATGACGACGACAACAACAGCAAGCATGAACAAAAACTCACACGCGGATAAAATAATCATCATCTATGTAGAGCATCGGACGGGGCCCGTGTGCTGAATAATGAAGCCTGCAGCATCACGCTCCATTTGGGGCCCGTCTACTCGCCACAGACTGGGGCGGGGCGTTGTGATTCCTGTGTGTGTGTGTGTGTGTGTGTGTGTGTGTGTGTGTGTGTGTGTGTGTTCGGATTCCGGCGTCCGGGGAGGAGACTCATCCCCCGGGTGCGATCCGATCCTTTCCAGATTGGCGCAGCCGAGGCTGCACTTGTAGGTAACACACCTTCGCCGTGGTCTGGCGAGACAAGTCGTTTCCAGATCTGGGTGGCGGTGGCAAAATAGTATGGAGGTCGTATGGTGCCGAGAGGAGTCAGAAATTTTCTGCGATGCACCAGTGTGTCGACAGGGTCGCCAACCCCAGCCGGCCCATTAGGCAATAACTTGGCAAGCAAAGGCAGTCGAAGGCAACTCCGGAGCGGCCGTCCGCCGGGCAGGTAGGCCTCCCTCCCGCCGGGCTGTCCGTCGTGCGGCCTAGCGCTCGACACACGGCGCTACGTGCCGAGGAGGCAGCAGTGGGCCAGAAGACCGGTGGCGGCGGCCAAAACTCTAGACGCGTTTTGAGCTCCAGAGTCGCTAAGCAGGACTCGAACCGGACGTGTGACCCCACCAATGGACTGCTCTCCCAACGAGGAATCCATTGGTGGGGTCACACGTTCGGTTCGAGTCCCATTCAGTGACTCTGGAGCTCAACACGCGTCTAGAGTTTTGGCTTGGCCGCCGCCACCGGTCTTCTGGCCCACTGTGCAGAGGCATCGCAAGCCTTCCCGGCCTGTCGTCCGGAGAGACGGAGACGAAGACGAAGTGACGGCCGGCTTTTCCTGCTGCCTCCACTGCAAATTAAGTGCGCACTGAGCACAACAAATAAAGCATTTAAGTGCGCACCAAGTGGTCTCTTACTTTTGTCCTAAATGTGGACGGCAGGACACCCTGAGTGCTGCTCCGCTTCGTCACGTGCATTGCAATGCATGATCAAATCTTTAAATCGCTCGTCCACGGCTACTGCACTGCGTACTTCGTTACTGGCCACGTGACACAGCAACAGCATATTACTTCCGTCCTTTCCAAAAGGCCGCCTGGGTTTCCGTCCGAGCGGACTGATTCCGGACAGTGCTTTCACCGCTCCGTCTCTCTCGCACTCGCGGGCCGGTCTGCCTTGGTGCGAGGGAGTCGAGACACTGTCGGGAATCGGTCTGCGCAGGCGGCGCGGTAACTGCTCGGTTCGTTTTATCGAATGTATAACGCATCCCGTAATGACAAGGAGAAGAAGACGAGCACGACACCGTTAAAGTCACCTCCGAACGCCCCGCCCCGCCCCGCCCTCGCGGTCCCCCACCCTCCCCCACCCCCTGCCCCGGCGGCCAGCCAATGGGAGGACGGCATGGAGGCGCCGCGCGCTGCCATTGGCTGAGGCCGCGCCGTGCCGAGCCGCGCAACCCCCGTCCGTCCGTCTCTCTCTCTCTCTCTCTCTCTCTCTCTCTCTCTCTCTCTCTCTCCTCTCCTCTCTCTCTCTCTCTCTCGTCTTTGTTTTCTTTCAGAGAGAGACGGCGGAGCGAGCGCGGCGAAGGTCCTGCAGAGGGCCGGTGTTTGCTTGTCCGCGAGACGCTGTGTGTTTGCAGAGCAGCGGCCCGCCTTGGCTCGCCTTTTGGCTCGCCTTTGCCTTCCCTGCAGACTCATTCTGAGAGTCGTCTCCGTCGCTCTGTCTCTCTCGCACTCATGGGGCGTCCCGTGAAGGTGCGAGAGAGACAGAGCGACGAACGCGACTCTCGGAATGAGTCCGCTGCAGCCAGCGTCGTCCTGCTCGTCCTGCTCGAGGTCCAGGCCTGCCGAGCGATCCAGAAGAGTCGTTTCGTCGCTCTGTCTCTGTCGCACTCGTGGCGATCTCGGAGAGGGTGCGAGAGAGACAGCGGCAAACCGCTCCTCCAGTTCGCTCGGCTGGTCAGCCTGCGGCGGCCGAGACCCGTTGCATTGCAGGTTGAAGGGCTGGAGATCACTGCGAGGCCAAAGTAAAAGCTGGACTGTGCACTCTTTAAACCTTACAAACTATTTACCTTACGAAGACAGTTATGCGTTTTTACGAACTATTTCAATCAGAAGGTGAATCAGCACATCGTGTACATTGGAGAGCTAGACAGCAAATCACTGCGCTTACCTTTACTCGTTTCCCATTGACAGGGCTTGGCTGCGAAGCAAAGCGAAGCCTCGCTGAGAGAGGAAAGATGAATTTGGCATTCGGAGGTTGGCGATAATCACGCGGTGCGGTATCGTTTCAGGGAGGGCTGTTTTCCGGTAGGGCGGGACAGTGCCATCGCCTTGGCCACCGCCACGACGGTCGGAAGCAGCGAGGCAGCGACGGAACCAAGAGGCGAACGCGAAGAGGGAGGAGAGAGAGAGGGAGGGAAGGGGGTGCGAGGGAAAAAGAGAGAAAACTACCCCCACCCTGGTGGCGCGGCGGGGTGCGGCGGGGTGGCGGGGCGCGGCGCGGCAGGCCCGCCCCTCCCAGCCAGCACCCCGCCCCGCCCCCCACCCTCCGCGTCGTCCCCGTCCCGGCCGTCCCGGGCGTCGCGGCAGCCTAGCAGCGTGCAGCATCCGGCGAGTTATTGAATTAAGTCCATCATTCGATTTCCAGTGTGGCTGTGTACGGGTGTGCGCCGAGCTGCGCCGAGCCAGCCAGCGGCCCGCCGCTCCAGAAGCCCATCGCGCTGCATAGCAAGAGGCGCGTCGCGGCCCGCGGCCCGCGCCGCCCCCGCGCCGCCCCCGCGCCGCCCCCGCCGGACGGCGCGGCGTGGATGCCGATTTGAAGCGTGCACCGAGGCACCGCGCCACCGCGGCCATGGACTACACGTACTTGAACCAGGCCGCGGCCTTCGACCCGGCCTCCTGCTCGCTGGACGCCGGCCACGGCCTCGGCGCCGGCCTCCCCTGCGCCTACCCGGACCTGGCCTCGGCCGCCGCCGGCTGCTCGCAGATGTCCGGGTACCGGTACGCGTCCGCCAACATGGCCGGCCGAGGCTACCCCGTCAGCAACATGGGCGCGCCGCACAACCAGCAGTGCATGATGTCCAGGCCGCTGTCGCAGGACGTGCACAGGGCCATGTTCCCCTCCGCCATGGACCTCCAGGGTGAGTAGGAGCCACGAGGGGTGACCCACTGGAAAATTTTGTGTACAATGATTGTGTGAATGTGCAAGATATCTGGCGCTGTTTCCACATATGTTGCCTACTTACAGGCGTTTTCACCACCTGGATGTGGAATGTGGCCAAATTTTGTACAACGAATATGTGGGAAGCTGTTCCCCCCTCGACGAACCACCTGTGCGCGCACAACAATCAAGCACGCATGGCCAGTGTGGTGGTTTGTGATGGGCACGTTTTCCATCGAGCTGGAGGCATCTCTCTTAGATTTTACAAACAAATGCTTCTAAATTTTACGAGAGAATTATTCTTGTTGACTTTTCCGATCCCGGGATATCGTTTGTTGATTCAGATCTGCTTCGGCACTTTCTCTTTGGTTTGGTTTGAATTGGAGGCTGTCTTTCGACTGCAACAAAGTGGCAACGTGATCCGAGGCGGTGTTAACGTAACGGTGCCTGAATCCTGCGCCATTCTGATAATTAGCTTAAAACTCACAGCTAGACATTGCGTCACTCCTTTGCTGTCCACTGTTGATCTGATGAGAACCGACACTTTCCGAAGTTTCGTACCCATCTTTTAGTTTGTTTTTTTTTGGCGTACCAAAGCACTTTTGCTTGCAACGCCGTTATAAACAGTCGTAATATGCGATTCAGCCACAAAGGCAAGGTGTTCTTCCTTTACGGCCTGTAGGTCTGCAGGAAATAATCTCTGGTCTTAGCACTTGGAACAAACAGTCTGTGAAGGATGCATGGGCCATGTTTTACGCTGGGTTTTACGACAATCCTAGCAGACTTCTGCGACATAGTGGTCATAAAGTCTGCTGGAAGTACCGAACAGGTCTGAACATGAAGTCACAACCGAGGAACATCTCTCGTTCTATATAGTCAACTTTGAATTTCAATGAATGACTGCAGGATGTTGAACAAGTAGAAAGATTGTGCTTAGTACTTTGAGGTTGCTTGGATCAGCCCTCGGGAATGTAAATTGTCGCTCAATCTTTTCTCACTTTCGGGAAGGTATAACGAACTTAAAGAGCGGGAAAACCTGCAAGCCTAGGAGAGCTGCACCCCTGAAAAAGTGCTCTTAAGACTTGAACGTACGTCCTGAACCAAGAGAACTTTCGTGACAAGAGAACTGTCTAGCTGACGAAATCTGCTGTTCTGTAGCTAAAGAGGTTGAAAATTCTAAAGTGTCACAAGAGAGTTCTCTGAGTACGAGAACACTCTACTTCTTTGAAGCAGGTGTGTGTGAGTGCAAATTCAACCAACTCCGGATTACCCGCCTCTCCCTGCAGCCTTATTCCGATGGTCGTTTTCGTCTCTGTCTCTCTCGCACCTCTGCGGGACGTCCCGTGAGCGCGAGAGAGACAGAGTGACGAAACCGACTCGCTGATGACGCGGCCATCTCTGAGATTCTCTCCAGTGCAGCTGACTCCGTCACTCCGTCACCTGACCCGTGACGCACAGCCACCGGGAAATGTAGTCTGCCGGAGGGCGAGGGAAAGAGAAAGAGAGAGTCGGGGAGGGGAAGGGGGAGGGGGCGGGGCGGGGCGGGGGGCGGGGGCGGCGGGGCCGAGGGCGTGGCTGAAGAATTGCGCGGCTAATAGGACGGGACGTGCGCGTCAAGGGCCGTGGTGGGAGGCACTGCCGGGGCGGGGTGGGGCGGGGCGCGGTGGGGCGGGGTGAGGTGGGGCGGGGTGAGGTGGGGCGGGGCTCAGGGGGTGGCAGCCACGCGCGGGGGCGGGGGCGGACCGAGCGCCCGAAATGATCTCTGTGTGTTTTCATTTTCGGAGCCTTTTGCCATTGATTGTCCCCCTGCAGTGGGGCCCACTAGTGAGGCCGCCCCGCGCCGCCACTGCCGCCACAGACCCGGAGGGGATCGGTCTCTCACTCAGAGAAATTGACCAGCTGCGCTGCTGCGAGTCCAGCGGGTCGCTGTCAATCAGAAGACGGTGACTTGCACGCGGGGCGGCTTCAAGTTTTGTCATCCCCAAAGAGTGCTTCAAGTTAATCAGCGACGACGGTCGTTTTGCGAGCGAAATGTCGCCTGTTTTCCATTTTGCTGTAATTGTCTCGCCAAAAGTCACTCTTCTAACCACATTGGCAGTGTACAAGCGAGGCCAAGGTAATTGGCGCAGTGTCGCCTCCAGGGATTCCAGTCTTGCAGAGGCCCCCCCCCCCTCTCCGCTCCAGAGTACGGTCTGAGGGTGTTGGACACCTTCCCGCACCCACGCCCACCCCCTCGCTCGCCCCCTCTCTCTCGCACCCGCGCAGTGTCAAGCAGCAATTTGGCCCGAGAAACGAAAAAGACAAGGCAGCCTGCTGGAGGCGACACACACCAAAAAAAGAGAGAGGGGGAATGGGGAGAGAACTGCGGAGGAGGAGGCAACGCCGAGGAGAGTGAGGAGGGACAACAAAGTTGCAGTAAGTGGAGCTTGAATCCCGCTGCAGCCGCTGCGCAAATCATGGCGCCCCAGCCTCGCTCTGTCTCCCTCGCATTCGTACGGGACGCCCCCCGAGTGCGAGCGAGACAGAGCGACGAAAAGGACCTCTGCAGCAGTTTGTGGATGAATCAAGCCTTCCAGTGTCACAGCGTACCTGCATGCTGTGCGTCGTCTGCTCGGCCCCTGCTGGTCCGCTCCAGCCTTGGCTCCAGCCACCCCGGAGCCTGGAGCCCCGAGCCTGGAGGGCAGCACTCCAGCTCCCAGAACGAAAAAGGGGAAAATAAAGTGAAATAAAACGGGAGGGACCCTCTGTGCGACCAACAAGGGCAAAACACGGCCTGGCTGCCTTTCTGGCTGCTGGCGGCGCGTAGCGGCGCGCGGTGGCAGTAAAAATGCAAGCGGTGGAGACAATGTTTTTTACGACTCGACGTCACAGCAGACACATAGCACAGGGCACGGTCCTTTGGGGCTTTACTGCCTCACAAAGGGAAGGGCGGATCGTGATCTCGTGTGAGTGTGTGTGTGTGTGTGTGTGTGTGTGTGTGTGTGTGTGTGTGTCCACGTGTGCGGGAGACAAACTGTAATTTGTCAAAATTGAGAAAAAAAAAGTAAAAGTGAGTTTCTCGTCTCCACACAGTTGAATTTTTATAAACTATTTTGCATTTGCAGAGTGTTGCCTTCTCTAACGGCGCATAATCCCTGCTGTCTGATAGTTTCGACAGTTTGTTTTGTTGTGACGAAGGTGTCTGCCGTCCGAATCGGCCACCACGCGCACCCAAAGGACCCAAGGGCGAAAGAGACGCGCCGAAAAAAGGCTAAAAGGACCAAAATGAACGCCAACGGCGCACGGGCAAAAAAACCTCCCCTTCGGTGGGCAGCTCTGAGGGACCCAAACCACCCCCTCTGGCGCCCCCACCCTCTTTCCCACCTTCCGGCTTTTTGGGGCGCAGTGGGGTGGGGGGCGGCACGGTGTGTACTTAGCGAGAAGGCGACCTCTAACGAGGAAGTACACATGCGCGCCTCTCATCAGGACCCGGTCCGGGGGAAAGGGGAGGGGGGTACAGCCCGCCCCAAAACACCTCCCTCAAAGTCGTGAGCACAACGAGACTGCTGCACTGTCCGTCGCAAAAGCCGACGAAAACGAGGACTCGCTAAACAAGTTTTATCAGTCCGGGCGAAATTTATAGTAGGACTTTTCCCTATTGGCCTACACGGCAAAAACGGTTCCCACTCCGGGAGTTCCTCGGAAATCACCTCCTGTGAAAACGTAGAACCGTTGCCAAGGAGAAGTCACTGTGAATTTCAGTGTACAAATCATATGAATTTCAGTTAAATTTCGATCAATTTCGGGCAAAAACAATTGAGGACAATTTCTGTAAATTTCGGTAAATTTCGATATTTTTTTGTGTGAATTAAATTTGGCTGGAGTTATTTCCCCTTGTGCAGTGAAGTACTTCAATGTTGGGGCTGTCAATTATTTTTCGTTTTACAGTGCGGCCACTGCGTTCGGCCGCGCATCCGCGCCAAAACAGGGGTCGGAAATTAAAAGGGCGCGCGCTGTCAGTTCGTTAAACGGCGAAACGTCACACACGCGAAAATAATAGGCCGGGCGGCCGCGTTATCAAATCAAGAGTGTTAGTCTTCTTTCTGGTGTCACCGCGTTTTCCCGCGTTATCGGACACCTGACTGACTCCGGCACAGACAATAATTAGCAGTTGGCAGCACTGCAGCGCGCTTTGACGAAGTGGCCAACTTTGGAGAGCCGCCCCGCCCCGCCTCGCCTCGCCTCGGTGTGCCCGTCGTGATGAGCGGAGGAAGGGGCGGCCGGAGAGCCTGGAAGGCACAGTGGGCCAGAAGACCGGTGGAGGCGGCCAAAACTCTAGACGCGTTTTGAGCTCCAGAGTCGCTAAACAGGGCTCAAACCTAACGTGTGACCCCACCAATGGATTCCTCGTTCGGAGAGCAATCCATTGGTGGGGTCACACGTTCGGTTCGAGTCCCATTTAGCGACTCTGGAGCTTGAAACGCGTCTAGAGTTTTGGCCGCCTCCACCGGTCTTCTGGCCCACTGTGGAAGGCCGGAGAGCCTGGAGAGCCTAGAGAGGCGCAGGGAGGCATCCGAGCAGACGACAGCGCAGGGCAAACAACCGAGGCGGGCAAACAGACCGGGGGCCGCTCCGCCGCTCCTCCTCCCCGCCACTTTTGCTTGCACTTGCTTGTGTCTCGGACGAGCGAGTGTTTTCACTGAAAACCGAGGCTAATTGGCGACACGGCCTTCCGCCCTTCCGGCCTTCGGGCGTGCCAAGCCCGCTGGAACGAGTCGAACTAGGGAACTAGTGCACAGTAAAATCTCCACGAAGAACCGCTTTGTAAAATCTACGAGGAAATGCTTCGTATTACGAGGCAAAATCCTTCGCAATACGAAGCATTTCTTCATATAATACGAAGCAATTCTACAACGCCTTCATTTTCTTTGTAGTTATGAAGCAAATGCTTCGTAGGCTTTTTAGAGTGTGCTAGCCGTTTCGCCCTGTGTGGTGCACCTGTAAAAACGGTTCCTGGTTGCTCCAGGAAGCTTATGGTGGTGGCATAGGTGATTTCCAGGGAGTTCCTGAGAAAAGCAGAAACCGTTTTTCTGTGTTCCTGTCGTCCCCCATCGGTTAAACGGTCTGGCCAATTTCAGAACAAAAAAAGGTCAATGCCCAAAAAAAAAGGTAAAATTGACTCACACACCCCGAAAGAGTCGTTTCTTCAATCAAGATATACTTACTACAAGTCGATTTGCTTGTTATTTTCAAGTCCATAAAGCCACTTATTACGAGTAAATTATCTTGGTTCAAGGAAGGCCTTTTTATAGTGTGTATTGAGGATAAGTGGATGAGGGGTTAGTTGGATTTATAAGTCTGGCTGGCCCAAGTTCGGCGGGTACCCTTATGTATTTTTACGCTACTGACGATACCAATATATAACTGCACTGTGCTGGATTTAAATAGTTTTCAAGTTCTTTTCTTAAGTTTTTGAGAGTTAACGACGTTGTTCTCGGCGTTGTCCGCAGGCTACAAGGTGTACCCGGGGCACGACGGCCTGACGGAGAAGCGGAAACAGCGGCGCATCCGGACCACCTTCACCTCGGCACAGCTCAAGGAGCTGGAGCGGGCCTTCCAGGAGACGCACTACCCGGACATCTACACCAGGGAGGAGATCGCCCTCAAGATCGACCTCACGGAGGCCCGGGTGCAGGTCAGTCCGTCATTTAGGCAGAAACAACAAGCCGCGACACGTGTGCGGCACACGCACACACACGCACACACGCGCGCGCACACACACACACACACACACACACACTGCTGATTGTAATCCCCATCTGCAAACAGCGCGGGGCGGCATGGCGCCCCACATCTGCGGCGCGGGGCCGCGTGCCCGACCATCTGGCCCTCGGTCTGGCCGTCGCCGTCGCCGCGGTGTTTGCTGTTTTAAAGGCGCGACAGTCGCCGGTCAGTCAAGTCGGAGGGGGATTCCTTCAAGCAGGCTCGGAGGGGGAATGGGGCATGGGGCATGCCTAGGGTGGTGCCACACAGTGGGCCAGAAGACCGGTGGAGGCGGCCTAAACTCTAGACGCGTTTTCAGCTCCGAGTCGCTAATGGGACTCGAATCGAACGTGTGACCCCACCAATGGATTCCTCGTTCGAAGAGCAATCCGTCACACGTTCAATTCGAGCCCCATTTAGCGACTCTGGAGCTCAAAACGCGTCGAGAGTTTTGGCCGCCTCCACCTGCTCTGGCCCACTGTGCCAGAGCAGGTGGAAGCTGCAGGGTGACGGAGCGAAGGAAAGGGGGATTGTGGGAGGAAGTTCGCAGGCTATGCCCCGGTAGGCAAGGCCGCCGTGAGCCTTGCAGCGCACTCTGGCGGAAAAGAGGGAGAGTCGCAGTGGGCCAGATGACTGAGAGTCGGCCAAAACTCCAGAAGCGTTTTGAGCTCCAGCGTCGCTAAATGGGACTCGAATCGAACGTGTGACCCCACCAATAGATTGCTCTCCGACAGAAGAGTCCATTGGTGGGGTCACTGGTTCGGTTCGAGGCCTGTTTAGCGACTCTGGAGCTCAAAACGCGTCTGGAGTTTTGGCCGCCTCCACCGGTCTTCTGGCCCACTGTGCGGCTTGACGGCGGCCGCGCTCTGTACGCCTGCCTGCGAGAGTCTGGCAGCCGACGGCCTGACGGCCCGACGGCGATGTTATCCAGAACCAATCGACGAGAATGCACGTGTGTGGGGGTGGCGGCCGCGGCCTCGGCGGTGGCGGCGGCGTCTCCGGGGACCCGGCAGCCCGACAGCCTCGTTGGCGTTGGCGCGATGCTCGCCACTCCCCCGCCGTGGTGCACTTGTCGGCCAGCGCCTCTCGGCGTCCTCGTCGTCCTCGTCGTCGTGTTCCCACGCCCGGTGTCTCCGGAGACCAGTACCACCAGTGCCACCACCCCGACGGCGCCCCGCGACCGGAGGCCACGCCGGGCACGCCAAGACCCCCCGTGGACTGCGAACGCCGCTCGGCCGAAGGGGTTGCTCCGAAATGCGGTACGCACACGCTCTCTCTTGTTGTTTTTCAAATACAGTTTTCACGTTGTCTGGCGTTTTCTCAACGTGCATACGAAAGCATGTTTCACTGCCACGGGACGGCTTTTCAATTTTCCAATACCCGCGCCGTGGAGCCATCGGGAACAGTTTGCCGCCGTCGCTCTGTCTCTCTCGCACCCCGATGGGACGTCGGTGCGAGAGAGACAACGAGTTCCAAAGTCTGAGCGATGCCTACCTGACCCAGTGAGTGCGGTATCCCCGCGGGGCGTGCTGCGTTGATTGGGGGACGATAGACCACCCCTCCCTCCCCCTCCCCGCCTCCCTCCCCGCCACTCCACGCGACAGTTTATTACCAGTCATTCCACATCATTTCCCCGGCTGTGCACGAGCCGGCCGAGGGGAGGAGATCACGGCTCGCGAGGGTGGCTGGGTGTGTAGCGTGGCCGGCCCGGCTCGCCCGGAATATTGAAATAAAAGCAACTGTCTCGTTAGTGAATTCATGAATCCGGCCGAATCTTGTTTTATTTACTGTGAACGAACGCGCCACGCGTCTCCCCTTTCCGACGCCGCTCGCGGCAACCTGTGCCGAAATGCCTTCCCTAACCTCACCTAACCTAACTTCAGAATGTAATGACAACTCCATGCAGTGTCACTCTATTACTCTGGAATGGAGTGACAACTCCATCCTCCATCATAGTCGCTGCATGAAATACTCTAGTCTATGGTTGCTTCTCCTTCTGCAGTTTCTTAGAAATTCGTTTTTTTCTCTTCCCTTGGCTGGTCGTACATCACGGGGTCCGATATTATAATGTAGGCACGGCCCATTTAATGCAGGCGGGCCATTCTGGGCCATGCTGGGCCATTCCAAGACGTTCATCCCCCTGTTGCCCTCCAGCCACACCGAGCCCATGTTTTCACTCCGCGAAACAGTAGTGATGGAGAAGCTTGAAAGTATGGCAGGTTAAGCTTTCGCTTCATTTAATGATTCGCCCTTCTCAACTTGATCAAGCTACTCTTGTCAACGCTGCGTGTTCTTGTCAGCGCCCGTCAGTCTGTCTGTCTGTCTGTCTGTCTGTCTGTCTGTCTGTCTGTCTGTCTGTCTGTCTGTCTGTCTGTCTGTCTGTCTGTCTGTCTGTCTGTCTGTCTGTCTGTCTGTCTGTCTGTCTGTCTGTCTGTCTGTCTGTCGGTCTGTCAGTCTGCCTGTTTGTCTTTCTGTCGCCTCGTCAGGGTCCGCAGCTTCCTTCCACTCGGGTGGCCCTGTTTGCCTTTACCCGCGGCGACAGTTGTCACGCCGAGCCGAGCCGAGCCGAGCCGAGCCGAGCCGAGCCGAGCCGAGCCGAGCCGAGCGGAACCAGACCGACGGCCGCACCCTTTAATCCACAACGGGGTGGCCTAGGCGCAGTGTCACAGTGTCACCAACTGCGGAAAAAGAGTAACAAAATAATCCGCCAATATTTGCCCTCCACCCCATAGCTGGCCCAGCAGCCCGGCATGGCAGTGTTGTCTCTGTGTATTATTTCTGTGCCACTTGCCACTCTCCGCGTCGCCGCGTCGCCGCCACGACATGTGTCCGTCGGCAGGCTGCGGCCGGGCCGCGAACGAGCCCTTAACGAGGCGGACATGACACCCTTTATTCCCGAAATGCGAGGCTCCCTATGAAAAAAGTCATTTTACATCCGAGTTTCGAAATTCTCAGATACGACTAAGGAATTCGTTTCAATGTCAAAACTGAAGCGATGCATGCACAGAGGTGAGAAACACGAGGCTGAGGAACCGTGATCACCGTGGGTTTATTTTGTCCCCCGGCGGCAGAGAAAACTAACGAAGAGGCAGGTTAAACGGCCCAGCACAGCAGCCCCTAGCAGCCCTCACGCCATCCCCGCGCCTCCATCCCCGCCGACATCAACACCCCCTCCATCCCCGTCCACGTCCCGGGGTCGGCCTGCGTGCGTGCGGTGCGGTGCGCGCCGTGCGGTGGCCGACGCTCTTTCGACAATGGGATTATTGTTTGTCGTGGCAATGTCAACAGGCCTCTCTGCCTGCCGATGGCGTGGCGAGGCGCGGCGTGGCGCGGCGTGGCGTGGTGTGGCGTGGCGTGGCGTGGCGTGGCGTGGCGTCCCGGGGGTAGCAGGTGGCGCAATGTGGGCAGCGAGTTGATTCGAGGGGAGGAGCCAAGGCAGCCATGAAGGCAGCCAAGGCCGCGGAGGGTGGCAACACCTTCCCTTCCCGTGTACAAGTCGTCTCGATGCCGAGCGCCCCGGGACCGGTCCACAGTGGGCCAGAAGACCGGTGGAGGCGGCCAAAATTCTGGACGCGTTATGAGCTCCAGAGTCGCTAAACGGGCCTCGAACCGAACGTGTGACCCCACCAAACGATTGCTCTCCGAACGAGGAATCCATTGGTGGGGTCACACGTCCGGTTCGAGTCCCATTTACCGACTCTGGAGCTCAAAACGCGTCTAGAATTTTTGCCGCCTCCACTGGTCTTCTGACCCACTGTGCGGCCCTCGACTCACCTCGTGACTCGGAAATCGGTACATGGCCGTCGTAGACGGTCTGCCATTCTGACTGGACATAGCAGGAGCCCGTCCATCTTGGCAGCCTTAACCTCCACGGTAAAAACGCCTAAAACACCCTCTCATGAATAAATGACCATCTTGTTCCGCACTTGAAGGTTCCCTCTCTAAAACGCGAAAAGTCGTTGGCTGCGCGCCTGGTGGCTGCTGGCGGTGGTGGCCCTGGTGGCCCTGGTGGCCCTGGTGGCCCTGGTGGCCCTGGTGGCCCTGGTGGCCCTGGTGGCCCTGGTGGCCCTGGTGGCCCTGGTGGCCCTGGTGGCCCTGGTGGCCCTGGTGGCCCTGGTGGCGCTGGAGGCCCTGGACCAGAACGGAGGGACGGAGGGTGCGCCGCTCCCCACGCACGCGCGCGCACGCGTTAGCAGGGGGAGTGTCTCTGCCTGCCTGTCCCCGCGACGCTTAGACCTCACTCTTTGCTCTTTTGGCCGGCCGGCCGGACGAGACGAGGCAATTTAATTCATATACAGACGCGGAACAAGTGTACTCACACTGTAAATAACTAAAAACAGGAAAAAAACAGCTACAAACTATCTAGCAGATGCAACCATCTTTTAGCAGACCAAGTGACGGTGGTGCGTTTCTTAACGGCAGCCTAACCTACCATAACCTAATCTAAGGGCGCCTAAAGGTGTCAGTCAAGGTATTATTATATCCTGAACAGGATGGACCTATGGACCTAGGTCTTGATGGGCTTTGACAAACCCCCGGCCGTTCAAGGTCACTGCAGTGTTCTGTCAGCCCGGCGGACAGCGCGGCAGATGCGAGGCGGTGCTCCGTGGCCACAGGCCGGAACCGGCGCACATTCAATCTGACGAAGCAGGGGTCGCGATGGGCAATAAATTGGCGGGGAACGTCCTTCACAGTCACTTACCCACTCACTGTTAAATGGGGAGGTGTGCGATGCTCTTTTGCAGCAGCAACAACAACAACAATAACACACACACGCACGCACGCACGCAAACACACACACACACACACACACACACACACGAACTGGCAGATCGATTTGATTCTACTTGCTTGGTCAATAAAAATATTTGTTCAACCTTCTATTAGTTTTGATATTTTTTTTTTTTTGCATGTCCGCCAGTTAATAATTAGCTACAGCGAACCATGATCTCTGCCCGCCGATTTCATTTCTTTGAAAATATTCTATCGTTTCGCGCGAGAAACTAAAATCGGGCAATAAAACAGCAATCACCATCGCCATCCGCTTTGCTTACGAATTCCTGCTGGGCGATCGTGGGGAGGGGAGACCGGAGGGCCCGGAGGACAGTGGGCCAGAAGACCGGTGGAGGCGGCCAAAACTCCGGACGCGTTTTGAGCTCCAGAGTCGCTAAGCAGTACTCGAACCGAACGTGTGACCCCACCAATGGATTTCTCGTTCGGAGAGCAATCCAATGGTGGAGTAACACGTTCGGTTCAAGTCCCATTTAGCGACTCTGGAGCTCAAAACGCGTCCGGAGTTGTGGCCGCCTCCACCGGTCTTCTGGCCCACTGTGCGGAGGGAGACGCGCCGCTAACTTCTCTCGTTGCCTTGCACTCTTCGGAAATCTTGCAGCGACTTGGGCCCCACCCTCGGCCCCACCCCCGCCACCGCCAACCCCGATGCTGCCAGGGCTGCCACGGCTGCCAGGCTGCCAGGGCCGCGACAGGGGCGGGCCGGGGCACGCCGGAGGCACGCGGAGAGGGGGTGGAAGTGCACTAATGAAGATTGGATTGGAGTCTCCCTGATTAGGCCGTGTTGTACACAGCGGCAGAGATGAACGAACCTCCCCCCTCTCACTCCCCCCCCTCCCTCCAGCTCCCTCCCCCCTTTTCGCGTCTCCCCTCCCCCCCCCCCCCGGCTCATTGCCTATGTATGGGAGAATTCGTTAGCGCCTGACGTCTCAGTCAACTGCATCCTGCGCACCTTTGCTATATACGCCTTCCTTCTGGGTACCCAGACTGCACCGGAAAAAAAAATATCATTCAACGAACGTTAATGAAAGCAGATGATACTCGTTTGGTTTTCTTGTACGGTGTAGTATGGGTTCATTCCAAAGATAGTATTTAAAAGCTGAGTCCTTTGTGCGCTGTAGCGGGGAGGGATTGTAAATGTTGCGCCTAGGCCGTCGCGCGCGAGGAGGGGGTGCCATTGTCGAATTCCGCGCAGGCTGCGCCGGGCAGACGCACCAGCCCGCCCCGGCAGCCAGCCCCTATTATATTGTTAGGATACGCACTTGGTTTTTGGACTTCTCGAGTAAAAGCTAGCTGACACCTTTATGTGTCTTTTAGTTGTAGTTTTAGGTATGTTTTTAAGTAAAGGTATCATCTGCTAAAAACGCGCACCATTCATCCAACAAAAGAAAAGTCCGCACGGCAAACAAAAGCGCGCCGGTTTTCCAGAGGCGCACCCTATGGAAAAACATGGCATTTTCCCAGGGTCCTGGGGAAACTCGGACACTGTTTTTGCCGTGCTTATTGTGTCCAGGAAAATTATCATCGGGTATTGAACATTGATGCTCACCTGTTTCGTCGAATCAATCTGATTTTGACCAAGCAAGAAAGTGTTTTCTGGGTGCACTGTGAGAAAAAAGTACGGAAAAAGTACGGAACATGTCTGGTCAATAATTTGCCTGGAACGTCCGTACTTGCCAACTACGGAACGTTCCGTACTTTTTTTCCATACCCATTTACATGGGTTCATATGGAGCCAGTACGGAACGTTCCGTACTTTTCTCCGTACCTCCGTACTATATTTTTCTGTACCATTTCCGTACAAAAGTACGGGATTTTTTACAGTGTGCAAACGGCAAAAACTCAAAAATTCGTTCACCGAAATAATTTGACAGGGTATTATTGTAGTACCGGCTGCGGCACCGCTTTCAGCGCCACTTTCACCACGACGTTCAAAGTTGCGCAAAGTGCGGCGGACAGGACCAACCGCGGAGGTGACCGCGGCGCGTTTAATTGCGTTTATCACCGAGCCGAGCCGAGCCGAGCCGAGCCGAGCCGAGCCGAGCCGAGCCGAGCCGAGCCGAGCCGAGCCGAGCCCTGTTTGTGGCGCTGATTGCGGCTGCACTGCCTGCGCCCCGGGGCTACTTAGCACTGTTTTGCCCCCCGGAGTCGCAGGCAGCCAGTCGCAGCCAGGGCGGCGGCATGGCGGCGGTCGCTATGGGGTGCGGTGCGCGCGGTGCGGCCCCGAGATTTGCGGTCTCGTCGGCGGCCGAGAGGGGCTGCGGCTGGGCTTGGGACAGGCTTGGGTCGGGCTTGGGCCATGCAGGGGAAGGAAGGGTTTGCCGCGTCGCCGGAGGAAGCGCGGGGATGGACGAGACAGACAGACAGACAGACAGACAGACAGACAGACAGACAGACAGACAGACAGACAGACAGACAGACGGACGGACAGACGGACAGACAGACAGACAGACAGACAGACAGACAGACAGACAGACGGACGGACGGACGGACAGACAGACAGACAGACAGACAGACGGACAGACAGCGAAGTGCAAAAAAAGACTTTTAATTTGGGGGAAATTAAAATTGATAGTAACATGGATGAATGAACAGACAGACAGACAGACAGACAAACAGACAGACAGATAGACAGACAGACAGAAGTCAGTCAGACAGTCAGACAGACTGACATACAGACTGACAGACAGACAGTCAGACAGTCAGACAGTCAGACAGACAGACAGACAGACAGTCAGACAATCAGACAGACAGGCGCCAGGTCTCGCGCCAGGTAGAGATTCCCCGTATTAATGATGGAGGTGGGCGCGTGCCGCATGCAACATTCACCGGCCGCCCCTCCCCCCTCCCCCGCGAGATGGAGGGCCTCTTCAGGGCTCAGGCCCACCAGGCGCACCAGGCCCACCAGGCCCACCAGGCTCACCAGGCCCAGGCCGGCGGGCCGCGCTCAGATTATATGAATAACGTAACCCGCGGTCCAGGTGATAATGCCCCGTCCGTTCAAATAACCAGCCGGCGGCAGGGAGCGCGGGCACCAACGTGCTCCTGGAACGGCGACAACGAAATGATAAGAGAATCGTAACGCATTTTGGCGACTGCGCTGAGAAGGTGTAGCCATTTATTTTTTAGCTTACTGACGCTGTGGAGTCGTGAGCAGGGCAACGTGGTTTGTCTGGATTTGAATCCCTCTGGTCCGCGAAAATAATTCACGTTATGAGAAATTTGAACGCGAAAAACTAGTCCGCTCCACTGCTCCGCCCAATCACTCACACACACACACACACACACTCACTCACGCGCGCAGTCGTTTTGCGGTACCCCTGGCTTTTTCGAACGTACATAAATCTTGGGGGCGAATTCATCGCAGCAGGCTGGCCAACCCTTTTCCCTTTTCCGCTGCGCAGTGGCCGTCGTGTTGGACGCCTGCCTCCGCCTCCGCCCGCGCCCGCAAGACCGTCTCTCTCTCTCTCTCTCTCTCTCTCTCTCTCTCTCTCTCTCTCTCTCTCTCTCTCTCTCTCTCTCTCTCTCTCTCTCTCTCTCTCCTCTCTCTCTCTCTCTCTCTCTCTCTCTCTCTCTCTCTCTCTCTCTCTCTCTCTGCCTCTCTCTCATTCACAATGCGACCGGCGTCGGGTGGGGGTAGGGGCGAGGGGGCATCGCGGCCCACCTCCGCAAACAGAGCGCCAGTGACTTGATTTCGCCCTTTGTTGTTGTTTTTGTGGCAGAGTGTTTGTGTTGGAGGGCAGGGCGATCAGTGAGACGCACTGTTGGATGTTGCAGGTGTGGTTCCAGAACCGGCGCGCCAAGTTCCGCAAGCAGGAGCGGCTGGCCCAGCAGAAGGGGTCGCACCCGGCCAACGGACCCAGCGGCCCCAACGGCGAGGCCGGCCAGAACCAGGCGGCCGGTCCGGGCGGCCCTGGCGGCCCTGGCGGCGCGGCCGGCGGGGGCAGCTCCCCCGTCAAGACGGAGCAGGGGGGCGGCGCGACCAACGGGGGCTGCGCCACGACCGGCGCCGGGGGCGGTGCCGGGGGCGGTGCCGGGGGCGGCGCGGGGGCGGCGGCCGGCGGCCAGCAGGGCGGCGCGCAGACCAAGGTGGACGGCAAGCCGCCCCTGCCGCCGCCGACGCCGCACGGCCACCACTCCCCCCTGCACGACGTCAAGCCCATGAACGGAGCAGGTGAGTCCGCCGTCGCGAAGCCCCGCCACCCGGCACAGTGGGCCAGAAGACCGGTGGAGGCGGCCAAAACTCTAGACGCGTTTTGAGCTCCAGAGTCGCTAAACAGGACTCGAACCAAACGTGTGCCCCCACCAATGGGACAGCAATCCTTTGGTGGGCTCACACGTTCAGCTCGAGTCCCATTTGGCCACTCTAGAGCTCACAACCCGTCCGGGATTTTGATCTCCTCCGCGCACATCGCTCTGTCTCTCTCGCACCCGAGCTGCTGCGAGAGAGAGACAGCGAAAATAACACCGTTGTGCTGCATTAGTCTGAACCTGCTTGTGACACTTTGACGTCCAGTCAACGTGCGAGACATCATCATTCTTATGCTTCTGAGACTCGACAAAGACCTGCTTGTCCCTGCGCGAACAGCCCAGGCCGGAGGTCGGGCCGTGGCGGCCGACGCCACGGAGGGCAAAAGGCGAGGCAGCCCAGGCTGCCAAGGCAGCCGAAGCGAGACGACGCACACGCGTCCAAAAGGAGGGACGCAACAAACTGCGCAGGGTCGGCGCGGGGCGAGGCAAGGGCGAGGCAGGGTATGGCGCCCCTCCCCCTCCCCCCTCCCCTCCGCTGAAACTCCCCGGCCCCCCGGACTAGCACACAGACCCAAAGACTCGACGCTAATAGAAATAAACGAGCCCTTGCGTACCAATTTCCTAGATTAAACGTCAAGTTGTGGAGTGGTGTCCGCCTCCTGCTGGTGCGGCGGGGTGCGGCGGGGTGCGGCGGGGTGCGGCAGAGGGTGTAGCGAGCCTATGGTGTGTGGCGCCCATAACAGCTGAGCCTGCAACCCCCTCCACCCCTCCCTCTGGTTCCCGCTTCCGAACCGACTATACCAGTTTTCCCACAGTGAGCCAGAAGATCGTTGGAGGCGGTCGAAATTCCGGACGCGTTTTGAGCACCAGAGTCGCGAAATGGGACACGAACCGAACGGATGACCCCACCAATGGATTGCTCTCCAAACGAGGAATCCATTGGTGGGGTCACACGTTCGGTTCGAGTGCTGTTGGCGACTTTAAGCTCAAAACGCGTACTGGCCGCCTGCGCCGATCTTCGAGCGGTACACTTGACTACTCGCGGTCCTCGCGCACGCGTGCGCACCACACTGTGTGACATCGCCCTGTTTGACCAACCGACGTGAATAGCGAATGGCAACGCAGCCTGGAAGACTCTAGCTGCTGGCGGTCGCGTAGTGCTAGCTAGTGCCGCGGGGACGGCCGAAGCTCGAGCGAAGCTGCAGACTGATTCCGAGAGTCGTTTTCGTCGCTCTCTCTCGCACCTCTACGCGACGCCGCATGAGCGCGAGAGAGGCAGAGCGACGAAAACGACTCTCGGAATCAGTCTGCTGAACTCCAGCCAAGAGGCCAGGAGCGGCAGCATGGCGGCCGCGAACGAGGCGCCGTCCATTTCTCTGGGAGCATTTGTTTCCCGGCGAGGCCTTCGAGGCCGGCGAGGCCCAGCGCTGGAGTACTCCGTCGGAAAGGCACCGCCAAAGCCTCTCCCTTCGCGCGCGCGAGCCGGGCCAGGGCTCGGAAAACGAACAGTACACTTTGAATCGATGAAAGTCACGAATTTCCTAACACTTTAGACGTACACTTTATTAGATTTAAAGAGACTAAAATGAAAATATTTTTACATAAAAATAAGCGTTGCTGGTGAAAGTTGCCTCCGACGCTTCTGAATCGCATCGTGTTGTTCACCTCAAGTCATAATTTTAGTTTTGAGTGCCACTTTTCCCGCCGAGTTCTCCAGTGAAAACCCCCTCCTTAACTTATAAAAAAATTGGCTGGCAAGACGAGGGAACGGGTTCATTTGTCGGCGTGACGCCATTGAGTGGCCCTTGACGCCAAGCTTGACGCTGGGGCTCGCGGGCCACTTGTTGCGAGGATGTACGGCGATATCCGGACGCATGTATCATATCCGCCTGGAGGCGTCGCACCCTTTTAGCGCCCCCTGCGGTTTGGCGCCGTGCCCTCGGCCTCGGCCTCGGCCCCACTATCCGTCTCTCTCGCACCTACACCATCTGCCCCATGAGTGCGAGAGAGACCGGTCGACCCTCGGAATCAGTCTGCTATGGCCCAGACCCTAGCCCTTGCAGCGTCCAAGCCTAAAGACAGGCAAAAAACCGGCCCCCGGGATCCACGCTGTGGGCCAAACAACAACAAAAACAACAACAAATTGACTTGACTGCCAGCCAATCAGAGTCTCGGAACGCAAACTGCCGGCCGGTGTTGACCGCGGCCGTGGATAGCCGGTCAAGAGCGACCGTCCAATGGGCATCATCGGTCGGTACACTGGCACGCCGCCGTCTAACGCGCCCCCCTGTTTGTTGCAGGCAAATTGGACCCCGGGCTGGCCCAAATCAACAACAACAAGTGGTCCCTGTCGCCGCCGCAGCAGCAACAACAACAACAGCAGCAGCAGCCCTGCCGGCAGCAGGTGGGACTGCAGCAGCAGCAACAGCAGCAGCAGCACATGTCGTCCCACGACGCCCTGTCCTCGCCGTTCGCCCTGCTCGGCGGCTACATCCACGGCGCGGCCGGCGGCCACATCTTCTGAGCTCTGTGATAAGTGAAGTGAAAGTGCCATGACTCCGAGCGCGGACTTGGAACGAGAGAGAGAAAGAGAAAGAGTGCGGTTATTTTTCTTTCGGACCATTTTTTTTTGTCTCGCGTGATGGACCTTCTGCTAGGTGTGCAAATGCAACGATGCGGGGGAAGGCGTCCGCGGTGTTTTAGGGACGGACCGAGAGGGAGAGAAAGAGAGAGAGAGAGAGAGAGAGAGAGAGAGAGAGAGAGAGAGAGAGAGAGAGAGAGAGAGAGAGAGAGAGAGAGAGAGAGAGAGAGAGAGAGAGAGAGAGGAGACAAGTTTCGAGTGGAGAGGGTTTCTCAATTGTGATTCTTTGTGTCGTGCTAGATCGTAAGGTACGCTGTCAAACTGGCAGTCTGTCCCGTTTGAGTGAGAATTTTTGGCTTTGTCTGCCAAAATTATGTCGCTTTGCTACCTGTGACGTCATTGCCCCCCTCCCCCGTATCTTCTTCTGCCCGACAATTTTGTCTATAGCAACAACCAATGGAAACGCTGTTTGACTATGACGGCATTGGTTGCAGGGTATCTTGTACTATCGTGATAATTTTTTTCCCAGAGTGGTGATCCGGCTAACCCTGCCACCACATCTGACTGTAGTGTACAATGTAAAATATTTGAAAAAAGTGCTACTGTAAATAAACGTACTGTGCTGGAGAGAAGTTCTACTACTGTCCTCTACCGTCCTCTTGAGGGAATTGAAATCTTGCCAGTCTTGTTCTTTTCCTGTGAAATAAAGAAAGTGCAGATGAAGGATGTCTTCTTTTTTTTCCTGAAAACCGGTCTTTGTGTTTTTCCTGCCATTTTTTAAAAATACGAAATAGCTTTTGAAGGGAAAAGTGCTTCACGGGGCGGGGGGCCCCTGGCGGGGGGCCCCTGGCGGGGGGACCCGCCCGTCGGACGGCCGTGCGTTGCGGGCTTGCCTACCGCCCGTTCCACAGGCGCGCCAGCCGGGCCGGCCGCAAAGCAGGGTCCAGCTCCAGGTTCCAGCGAGCCGGGGTTTCGAAAACCCCGCAGCCGAAAAAAAGCGAAAAATCCGCGCACACTCGTCTACACTGTCCGTCGCATAAAACCTCTTTATTGTTTCGGAGGTTGGACCTGGGCCGACCTGGGCCGGCCTGGGCCCCGCAGGGATGGGCGGAGGCCAGGGCGCAGCGGCGCGGCAGCGCAGATGTGGGAGAGAGAGAGGTTGACTGCGCGCTCCTCTTGATTTCCCAGTAGACTCCCCTCCCCTCCCCTCCCTCCCTCCTCCCCCTCCCCTCCCGCCTTTCCTCGCCGACGAGCGCGTCCCCTGCTGTCCCCTAAGGTGGGGCCTGCGGGGCTGCGCCAGGGCTGCGCCGCTCGGTCCGCCTTGCTCCGCCCCTCCTTCATCTCCTCCATCTTCTTCCACGCGTTTCTTCGTGCGGAGGCCAAACGTCACCGTTTTCCTTGCCTATTTCGCAATGCGCTTCTCGAAATCTTTCGAGACGATGAAAAACATTCAAATACATCATTGATGAGAGATTTTACGGGAGGAATCGAGTATACAGTTAAATTATTTAAAAAAAAAAACGAAATTATAAAATAAGAACTCACTGTGCTAATAATGATAATAGTAATGGCGCCGTTGTGATTTTCGACTCGCTCTTTGCATTTATTTCGCGTGGAACACACATCTCTCTTTGGACTCCCCGGTATATCCAATTATCTCTCTGTGCAACAGCCAGAGAGCGCGTTCCGAACGCCCCCCACGCCCCCAACCCCTCACACACACACACACACACACACACACACACACACACACACACACACACACACACACACACACACACACACACAGCGCGCTGAAAACCGGCAGCGCGGGGGGGAAACACACCTCTCAGAGATTGTGTAAACACAGTAAAACGTTTCTCTCGCTGCACGGGACACATTTACATACTGAGCGTGGTGAATATTTGGCGAGGCGGAAAAAGGTTGCGGGTGCGTTCGCGCTTCGTCTCTTGGTCGGTCTGGCGTTTTCCGACCAGGTCGACCGCGCACACACCACCGCACAGTGGGCCAGAAGACCGGTGCGGCCAAAACTCTGGACGCGTTTTGAGCTCCAGAGTCGCTAAATGGGACTCGAACCGAGCGAGTGACCCCACCAATGGACTGCTCTCCTGACGAGGAATCCATTGGTAGGGTCACACACTTTGTTCGAGTCCTTGTTTAGCGACCCTGCAGCTCGAAGCGCGTCTTGATTTTTGGCCGCCCGCACCAGTCTTCTGGCCCACTGTGCACCAGCAGACTCGCCGGCTGAACTCACCGCCACATGCCATGTAAAAACTATTCAGTGACTTTTCAAAGATTTAAAAAAGAAATAATAATTCAATTCCCCTTTTTTTGTGCGGGTGAGATGGCGCGGTGTAGTGTAGCACGGTTGGCTCCCCATGCACACAGAACAGGTAGCAGAGTGCTAATTGGAACGTCCGGCTAAAAATGATGGTTATGGCTGCTTTTATTGCTGCAATTACGCGCGCTGCTGCTGCTGCTGCCTCACACCTGCTGAAGCAGCACATGACTCTGCTTTTATTTATTGGAAGGCTAGACAGAGAAAGATCCCGACCGTGCATCACCGACCGTGGTGTGTGGTGGCGGTCGATGCGATGGAAACTGCCGAAGTTAGTTTTGCATTTGTTCACGGTAAAAACCGTTCCTGGTTGTTTTCTCAGGAACTCCCAGGAAATCGCTTGTGCCTTTACCATTGGCTCCCTGAGAAAAACAAGTTCCGTTTTTGTCGTGTTCTGTTTTTACCGTTTTGTTTTTATTCAGGTTTTTTTTTCAGCAATTTAAACGAACCCTGTTGCAAGGTAGCTTGGAAGTGAGGTGGTCTGGTAGTCGAAATCCGAAAATTCCGCGATTCAAAATGCGAATTCACCCCCGATATTTTCGCGCCATTCCGCACGGACTTCGGTTTGGCATTCCCCCGCCCAGGTCGCTGAGGCGCGGTCCCTGCATGGCGGCCCTGGCGGTGTGATTCAGATCGCTCTGTCTCTGTCGCACTCACGGGGCTCCCCGTAAGGGTGCGAGAGAGACAGAGAACCGCTCTCTTCCGAACGGCCATGGCGGCGCGGCCCTGCGACAGCGATTCCGCCCCAGTGATACGCCTCGTCCATATTTAATGTGACAGCGCTTCGCTGGGGATGACTGGGGCTGCAATGATCTGATAGCCACGCCACTGTCAAGGACGGCCGGGGCAAGCCCGGGGCAGGCCCGGGGCAGGCACGCTCCCTCTTACTCTCTTTATTGTTGCTGTTGTTTTGTTGTTGTTTTTGTTGTTGTTATTGTTATTGTTGTTTTTGCTGCCAGTGCAGGGTACTTGTCGGCCTCCTTGGTGCTCCGCTTGGCCTGGCTCTCTTTGTTGTTGTTTGCTGCTAGTGCAGGTACGGGTACTCGACGACCTCCTTGGTGCTCCGCTTGGCCTGGCTCTCTTTATTGTTGTTGTTGTTTGCTGCTAGTGCAGGTACGGGTACTCGACGACCTCCTTGGTGCTCCGCTTGGCCTGGCTCTCTTTATTGTTGTTGTTGTTTACTGCTAGTGCAGGTACGGGTACTCGACGACCTCCTTGGTGCTCCGCTTGGCCTGGCTCTCTTTATTGTTGTTGTTGTTTGCTGCTAGTGCAGGTACGGGTACTCGACGACCTCCTTGGCGCCCCGCTTGGCCTGGCTGCGCCTCCACATGGGCGGCATGCCCTGCGCCGCCATCTTGGAGGGCGAGGCGGGCGCCACCACGGCCACCGCCCCCGCGGACTGGGGCTGGGACTTGCCCAGGAAGGCGGGACGCAGCGTCAGGTCCACGGGCTGCTTCTCCTGCCTGCAAGCACAAAGTGAGGTTTTCGGGTTATTTCACTTCCTTTTTCGACAGTGGCTTCCCCCTGGGCATGGGAGGGTGAACTCGAAAAACCGCTGCAGCGGGAACGTCACAGTGGTGTTGGACAAAGCCAACGTGACGAAAACTCTAGACGCGGTTGCTCCAATACCGCTCCCAAACTAAGGCGGCCAATCGCACTCCGTAACAAAGGTGTTCTAAAATAGGGCCCAAAGAGTACCCCCTGTTGAGGGAGAACGATTAGCCGCCTTAGGTTAGATGTAGCGGATGCCTAAAGTCAGGCTAAACCACGACTTCTACTCATTTGTTACCGTTTCGACAAACTTTGCTCTGCAATACCGCTCCCAAACGATTGGCGGCTAATCGCACTCCGTAATAGGGTCCGAAGAGTATTCACCCGTTCAGGGAGAACGATTAGCCGCCTTAGATTAGATGCAGTGACAGGCTGTGCCCACCTGGAGTACTCCTCGGCCAGCTCCTCCAGGTGCTGGCGGTCCGTGTGCATCATGCACCAGGCCCGCAGGGTGAACAGGTACACGATCTCCACGCCGCTGAGCAGGCTGAAGCCCAGGAACAGACCCGCGATGGTGCCGATGGCCACCAGCAGGTCCACCTGCCCGAACAGCACGTCTCTTTTGTACCTGGAAAGTAAAGTTGGTGTAGTAGAAGTAGTAGTAGTAGTAGTAGTAGTAGTAGTACTAGTAGTAGTAGTAGTAGTAGTAGTAGTAGTAGTAGTAGAGTAGTAGTAGTAGTAGTAGTAGTAGTAGTAGTAGTAGTAGTAGTAGTAGTAGTAGTAGTAGTAGTAGTAGTAGTAGTAGTAGAAGTAGTAGTAGTAGTAGTAGTAGTAGAAACTTTGACTGTGTGTACCTGGTCAGTGGCCACGAAAGAAAGCCGACCTCCACCCCCGTGGACCCCTGTCCCTCGTCGCTCGACTCCCTGTGAGCGGAAAGCGATTTTGCCAGTTCAATAATTTAATTACGATAGGTACAATCAGTGGCACCGACGACCCGGCCTACCCTCCAGCCTCGTGGGGCTTCTCCATGTCGTACACCGTGTGTTCGCACCCCAGCATGCACGGGCACTTGAGCTTGGCGTTGGAGACGGTGTCTGCGAGCAGGGACGTTTAAAAATGCATCAGTGTCCTCTATTTTTCGCGCGTCGTGGTGAAAGTTTCATTTTCTTCGCGCCTCCTCTTACCGAGTATGTCGATGACGCACTTGAGCTCCCTCAGCTTGCAGTACCGCTGGTTCGCTGCAAATCGGCACGATGGAGGCAAATTTTTTCGTTTTTAATTTGCCATTCAATCACCACAAGTGCGAAATAAATTTTTTAAAATCTATTTGCTGAGTTTTTTTTATTGCACTCTGTGAGAAAAAAGTACGGAAAAAGTACGGAACATGTCTGGTCAATAATTTGCCTGGACCGTCCGTACTTGCCGACTACGGAGCGTTTCCGTACTTTTTTTTCCGTACCCATTTACATGGGTTCATATGGAGCAAGTACGGAACGTTCCGTACCTTTCTCCGTACCTCCGTACTATATTTTTCTGTACCATTTACGTACAAAAGTACGGAATTTTTTACAGTGCAGAAACGTGAAACTCACGCAGCAGCGTGTAGAAGAAGGGCAGGCAGCCGCACGCCTTGACCACCTTGTCCATGCGGCACTGGCGCACGCACGCCGAGAAGGTGTAGTAGTCGGGCGAGACGCGCAGGTGGATCTCGTCGAAGAACACGCAGCCGCGCTGCCGCATGGACAGCTGCCGCGCGCCGTCCACCGTGTAGGTCATCTGGCGGCCAGGCCACAGTGTAGGCAACAGTGGGCCAGAAGACCGGCGCCGGCGATCAAAATCCCGGACGCGTTTTGAGCTCCAGAGTCGCTAACTAGCACTCGAACCAAGCGTGTGACCCCATCAATGGATGCCTCGTCCGGAGAGCAATCCATTTGGTGGGGTCACACGTTCGGTTCGAGTCCCAGCGACTCTGGAGCTCGAAACGCGTCTAGAATTTTGGCCGCCTCCACCGGCCTGCTGGCAAATCCGCTGTGCGAATGGCGACCCTCTCCACGCCGCTATGAGAATGTTGGCGGCACTGAGCGAGGCCCTCGCGAGCACCTTGGGGACGAACATGAGCTTGGACACGCGCTTGTTCCAGACGTGCTGCGGGGCGATGTCGGCGCCAGGAAGGTCCCTGGACGAGGTGATGTAGACCTGCGGACAGGCAGACAGCTCACTGTAGGGCTCCAACGCGTTCACGGCGTGCATCCGCAGCCAACGACAAGCCCACCGAGACCGAGTTGTTGACGGTGTCCTCGGTGTCGAACGAGAAGGACCAGCGGCTGTCCGTCTCCTCGATGAAGGACTCGTGGAAGTGGGCGGGCGGCGTGTACCTGCAGCAGGAGAGGCAGAGGCGGCAGAAGCGCGCCGAGCTCGGCGCCGAGTCACAGTGGTGGGCCAGAAGACCGGTGGAGGCGGTCCAAGGCGCGTTTCGAGCTCCAGAGTCGCGAAATGGGACTCGAACGGAACGTGTGACCCCACCAATGGATTGCTTTCCGAACGAGGAATCCGTAGGTGGGGTCACACGTTCAGTTTGAGTCCTGTTTAGCGACTCTGGGGCTCAAAACGCGTCTGGAGTGTTGGCCGCGTGCGCCGGTCTTCTAGTTGCCTCGCGATTCGCGTGAGTGCGAGTTTCCCCGAGTGCTAGTCTCGCGCGCTCACCCCGGCATGTCCTTCATGGTGTGGTTGAGGTTGAAGGAGTAGCAGAAGCCGTTCTCGGTGAAGATGGGGTGCAGGAAGGAGCAGCAGTCCTTGGCGTCGTCCTCCAGGCTCTGCTTGTAGGCGCACTGGGTGAACACGTGGCACTGGCTGAACACCTGCCCAGGGCCAAACGAGACGCATTGGCGCGTACATTCCACAGTGTGGGTGGACAAGGCGAAAATGGCACCCACTGCGAAGGCCATCTCCCTGAGGCCGGTCTGCGGCAGCTCGGCGTCCTGCACGAAGGGCAGCAGGCTGGGCAGGCCCTCGTAGGACACGTTGGCCAGCGCGGCCAGGAACTGGCTGTAGTACTCCTTCTTGTCGTCCTCCGCGTCCGGCCATTTCCTGCCAGAGAAAAATACATCGAGTTTCGTCCTTTTCTCCTGCGGGTAAGCTTGTGCTAGGACGGCGTACCGTGGGCTAGAAGACCAGCGCCGTGGCCCAAAACTCTGGACGCGTTTTGAGCTCCAGAGTCGCTACATGGGACTCGAACCGAACGTGTGACCCCACCAATGAATACCTCGTTCGGAGAGCAATTCATTGGTGGGGTCACACGCTCGGTTCGCGTCCCAATTAGCGACTCTGGAGCTCAAAACGCGTCCGGGATTCTGACCGCCTCCACCGGTCTTCTGGCCCACTGCTGGCCGACGCGCTGACGCACTGGTTGACGTATTCCGCGATGAGCGACTCGTTGGCCGGGTCCTTCTGGCACATGGTGAGCGCGGGGAAGGGCACGTCCCAGTTGTGGTAGTCGCTGTCCAGCCCCGTGATGGTGGGGCTGGTCTGGAACTTGTCCCACAGCGAGTCGATGATGACGAGGGCCGCCATCATGCCGCCCGCCGTGCACACGAACCACAGCAGCCGCTCGTGCAGCGGCGTGCGCTTCTCGGAGATGTAGCGCACGCCGTGCAGTGTGCTGGTCTCGAAGAACTGGCGGCTCTGGTACGACCAGTTGGCCTGCAGGATGCCCCAGCGGCGCGCCCACTGCGACCGCCTGGCCGGCTTGGCCGGCTGCAACGGCTGCACCGTCGACACTGGAAGTGCACAAGGACCACCGTCAGCTTCGTCGCTCTAATGCGCTGTGGGCCAGAAGACCGCTGGAGGCGGCCAAAACTCTAGACGCGTTTTGGGCTCCAGAGTAGCTGAACAGGGCTCGAACCGATCGTGTGACCCCACCAATGTACTCCTCGTTCGGAGAGCAATCCATAGGTGGGGTCACCCGCTCGATTCGAGTCCTTCTTAGCGACTCTGGAGCTCAAAACGCGTCTAGTTTTGGCCGCCTCCTCCCCTTCTGTCTTCTGGCCCACTGTGCGTTGAGTGTGAGAGAGGCAGAGAGCGATTACAGCCAAGTGCGGAATCAGCGAGGCTGATTGTTAACGCGGTTAAGTCGCTTGTCCCTCTCGCACTCATGAGTTTCCCTGCAGTGCAGAGAGAGGGAAAGACAGAACGGCAGGACACTGTGAGCATGCTGTGAGGAATCGCTCTGCAGGCAAGGCAGGCAAGGCAGGCAAGGAAGGCAAGGCAGGCAAGGAAGGCAAGGCAGGCAAGGAAGGCAAGGCAGGCAAGGAAGGCAAGGCAGGCAAGGAAGGCAAGGCAGGCAAGGAAGGCAAGGCAGGCAAGGCAGGCAAGGCAGGCAAGGTAGGCAAGGCAGGCAAGGCAGGCAAGGCAGGCAAGGAAGGCAAGGCAGGCAAGGCAGGCAAGGCAGGCAAGGCAGGCAAGGCAGGCAAGGCAGGCAAGGCAGGCAAGGAAGGCAAGGCAGGCAAGGCAGGCAAGGTAGGCAAGGCAGGCAAGGCAGGCAAGGCAGGCAAGGCAGGCAAGGAAGGCAAGGCAGGCAAGGAAGGCAAGGCAGGCAAGGCAGGCAAGGCAGGCAAGGCAGGCAAGGCAGGCAAGGCAGGCAAGGCAGGCAAGGAAGGCAAGGAAGGCAAGGCAGGCAAGGAAGGCAAGGCAGGCAAGGAAGGCAAGGCAGGCAAGGAAGGCAAGGAAGGCAAGGAAGGCAAGGCAGGCTCACTGTCTGGGTGCTCCAGGTGCGGCGTGCGCCCCAGTCCTGACGGGCTATCAGTGGTCTTCCCCCGCGGCGTCCGCGGTCGCACTGGCGGCTCGCTGTTGGTGGCCACGCCACTCGGAAAGCCCTGCACGCCACTCGAGCCACCGGAACGCCCGGAGCGCGCTGCGAGGACGCCTCAAGGTCACATTGACCCGTCCAGTTCCACCCCGAGAACAAACGACGCGAAAACGACACGAACCGCTATCAGCAGCATCAGCGGAGTGGGCCTCCCCCGGGCCGGGCCCCCCACAGTGGGCCAGCAGCCGGTGCAGGCGGCCAAAACTCTAGACGCGTTTCGAGCTCCAGAGTCGCTGCCTCGAACCGAGTGTGTGACCCCACCAACGGATTCCTCGTTCGGAGAGCAGTCCATTGGTGGGGTCGCACGTTCGGTTCGAGTCCTGCTTTGCGAATCTGGAGCTCAAAACGCGACCAGAATTTTGACCGCCTCCACCGGCTTCTGGCCCACTGTGCGCCCGGCCGTTGCGCGTCGCTACCCCGTGACGGTGGCGCGGCGCAGCCGAGCGTGGCGATACCCCACGCCGGTGGAGCGGCTCCGCACGCGCGCGGGGTAACGCCGTGCCCGCTCACAGTGTGCAATTCCTATTTTTGACGTGTTTGGCGGGACGCCGTCCCTTCAATTGCGGTTTCGAGATGACGGTCTCGGCCGTGCACCGTCGCGCGAAAGCTGGGACCCTGTGAGGAGTGAGCCCCAAGAACTAACGTTTGAACCGGGTGCAGAGCGTTCGAAGATCGCATGCACTTTTCCCAGGGAGGGAGAGGGTCCCTAACTTTGTCCGGACGGTTTTAATGCCTGCCCGCTTTCCCCTGCAGTGCCGGTGCTGACTTTGTTGTCCAGCAACAACGTCTCGAGGGAAGTCCCACCTTGCCCTAACAGACGAGACGGGACGGATGCTCTCCTCGAATGGAGCAGCTTCCCGCCAGGCCAGCAGCGCCAGCGCCAGCAGTGACGCTCTGTTTATTTTGCCGAGTAGCGATAAACGCGATAACGACGATAGGGCATTCCCATTCCACCATGTTTTGACCATCTCGCCGACACCCGCAGCAGCAGCCGCCGCCAGCCGACGTGCGGATAACGGCCAGACGGCTATTGGCACTCGAACGGTGTCGTGCGAACAGTGGGCGGGGCGTGTGAATAGGCAAGGGTTAAGGGTTAGGGTTGAACTTGATCCCCACTGAGTGACGGTGGGTGGCGAAGGGCAGTGCACAAGCTGTGAATGTGTCTGTGATAAAACTCGAAGATGTCCTTGTTTGTGCGTTCCTTGCCGCAGATCGGTGGTTAGTATTCTTCTCTCTGGATAGTCTCAATATTCATGGCATTCACTTTATGAGTTGTACTTTGTCCGATTGCTATCGAGGGTTCTGTCGGATCGAAGGTCGACGAAGGATTTTGAGAACTTTCACCTTTCGAATTTAATCTAGTGTGCCCTTGTTCCGCGTTTGATGTGGGCCGCACACTTGTGGGTCATGTAAACTGGCATCGTCCAGGTACAAGTCAAGTTTGAAGCTGAATATGGTTATGACATTGAGGTTATGGTGAATGCCTTTGAGACATGTCAGCTTGTGGTGCGAAGGGTTCCGGGTCACTTGATGTGCTAGGAAATCACTGAATGCCTATCCCTTCAACTCTCATCCTCTTGTCTTGACACTGACTACAAGGTTCTGTTGCTATGTCGCAAAGGATTTCCTTCAATGAGCTCATTCCGTATCTGTAGCAGAAGTGTAAGTTTTAATGGCCCCTTTTATTACAGCGTTGCGGCAATTGGGTGGAGTTCGAACCAATTACTCAGACACCCGCAAGTTCCTGAAGATAAATGCCGATACCCGGGTAATCGTCCAGGGCTTCACGGGCAAGCAGGGCACATTCCACAGCAAACAGGCGATCGAATATGGCACTAAAGTTGTTGGAGGAACAACCCCTGGAAAGGGTGGACAGAAGAACCTCGACCTTCCTGTCTTCAATTCTGTGAAAGAGGTAAGTCTCATATTAAAATCAATTCATTATCATTGTGTGGTCCGTTAAACTCATGTGTTCTAAATTCTGTTTCCTTTTAGGCCAAAGATGCAGTTGGAGCAGACGCAACCTTTGTTGCAGTTCCCCCTCCAGTAGGAGGCAAAGCCATCTTGGAGGCGATTGATGCTGAAATTCCCCTCATCGTCTGCATCACAGAGGGTATTCCTCAACACGACATGGTGCGTGTCAAGCACAAGCTGCTCCGTCAGAACAAGTCTCGCCTTATCGGTCCCAACTGCCCTGGAATCATCGCTCCAGAGAGGGTAAATTTTATTTTTCCAATGTGGTTTAGACTACTTTACTGATATGACATTTACTGAGTAACTATGTTGTTATTTCTTGTTCTTTTCAGTGTAAAATTGGTATCATGCCTGGCAATGTTCACAAGCGAGGGAAAGTAGGCATTGTTTCCCGATCCGGTACTCTTACTTATGAAGCAGTGCACCAAACCACAAGGGTATGTTTTTATGAAGCTGACTGCACTTGTTGTGATTCTTTGGCCTGTCTAACTTAACTTATTTGCTTGATTCGCAGGCTGGTTTGGGCCAAACTCTGTGCATTGGTATTGGTGGTGATCCGTTCAATGGAACAGACTTCATTGACTGCTTGGAGGTATTCCTTCAGGACCCTGACACTGAGGGTATTGTACTTATTGGAGAAATTGGTGGCGTCCAGGAAGAAAATGCTGCCAAGTACCTTATCGAACATAACTCTGTGAGTATCTGAACAGAATGTTCTTATGACTTGTCTTTGTGGACGGTCCAGCATAATACTTACGCCATGTTTGTTGGACTGCAGGGCCCCAACGCCAAGCCTGTAGTATCCTTCATTGCGGGTCTGACTGCGCCTCCCGGCCGCCGAATGGGCCACGCTGGCGCCATCATTTCTGGAGGAAAGGGAGGAGCCCAGGACAAGATTAACGCTTTAGAAAAGGTGCGTTGGAAAAGCAGTTTTGATTACTTAGTCTACGTTGGTAATTTTTTTTTATTGTGTGCATGTTTTTATTGTCTTGTGATCCTATGTTTTTTCTGTATATTTACAGGCTGGTGTGGTTGTTACGAGAAGCCCTGCCCAAATGGGCAACGAGTTGTTGAAACTTATGTTGAGGAAATGAAGAACTGACTCTTTGACTTCTTGTTCGTCTTTCCCATCTTTCCGTTACTAGTGGGCTTGCACATTTAGCTGCCAACTGCAGGCTTTGCTACTGGAAAACACCATTTGTTCACATTTGAATGTATATCCCGTCCTGTAACATTTCAAAAACACTGCATCAAAATGCCAAGTAGGTTTCAATTGTATCCTCCATTTAGTCATCATCTTGTAACTGCTTGTTACTCCACTGCCATGTTGCACTTGATGTCTTACAAAGAATGATATTTTAACCATATCCATTGGAGAATCTTTTTTTCTTATGTAGAGCCATTGCTAATGGAAGCTTTTAAAGAATTGCTTGCAATCATGACATGTTCTGATCTTTTATTCTGAACTTATTGATGATATTCTGTTTTCTGGTCAATGATTGAGGATTGTCTGACGGCCTCTGCTGTTACTTTAATTTTATCATTGTTATCTGTTAAACAGCAGTCTTGTTTTACCATGCTTTTTGTTTTCTTATTCTGTACAAGTGTATGTGAATACATTACTAATCTTAAGAATAATAAGTCATCTCCTCGGCTATGATATTGTTACCTATTTGGATTTCCATTTTATTGTGCATAAAATCCTGCATTTGTATATATTTTCAGTGTTGGGTTTATTTTTCCATATCATCACCTCCTGCCACAACTCCGTGAGAATGATGTCCCCCTCATCTCTCTGCAAGGGAATCATCAGGATGGTGAGCTCTGATACAACTTGTACTTATTTGAGGATCAAACCTTTATTGACATATAATACAACCATGTGAAACATAGTGACATCAACCTGTCTGTAAGCAAGACTACACAAGAGAGGAAGCATTAGACTTGTCTACATGGTAATGCACTCAATTATTATTGTATGTAGCCATTGATTTCTTTTTAAAAATTAATTTAAGTTCAAATTCACATAACCTACTGAAATAGATTGGTTTAACAATTAACCATTAGTTTCAAATGTTTGAACACTGGAGAAGTAAATGTGCTGTCTCTGGATGGAGAAAATCCATGTGAAAACATGAACACTTATGGACGTGCATAATGTAACAAAGCAAAGGTAACAAATAGAGTATTAACACAAAAAACATAATAATAATAATAATACTTCACAAAGCACAACATAAAAATAGGAACAATGCTTTAAAAAAGACATGTGTATGTCCTATAAGCAAACAAAGAACACGCAACAAACACAAAACAGTATTTCAACAGTGTAATGGCAGGATCTCATGCTGCAAGCCTCTTGCTTACCCAACAAAGGACAACACTTAAAAGCACCTTCCTTACAAATGGGACAGAACTTGAAAAATTTTGTGTCAGCTGATCGTAATTCAGCAAATTTACGCTTATGAATGTCAAATGATTTCTTTTGAGATGACATCTTAAAGGTTGCAGTCTATGATGCCACTTTTATCTGAAATCCAAACCCTGTGATAAAACCTTGGTATTGGGGAAAAGATCAATTCTTAGAACACAACTCTAATTATTACAAGAACTGCAGTCAAGGTCCTCTAACTCCATTGTTTGGGGTGATGCCTTGACATCGATTTTAAACATGTTGTAGAAATTTCTGCTTTCTCTTTTTTTGGGCTGGTATACGAGCATTTTTTAGCTGGACATGGTTGATAAGTCCCATTCAGCTATGTGCTGTGAGAGTTTAAGGACCCTGAATTTAATTGTAAAATTCCAGTATTTTCAAAGTATTTTCTTAAAAGAGAAAAAGAAAATAACAATCAAACCGGTACTATTCATGAGCTAGTATTGTCTCAGTTAAAATGAAGAAGATTTCTTCTTTCTCTCTTTTTTCTGTTTTCCAAGGGACTAGAACTGATTGTACGTACTGATGGAACAAACTTTTCCTTCACTATTTTCCTTCACTATTTGCTCAGTTTGACACTAAAGTTAATGTTAGGGAAAGGATGATGGGTAGAAGCGAAGTGGCAAAGGGAATCATCTTGAAAACAAGCTCTTTGGGATATTAGCGGAACTCAAAACGAGGCTTAAGAGTTTCCACTTTTCCCACTACATTTCAGTCTAAAGGCACAACATTGTGACCTCCTCCTATGAGACTGCCCTCTATCAATACATTTTGTTCATGTTCTTTCATCAGCGAATTTTAGGCCATTTCACACAGCAATGTCTCAAGAATCTTGTAACATTCCTTCAATGATCAATGAAAGCCATCTCAGAAATACAAAATTGTACAGAACATAGAAATAAAGGGTAATTCCAGTTCAAATTAAAGTCAAATTTCATAATTTGTACAAACTACATGTAAGAAATATACTTAGCACACTTACTATCGAACAATAAAAGTAAGTGAGATTATAGGATTAAAGTTAAGACAATGAAGCGTTTGAAATCCTGAAAGCCTTTTTAATAAATGATCATTGCCAACAAACACGCACAGACAATGTCAAGTGTGTCATGAAGAAAAATTAAAATAAGAAGAGGAAGTATGACATGACATATTCCCCAATATTTATATCACACAATTTCACAATAAAAATTTTAATGCAGCATGTTTAAAACTGCAGAAAAAGACAATGACCTTTCTAATGGCACAACATTCATTAATTTTTGTGCAGCGAAAAGAATTCATCCTCCATCTGCTTGTACCAAGTTACACCTACTATTAGTGCAGCTGTTTGACCTTCCTATTCTTTTGTCAAGCATTTTCAAAATAAATTAATTTTCACAACTCACACATATCACAAAATAATCCAACAAGAGCTTAGCCAGATCTCTTATGGTATCTAAATGGAGACACAAAACACATACACAGGTAAATAATTTTCAGACTTCAATAAATCATGTTGTTTAGTAATTCATCATTATACATTTAAATTTGTCCCAGTGATCCAGATTTTAACTGCCCAGCAGTTTCCTTAAAGAGAAATCATTTTGAAAATCAATTGTCGGTAGAACAAAAAGCTACGAACATAATTAAATCATTGTCATGTAATACAGAAGTCATGAAAGCCGACCGAAACAAAATCATGGTACGTAATTTCATTCAGATGAATATTTTTGTCTATCTCAAAACACTGATTACTCAATGATCTTGACAGAATGACTTACTGTTTTACCTGGGATGGCCTGAAAATTGCCTGTTTTCTCAAACCAGACAAGGATAAAAAGTAAAACAAAAAATGTGACATAGTACTGTAGAGTACTTTTGTGAGGAAAACAGTCTATATTAAACGGAACCAACTCAGCATGAGGGAAAGTCACAAAATACTTTGAGGCATGTAAATATTTCAAAAGTAATCCTATGAGCTTTGAGCAGGTGAGTCTAGCATTGGTACTTGTTTCTACTCTTTCGACTGTTGATTGGTAGTATAAGGATTGAAAGGGTGAGGTGTATCGCCAAACTTATTTTTGTTTTGTGACTTCCCTCTGCACCATAAGGACATTGGTTTTATCAAATTGAGCAGAAACTTATTAAATAATGTAGCACGTTATTCATTCCATTCTTCCAGCCAAATCTACATTTTAAAGTACAGGGGATCAAACTGGACGGCTTAAAATTTTTGGTTTGTTGATACAGTAGCAAAGTATTTGCCCCAAATCCTAAATAGATGAATTGTTTGGCAAACTCCCAATAATTGAAATTTACAAGGTATTGTTTACGGCGGGCACATATTTTAAAAGATCAATTGGCTACTCTTGAGGAAGCTTTAAACTAAAAGACCACACACCATGCTGAGAGTGTGGGAATACTACATAACAGCCAACCCAATCGAAGAAAGTGTGCTTTCTTTTATGGAGAGCTAAAGAACAAAAATTATGAATGCCTCTAGAAGCTGAATTCTTTATCACAGACAGGTAGGAAAGAGGGGCAAAACGTTATTTTCATCAAATAAAAGAGGTCTTGATGACTTTATACAAACATGGCACCGGTCCTCAGCCATGCTCCCAGAACACTAGGAGTATTTCTAACAATAGATAGTAATGTCAACTTCAATAAATAAATACAATAATTTTAAAAAAGAAATTTACATCCACATACATTCTAAAGTGCACAATGGCTCTGCACCTATATGTCCTTAAAACCGCTTATTACATACACCATCACGTATTAATATTTAATTAAATGAGATTCACAGAGGAGGGGCACAAATTTCCCCTTAATTGTTTTTTCACTTTTTTTTGTTCTGCCTAATATTAATGGTGGACATCAAACTTCATTCATTAACCATAACAATTTCACATATACACGATTTTAAAATTACTTTTTGGCAATTCATTCAACTCATTCCCATCACATGATTTAAAAACACATGAAGCAATCCAAGCGAAGTCTGAGAGGAAAAGAACACTTATTCTAGTATGGCAAAAGTCTCATCAAAATACATACAAGAAACAAAAATTACCCTTGGAACTTGTAACATCATGGCAAAACTTCAATTCCGTTATGACATAGAAAGAGGTTGTTGTTGATCTCGAGGAAAGAGGGGGTGAAGTGGGGAGGGGAAGCAGGAACTATTGTGAGAGCTGCAAAAATACTTTGTTTGTCTTCTTTTCTTTCATAAATGGAAAAGTTCCATTTAGTCCAATTGACAGTTTTATTTGTTCCCCAATTTATTCCAAAACCCCTAGCTGCGAATAATTTGCTAAAGATCCACAAAACTCTATGCACCCCACTAAGTAAACAATGCTGCTGGTTGAAAAAAATCATGGATTGGTTTAGAAAGTGTACGCTTTGTCTGAAATTTAAAAGAGTTTCTCTCAAAAGATGTAACTGCATAAATATCGTAAAAACCGTTTGTTTTGAGGTCTGCATACTTAAAACCAGTGTGACAGGCCCCTAAGCCCCTCGTGAGCGACATTTTTTTAAACTTATGAAAGCCCTTGCGAAGAGCTCCCCTACAGGACGGTGCTTTTATTTTTCCTAATCTTACAACCAACCGGCAGTGGTACGGCCAAGGCGCCGGAGCCAGGCAGCCAGGCAAGTTCATTGTCAACGCGTCCTCCTCGGATTGAGCCGTCAGGGAAAACAAATGTCGAATTTACAGGGATGAGCAAGACAGGAAGGAGTTGAAAGACGTGGGAGGTAAAGGCTATTTGATCACAATGAGTGCCGCACAGGCTCACTTGAGCCTCTGCGTTATGTTGGCCAGGGCGACGGCGAACGCCTGCAGGGCGGAGAACGGGTACTGGAAGTCCAGCGTGTAGGCGTTGGCGTCGATTCGCCCGAACTGCATCACCTGCAACAAGGGAACATCGGCCAGGCCAGTCAGTCAGGCAGTCAGTCGACGAGGTCAAGGCTGCCCGCCGCTCCCGCCGCCTGCGACACGCCGCGTAGGCAACACGCCCGCACGCCCACCCAGCGAGTGGCCTACCCTGCGGCTCGCGGGCGCTCCCACCACGGCCAAAACTCTAAACGCGTTTTGAGCTCCAGAGCCGCTTAACAGGACTCGAACCAAACGTGTGACCCCACCAATTGATTGCTCTCCGAACGAGGATTCCATTGATGGGGTCACACGCTCGGTTTGAGTCCCATTTAACGACTCTGGAGCTCAAAACCAGTCGGGGATTTTGACCGCGTCTATTAGTCTTCTGGCCCACTGTGCGGTACGAACCTGCTTGTTGAGGAACTCGATCTGGAAGTTCTTGGCCGACTCCTGGGTGACGCGGCCTCCGAAGTCGAGCTGGTACACCTGGCTGTTCTCGTTCCACATGGGCGCCTTGTTGTGCATGATGAACTGCAGCTGGCGCGGGTGCGCGGCGTCGTCCGCCACCGCCTCCTCGGCGCAGTCCTTGCCCTTGGCCTTCTTCTTCTGCTTCAGCTGGATCGGCAGAACAAAGGCCGGTGAGGCACAGTGCTAAAATGGCCACGCTGTTCACGGCGGGCGGAGCTTACCTTCTGCCGCAGCTGCGCCTTCTGGAAGGACTCGAGCGTGCTGAACTGCTGCGGCCCGATGGCGGCCATGAGCCCCGCCGCCTCGTCGCCCGACGTCGCGTCGCCGTCCCGGTCCGCCTCGCTGCGGTTGCGGCGCCGGCGTCGCAGCAAGGGCGAGTTCAGGATGCGTTGCCTGAAAGGACGAAGCGTTCGCACCGAGTTCGCTCGAGAAAGTCGCGTTTTGAGCACAGGAGTCGCTAAATGGGACTCAAACCGAACGTGTGACCCCACCAATGGATTGCTCTTCGAACGAGGAATCCATTGGTAGGGCCACACGCTTTGTTAGAGCCCTGTTTAGCGACTCTGGAGCTCAAAACGCGTCCGGGATTTTGGCCGGCTCCACCAGTCTCCTAGCCCACTGTCCAGTGTAGGGCCGGCCGGCTCACCTGATGGGGGAGGAGGACAAGGTCCGCTTGGGCGTCTTCTTGGACGCGGCCGGGCTGGACGGCGTGCTGTGTGGCTGCCTGGAGGTGCTGGGCCTTGCGCCGTCGGCGTCCGCGTCGCCCTCTAGGGCCGGCCCGTCGACGGCGTCCTTGGCGGCCTCGGCCTTCTTCGTCTTCTTCTTCCGCCTGGGCCACTCCATGCGGTTCATCATCTCGCGCGGGCTCAGGTCGAAGAAGGTCTTCTTCTTGCTCGGCAGAGGCACCTCCGCCGCCACCAGGGCCGCGAACGGGGACGACCGCTCGGTCTCGGACGACTCCAGGTCGCCGTCGTTGTCGATCTCCGCGGTGAAGTCCGCGGGGAAGGGTGGGAAGGGCGCGTTCTGCGGCGGGACGTCGACGAACAGGGGCTCGACGGGCACCTCGGCGGGCTGCTGCTGCCGCGGCTCCCGCTTGCCCTCATCCGCCGGCCTGGCCAGGGGCAGTGGCAGCGGCGGCACGGGACTCCGACGCCGACCTCGCGCCGAGGCGGGGTCCTCGTCCTCCTGCGTGGAGCTGAGCACGGGGCCTGCAGCAGAGCGACCAGGGCGTCAGGGCGTTGGACGGAAAGGAAAGAAGGCCGTGAAGCAGATCGTACAAGAGAGAGTGAGGCTGGGCGTACCGTAATAGGACGAGTTCGGCTTGCTGCTCCCGGGGAACGCGTCCATGCTGATGCTCTTGCTGCAGCTTCGTCGTTCCCGATCAAACTCTGCAAAAGAGAAAGCGGGAATCATAACAGGGCTGCGACCTTAGGCTGCAGCGCGAGCGCCGTCTGCCTACCTTTCTCACCGGCCTCGACGGCCTCGGCGGCCTCGGCGTCCTCCTTGTCCTCCGCGGCGCCCTTCCTGGTGAGCACGAGGCGCTTGCGCGGCGCCAGGCTGATGGCGGCCTCGTTGAGGAAGCCCACGCTGACGGAGCGCACCGGGCCGATGCGCACCTCGCCCACCTCGTCGTCGATGAAGTTGAGGCCGATGGCGCCCTGCTCGTCCAGGTCGCCCGGCTCGGGCTCGTCCATGAAGGCGGGGATGTTGAGGTCCTCGATGTTGACGTCGGGGATGATGAGGTCGGGCAGGATGGCGTCGGGGTCGGCCAGGTCGGCGATCTTGTTGAGCTCGGACGGAATGCTGTAGACGGGGATGCGCATGTTGGGGGCGTCCAGGTCCACGAAGGTCATGTCGGAGGGCATGGCGGCCGCGGCGGCCGGCCCGGGGCACGGGGCCGCGCTGGAGCAGGTGGTGGTGGCGGCGCTGGAGGCCGGGCTGGGCCCGCGGGTCTCGAACTGGTACAGCGGGTCGTCGCGGATCACGTGGCCCTTGACGCGCTGCACGTTGACGCCGTGGTCCGCGGCGGCCGCCGACACGGCGCTCATCACCATGGACGAGGGCGCGACGCCGATGCGCGGCGACTGCAGCGCGGGCGTGGCGGTGCGCTGCGCCGTCTCCACCTGCGCCTGGCCCTGCAGGCCCTGCACCTGCAGCTGCGCCACCTGGGGAAACTCGTCGTCCGTGTACGACTCGGCGCGGGCCAGCGCGGGCACGCCGGCCGGCATGGGCCGCGGCCGCTGCGTGGAGTCGCGCTGCGTGGAGGAACTGCGGCGCGGGGAGCCGCGCTGCGAGGACGACCCTCGCCGCGGCGAAGACCCCCGTCGCGGTGACCCCCGCTGCGCGGGCGGCGGCTGCGCGGCCGTGGGGGACGGCGGCGGCTGCGGCTGCGCGGCCAGCGCGGCGGCCTGCTGGGCGTGCGCGTGCGCCAGGGCCTGCTGCGCGTGGGCCGCCGCCACCGCCTGCGGCGTCAGCTCGTACCGGTACCTGCAGCAGAACGGGGACTTTCAAACACCATTTTCTTTGTAATGCATTAACTTTTAAGAGCGTACCGCGAGGGGGTAACAACTGGTAAATTTCGTGTCAGCCGGATTACGGATTACCCCGGATTACCCCGGATTATCCCCAAATTACCTCCGGATTACAACCAAAATAATCCTGGATTACCCCGGATTACCCCGGATTACCTCCCAATTTGCTGTCAGCCGGATTCCAGAAGTCGTTACCCCCTCGGCGTACCGCCTTTGAAACGATCGGCAGAGCCGAGCAGTCCATAGCTCGCTGTTAACCTCGTGAGTTACTTTTGCAGTGTAGTCACTAAAGGCGGTCGCTTAGCCATCCACCATCGCGTCGACTTTTCGATGGTCTCGGGGTGACCACGCTCCTCACCTGGGGGTGTTACTGAAGAGGTAGGGGGCCTGCCCTTCCGGGTTCCGGTGCTGCCGGTGGTGGTGATGGTGGTGGTGGTGGTGGCGTCTCTGGCCGCCGTCCACGCCGGCCTCCTCGACCGCCGCGGCCGCCGCTCCCGCTGCCGTGGCCGCGGCGGCGATGGCGACGGCCGTGGTGGCGGCCGAGGAGCGCGTCTTGGGGTTGAGCACCTTGGGCGGCGCCAGCCCGAAGATGATGGGCGGGCTGGACTCGTCGCGCAGCTCCGTCATGCAGAGCGTCATCTGGCGCGGCTGGAGGTGCAGCAGCGACGTCTTGTAGGTGATCTGGCCCAGCACGGCGGGCATGCCCTCGCCCATCAGCCCCACCACCTTGAAGCGCGTGCCCCAGATGTTGGACGTCACTTGCACCAGGTTGTCGTCCTGCGAACAAAGCCGTCGGCGCGGTGAGTCAGCGCGTCACCCTACCACCCTCTTGCAGCACACGGTCGTCGTCGCTCACCTCGGACAGGTTGTCGCGGTACACCAGCTCGGCCGGGGTGTTCCTGGGCGCGTACCGGTTGCGGAAGTGCCTGCCGCCGGGGCCGCGGTGCCCGGGGTGGTGGTGGCGGCGGCGGCCCAGGCGCGGACTGACGCAGCCGCCGTCCTCCGTGTCCGAGTCCGTCTCCGGGTCCTCCTCGGACGCGGCCGCGCCCCACGGCAAGTGCGTCATGTAGGACAGCGGGCCCTGCGCGCCGACGCGAGCGTCGTCCGCCGCCGCGTCTGGAAGCAGGCGAAGCAAGCCGCAGATCGCGGGTTCAAACACTCACTCGGCGGGTTTTCGTTTGCTGCTTGCAGTGCTTCCAGTGTCCTGGAAAGCTGGGAGCGACCTTCCTCGCCCAGGGCGCGGCTTTTTACTCACGGATGTCGTGGCGCGGGTCGAAGATGACGAACTCGGGCCTGATCTTGCTGGTGCGCTTGCCCTTGAGCAGAGGCACCAGGCCGCCCAGGTACTCCAGGTACAGCGTGTACGTGGTGCTGTTGGCCATGCTGGTCTCCTCGCCGTGCCGGATCATGGTGCAGTGTAGGCGCACCTGGCCGCGCGGAGGCTTGCTCACGAACTCACGCAGCGCGCAGCGCTCGGGCACGCAGCACTGCCAACCCAACCACAATGAACAGATTAGCAGCGCTCAGACTTGGAGTGGGCGGGCGCACTCGACCCGCGCTGGCAGGGTCCTCTGCGCCGCACAGCGGATTTGCCAGAAGACCGACGCAGGCGGCCAAAACTCTAGACGCGTTTTGAGCTCCAGAGTCGCTAAACAGGACTTTAACTGAACGTGTGACCCAGCCAATGGATTCCTCGTTCGGAGAGCAATCCATTGGGGTCACACATTCGGTTCGAGTCCTATTCAGCGACTCTGGAGCTAAAAACGCGTCCGGGATATTGACCGCTTCCACCAGTCTTCTGGCCCACTGTGTGTGCTTCCCTCAGAGTCGGTTTCTTCGCTCCGTCTCTCTCGCACTCCTGGAGCCTCCCTTGTAGTTGCGTGTGAGAGAGAGAGAGAGAGAGAGAGAGAGAGAGAGAGAGAGAGAGAGAGGAGAGAGGGAGAGGGAGAGAGGGAGAGAGAGAGAGGGAGGGAGGGAGGGAGGGAGGGAGGGAGGGAGAGAGATAGAGAGAGGCGACTCACCCGGATGGTCTGGGCGAAGAGCAGCGAGATGAGGTGCAGCATGCGGTTGGGCAGCGGCAGCTGCGACAGCTGGGCCTCGCCGCGCGGCAGGGCGCTGTGGATGCGCAGGCGGCACAGGTGGCTGAGCGAGGGGATGCGGCGGCACACCCACGCGATGTGCACCTGCGGACCCGTCGCCACGAACAGCCGCTTGTCGTTGTGGCCCCACGTCAGCGCCGTCACCGGCCACTGCCAGACAATCACACAAATATTACAGAAACTTACACCAAAAAAAAATACCAAAAAGATAAAAAAATTACACCAACAATATACAAAAAAATTACTAAAAATTCCAAAACAGTTTTTTTTTAAATTACAAATTATTTTTTTTTTGAAGTTGCATTGTAGCGGGAAGCTTACCCTGTTGCAGGGGATGTCGATGACGAACAGCAGCACGCCCGCGTCCGTGTAGAACTTGAGGGTGTTCTTGTAGCGGGGCGGCTGGCCGGGCCGCAGCAGCGACGCGTTGGCCTGCCAGCCCGCCACGGCCAGCAGCTCCCCGGCGTTGCTCCACTCCATGTACAGCGGCGCCTGCAGCCCCGTCTGCAGGTGCAGCGGCGCGGGGTCGTCGTAGCGCCGCAGGAACAGGATGCTGCCCGTGTCCATGGCGCACGCCACCACGTAGGGCCGCCCGTCTGCAACGGAAAGGCAGCGCCGTCACTAGGTTGCCGTCGCCGTCCTCCTCCTCGTCCTCGTCCTCCTCGCCCTCGTCCTCCTCGTCCTCGTCCTCCTCGTCCTCGTCCTCCTCGTCCTCGTCCTCCTCGTCCTCGTCCTCCTCGTCCTCGTCCTCCTCGTCCTCGTCCTCCTCGTCCTCGTCCTCCTCGTCCTCGTCCTCCTCGTCCTCCTCGTCCTCGTCCTCCTCGTCCTCGTCCTCCTCGTCCTCGTCCTCCTCGTCCTCGTCGTCCTTGTCCTCCTCCTCCTCGTCCTCCTCCTCCTCGTCCTCCTCGTCCTCGTCCTCCTCGTCCTCGTCCTCCTCGTCCTCGTCCTCCTCGTCCTCGTCCTCCTCGTCCTCGTCCTCCTCGTCCTCGTCCTCCTCGTCCTCGTCCTCCTCGTCCTCGTCCTCCTCGTCCTCGTCCTCCTCGTCCTCGCCCTCGTCCTCCTCGTCCTCGCCCTCTTCGTCCTCTCTCTCTTGTTGTTGTTGTTGTTGTTGTTGTTGTTGTTTCATGGCACGGTGAGTGTTTCGGGATGATGCTGCGCGCCAGCCAAGCGCGGTTGAGCGAACACGTTGCGCACCTGCCGCTGCCGCGTTGCCGCCGCGCCACCCCCGAACCACCCCGCAGCCGCCTGGCGCCGAAGGATCGTCTCGCCGCTCCGTCTCTCTCGCACCCATGGGGCGTTTCGCGGGGGCGCGAGAGAGACGGAGCGACGAAAAACGGGCGAGGCCCGGCGCGGCGCGCGGCCTCGGGCGGTGCCAGTGGGGGCCAGTGGGGAAACACGGGCACATCGATTTCCGATGGGATCACACTCGACGCGCTCGACGTGCAGCGTGGAGCCTGCGGCGGCCTGCGGGGTCGCGGGGGGCTACAAGGGCCGCAGTCTCGGCCGCAGCAGCAGGGCTCCACGTCAACAGGTCGACCCGGTCTGCCCAGGGCCGCGCCCAAGGCCATGTGCTCGCGTCGAGGCCCAGCCAGGACACGACACGCAGTCGCGCCAAAGTCATTGTGCTGCCGAGAAATACGGCAGCCAATCAGGAGCGGATCCACGGCGGAGAAAAGGAAAAGAGAGCTCCTCCCTCCACGCGAACGAAGGCATGTTCGTGGCGACACATCTAATGGGCACCCCTCCCACCTCCTTTGCGACTGAGACTCTTGTGGAGCAACTTTATTTTCTTTTTGAGTGCCGACCGAGGGGGCAACCACTCTAGAAATCTTGTGTCCCTTTAGAACTAGAAATCTCTGGGAAATCTGAAATCTTGCCCCCAAAAAGGACAAAAACAAGCCAATTTTGGGCGGAATATCGGCTACAATCTTGCGAAATCTGACGAAATCTTTAGCCTTAAGAAATCTTGTGTCCCCAAACATCCCATGTGGTTGCCCCCTCGGTGCCGACACTGTTATTTTGCTAGGTGCGCTGAACCGTGGCGGACGACACCCTTGAAACAACCTGAGCGACGGCATTGCTGTTGGTACCCACCGAGGTGCATCATGTTGGAGCGGTCGCCGTCGTCGCCCTCGTCCATCTTGAACTTCTCGCAGGACCAGGCCATGGCGGTGATGCAGTGGCCGCCACCGATCTGGACCTGGCTCACCATGGCGCCGTTCACGTCCATCACGATGATCTGGCCCGAGCTGGTGCCGAAGTACACCTGCAGACACGAGAGGCACGAATGAAGGCACAGCGAAGGCAGCGTGACAAAGACAGAGAGAAAGAGAAAAGGGAAGAGAAAGACAGAGAGAAAGAGAAAGAGAAAGAGAAAGAGGAAGAGAAAGAGAAAGAGAAAGAGAAAGAGAAAGAGAAAGAGAAAGAGAAAGAGAAAGAGAAAGAGAATGAGAAAGAGAAAGATAGTAGAGTAAGAGAAGAGTAAGAGTAAGAGCAAGAGTAAGAGCAAGAGAAAGAGCAAGAGCAAGAGAAAGAGAAAGAGAAAGAGAAAGAGAAAGAGAAAGAGAAAGAGAAGGAAACTGTCGGAGCCGAGTTCTAGCAACAGCCGGTTCGGGGGTATTTCTGGGGCCACCCCACCGCACCCCACCCCGACGGGCATCCTTTTATGAAGTGCCGGATGGGTGCATGCTGGGCTCAAAGGGAGGGAAGGGACACCTTTGGGAGGGGCCGCGCATGCCGAACAAAGCAGAGAGAGAGAGAGACAGAGAGACAGAGAGAGAGAGAGAGAGAGAGAGAGAGAGAGAGAGAGAGAGAGAGAGAGAGAGAGAGACTCACCTGCTGATCATCCGGGGTCCACACCCCGCACGTGATGGTGGAGGCGATGTTGAGCATGGAGGACCAGTAGCGCTGCCCCGCCACGGAGCCCACCAGGACGAAGCCATCCTGGAAGCGGCAAACGGAGGGACGGCGTTAATCCAGAACAGGGGCCTCATTTCACAATCATTTCCCCCTCAGACCCTAAGTTGAAAATAGCATTCCCCTTATGCAGTATTTTTACAGCACATTTTACGATTGCGTTCACTCCGATTCTGCAACAGTGGTGCAATCGAGGAGACGATGGTCTCCGAGGATTTGAAATTCTGAAAGAAAAGCATTGTGACAAAAGAAAAGTGCGTGACTGACCCGGTAGCAGATGAGCGCCATGCGGCCGTCGTGGCTCCAGGCGAAGTTGGTGACGGGGGTGTTGCGGTCGTTGATGAGCTCCACGGACCAGCGGCCCTCGTACTTGATCCACACGAAGATGATGCCCGAGCTGTCGCAGCTGGCCAGCTTCTGGTAGGGCTCGTTCCATTTCACCAGCACCACCTGCAGCAACCACACTCGTGGAGTCAGCTCGAGTCAGACACGACAGGCACAGTGGGCCAGAAGACCGGCGGAGGCGGCCAAAACTCTAGACGCGTTTTGAGCTCCAGAGTCGCTAAACGGGACTCGAACCGAACGTGTGATCCCACCAATGATGGATTCCTCGTTCGGAGAGGAATCCGTTTGGTGGGGTCACACGTTTGATTTGGGGCACGTTTAGCGACTCTGAGGCTCAAAAAGCGCGTCAAGAGTTTTGGCCGCCTGCGCTGGTCTTCTGGTCCACTGTGCGCGTGGGTTCCTCGTTCCAAGGGAAGTCCGAGGACATCATTCAACTTTGTGGCTCTAATCGAGTCCGGACCCCGCGTGTCCCTGCTGAACGGTTCCAGCGACACATGTGCGGCGCGGCCCTTTCTGGGGTTTTCAATATCGCCCGTATCGCTCCAACTCGCAAGAACAAAGTTTGCCGCGAAAGTCGAGCGTTCACGAGCAGAGGGTTGGAAACGAAAAAAAGCAACAAAGAAACGAAAAAGACTCAAGCGTGGCGCGTGGCGCGGCGTTTGAAAGGCAACTCGGTCGGTCCAGCCCGCCAGGCATGGCCAAGGCATGGCCAAAGGCATGGCCGGGGAGGAAAATTAGATTCATCGAGTTTCTGAAATGCAAATTCTTGACGAGAGTGGCCCTCTGCTAACTATCGATGCGGGGTGATTATGGAACGAGCCTCGTGTTTGCAGCGGCATCCGCTCCGAGTCCATCAAGTTGGCTTTCAAGAGCACGCTGCAAGCAAGTCTATGGCGATCGGCTGGAGAACGTCTGGAGAAGGTCTGGAGGACGCCAAGAGCCCCCAAGACGCTCCAGCGTGCTAGCGCGCGGCTTGGCCGTGGCTTATTCGAGTCTCGGATCGGCGATGCCGTGGTGTGCCATGATTCCATGGTGCCATGATGCCATGGTGCCATGATGCCATGGTGCCATGATGCCATGGTGCCATGATTCCATGGTGCCATGGTTCCATGGTGCCATGGTTCCATGGTGCCATGGTTCCATGGTGCCATGGTTCCATGGTGCCATGGTGCCATGGTACCATGGTACCATGGTGCCATGGTGCCATGGTTCCATGGTGCCATGGTGCCATGGTTCCATGGTGCCATGGTGCCATGGTTCCATGGTTCCATGGTTCCAGGACGGCTCCGGCGGACAACGGGACGCCGGGGGCACTCGCCTTGACAGCGTTCATGGAAGATGGTAATTAGATTGAAAGCGAGCACGGCGGGGGGTGGGGAGGGGCGGCGCGGCGTCGCGGGCTTACCCCCCCTCCCCTCACCCCCTTCTCTCTCTCTCTCCATGCAAGCTCAAGGCTATTACCCCGGCATCGCTCCGCGCGTGTCCCCTTGCCGACTGATTCCGAATGGTTGTCCTTCTCTCTCGCACTCACAGGGCGTCCCGACCGTGTGCGAGAGAGGCAGGCCCACGTGACCTGCCGCTCGGATCCAGTGTGCCGCGACCCGAGCCACCGGTGGCCACTGGCCCGGCACCTTCACCGGGGGGACTCTTTCTGGCGCGGTGGACAAAGAGAAGGCCGCCTGTGGACGCGACAGAGGCTTCGTCGCTTCGTCCCGGCGAGTCTGCAGAGTCGTTTTCGTCGCTCTGTCTCTCTCGCACTCATGGAGCGTCCCGTGTAGGTTGCGAGAGGGAGAGAGCGACCAAAACGACTCTCGGAATCAGTCTGCTAGTATTGGGTCGCGAACCGCGCGAGTGCCTCCAAATTATAAGTCCCGCCACTGGTACCCCCCCCCCCCCCCCTCTTTCTGGCGCCGATGCCGGTCAAGTGAAGAGCGCATCTCAACTTCGACTCGGCCCAACTTTCCGTCCGTCCGCCCCAAGTCGCCTTTGAGTGAACGAAGAAAGCTTTCTGAGTGGGTGTCGGCAACCAGCGAGAAACTCTTGCCGTGGAGTGTACACTGTACCCCAGTGGACTGACGTTGATGGCCCCGGAAAGAACCTGAAAGTGAGCCTGACTGCGAGTAGTGGCCCCCCTGAGGGACTGTACCTGCGAGTGGTGCACAGTGGACCGGTGGAGGTGGCCAAAATTACAGACGCGTTTTGAGCTCCAGAGTCGCTAAATGGGACGAGAACCGAACGTGTGACCCCCACCAATGGATTCCTGGTTCGGAGAGCAATCCATTGGTGGGTCACACGTTCTGTTCAAGTCCCATTTAGCGACTCTGGAGCTCAAAACGCGCCTAGAATTTCGACCACACCCTTGTAGTTAGCACTGTACCTGCGAGTGGTGGCCCCTGAGGTTGTAGTTGGTGCGCAGCGGCGAGTCGGCGGCCTTCCTGCAGTGGCTGGACGTGAAGGTGACGCCCACGATGCCGCGGACGTTGCCGGACGCCAGCCAGCCCTCCTGGTAGTAGTTGTTGCGGTTCAGCTTCCAGCCCTCCTCCTGCAGCTGGCACAAACACAGACGCCTTTTAGACACCCCTTGGCAAAGCCCCGCTCGAAACGAACCGCAAGAAGACGCTCAGTGGGTCAGAAGCCCGTTGGAGGCGGTCAGAATACCGGACGCGGAATTTTGAGCTCCAGAGTCGCTAAATGGGACTCGAACCGAACGTGTGACCCCACCAATGGATTGCTCTCGGAACGAGGAATCCATTGGTGGGGTCACGCGCTCGGTTCGAGTCCAGTTAGCGACGCTGAGGCTCAAAACGCGTCTAGAGTTTTGGCCGCCGGCGCCGATCTTCTGGCCCACTGTGAGACGGGAGAGTGGTTGGTTTGTATCCCTTTGTTGTAAAAGGTACACAGCGATCGGACACGAATTCATCAAGTGTTTACCTAACACACGCACTTTTCCGCCTTCTGAAAAAAATCTGTCTACGGTGTGGTGGTGGGTTCAGGTGGCGTTTTTGGCGTTATTTCCATCTCGCCTCCGGCTGCTTTGCTCGTTTCCGCGCTCCGCGTTGCTCCGCGTTTCCACGAGGTGCGCGAGCGAGAAGCTTTGAGTGAGTTGCGTAACACGACCCGGGGCACCTGGCAGCCAGGCAGCCAGCCAGGCAGCGGCACGGGCAAAGCGCGAACGCGAAGGCACCAGCTTTTTAATCAGTTCGCAGAAAGCCCAATTTGCACTACTCGGAGTCCGAGATTCCCGGACGGGGACTCTATGGCCTCCAGCAGGCTGATTCAGCGTCGCTCTGTCTCTCTCGCACTCACGGGGCGTAGCGTGTGGGTGCGAGAGAGACAGAGCGACGCGTGCTGGGCCTCCGCGGACGTCGCGACGCTGCGCGTCTGGCGCGCTGCAGCGCCGTCACCTGGAAGACGGTGGAAGCGGAGCTCGCGCTGGCGTGAGTCGGACGGCGGGGAGGCCAAAGGGAGGAAGACAACAGCGACGACGTCTTCGCGCGTCTAAATTTTAGATTAAATTCTGTAGAGTGTGAAACGCGACGCGCAACTCCCTGTGGACCAAGTACCTCGTTTGGTGCGCCTGGCCGGGGCGAGGGGCTACCTGCCGCGCTTCCCCTCCCCCCCCCCTCCCCCACCCCACACAGTTTAATTGTCTTTCGATTATTCCATTGATTTTGAAAGGCGCGAGGTGCGAGGCGTGTGGCGCCCTCTAGGTCATGGTGCACTGTGTGTCTATGCACTGTGGGTGTGTGCAGTGTGGGTCTGTGCACTGTGGGTCTGTGCACTGTGTGTCTGTGCACTGTGTGACTGTGCCTTGTGTGTCTGTGCATTGCAAGGAGCTCACACTGAAAAACCAAACGCGGTCTAGACCACACCACTGGTGTGGTCAAATGGGTGCCATTTTGACCACGTGGTCTAGACCACGTTTGGTTTTTCAGTGCACCGTCTGCACCCCGCTCAATACCACAGGCCACGCCAGGAAAGGGACTCATTATGAAAAATCATTGCACGCGACCAAAACATTCAAAATTTAAATATGAAAAAAAAAATGGAAACGGTACTCTACAAATCAAAGAGTGTACATGGTACGCTCTAACTGGAGCATGCCTGCAAGCACGCTCTAACTAGCGCATGCCTGCCAGGCATGCACTAACTAGTGCATACATGCCACGTACACGCTAACTGAAGCATACATTTACTGCATAAGGGATAGGGAGTTTTCTGCATCAGGAAGCGTGTACATGGCATGTATGCTCTAGTTAGTGCATGCTTGGCAGGCTAGCTAGAGCGTGCTTGCAGGCATGCTCCAGTTAGAGCATACTATGTACACTCTTTGATTTGTAGAGTATAAAATGAAGAATTATGCAGAAAAATATCCCTTTCGGTGACTTCCTTAACTTGACTGCCTTTTGTACCTAAACGACACGAAGCCCGTTTTCTGTTCCTGCCCCGGTGAGGGATTCCCGAAGTTGGCAGCCCCGCGACCCTCACCCAGCCCATACCTCTGACGACCCCCGCGGGGGCTCGACCCTCAACAGGTAAGCCCCAAGGTGAGGGCCCTGGAGGGGGTCGTGCCATGCCTAGCCATGCCATGGCCAGGCCATGGGCGTGCCGTCGTGCGCATCACGCGAGCTGATTCCGAACAGGTGCTTATTTGTCGCTCCTGTCTGTCTATCTGTCTGTCTTTCTGTCTGTCTGTCTGTCTGTCTGTCTGTCTGTCTGTCTGTCTGTCTGTCTGTCTGTCTGTCTGTTTGTCTGTCTGTCTGTCTATCTGTCTGTCTGCCTGCCTGTCTGTCTGTCTCTCGCACTCTCTCTGTCCTTCCTGTGAGAGAGACGGAAGGGCGGAAGTCTACTGTTCGGAATATAAGCCTTCACGAGGATGATCTCGCACACGCCAACGCGCCAACGTGACGGGGTGCGTGATGGACAGTGGCGGGGCGGGGCGTGGCGGGGCCTGGTGGGGCGTGGCGGGCCGTGGCGTGGCGGGCCGTGGCGTGGCGGGCCGTGGCGTGGCGGGCCGTGGCGTGGCGGGCCGTGGCGTGGCGGGCCGTGGCGTGGCGGGCCGTGGCGTGGCGGGCCGTGGCGTGGCGGGCCGTGGCGTGGAGGGCCGTGGCGTGGCGGAGTCCGAGCTGGAGGCCTCCGAGAGAAACCCGACGCGTGGCGGCGTGGCGGCGTGGCGGCGTGGCGGCGGCGTGGCCGACGGATCCCTCTAACGAGGGTCGATACCTCGAAGGCCCGGGCCGACCGTGAGACCGCCAGACCACCAGACCGCCAGCCGCCACCCGTGATCGCGCCGATCGGCAGTCGGACCGAAGGGACCGAAGCCTACAACGTGACGATGGAGGAGCAGCACGGACAGACCCTGACTAACCCTGACCAGCGAGCAGGGAGAGGCGGGGAAGGGGGCACTTGGAAAGAATGCCAATATTGGCGTGCGAGCCGCGAGGCGCGAGGCTCCGGCCGGGACGGTGGCACACTCGCCTCGCCCCGTCGCCGCCGAGCAGACGATTCCGAGGGAGAGGTCGTCTCTCTCCCTCGCTCGCGCGTCCGGACAGGGCGGAGAGACAAAGACGGCCGACGGCGCGGCTCCAGGGCGGAGTCCTGGCGGAGTCAGCCCCCACGGGCGGCCGGGCGGCGGGGACACCAGTATATCAAAGATGGCCGGGGAAAGGCCGAGGAGGGGGGGGGGCAAGGTCACACGGACAGGGCGGCTGAGAAGGAATACGAAACTGGAAACTGCCGCGAGCACTTCTCTTTACACGGCCACGCCGTATAACAAGGCTATCGGCGACGAGAGAGCAGAGCGAAAAGAGAGAGAGAGGGACAGAGCATCAAAAGGGAATCAAGAGGGCAGCGGCAAAAAGCGACAGAGCCGCTGGCCGCGCGAGGCACTGCGAGTGTCAAATACGAGAACGTAATAATTAACGAGTCATCGGCGCACTCCGATGGAGACTCTGCATTATTTCTGTGCGCGAAGGGGACGGGAGGGGTGGGGGTGGGGAGGGGTGGGGGTGGGGGTGGGGGTGGGGTGGGGGTGGGGGTGGGGTGGGGTGGGGTGGGGGTGGGGTGGGGGTGGGGGTGGGGGAGGGGTGGAGGCCAAACGGGGCCACGCGCCTCGCCGCCTCGCCAGAGACGAGAGAGGCACGGTTATGAAAGAGCCTGCTGCCATGACAGCGCGCTGCACGGCCCGGCCAGCGACGCCGGGGAAGTCCCAGCGAGCTGATCGAGAGGGAGGTCTCTCTCGCACTCATGGGGCGTGCCGTGGAGGAGCGAGAGAGGCAGGCCGACGGGACCTCCTCCCTCGCCGCTAGTCAGAAAGCTCCAGAAAGCTTGAGAGAGCACGCCCGTCCCGTCCGCGCTTTACAACGCACGGTAATCCTGTCCCGGGCTCGCCGCGCTCGCCGCTCGGCTCTCGGGTTCCGGCTTTCGGCTTTCACCGCCTCGCGCTTTCAATGTCTCGAGCGCACTACCGTCCAGCCAGCCAGCCGCGCCACAGTGGGCCAGAAGGCCGCCGCAAGCGGACAAAACTCTAGACGCGTTTTGAGCTCCGGAGTCGCTAGACACTACTCGAACCGAACGTGTGGCCCCACCAATGGATTCCTCGTTCGGAGAGCAATCCATTGGTGGGGTCGCACGTTCGGTTCGAGTCCCATTTAGCGACTCTGGAGCTCAAAACCCGCCCGGGGTTTCGACCGCCTCCGCCGGTCTTCTGGCCCACTGTGCGAGAGAGACGGCAGCGCTGTTGGGCCTGCTGAACAGGATTAGGCCCGGGCGAGCTTGGGGCGCGGTCGCGGCCGAGCCATCCCTCATTCACCGACGGGGACCGACGGGGACAAGGGACTCGACCGCGGTCAGCCGTGGGCTTTGGCCGGGGAAGGGAGCCTACACTGGCGGTGGACGCGATTCCGAGAGTCGTTTTCGTCGCTCTGCCTCTCTCGCACTCATGGGGCGTCCCGTAAAGGTGCGAGGGGGACAGAGCGACGAACACGACTCTCGGAATCAGTCTGCTGTGCGTTCGAATGTGGAACGCGACCTGTGTGCGCCGCTGCAGCACGGTCCGTAACATTGCCGTGCAACTTTGCTCGGTTCCGCGCGACACGCGTGCACAGAGAGCCGAACAAAGAGTGGAGCGGCTCGACCCAAAGAACGTTGGAGTGGGAGGAAAACGCCCCCGTGCTCACCCCGGACGCGACCCGGCCCCACGGGCTCAGGGACGCCCACGCCGTGCTCCACGCCGTGCTCCACGCCGTGCTCCACGCCGTGCTCCACGCCGTGCTCCACGCCGTGCTCCATGCCGTGCTCCATGCCGTGCTCCACGCCGCGGCGCGCCCGTCGGGGGGGATGTTGTCTGTTGTCATGTTGTCGTGGCCGTGACGCAGGTCGTGGGCACGGCCCGCCAGCACGCCGCTCCGTCTCTCTCACACCGCTGCGCAGCGCCCCATGAGTGCGGGAGGAGGGAGAGAGAGAGAGAGAGAGAGAGAGGGAGAGAGAGGGGGGAGAGAGAGGGGGAGAGAGAGAGAGAGAGAGGAGAGAGGGACAGGGGGCACTTGGAAAGAGGTAAAAAAAGGGGGGTCGAGGGTTGCGAGGAAGTCAACTAGGAAGGAAAGACGAGGAGTTACGATTGGCTTCTGGGAAAAACCAGGGGCCTCTTCGGAATCATCCCTGCCTGCCCAGCCCGGGGCGGAGGAGGCCGCTTCGTGGAACCTGTCCTTCCTGCGCCGCGCCCAGTGCCGTACAGGAGAGACTCATTCCGAGCGGCAGGTCCCATGTGGGTGCGAGAGAGAGAGAAAGGGAGAGAGAGATAAAGAGAGAGAGAGGGGAGGGAGAGAGAGAGAGAGAGAGAGAGAGAGAGAGAGAGCGATGGGGGAGACGGGATCTGCCGCCCGGCAACAGCCCGCAGAAGCGACAGGGGCTGTTAGTCTGATTCCCGAGCAGTGCTTTCGTCGCTCTGTCGCACTCATGGGGCGTCCCGTAGGGATACGGTGTGTGTGTGTGTGTGTGTGTGTGTGTGTGTGTGTGTGTGAGAGAGAGAGAGAGAGAGAGAGAGAGAGAGAGAGAGAGAGAGAGAGAGGCACTGCTCTGTCCTCGCGCGTCGATTCGTGTTTGTGTCAGCGCGACTTCTCCCGAGAGCGCGTCGCCGCGCGTCGCCCACCTACCCACCCGGCTACCTACCCCTTGTCCCTGCCTCGGCCCGTGTGCTCTTTGTGCCCCGCCGCCCCCTCCCCTCCCAGGGTCGTGTTGCTCCGTGGCGTAATGGCCCTCGCCATGTAGCCGTGTAGGGCGCGGCCACTGTTTGTGTGCGCACACTGTCAACAGAATCCCGTATCGTATCCAGTGGCGGCACGGCGAGCGGCGGCGGCGGCAGGCTCATTCCGAGAGCCCTTTTTCGTCGCTCTGTCTCGCTCGCAACCTATACGGGACGCCCCATGAGTGCGAGAGAGACGGAGCGACGAAAAGGACTCTCGGAGAGTCTGCAGGCAGCGGGACGCCGCCTGGGACATAGGCAGCCGCCGGGCTGGCACGCAACGCCGCGCCGCGGGTTGCCTACCCTCGACTCCACAGGCTGAGGCCCGCACAGTGAGCCAGAAGACCAGCGGAGGCGGTCAAAACTCTAGACGCGTTTTGAGCTCCAGAGTCGCTAAATGGGACTCGAACCGAACGGGTGACCCCACCAATGGACTCCTCGTTCGAAGAGCAATCCATTGCTGGGGTGAAACGTTCGGTTCGAGTCTCATTTAGCGACTCTGGAGCTCAAAACGCGTCTAGAGTTTTGACCGCCTCCACCGGTCTTCTGGCCCACTGTGGCCTGCCCGCTCGGCCGTGCTGCACCCCGCCCCAGGCCCCAGCCCGCGTCAGGGTGGCGTCACATAGCGATAGAATGACGTCAGAATAACGTCAGATAGAGCAAAATTTTTACTTTTTTTAAAAAACGAAGCCTCTTTGAATTTATGACGGAGTTTCGGAAGGCGCTTTCCGGTATTTTCCAATTTATTTTTCACAGCTTTTTACAGTCAACAAAACTTTACCCTCCATGTGACTAGCAAATTAAACCTAGTCAATCGGCTAAATAATTTAGCGCAGGTTTTCGAGGAACCAGCACCGGAAACATGATGTGTCAGTTAGGTGGGCCAGAAACCCCGAGACGAAATGAGAGGTATGCAGTCCCACCAAACAGGCCCCCACCATTCCCCTCTGTCCCCATGGACATGCGGCCATGCGTCCGTCATGAGATGAGGGCGCCCTTCTCTCCGCGTGGGTGCAGTGGGAATACGGGGCTTTCCCGGGCTTTCCTCAACCAGTGCACCAGTGCGGGGCCGTGGGCTGGCCGGCACGGCCCTCAACAACGAGGAGCGACCATGAAAAACCAGCATTGCGTAACTATTGCCGCTGTCTCTCTCGCACCCACGGGGCGCCCCGCACGGGTGCGAGAGAGACAGCGTGACGAGACTTGACGAGTGTGCTGGAGCCACCGTGTCTTCGGCCCTGAACCGGACGTGGAAGTCCCTGGGGCTCTGTCAATGGCACCTGCGATCCCAGCGCGCCCACCCGCAGGTGGAGGTGCGTGCCGAAGAGAGAGAGGAGAGAGAGGAGAGAGGACGAGAGAGAAGAGAGAGACGGGAGAGAGAGGAGAGAGGAGAGAGAGAGAGAGAGAGAGAGAGAGAGAGAGAGAGAGAGAGAGAGAGAGAGAGAGAGAGAGAGAGAGAGAGAGAGAGAGAGAGAGAGATTAGGTGCTGCGCCTTGTTTACAGCTAGCCTGGAGGGATTCTGGCTCCTCATTCCAATGGGTCTTTTCTTCGCTCTGTCTCTGTCGCTCTCCTGAGGCGACGTGCGGGACGTAGGGGCGCGAGAGAGGCAGATCGACGCGACGACCTCGGAGGGCTTCGCAGGCTTCGCCAGGGCCGCGGTGGCCGTGTTGTGGTGGTTGTGGTCCGCTAACCTCACTCGGCCTGCCCGTGGCGCGCCGTGGCGCCTTCGCGCACCCCCTGTGGCGTGTGGGGTTCTCCTGGAGCCAGGCCGCCGTCCTGGACGGTCCCGGGACTCCGGGGCCTCGAAGGAGGCCGTCCGGCCCCGTCCGGCCGCGACGTGTACTCACCTCTGGAAGCTCGTCGGGCACCTTGCCCATCCATGTGAGGTTGAGGATGGTGCAGTCGCACTTGGCGTTGGAGTTGCGCTCGAAGTGCACGTTCATGGCTCCCTTGGGGTTCGGTGCGGGGCTCGTCGCGGGTCCGTCACATCGTCACATCCACACACTCGTCTTCTCGGAGCTCATGGCCACAGCGGGGGGTGCAGCAAATCCGACACAGTTCCAGGCACCACGGCTTCCAAGGGGGTCCCCAATGGTACAGGGGACCCTGCTCGGCGCTGCTCGGCACTGCTCGCCCAGGGCAGGCTTTATGCTTTATGCTGGCAGAGTATTGATTTTGGAAGGCGCCGCCTTCTCTGAGTTTCCCCGCCAAGCGCGGACAGGCGCCAGTGGCGCGGAGCACGGCGCATGCGCGCGCCGTCGAGAGACTCGAAAGCAGACGACGCCAGCGGTGGGCGGCGGGGTTGTCAGATTGTGGGAACTTCCCCGTCAAGCCCAGTCGAGACGCGCCGGTTCCACGGCCACACGACGGAAAGGTTTGGCCCTCCAGCTAAATCGAGATCCCTTGAAATCGACTTTTTCATCCATCCCCGTTGATCTGCACCGCATTTACTTCGGGAAGCCGCTTTCCAATGTAGGACACGCTGGAGGGAAACTCGGGCTGCAGATGTGGCACGACTGTCGCTGCTGCTACCTCCGCACTCGCGACTCGCGCTCCGCTCCGCCGCTCCGCTCAGCCATCAGCTGACCCGAATCCCAACCCCAACTTTTCTCTTCTCCTCACGTCAGTAATGCCAGTATTACACAATGGCAGACGGAGGGACGGATGAAAGGCGCTCCATTAGGGATTCGGCGCGGTCTCTCAAGAGGTACGGAAGTACCAGTAGCCACCAAAAACGGCCCGAGCAGCTCATCAAGCATGTAGTCTGTAAAACCGATACCCTCCAGGGCTTGGCGCTTCGCTACGGAGTCACGGTGAGTTTTCCAGAGGTTAACGTTGTCCAGTGGATGGGCTGTTATCAGTCCCGGGGTCAGTCCCTGGACCCCAGATAACCGCTTGTGCGCGTCGCATTGACCCGTTCAATCACCCTCTCTCGTCTTGAATTTCCCGAAATTTATTTATTGATGTTTATGGATATCGTCGTTTGAGGTTATGTTGTTTTCCTGTTTCCATCAACATACACACAAGCTTCAATATTGTGACTTTTGTCGTTGGCTTTAGATATGTTATGTCTGTAACAGCTCGCCCTCTTCTAAAAAATCACAAATTTCCATTTTTTTCAGACGGAGCAGATCCGTCGCGCCAACAGACTGTTCGCCAATGACAGCTTGTTTCTAAGAGAATATCTCATGATTCCGGTACCAGACACAGATGGTATGCTGTCTAGCTCTGGTTCAGCAGGAGCAAGTGTCATATCATCACCTGCATCACCTATGTCACCTAGTTCAACAGAAAATGGCTTTTCCGATGAACATAGTATTGATGAATTTCTTGACAAAATAGATTCTTCAATAGCCAGCACTAAGAATCAAGTTCAAAAAGTTCAAGGAAACAGCAGGTAAGTTGCATAATCAATAAAATTCTGTGTTCCTTTCTCTCATTTGTCAATTTATTTATTGATTGTTATGCACTACTCTTCCAGCTTGTACTCTGAGGACGACATATTTACACGAAAACGACCACCAGTTTCGAGGTTACGTCAACAAAATCAACATCAAGTTGTTGCACCATCATCAAGTGAAATTCTTTCAGCTCCTCACCCAATCGTAATGACTCAAGGAAGAAAAGTCCGCACATCATTGCAGCGTCTTCAAAGAGAACAAGATGAGATGTTTGAGCTCTAACCAACATTTAAGTCTGATAGTGCCCTAAAGACATCTTTCATGTGTAGGGTGTGCTTGAACCAAAGGAAGAATGTATCATTTGTGTGGTGTTATACTTTGAGTTGTCCTTCCAAATTTTATTACTTTGAAAAGTTAAATCACCAGGGACTAATTAATATCCTATTTTGACTGATAGGCTTTCTTAGAATAGCTCATCAAATGAAGCGTAGCTTGTTCATTTTATTATTCAATGCAATTATTAATTGACAATATATGGGTGACTGCTAATCCATATTTTCACCTGTGTTAGAAAATGTTAGCTAAATGCAATTGTGTAAATGGGCTTCAGTTACCTACAGTGTGTCTTAACTTCAATCGTGTATGGTATGCTTTGATGTGCTCAAATCTGATAAGCCATTCTTTGTGTCTCTTGCTTATTGAACCAAGTCTTTTTGTTTTGATGTATAAGATGTGCTACTGAAGACTGTTTTCTATTAGTTGTAGCTTGATCTTCTTCCTCTCTTTTTTTCCTCCCATTTTGTTCTGTCTAAAGTTTCAGTGTGTGACCCCAATGGCAATTCTTAAGGCAATTGGGTATAACTTTGTTAAATTAGTGGCTGAAACTAATTTTCCTAAAAGTATAGTACCTTCAATCTAAACTCTGAAATTCATGTTTTTATTCTTGTACAGAATTTGATAACAACATAAGAGAAATACTTTATTTTAAGTTAATTAAGACACTTGTGCCTATAGAACTTGTTGAAAAGGTTTTGGATTTTGAGAATATTGTTTATTGTTGTTATAGTTTGATAAGTTATATCATCGCCTAAAGTGTAACAAATTAAGAGCTTTCATTTTGTTATGTTACGGTGTCTTTCTTGCCATGGTTTAGTGGCTAGTTTGTCTGGCTGTGTAATGAAGGGTGAATGTATGCCTGAGAATGCTTGCTACTGTGCAATACTTAGCAGTTGGTTAATTACATTACCATTTAAAGATTTTATTTTTAAAATCTTCAATATTTAACCTTCTTTTTTGTTGAGTTAATCTTGTGAGAAAAATCCCTTTGTTGGCTCTTTTGTATACTTGCTTGAATTGGCCGGCATGTAAGTCAAGGTTAGTGAACTTGTGGAGGAATTGGTTTTGTTAGTTTGTTGATTTTTCAGTTCCCTGTGGAGGAAACAAGGATGTGCTAGTTCCAGTAGGAGGGTATTTACAATAGAAAATCAAATTTTAGGATTCATGCGTAATGAGGTGTACCTAATCATTCAACTAATACAGTATATTTTACTTTCTGAGGATTTCTCTAATATGTCATTAGATTTTATGCCATAAATTTGTGATAATGTATGCTACTTTGGAAGAATCCTTATCTTGACAGAAAGTATAATTTTGACTATTTCTAGGATCATTCATAGGTTGTCACCCTTCTCCTTGTCAATTACATCATTGGTTCCGAAAATAGATGTTTATGGCATAGACTCTCCACTGCATATTTAGCTTTCTGCTCTGCTCGAGTTGTTTTAAGATTCTTTGCCTTCTCGCAAGTCTTTAACAAGCTGTGCATTCAAAAGACATCTAATTTTTATTGTTAGAGAATTTTTATGTTAAATTTTGGTTATTACTTCAAAGTTAAATGGAGAAACATGGTTTCAGCAACATGCAATAAACCAAGCATTATAAATTATTCATTTTGTCGATTGTTGGTAAAAGAAATAACTCCTTGCCTTGAGTTTTATATTTTTGTGAACTGTATCTAAACTTTCAACTATAATGAAGCAAACTATTTTTTAAAGTTGTTGAATGGTAATCAATCCATGGCAGTCAGACTTTTTTTTGTCACAAACTGTTTGGTGGTGTTGCTCTCTAATTAATGTAGTGTAAAAAGGAATTAAATGCCTGGCAGCAATGGATTTACATTTAGTGCAAGATCCAACATAAGTTGTGATTTTCTTACTCCACTATTAAAAAATAAACACTGATAAGATTTTTACACATTGATTGGTACTTACCATAAATAAGAAGTCATGTGTATCATTGAAGCAAAGAAACTGGTAATGATAGTGTTTTGATTTTATCTATCTATTCAGATGTATTTTTGAATGAACTATTTTAAGAAGGTTCTTGTCCATAGCTTCTTGAACTTTCCAGAGTTTGCTTATGTTAGCTATTCGTACTTAAAGTTGTCAGTGCCTCAATCATCTCCAGTTGTATTGCGGGAACTTTCTCAGATACCTGAGACAATACACTAAAAAAAATTCATCATTCATTGTCCATAGGGTATTTCATTCATTATTAACCAGGACAGTTCTTATATCCTTTCTTCAATCAAATTGTTCTCAGAGTACGAGTGTGTTTTGATACAAATGTGTGGTTCCTTAGCAAGGTAGGTTTAGAGGAAGAAAATTGGATATCCAACATATCATATTGATTTGTGTCTTGCCTCCATTCCATTTGTTTACTTTGTTTTTGTAAGTCCAGGCCTTTTGCGCTGTATGAGAGAGGCACAAACAGTTAGGGAAGATATTGTGAAAACTATCTTTGAGTGAAGTACTCCAGAATTGTCAGCATAATTTGATTACATATGTGTTATTCTCATCACTTAGGTTTAGCATTACTACCGTTGTTACTTTTCTTGTATTCAAACTGGCCATTTACCTATATTCTTCACAATGCAGCACAAACAATGAGCACTGTGGTGCAAGCATGTCTCGTCTTCTCAGATGAAATTAAATTAGACTAACTTTACGGAGTGTACTATGATAAATCTGTGATTACATTGAATAAAAGGTGCATTTTACAATGTGAAATTGGTCTTTTGAAGTGATGTACACTAACTAGTTAGTATCAAGCTTCCCAACGCAGTTAAAGACATTGAAGAAAAAATACGGCAGACATTATGTGTACAATATACAGTACACAGCAAGAAAGGAGGAGGTGAAGAATAGGTAGAGTAGTGATATTCTTGAGCAAATAACAAAATTAAATAGATACAGTACCTCTTTGTCATTCTCTGAGTTTATTCTATATGTTACAGATGGCCAATAACGGGTGGGAAAAGTATCTACAAGTTACAAACCTAGATGCTTTTCCTGACTAGATGTACACAATATGTCACAAAGACTAGTGACAAAGAATTAATAATAGTAGTTGGACCAAGTCAGTAGTATAAAACTTATGTTTCACAAAACATATGCGATATCTTGATAGGCAGTTCAATCCTTCTGGACAAGTGCTCGCAAGTACGGATATGAATTTCAGTAACAAAGGGAATGTCCAGAAGCAGTGAACTCAATCAGCAAGTCTTTCCTTTAAACTTCGCAATTCATCATACAGTAAAAAACGCTTATCATTACTTTTTTACTAAGGTAGGAGCACCACTGGAAACAACAAACGTTTTTCCAAAGCTGTCTTCATTATTTGAACCGTTCAAACCATCTTCATGTCCTTTAAAAAGAAAGCACAACAATTACAATCACACATCACTACAGACCAATATCAATTTTGAGAGAGACATACCTTTTGACTGTTTCAATAATTTCCAATCTGAAGGAAAACTGACTAAATTAAGGGACCTATCCTCATCAGTTAGCTCAGACTCACTTTTATCAAATGACAGACTCATAGATGTAACAAGTCTGGATCGTTTAGAAGACTTAACTTCAAACTGTAATTTCAAAAAAATATTCAAAATGTTATTGTAGTTCAAATCTCAGCAAGAGCCTTGGTAAGAGCATATCTTACCATTTTAACGTGGTTGGGAGGTGGAGTCAAAGGGGGCAATCTATGTCTCGCAGCTGGTTGTGATCCTGAACCTTTTGTTTCATCATGGGGTACATTGGCAGGAGCAGTTCTGTTTGTGCGCTTCATAAAATTCTTCTTTAAAAAATGTTTTTTTTCTAAAACAAAAGAATTAAAAAATACCAGGGGAAAAAAACACTGTGTTGACAAGAATAGCCCAAATTGGAGCAAAATATTTTACCCTTTGTATTTTCAGTTGCTTCAATTTTATCATCGAATTTGACAGCACTATCTGTACTTTTGATTGTGTTCAAGGAGTTTGCATCCGCTTCCACGAATCCATTTTGATCTGTGCACCCACTGTCCTGTGAATCAGAGGGGTGTGCGGCTTCTTCAGATATTGGTTCCTGAGCTGTACCAATGCCTTCCGATGAAGACTGGACAGTGATGATTCTGCTTTTACAACTTTCCTGTTCAATTTGAAAACACACGGTACAATGCATTGAGTATGTGATTTAAAAAAGCAGAAGAAGCTGTCGGAATCAGCAATAATTGCTATGAGTCTTACAGGAGAACTGTCTCGAAGTGGAATGATTACAGTGCTCTCAATTTCTTCTCTTTTTCTACGCTCCTCTTCTACCCTTTTCCTGCGATTTTCTTTCTCCACCATCAGCTCATCTTGAGCAATTTTAGAATCCATTTCAACTCTGCTATTTAAGGCATTGTAATCTTTGATTATTATGTTCAAAATCCATCTGTGGGAAGCATTGAACAGGAAGTACTATTAATATGGTAGGCAAGATCAATTTATTTTTACAAATTTAAGGGAAGTTACTACAGACCTGTAACCATTCTGTATTCCTGGATCTTGGTATGCCTTTCGGAGCTTAGAATCACTTGGAGGAGGCACAGCACAACAGGTTTCTACCAAAGTAGGACATTTTTGTTCATTGACTATGGCCTCCAGATTAAGTCTTTCTACAACATCAATCTCATCAAGTGCTCCATCAACATCCTGCTTATTAGCTAGACTGGAAAACAGACATTAATTTTTTTTTAATAAAATGGAAATACATTTACTGAACCAAATAATATCAGCACTTACAGGAGGAGAGGTTTCCCTTTTAGCTTGTCGTGAGTAAGAAGCCTTTGCAGAACAGAGCAGCTCTCATTGATCCTTGACGTGTCACTAGCATCAATCACATAAATTATGCCATGCACCTGAAATAAAATAAAATGTCCCATTAGACAACACAATAATACCTGCCTAAAAATAACAATTGAACCATAAGTTTGTGCTTACATCAACATAATATTGGGACCAGATATCTCTAATCTGAGGACCTCCTCCCAGGTCATAAATAACAACAGTATATCCCTTATAAAAAAGATTGTAAGAACTAAATCCTACAGTTGGTACAGTGCTGTGCATATTTTCTGTAAATTTAAACAAAAATTTTCAAGGAAGGATTAAAAAAAATAAAAATATATGTTTATGTAATAAAAAAAATTTACTGTTGCGGATATACCTTTCAACAATCCTTTGGCAGTCGCAGTTTTACCAGAATTGTCAAGGCCCACGAGTAGAAGAACAATTTTCCTGAAATTAGATGAGCAGTAAAAAAAAGGGTTGATGAATGCATGCAACACTCAGCCATTTTTCACTACAGCACGAAAAATTTTATCCTATTTCAAATTAAATTTTGTCTTCCAAGACAACACCTGGGAGTCACCTCTCACCTTCGCCTTCTTATAGTCACTCTGTTTCTTACAAGCTTCACCTGTGCACAACAGTTTCCCATTCTTGTACAGCTGAGACTTAAGAGGCAAAGCCTCACTGGACATGTCTATCTGTAAAAGTCCATTTAGTTCTGTAGGAAATCATTACAAAAACATGACATTGAGAAGTGATTTGAGAGCGACCAAGTTTAACTTCTTAGCTCGCTTCTGCTTTTGTTTATTATTTTGTACGGGGAAAACAATGCCACCCTCAAAGCAACACAAACTTTCATTGTCGAATCACGGAGCTCGCTTCAGAAGCTTAGGCAAAACGGGTGAAAACGGGTGAGACTCGCTGAAAGTTTAGGAAAGAAAATTTTGGGGTGCGTAAATAACGTACGGAGAGGAATAGAACTGCAGCAGTACTGTTCGCACGTTGGTACCGCACTCCTTCTCCGTTTATGTTTTCCCGTCGCCATGGCAACGCCAGTGTGGAGTGGGCCTGGCTTCTGCTAGCGTTCGCGACGTCAAACGACTCTCCAAGGCGTGCATTATTTGTGACGGCACAGGGACGAGGACCGAAAGGACCTGTCGCGAGGTCACGCCATTTCGATTTGTCCTTTCTGCCACTCCTGCCGGCCAACTGCGTAGGCTGAACTATTCTTGTCTCTGACGGAATGGCAAATTCTCTCGTTGCTGAGGACATGGACGTTGTCAACTGTGCCTCTATGTGGCGAACTGACAGGTTAGCAGGTGCACTCTTTGACACCGGCATGTCTGGTTTCGTGTGCAGTGTTGCTTTTTGAATTATTTATCACTCCAAATGATTGTGTTTCCCCCTCTTTAAATTCTTTAGATCCTGCAGCGACATGGCTGCTCAGACAACTGATTTGACGTTCAGTGAAAAGGAAGCCCAGAGCAAGTACTGCACCTCATCAGAGGTAATTACGTGGAACGTGGATTGAGTCCTAAGTTCTGTCTTACATACCTTACACCCTTGTCATTTAATTTAATGTTACATTTTATTATACTCAGGTTCAGACTGAAGTGATCCAAGAGCAAAGTTCTTCAGGTGCTGATATGACGAAGCTTGCTGCGTGGTTATCAAAAATAACTCCTCGAGTCATTGAAGAGCTTGACAAAAGCAACAAAAGTCGTGCATTTAATGAATACAAACTTCAAGAAAGTGTGGACAGTAGTACTAGGCATCTGTTTTCTTTAAGCATGCCACAAACTGAACTTCAAAATGATGTAAGGTCCCTGTTGGTATGATTCTATATTACCTACTTTGAAATTTTTATCAATTCTGGCTTTCCTTCCATAAATATTTCAGTGTTTTACATCTGCCATTGATTGGAGTTCAACTGGAGGAATTCTAGCTGTTTCAAGATGTGCCAAGGAGCATCCGAGCTGGTGTGTGCACTCAGGCTGTGTTTCACTTCACCGAACCAATGGGTATAGAAGCTCTCTTCATTATTTTATCTATTTAACTGGTTTTAGCTGTCATTTAAATGTAAAATTTGGAAACATTTTTCAGGCAAGAATGCAAGACAGAGACACCATACAGATCGCTAGATGTGAATGCCTGTGTGACTGCTCTGTGTGCACATCCAATAGAGTCCTTTATTCTTGCTTGTGGAACATTCAGTGGTAAGGTACTTGTTTGCTTAGTTGCATTGTGTGTTTTGAACAAAACCCTGTTGAATCAAAATTCTTTTGCAGGTGAAGTCACAGTGTGGAATTTACAGAAAGATGATCCAACTCTTATTGGTAGTATCACTTTGCACAGTGAAGCAGTAGTCCATATGCAATGGATTCAAAACTTTGATATGACAGATCTAAGGCCAGTTCTGGCCTCAGCATCAAGAGATGGATCAGTTGTTATTTGGACCATGAAGTCAACTAGTTCCACCCTCAAAGCTGCCAAATGGTATGTCTTTATTTGTTGTGTCTTTTTAGATATTTTGTCTTTTCATTCATTAGAGTATTTTTATGCATCTTTTGACTTTTTTTTCAGCTTCCTTCTTCAAGCAGAAAAACAGAGTATCGACTATGGCATTGTATGTGCTAAATTCAATCCCAGCAATCCAGGTTTATTTGTTGCTGGCATCGAAGGAGGTTCAGTTGCACTGTGCACATCGGACAGCAGGCGACCATGTCTTCGCAAGCGAAGTAGGCTTATCTTTCTTGACATTATTGATGTTATTTGATAAAAGATCTCGTTCAATCTTGGCGTTTTTACTTTCAGCTTCTGTTGGTCATGAATTAGATTATTGTGATCCAGTTCTAAATATTTTGGAAGGCCATAAAGGAACTGTAACTGGTGTTCAATGGGTACCAGGAAGCAAAGATCTCTTTCTCAGCTGTGGTTCTGATTCTGAACTACATGTCTACTCTCTTGCTGAGGTTCGAGCAGTCAGGGATTCATTTTCTCATATTGACACATCTCCTGAGAATGTTTTACAATTATTATCTTATCTTATTTCCAGGTTTGCCTCTTAAGAATAATTCATTTACCAGAGCCTTCATATGGGTTACAAGTAATTTCTAGTCACCCAAGTGTTGCCTTGACATGGGGCTCATCAGGTGCCATTCACTTGCATGATGTCCATACAACAAAAATTTTGCCTCTGTTAGATCTGGATGATGGAAATGCTAAAGTTTCACTGTCTACTGTTAGTGTCCGTACTATAAGGTTTGTACCATGTTTGACAGTTAAAAACAATTAAATTTATGCACTTCAGTTTTTTGGATGAATACGTTTTGCAGTGAAGTATTTTTCACTCATCTCTGTTTTTGTTTTGAACAGTTCACAGCTGCTGGCACTTGGAACTACAGATGGAAAGGTATCTGTGTGGCAAGTCCCTCACCTTAAGTTCAACACTTCATGAGAACTCTAAGTTAAGTAGTATATGCTTTCCAGATGGGTTGTGTAAGGGTGCAAGTATAGCGAGTTAAAGATATTCTTAAAATTGAATAAAAACTCCTTTTATTTTCATAAAAATTTTACATCAATAACCTTTTTTATTTTCAACATCATAGTCAAGGCCTGGTTGCATCAAGGTGAAAGAATGTTTTTTTCTCTATCTAAGCTTTAACTTCAAATTTTATTTTAAGAATAGCAAAAATACAAATTATCTTGATTATGAATTTTTAGAGTTGAAAATCATTACATTGGCAGTGATAAAAAGAGGAATAGACATTCCTCATGCTACACAGGTCTACACCTAAAACTTAGCTGGCTGACCAATTCTGCTCTTCAAATTTGCCCACATGCAGTGCTATTTTCAATTGAACATTCTAAGCGTACAAAGTTTCTATGAGCTTTTTAGGGTTTGTCATGGGACAAACTTTGGCACCTTGATGCAACTACACCCAGCTGTGGTTGGTTAGTAGAGTAAAAGGATTGCAGTCACTCTTCAGTTAGAGCCATGGTTTCAGAGGGAGGCCAGTGAGAGTTATGGTTTTGCTAGACATGTAATGCAAACATTGCGTTAGGTGAAACAATCACAAATTGTTAGCCATCAAAAACAACTGTGCACGAACTTTGAACTACTCTGACTTTGTCTGAGATTGTCACTGAATCTAAAGTGCGAACACATTCTGCTGGCACAATTTAAATCTCTAAGGCATCATCACTATGAACCAATTAATTGCATTGCATGTAACAAAATGCAACTGAAATTGTACTTTCGCAGATACAATCAGAGAAATTTTGAAAAGTTAATGGTAAGCTCATTGAATTTTGAACACTTGTCCCATTGTGTTGTTCAACAACAGTGGAAAGCTCGTAATGAACACGTTCAAAGATTCAGCGCATTTCAGGCTTTTGCTATTAGCAACGTTGAATGAGAACTCCACACTACAGTCAGAATACTGTCAGTAGCAGTGACCCTGCTTGGCGTTCATATGGGCAATTTGGAATAAAGTCAGTTCTTGTGAATTCATCATCATGCTCTCACACAGTACAGGGAATGAAACAGGAATGAAATTGAGCCATGGCATGGCCGCTGGCCACTACTACCCTAGCTGCGTCATGGCCTGTCAAGCATGACATGACCTACTGAGTCAGTACTGTGCCAAGGAGCACAATGGTAAAGACACTGTAGCACATATACCACCTTGCAAACTGCTTAGTAAAGATACATAAAAACATTCACTCACCCACACTTGCATGCATCTCCTGAGAAAAAAAAAACGACAACAATATGCGATTTTAAAAAAATCTACATAAAAACTTAGAAATTTATCACATTGCAGGTTGATTCTAATACTTTGCAAAGGTAAAAATTTTTGTTTGTTCTAGATAGGAACCTAATCCTATTTGACTTGGATTTTATTTCAGTAAATGTAAGCATGATTTTTATATTTTCATATAGTCCAAAATTACACTATTAATTTTGTTGTTTTTAGCACACAGTATTGATAGCACAGATGTAGAGGTCTGCAAGAATAGGAGTATTTACTCATGTATTCATTGGAGATAACTCAGAACATTCAACAGTCAAGTATTAGACATAACAGAAGAGGGCCTGTCAGATTCATGATGTGAAGTTAGCTGAAGAAAATATATCTGTCTAAGCTACCTTATTAAAATTCATTTTCTCTAGATTGGAAAAGAAAGCAATGCGAAAAAGCTGGAAAGTTTACTTTGTTGAAGGGAGGCTTACTTTCAAGCTCAATTAAGCAGGAATCATTTGGCTCTATTTTCAATACCTACATTCCGTCATTTTCTTTCTGTTTTCATACAACTGACGTGATGCAAAAGTCCGTCTCGGTGAAAAGTGCATCTAAGTCCACAAAATCTTAGCAAATATCCACACTGAAGTAAACTGTGGGCTTTGTAAATAGAATAAGAGGAGAATTCCAATGCAGAAGAATTGTTATGTTATAGCTTTAGAAAAGAGTTCTCATATCTTAGTCAACAATAATAAATAAATTTATTTCCAGGAATTTGTAATGTCTAGCTTTTTGACAAAATTTTCTAATTTGTTTACGTATTTCAAGTTTGCTTCAAAAGTTTGGTTAAAATAAGCTGTCTGTTGAGTCCTACTGCATTTACAGGAGACATTTCCAATTTTACTGATCACAACATGAGTCATAGGCAGCCAACTTGGGAGTTTTAAAAGCCAGAGATCAAATTGTAAACCTTAATAATGTGAAAACAGTTAACTTTCTACATACAATATAACATTACTTTGCAAATTTTTCCTTAGTAATTTCAAGGTATCACATTTTTTAAGGAGTATTTTAACTATTTAAGTTGTGCATTTAATCATTACCTGATTAACCTTTACAATACAAATGTAACAGTGTTTTTGTAATGTCAACCGAAATTCCACACGGATGAGGAATCTGTCTTTTGCCAAACTGAAGCACAATTCTATTCTGAGCATACCGTAAGGTAATTTTTTCCTTCGTTTTTTTTTAGTTTTTTTTTTTGTAAAGAGGGATGGGGATCTGAACACACAATGCGCAGATCTGATCTCTTAATTTGTTTGTGGTCATATCTTATGTAGAAAATTCAAACAACAAACATGTAAAAAAAATATGTACACCTTTCAAGCAACAGTCTACGTAAAATTCTGAAATCTCATCATCACACATTACTTCTATATATACAGGCGCACAAACACACACTCGATGCGTTACTTAAGTCGTTGGTCTATGTACAAAGTGTCAGACAACTTCTTTTCATTGTTTTCTCTGAATAGAGATAGAGTCCTTGGGTTTTGGTGGGTCACACGCCCACCGTAGCGTCCTCTCGGGAAGACCACGAGCTAGTCGAGCTTGGGGCGAACATTTCACCAGGTTTACCATTGGAGGCACTGGTGATGTCAGCTCTTGACTCGCCATGATCTTGCCTGACGGAACCTCTCCCACGACCGCCTGCAGCACGTATAGTCCCAAAACAACTCAAAGCAAGGGGGAAGTAGAACGTGGCAAACTAAAAATAATTTTGTTTTCTAACAAAAACAGGAATTTTTAGTATGAAATTGGCAATTGGTGAAACTTTTTGTGTCATCTGTTGATATTCAACCAATGTCTCCGATAGTCCGAAGGTTTTCATGAGAATGGAACTGCCGACTCTGGCCAGAGCATGGGCGAGTGTAGCGTGCATTCCGGTGAAGGGGGTGCAAGGGAAAGAGCAAACAAAAGAAAAAGAAAGAAAAAAATAAAACGTGTAAATAAAATAGAAAAGAAATGATACAAAAAATGGAGTTGATTGGGGCGTGCGCAGATGGAGGTCGTTTAAATGTAGGAGTAGGGGCCGTCCGTGAGGGCGCTACAAAGCAATAGTCAGGAGTTGTCGTCCTTCCCTCTGGGCGCGCCTCTGTTTGGCTTGTACTCCAGACCGGGGTCGAACTGCATCAGCACGAACACCTGCAACGCACAGCGAAGAGTCACGAATCGGCCACGAAATGAAGTTAAAAACAACAGCAAGGAATTTTGAGGTAACAAACGCAATTTTGTCGTCGACACCCACCTGGTCCGTAGGCAGGAGCGCGAAGTCGTCGGGCGGGTTGGTGATGACGTACCTCTTGGAGGACGCGTCACACGAGTTGCTCGTGTCCCGGAACCTGCAACCAGACACGTTGAAATGGAGTAGGGTGTGCACACACCATGAAAATCTGTTGTCACTTGATGAAAGAAAAAAGTGGATGATACTTAGAAATGATGACAGTTTCATCACAAATTAATGACATTTTCATCAATCCTCCTATACTTATTGTATGGACGTGACAACCCTTGTTTGGAGGCGTTTGCAGGCTCGACCCACAAGGCGTCGCCTTGCACGCGTGCAGGCGGTCCTTACCGGTACAGCCCGATGCACAGCATGCCGTACGACTTGAGGGCGAGCACGAACAGGTCGCCGTATTTGCCGGACTCGCCGAACTGCGCCAGCGGCCCGTCGAACAGGGACACTTGCCCCACGCGGCAGCGGTCGCGGTTTGAGAGGCTGTCCATGGTGCTGCGGGGCGAGAGGGAGAGAGACAGAACAGACAGTCAGTGTCTTTGGACCACAGAGCAGAGGCGTCGAGACACACAGCCTCCGACCGCTCCAGCGCGGAGGCGGGAGCGCCTGCAGCCAACACGCACCGGAGTGCGACGGGCCTGCCTACCCTCGGTTTCACAGGGGCTACGCGCCTGCAGGGTAGGCAGCCAACACGCACCGGAGTGCGACGGGCCTGCCTACCCTCGGTTTCACAGGGGCTACGCGCCTGCAGGGTAGGCAGCCAACACGCACCGGAGTGCGACGGGCCTGCCTACCCTCGGTTTCACAGGGGCTACGCGCCTGCAGGGTAGGCAGCCAACACGCACCGGAGTGCGACGGGCCTGCCTACCCTCGGTTTCACAGGGGCTACGCGCCTGCAGGGTAGGCAGTCATCACGCACCGGAGTGCGACGGGCCTGCCTACCCTCGGTTTCACAGGGGCTACGCGCCTGCAGGGTAGGCAGCCAACACGCACCGGAGTGCGACGGGCCTGCCTACCCTCGGTTTCACAGGGGCTACGCGCCTGCAGGGTAGGCAGTCATCACGCACCGGAGTGCGACGGGCCTGCCTACCCTCGGTTTCACAGGGGCTACGCGCCTGCAGGGTAGGCAGCCAACACGCACCGGAGTGCGACGGGCCTGCCTACCCTCGGTTTCACAGGGGCTACGCGCCTGCAGGGTAGGCAGTCATCACGCACCGGAGTGCGACGGGCCTGCCTAACTCACGATTCACAGGGGCTTAGGCCTAACACGCGTGGAACACTACAAGAAGGAAGTCCTCTTGGGAGTTTGTTTTACCCTTTGTGCAGGAAGGGAGGAGAGCACCCCGGTAGGATGCCGGACTTACCTGTAGCCGCCGCGGAGTCCGGCGCCCTCGGCCAGGATGAGCTCGAGCTCCGGAGTGGCGCCTCCGGTGATGAGCGACCGGATGAGAGTCAGGGCGTTCTGGTTGAAGTACGTCTGCGGGGCGGAAAGGAGACACATTCAGCACATGTTCTGAAAAGGGGCTGGCCCTGCAGTCTGATTCTGAGAGTCGTCGCCGTCTCTCTCGCACTTACAAGGGACAGTGCGAGAGAGAGAGAGAGAGAGAGAGAGAGAGAGAGAGAGAGAGAGGAGAGAGAGAGAAAGAGAGAGAGAGAGAGAGAGACGGAGAGGGAGAGAGAGAGGGAGAGAGAGAGAGAGGGAGAGAGAGAGAGAGAGAGCGACGAAAACGACTCTCGAAGTCAGTCTGCAGTCCTCTGCCGCGGGTGGGCCACGCTCAAGGAGGCAGGCTCACCGTGGACATGAGCGAGTCCAGCACGCTGACGGCGAAGGCCGTGCCGCACGCGAAGGGCTGCGTGAGGTACAGCTCCGTGTCCGGGTCGTCGTCGTCGTCCTGGTCCAGGAACTGCACGTTGGTGTCGTTGACCAGCTCGGTGATCATGGGCACGTTGGCGCCGTACACGGACCCTCGCCGCTGCAGCACGATGGGGCTGCCCACGGGCGTCAGCGCCGCCTCCTCGTTGTTGGCTGCGCAACGCGACAAAGTTGCAACGGGGGAAATTTTAAAAACAATGCAAATTGCGCATTATGGGACTAATAAAATACATATCGCAAGTTTTGCCACCAACAAAACATGAGCCCGCTTACCCTGGCTGAGCACGCCGATGGTGTCGTCGAAGGTCATGGCCTTGATGTTGAGGGACGCCAGGATGGCCTCCTTGTCGGCCAGGGTGGGGTCGTCGTTGCTGGGCACCTTGGCCGACAGGATGACGCACATGTCGCACAGGTTCACGTTGACGGCGCGGAGGTCCGCTCGCGACAAAGGCGACCCCTAAAATATAGGCCCAAGGAATAAATGCATTAAAAAAAAATCAAAACATGATAGTTGAATTGAATCTTTGCAGATTAGAACCACCATACTCCAAGTCAAAAGTCAAGTACTATTGACTTTACAATAGTCGGAACTCTATACAGGTGAAACCAGGGCTCAGGCCGTTGAGGCATTGGAGGTTCTCGAGGATCATACTCACATTGAGCACGGAGATCTTGGGCAGGTTTTGCAGCATCTTCCACTCGCGCCGGATGTACTCGACGGAGCCGACGATGACGACGTGCTTGAGCTCGTGGTAGTGGAAGTTGGAGGCGCGGAGTGGCATCACGAGGTTCCGCAGCCCGATGAGCGGGGAGTCGGGGTCGGCGAACAGGCACACCACCACGTGCCCGTTAAGCACCGTCATGGCGGCCTGGTTGCGGTCCTGCGGGGCCAAAGCAAGGTTCGTTCTCAGAGCGCGGCACGCAGCAGTGTTGCCACACTAGTAGGCGGAAATCCTCACGATGTACTAGTGTCGAAAGAGCTGCCAACCTCAGCCGCTGGCCTACCATACGCAACTGCTTAGGTATTGCCTCGTAGGCAGGCTCAGGTTGCTATCGATGCTGGTGCATCGCGGACGGCACGGCACTAACAGTCCAGCGGGGTAGCGGTAGCCGCCTACATAACCTCGTTCCGTGGTAGGCACGCCGCTCGACTACCCAGCACTTGACAGGGGCTCCAGAGAGCAACCGCGCACTTTAACTTCAACTCACCAAAATGCAGTCTTCTAGGTTGCGGGCGGGGCTCCAGTGGAACATGCCGGTCGAGTCGTACTTCATCTCGGTCTTCTCGAAGTCGAAGTCCTTGGCCTGGTCGTCGGCGATGCCGATCTGCAGGTTGTTGTTGGCGTTGGTGTTGCTGGCGCCGCTGGTGCCTCTGCTGGTGGGCCTGGAGACAAGCGGACAGTCAGCGCCGAGCGCGGGAAGCGCCGAGGAGGCGTCCGTTTCCACTGACAGCAGGCTGATTCCGAGAGTCGGCTTTGTCACTGTCTCTCTCTCGCTCCTATACGGGACGCCCGATGAGTGCGAGAGAGACAGAGCGACAACAACAACTCTCTGCATCAGTCTGCATAGGGTCGCCAGAGCGAGAGGGAGTCGCACTGAGAAAACCTTACAAACTATTTTTGGCCTTACAAAGCAAAGTAGTTTGTATAACAAAGTATTTTGAGCATACATAAGCTTACAAAGAAAATACTTCGTAATTTACGAACTATTTCTTCGTACAACAAAGTATTTTAGTTTGTTATACGTATGCTCAAAATACTTCGTAAGGTTTTAAGAGCGCGCAAAGGCCCGATGGAGACGCCCGAACGAAGGCTGCAGCTGTCTCTGGATTGTGGAAATGCTCAAACTCGGTGCGAGATTTCACACGGCCGTTGGAAACACCCAAATAAATCGTTTCTTGAACCAAGAAAATTGACTTGCTTTACGTCAATTTACTTGAAACAAACAAGTAGATTGACTTGTTGCTAGTGTTTTTATCTTGGTTCAAGAAACGATTGTTTTTTTTTTTGGTGCAGGCAGACGCAGGCAGCACGTTAAGGGCGGCTACATTTGGCTCCCTTCGGACTGCTTCTCTTGCAACACTGTTGCTGAATCCCCGAGAAACGAGACAACTTCCACGGCGAAGCTTGCTTACTGGACAATCAACTCAATGTACAATGAATACCGTAAACAAATAAATAAAGTTACACGTCAAAATAGAAATGAATAGAAATCAAGGGAAAAGGGGAAGACAGACAGAGGTATGGAAGAGCGTGCTTCTTCGAAGTGTATTGCTCTCGAACGGAGTGGAGCCGAAATCAGAACAGAAAAAAGGCGAGGAAAGCAATGAATAAAGAGTGAAGCTGTTTTTGTTTTTCGTGTGGTTCGCTGTGGAAGTGGAGTAAACGCAGAGTTTGAAGGGGAACCCATTCGAGACAATACACTCCAAAGAGTCGCTGAAATGATTTCTACAGGGCAAAGAGAGGTCTAAAGGGGAGTCACCAGCGCCTTGTCTACCCATGCGATACAAAACGGGCGGTACATTGTCTGTCATTCGATCAGTACGCTCAGTGTACTCCCTCTGGCGTACAATTGTGTCTCTGCCACTACTTCAAAGGAGATAATAGTAAAGCTTTTTTGTTCCAAAACTGTCTACACTACATTTCATTTACGCACCTAAGTGTTCGGAGATCAAGCAATACAATATGAACAGAACTATCTCCATTTCAGACACTAGGTACCTGTACGGTGCAAAGACACGCTGCATTATTGGGCCACAGAGCGCTCCCTCAGCCTTTTCACTCAGCTTTGTTAGGCTTTTTCTAATTTAAAATTAATACCCAATACAGATGATTTCATTTCATATGCAGTCGATCCGTATGTCACGGACAACACAAATCACATTCACAGCCTACGAATGCCGCTGTGGCACCATGCATCACGGACTCAAGCGCCAAGCACACCAGGCACACAAGGCAGCCCGAAAGCACAAGAAACACACTGTCAAAAACCTTTTCGGAGAAAATTAATCACAGTTGCTGCACAATTCGTGGTGCGTCTTGCGAACGCCGTCCACAACAGCACACTCGGGCACACACTTAAGGTGTGTCAAACTACAAGCAAACAAACATGCGTCCGCTACACTGGTGGCCCACGAAACGAAGCGAGGAGCGAGGGAGCCCTAGCGGCTCGGGAACTAAACGTATGGGGCTGGAGCACAGTACAGAAGTGCCTACCAATAAAAGACGTAAACAGAACAAAATGATAATATTAGGATTGATAGCTGCTTCTGCACCAACTGCACACCTCCTGGGCTACGGGTCTCATCGGCTTTCACCAAAACTACCCCTTGCTTAAACTTGTAACCTCCAGGGTCGATCTACAACGCTGTCACATTATCTCAATGGCTTTCTTTTTCCAGTTGAAACCAATTTAAAGTGTCTAAGTTTTCTGCATATAGTATTGAATTGCTCCGAATTCGGAAATAAAGCATTGCTAGGAATCCAACAGTATAAAAAAAACTTTGTCCCACTACTTTAAAATTCAACCCAGGATGGTGCGCGGTTTTTCAAAGTCTATTCGCGAACATACCGCAGCAATTTACACCAAAAGTACAAGTATCTGAAGGCATTCTAAGATAAGTAAACGAGCGTACATGAGTTTTTTCACTTCATAGGCCAGATGATACCCGGAATATGTAGTGTCCTCTTGAGCCCTGAAATCACAGGAGAATCACACCATGCACGGACAACCATTGCTGTGTCACACTTTTACAAAAGAGTGTGGCAAATGGCGGCCTGACTCTTTCTCGCACCAATGTCACCCAAGGATATGATACTTCCAGATGCAATTTAGCAAACATGTGTGATAATGAAAGAAACAGATGGACAAGAGAAAAGAGACCGTAAAAGCTAGGTGCTGTATGGTGCTTTTCGTATTCTTAAATGGACTATCCGAAATGGAAAGAAAGAAATGAAGCATTGTCCGTGAGAAAGAGAGGTTCAGGATTGCTGGCGCAAGAAAGGGAGAGGAATGAAGGTGACATAGGGTTGTGCCGACGTTGCAAAAATAGTCATTCCAGTGACACAACAAAAGTATTGCAAAAACAAAAATATATCCGTTAGATTCTCATTTTAAAATTTTCGTTCTGCACAGCCCTTTGTTTTAAAAGTGTAGGAGTTCTAAAGCAAGCCATGCTCATGAACACCTCAACCAGGCCACAAGGAAAACGCCTTCACCACTCCTTGTCCTTTTTCAAAAATAAATTTACAGAATAATGAAGTCGTGGGCCTGACATAAACTGCCTTCACCACGTGAGGGATAATAATAATAGGGAAACGCGACTATAGTACTGATTTCTTTGAGCGGTTTGGCTGAAAAAGGGGGAGTTGGCTTTGGCCACAGTAGAAAGGAAAGGGCAAAATTAATTTAATCATAATATTTTTAAACTTTATCGCGTGACCTTGCCTTTCCTTCCCACCCTTGCAGCCAACTATAAATATACGACCAAAACAAGCAGGATTCAGGATAAAGAGAGCATGCCATAGGCAAGCCTGATAATGGTCGAAAAATTATAAAAGTCATTTGACGCGGTTGTTAGAAAAAGGCTTGAAGTTTTACTGACGCGCACGTTTTTGTTAATAGGCCGACAACAAACACCAAATCCAAGCGCTTGACTATGGAATGGTTTGAATACCTTGGATAGAAAGTTAGCAAACAAGCAGTTCGTGCACTCGCTGGTCAGTACGCGGGCACTGTGCCCCAGCCGGCCCGAGGCACAAAAACGGTCCGTTCCGCTGCAATAGAATGAACACAGGTGGCGCCACACTTACAGCTTATTGTAGCCCTGCTGACTCGGTGACGTCAGGCCCTCGTTGGCACGGTTCACCGTCGGCTTCACCTTGTTCACCTGCTTGGTCGAGTTTACCAGGGCGTTGTTGGTGACACTGCGGCCGTTCCGGTTATTGCCCAGCACTGCAAGGAAAAGCACAGCAGTTAAAAACTGAAGCCATCGGCAAGGCGTAGTGTTTTAGGTTTGAGCAAACTTACGAGAAACGTCTTCGCGGTCCTTTACTTGTTCACCTGGAAGCACGACAAATGCACAATTATTCTCTCAGTCTATAATGGGTTTTGTGTTTTTTGTTCTGTGTTTGTTCTTTCCGAAACCACAGGAAACCTTGTTATTGCAAATAAGAATTCTCATGTACTTATCAGGGCAAGGCGGGTGCCTTCAAATAAAATGTGCTTTTATTTTTAAAAAAATTTAAAAGACATCGAGAACCAGCATTGCTGTTGCGGACTTTAAGGGTAGCATTACTCTACTCACCCACTCAAGATTATTAGTTAACATGTACAAAAATAAATAACAAAACAGTTAACACACTGTGCACATCGTTGCACGTGTTTTACTACATGCACCAGCTGATACTGCCATGCACGCTCTAATTATCATACAGCTTTGTACAACATGTCTCTTATTTAAGGAGGCTTGACACGGACGGACTGCCCTCCAATCGACCCAGAGTTTTCATTCTAGATTGCCATGAAGTGCACCGTTGTTCCAAGCAACGTGACCAGCGCTTCGGAGCAAAGTGCTGAGTGTTTGTACACAACATGCAGTAAGAAGACCACCACATTGTTGGAACAAATGAACCTTGGTCCAAAGAATAAAAATGACACAAAGAAAAAAACGCGATGATTTATTTTCTTCTAACTGCCCATCTACACGTGCCGACACGTGGTGTGCGCGTGAATTTATACCTCGTATGTGAACCTTCTTTGGCAGCTCTGGCGGTGTGAAGGTGGGCGGCAGATGGTGCTCATCTGAAATGGACAAAAAGCACATCAGCCACCTGCTTGACTTGACTGACGCCTTGGATTCCTAGCAGGTAGGTTTCCAGACGCGCCATTTAGATAAAATATGCGCTCAACGAAACTACAGCTTTGTCCCCTATTCGCGATCCTATATTGAGGCAATTGAGGCCCGAGCACTGACCCGTATAATGAATCGAATTTTGCCATACCAATTGTAGCAAAACGGAACCCTTCAAGAAACATAATCGTTTTAGAAAACGTTTACAATGCCCGAATTTCCTGTTTCTTTTCTTTTTTTTTTTAATTGACGAGGCAGACGTGGCATGAGATCGGAACTACATGCGGATGGCGCCCGAGGAGTTTCTAACAATGACCTATGAACTACACGGTTAAAGTACACAAAAACAACAAATTAGTATGAAACGCACATGCAAAAACGGGAATAAAAACATGCAAGCAGAGAGAGCATAAATCATGCAGTTAGGCTACAAATTAATTTGCAGATATATGTCAGGAAAGTTAAAAATAAAATAACTCTTTGAGCTTACTGTGCTAATAAATTGTTTTGGACAAGAAATTGCCTGAATCGCCTGGCAACAAATTGTTCGGCCTCAGAGGCTAAACACCCTAGATAAAAGCGGAGTGATCTTGGTTTTCTATTTTAATTGGCGCATTGGTACCGACCCTTAAGTGCGAGTTGACCTATTATTTGTTGCAGTAGGAACGAGGCAATTTCCCATTAGAATCTACATTATTTTGCAGTGCAGTTCATATAAATGTGCACAATTTGGCTAAAGGCAGGTTGAATTGGCTTGGCAGGTGGACCAGGGCTCATGTCGGAGCTGCCAGCTCATGGCATTGCCATTAGAGGCATGTTTGGCTTCTCTTTGTTTCTCCTAACTTACTTGCATACGTGTTGTCCTCGCCTAACACGCAACAAGGGCGGGCAAGGTAAAAATAAATAAAAACAGAACACTTTCATATTAAATATAGTCGAGAAAGAATAATCAGCATTTTTATCAACCAGGTTCCTTGTTCCGAGCACCAGTTACATGTATGTACTTTTTAAGTTTCAGTTTAACCAAAAGCCTTTAAGGCCTCAAAACTACTGTCATAAATGTGTAACACACGCCAAGGAACGTAGTCGATGTGCCGTTGACAAGTCGGAGTAGACCGCTGCTAAACACATTGATCATCATGCAGGGTGTGAAGCCGAGCCACCGGCGTGGAAATGGTGTGGTGGCAAGACTGGCAGTACACTGAAAGAAGTTTGCAGTATGAACAAATTTACAACGGATGGAACCCTCCAAGATTTAATTGCGACCCAAACTTCTTAAAGTATAGGGGAAAGAACGGCAAACGGGAGACACCCAATCGCCAATTTTATTGACGTCTACTTTAAAGAGTTGTGGCAAACTTCAAACAGTGCACTGGCCAAAAGATGGACGGACACACAACTTACACACTAGCACGACACTGATTAAAAAAACATTCACATTCAGCTACAACACCGAGAACACGTTTGTATACACAGGTGCACAACAAGCGTGATGCTGCCTGACTACTTCACAGCTTCGAGGTAGAGGCTTGGGCACAGGAGCTGAAAGTTTGGAACGGAATGAGCTAAATGACTACGAGCTCTAGCGAGTCAGTCTCGACCGTAGAAGACATTTAAAGTATTAAGACTGGTCAAACAAACTTTGGGTGAAATAAATGATTATAAAGATGCCATGGTCTTCCGAAGTCTATAGCACAGCCCTAAAGAGGCAATTTGCAAGAGGTTAGCATCTACAGTGCCTTCGCCTTCCCCTTGGAAGCAAAAAGGCAGTGATATTTGGGAGAGATTTTCACCCATCGGATTGAACGGTGAAGTTTGTTACATTTCGAATAACAATAGCAACAGTTCAAAACGTAAACATTTAGAAGGCTACAAAGTCGAGAAGCACTGGCCTTAGTCAACTTTTCCTGAAGTCCCGGCGGAACAATATTCATGATGAAAGTTGAAGTTTTCAGACAATGTTTTAAGGGGACATATGACGAATTTTTAATGCTGATATTTTTCATGGAACTTCAGGAGAGTATGAGAAAGGAATTTCAATCATTATCTTTCTTCGAGCAAAGCTAGAGGACACAAAAAATAACTTTTTCTGTTTCTTTAAATGGTAATGTCAACTTTTTGAATGTAAAGAAATGGGTATTTACAGGCATGATCAATAATTTCTTATAAATAATAAATCATTTTTACTCAGCTCAGCTCGAAGGAAGATGGGTTAGGTACCGTCAGAAAACATGACAACGTTAGTGTTGTCCTTATGTTTGTTGCAGCGACTTAAAGGATTTTAAATACATTTTTGGGAGTATTTTGAGGGGGCTGTACACAGTCAGAAATTTAGGAGGGCACCTGATACCTCTCAAATGCAGTAATAAAGAGGTATTGCAATGACTGAAAAAAATCATAACAATCATAGGGCGGTGCATTTTTTGCTCAAAATAATTGGAACATCGCTATGATAATTTTGAATTCACAATAAATTTCAGACTGTTTAAACACTAGGACATCTCTTGCATGGAAAAATGGTACTATATTTATGACAGGCATTACATTACGGAAATAACACGGACACATTAACATTAACTAGGCTAGTACTGGGAAAAGCATTGTCACTTCACTTGTCTGAGTTAAAATTTCGTGTTTATGAATATTTTGCTGACCATATGAGCGTTAGATATGAACTCTCTTTTTTTAATGCAAATAAATGCAATGATTAGAAATGAATAAACGACGAGCTTTGTTTCGTCGTTAATCAAGGGTATTTTTATATCAAAACTTCAGTGGCTAGTTAATATCGTTTCTGAACGATTTCCATTGCATTGCGTCAAACATTAACAGACAGTGTTGCACCACGGCTAGACATGCACAGACACTCATCATACGTACTTGGCCTGAGACCTGCCATCTGGACCACTCGTACTCCCTTCCGGAACGTCGCCACTACATGGAAACAAGAAGGCCATACAGTCACACACTGAACACGACCCCGTGCACAACAAGTCATGCCGAAGGGTAACAGGGTGCACGGGACCATGCTCTCAGGGCGTCTTGATTCACAGAAACACTTTGTAGTCGTAGGATGAGCGACGGTCAGCTGGCTCCGCGGAGCACCACTCGGTCTGAATAAGCTGTGTAGGGTTTCTTCGGTAGTAGAGGCTTAAACTTGCTACAATCCACCGAAGCCTGAAAATTGTGGTCTTAAGACTTAACCAATCCAGAATGTTCATGTCCTGGATTTTTGTACTAAACCTAGAGTATGCTTTAACAAGAGAGGATCTGTTCATAAAAGTTGTGTGTCGCCACCTTTATTTTTAAACGCTGGTCAATAACAGCAGCGAGTCAATATTTCACATGTTTTCTTTACCCTGACTTTGCCTGGCCGATTCAGAATGCCGATTCAGGGAAGCAGCAAGTCTACTCTGCGAAGCTTTCAATTTGTTCTGGTCTACCTCGATGTCTGTTAGGTGCTCGTAGCTATTTGCTATCGGGTAGTGCACTAGAAATAATATGGTCTATACGCCAAATGCTCCATAATCAAATACTCCTTGCAGTAGACGCAGTGATGCTCAGCATCACTTTGCCACTGGCCGGACTCAACATGTTACTGTGCACAGCGCGATATGGTTTAACGATGGCGCCCTCGTGAGACCAGAAGGAAGGCAACCAAGCTACGATCATAGGTTCGAACCCGGCGCTTCGCTCTCAGCGCCACTTACCTGTGCGGCATTGCGCAAATACACTACATACTGCTCCCAAAATACGCAAAATGTCGTGTGCAGAAATATAATAAAGATAAGAGGTTGAGCTAAACGTGTGTCTACCGGCTTCCCAGAATATACTCAGATGGGGGCAGAACCAAGACAGGCTTCCGAAATCTGACAAGCCGCGGTGTAACTTTAATTGATAATTCTTAATAACTCTCTCTTACAACAACATGAAAAGAAAATCTGAAAATAAATAGATTTTGGCGTTGTTTGTCAGCGTTTCATCAGATTTCGAAAAACTCCACGTCCCCGATACTGGCGCTATGTGAAGCCGGGCGGGCGTTGGCATGCCAGCACGAATACGCACAACTGGAAAATGAAGTCTCACCATCATTGGGATATGTGGGAGCAGCGGCGGCAGCGGCCTTAGCGCTCGCCAGAGCCACTGCAGACAAACCATTGGCAATGAGGACCAAACCAAGCTTTTACCGTACACATCTCCAGCGGCCTAAACATTCCGCGCGTAGCATATCTGTTGTATGTTACCTGATTCCATGCAATATTGATTCCCAAACATTTAAAACAAAATTACAACTGGCCCATACAAAGTGCTCAGATTCTGGGCATTTGCCCAGCGTATGTTGCGTGAAAATTTTTCAGACAGTTTAATATTTTATCGCGTGTAGTGGGTAGACGGCACTTTCAGATATCCGAGAGGCCGACAATTTTGGAAGGGCTTACACCCAACCCTAGCCATACTTTTCGAGGCTGTACAAAAGCGACTAACGACCAATTATGTTAGTATTTTAGGGATGTATTTTGTTAGGCTACTGCAACGAGCGCCATACATGCGGTTACACCAAAGATATGCTTTCGTTACGTGTTCCAGCCACAGCACTGGTTATGCCTGCACGGGTAAAGCAAGGAAACCAACATTATCAACTCTTTCAATCAGTACAGCGGAGCCAATTGGGAAAGGTCGTGGCTGTCCTCTGGGATAATCGTCTCCGAACAAGAACCGCCACATGTAAACATGAAGTAACTCAAAGTGCCACAATGGTTCTTTCTTCAAATCAGAGATGACTCCTACTTCACACCGGCGGCACAGGCAAGATGATTTTTAGGAACGTCCGTGGGGCATTTTCAAACAAGTACCTAATCCGCCGGCGAAAGTTGAGGGTACAGCAAGACAGAGACACAGACAGCCAAAGATAGACTAGAAAAGGCAGATAATAGCGAGATGCAGAACGGGAAATATAGAGAGAAAGAGAGGAAAGAAAGGGCAAGACAAAGGAACAGGCTCTGCGCATACAACATCCTCATTACCCTCTAGGTGATAGTGGTCAGTTTTCACCATTCCTGACTGCATCATCATCATCCCAACATCTGGAAAAAGAGGTAGAAATTGGAAACACAGCGTTTCCGCGCGAAACAAGCTACAAATCGAATCTTCACATTGCAACAGCTGGGGGTATATTAAAAAACCGTAACTCAATCGAAATGCTGCTTACATAAGATACAAACAAGGCAATTTCAAACACTTTGAATAAATTTGCATCTATCGTAAGTAAAAAAATACTAAAAGGGCATAGAAATAACCCTTTTACAGCTGGAAGCTTAAGCAAAGGCCAGGGCAGCCTTCTTACAGGGAGGGAGAGATAAACGTCCCTGGCGTGTCTCTCTTAATTTTTACTTAGGCTAACTCTATTCGGGCTTGCCACATTGAGATTAGTCTTGTTAATCATCAAGCACCACCCGATTCAGCCTGAAACGCCTAAAAGGGGAAGGGGCTAGAACGTAGACAAAGAAACGTTGCTTAATGCGTTGTTATATTGGAGAGTAAACTACGTTTTCTACACGTCGTGACGAAGTGTGGCGCATGTTCCCACGCTAACCCAATCATGGCTTATCAAACATGAATTCAAAAATGTTTCTTAAAATAACAAAAAAATTTAGTTGGTATGTAGTGCATATTTGCACCTGCCTACTGCCTGAAAAATTTGGATGACTCAGAACGCTTTTCTCCTAAAGTTGATATAATCAGACCAAAGTTACAAAAACAGAAAAAAGTTTTCTGTCACACTAAAATTAAAAACTTAAATTTAATGAAAAAAGGTTGTGATCACTCACAGTTTTTACACTTGCACTTCTTGATGAGGGTCTCGTCTCGAATGTTCTCGTGGCATGCTTTGCAGTAAAACCACACTCTGCAACAAACGTTAATAAATTAGTCCTTACAGTGTAGAAGGCTAGAGGGGAAGAAAACTCGACTCCGAGCTTGACTTGTTTACGTACCGCTTGACTTCATCGGCAGATTGTGCGATGAAGAAGCCTTGGGTGTTCGCTGCAATTTTGGCACCTCGAGGGTTGATTGAAATCTTGCTGTCTTGGCCATCCTCCCCTTTGAGTTCAATGGCAAGGAGTAGTAGTTTGAGCTTCGTAAAGCACAATCTGCATGATCAAAAAACGCCTTTGAGCATTTTGCACATACCCAATTATGCTGGTGCTGTTAAGAGGCAAATTAAATAAAATGTTTTTTTTTTATTTTGGTTAATTTTGTCTAGGCTGGAACGTGCGTTCCATTTGTAACTATAAGGTTAAGACAATATTAAAAGATGCACTATGAAAGAGAGCATTGCAACGCAAAAAATATATTTATAAGCAGTGAACCACTTACATAACTTGGAGAGCAAAGTTAAAGAAGGTGAGAACATGCCGACAAGCAGAGGATAGCACAATCGGTAGAACACCAGAAACATGCAGGACAAACAGGCTGACAAGTGTCGAGTGAAGTGTGTTATAGTCACACACAAAATCAAAGTTTCTATAAACAAAACAGCCATTGGTACACCATGGCCACGTCTACATAAAACGGCTACTCATATCGGCTACTATACAACTATTCTCATTTCTCAGAAAAGAAATATATAAGTTTCAAACTTGGTTAGCGTGTATTTCATATTAAAACAAAATGAGCTATTATGAACCGTACCAAAATAAATAAAAGGGTAACAACAATATAATACTGTTGAAAAATCATATTTATATGAAAGGACTTGCTTTTGCAGCAAAATGGTACATAAAAATGTGTGAAGTATTTAGCAAAGCCGCGCAAGTCGACGATTCAATGAGTAAAACAAGGGGGTTAGACTACACCAATGAAAAATTAGCAGCGAAGGGTAAAAGAGCGTGGTCTAGAGGTTAACTATAGGTTTTCAAGTAACCACGACTTACTCGCTGGACTGAGGAAATGTCATGCCGGTGAACGAAGGAGAGAGAGTTTCAGTGTACATCTCGCAGCCTGTGCCCTGGAGATAATCGTTCTGCCAAGCCTGAGTGTCGGGGGACTGCAAAACCAGATGCGGTACGTACAGCACGCTAGCATAGAAAGTCAAGTTATGGGCCCTCACAAATGATAGGCCACCAAGCAGCCCGCAAGCGTACAACAAGGTACAACCCAAACGCAGTAACAAAAGGCACACTCTAATCATAATCGTTCTATCTTTGCGTTCAGAAAAACAAAAAAGGGAAAAATATGGTTAGCGATTATGTTTTCAGAATTTGGAAGGAAACACATATATATGTTTTAATTTTATTTTTTCTGTGTACCTTTATTCTGCATTGGGTTATGGCCACTGAAACGCATTGGCACTCTCATCAGAATGGCAAACACCCACGCCTCATAGTTTTCTGCGTGGACTCGCCTAACAATATTTTTAAAGCCTACTGTACAGGCAACCAGACGCCGGCTCCCTTACTCAAGCAATGTTGTTTCTTCATGGCTGTAGCAATGGCGATGACAGGGTCAAGGAGTAGAAGGAAGGAAGTAAAAAGAAATGTACGGGAAAATTTTGTGTCGCACCCAAAACCCGACATTAAAGGAACAGCGCGAGTTTAAATTGGGAAACATGGAAAAAGTGGGACACCCCATCAAAGAACAAACGCACTGAGTCGAGTTTGCAGACACAAATATAAAGTAATTTACACGTAAAGCGGAAGCGTTTCACTCAGTGGGCGTGTTACGCCATACCTTTATGTTTCTGATTTTATTTAAGATCAGTAAAAATGGTTCCCTGAGTGAAGGAACAAAAGTGATACGGGTGCGCGGTGCAGACACTGACGACACCAAGATAAACGGACAGGCTGGGCTGGGAAGCAGGAACAAGGAGCAGGAAATTGACAACAGCAAAGACAAGGCACGATAGCCAATGACCATTCGTCTTTCTCAAGACGCGACCCCCACCAGAAGCAGCCAGTGAAGTGGCTTTCAGACGAAGATATCAGGCGATGCAAAGCCACCTCACTGACCAAAGCGAAACATAGCCCGCCACCTGGACTTACTCAGACGCCTCTGCGAAGGGCATTCCCTGAAATGAAGAACTCAGCGTCTCTGTGTACATCTCCAAGGCCGTTCCCCTCAGATAGTCATTTTGCCAGCTTTGCATGTTCGACGCTGCGACGAGGTGGGCCTTCAGCAATGAGGCAATAAAACGTGTCAGCAGATGCGGTTGGGACATGGGAAATGTTTAGTGGGTTAACAAAAACTCCGTCTAGGGCCGTCAGCGCCCGCCAACAAGGGCTGTGTGAAAAATGTTACAAAACATGTGTTTTTTAAATGCACGAATGCGAACGACACCTGCGGGGGTATGTCAATGGGCCGTGAAGTTGCTGTGGGAACTGTTGCTTGTGTTTGAACGGAGAAAAAGACCAATGAAAGCACATACCGTTTTAAACGAACGCATAGCAAACAAGTTTGCCATCATCGTGGAGAAACCCGGTGCTAAGCAGCTCTGCGCGATGAATCCTAACTTGAGCTCGGCCAGGCAAATGACGTCATCTCCTCTCTTCCAATCCCAGGATGGAATGTTTAGCAGATATGCCTGAAAACGAAAGAGATGTTTGATTTTGATTATGCCGGCGCGACACAAAATTTTCGTTCATCGTTAACAAAAAAAGACTTAAGACTGTGAGCCTTTACCTTATTATGGTACTGCATCAGCTGGATAATGACACGAATGTCATCTGAATAGTTTTTGATGGAAATAACTCTCATGATGTTTGCAGCATCTTCTGCGTCAGGGTCCTGGCAGTATTTGTTGGCCAGCACAAGGCAAGCATCTGCTTCGTGCACCTGTGGCGAAGACAAGCGTCGGATGTACCACAAGCCAAGAGATTCTTTTAAATGCTGTGTCTTTATTATTATTATTATTATTATTATTATTATTATTATTATTATTATTATTATTATTATTATTATTATTATTATTATTTGAAAAAGAACTATTTGAATGTCTATTTGTGAGCATTAGAGATTAGGCTGGTTAAAGCTTTACTGACAAGTCCACATGCGTCAACGCGCTGCCATTCAAACGTTTATGCGAGGGCTGGACCCTTATGTTTTTTCTATTGGACTAAGAAACACATTTTACTGTAGAGAAACTTCTATTCTGTTTAAACTGAATGCGTTGTTTTGAGGGCCCAATTAAGTTGAGGCTATACAACAGGGTAGAAATTTAAAATATAGTACTGCAACGTTCTTTCTAGTGAACAACGCATTTAAAACTACGCTCTCATACTACACATGCATTTTCAAACCTGGCTCATGGAAATTCCATGACCGATGCTCCAAACCAAAAACAAGTTTTTAAAAAACTAGCTCTGTAACCAATTATTTTTTAATTTACTTTTTAGTTGTTAAAACTTTTGTACATGCCAAGTATAAAAGTTAACGCTTTAGTAGTGTGAGGAGATGTTAAATTGTTTAGGTCGGTGAAAAAATCGTGAGGACAAACGATTTCCAATAAGCCTCTCGAACACAATATGTTAATAGCGTTTGCACAATTTAATGTACAAGTGAAACAAAAACTGTTATAGCTAAATTTACAACAACTTGAGTTGCTATAATTCGCGTTCATCATTAAGTAGATTCTTAATGTACATTTTTCACGAATGGTTGAGAGTATGTATGTTTACAACATTGTCAAAAACCTGCAGATGACATTTCAAGATAAAAAGTCAGGAACTGCAGCTGCGTCAGTCTAAAAAACGTACTTGTAGAAGTTCCATGCGTTGTCGATTTGGAGAATATGCGTCAAGTTTAATACCAATTTTCAAACTTTACTGAAAAACTTCATGCAACATGCACAAAGGAAAAAGCACAGGAAGGAAAGAGGAAAGGAAAGCGAAAGAAAGAAGAAAGGCACTGGTCACTTACCGTCCAGTACGGACGAATTGGGACAAGTCAGAGATCACATTTCTTACATAACTCAAGTACATTGTTTTTTAAATTTCCGATACAGAGGAAAATTATGAGCTAGCGTCAGGGGCCTACAGGTAGTCCGTGATACAGTTTTTAGAGTAACAGGCCTTTATTTTCGTCCAAAAACGCACGTAGTTTAGAACAAAAAAAGGGTCAATTCAAAAGTGGGCAGTTTTTTTACCTTTGTGAACAGAATGTTCGTATAAAGTCAGTACAATGAAAACGCGACAGGGAGAAGAAGACGGTTTGTGTTAGAAATTGTTAATAGACAAGTCAAGGCAAGGACGGACAGACGGGCTGGAGACATCCAAGCGGCGTTGCAAGACGAGACAGGAGGACATGCAGGCTGGGGTTGGAGGATCCACACCAAACGCCACGATGGAGGGGTCTGTGGCTGTCGTAGGGACTTCACAGCAGTTGCACACTGAGGACCGTATTGGGAATACACTTAAACAATGTGACGGTTAAGAATGCACATGCAGGGTCGCCGTCGACACGTCCTGTCACAAGGTTTAGGCCATCCCAGCGTGCATAGCTCGTGGTCACACAGTACGTCCCCGTCTATGTCCTGTCCTGCCACAGCCCACGCCCCATGAGCGCGCCATCTAGCGACAAAGCTGTTTTGTGTGCCCCATAGCCCTGAGTCCAAGTCAAGTCTGCGCTAGGCACAGTGCAGTCAGGCTAGCATTTCCGCAGAATTTAATTTTTAAATGTCTTCTGGTTGACTGACTGTACTGTGCCAAACGGGCGCAGGCCATGATGGGATATGGCACACAACTACACGGCTCTGTTTCGTGAAGGGGAACCCTAACTGGACAGCTGCCATTGCCTTACCTTGACCCTCTGGAGGTCTATCGGATTCATTATGGAGCCTTGGAAGAACTCTACTGTCGTGAAGTGTCTCTTGAAAAGTCCTTCTAGCTCCAAGTCCGGCGGCTTTCTAGCTCACCACAACAAAACATTACAAGAAGTAAGTAGCAGTAAGTTGTTGGATGTCCAAAGAAAAGTGCCACTACCATATGCAAAAGGTGGGAATGGGTGATGGAGCAGTGGGCCCGTCGGTGGATAAACATTAGCTATCAATAACCTTATGAACGCAAAACAAAAAGAGTTGTAAAGTCTATGTAAACATTCCATGTTCTGTCTACGACTAATTCTATTTGTCTCTATATCTAGAAGATTTCTAATAGTCAGTCCTTGTCGTTGGTGAAAAGTTTCGTACATATAGCTGCTGATAGTATTTTCTTTACATACCTTGAGGGACTTTGGTTAAAAAACGAACCGAGCTGTGCAACAAGTGCAACAAGTAATTTAACACGGGTGAAAGTTTCTACAACGCGCTGTGCAAGTCATTGTGAGATTCTTCAGAGCATTTAAAAGATTACTTCTGCAATGCAAAACTGACGAAGGAGTGTTGTTTTATAAAACTCCTGTTTAGTGCGTGCTGACTCAGTACACACTGCTATTCGTGTATTTTATCATGCACTTTCATATTAAACACACCGCAGAGACATTAAGTTACGTTTCAGAAGGGCAGCATTCTTATGACAGTTAACTGTATTCGTCATGGTGTCACATGGTTCAAAAGTGTCAGCAAAAATTAAGTGGCAGTGAAGTGCGCAAATCAGGCTTATAAAATACCAGTTTCTGCCTTGTATTTTACCTTAACTCTTTCTAGATCTACGGCATTCATCATAGTTCCCTGAAAAAACTCCACAGTGGTGTAGTGCCGTTTCAGAAGCCCCTCTAGCTCCAGATCAGGCTCTTTCCTGCAAGAATAGGGGCAGGTTTGGGCTCTAGTTGGAACACACATCTTGGACTTATAGCCAATAAATAGCAGGAGTAAAAACAATTTCAGCAACACAGAAATGCAACGAAAATTGTGGACAACAAATAAGGGCAAATAAAACAACTGAAATATTTTTAAGGTGATACAAAATTAAACGTAGGAAGTAGTACCCTTTAGAAAGTTAGCACGGGCGTGCATTTTTCCTAACAAGTTCTATAAACTAGGAAAATTGTGCACAGGAGTTTATCCTAATATAAGGGCCTTCAAAAAAGGGTATTAGCCATTCACTTGATTTAAGCGGCACTTTTCTAATTGGAATTAATCAAAGAAAGGAGTATGCACCCCGCTGAAAAATTACGAGACAGAATACTACGGTGTTGCCCCTAAAGGAGCATTAGTGAGTAGACTCTTAGGTGAGTTAATTATCACGATGAAATGCCTTTAGAAAATGTTACATTTTTAGAAAAATTCCCTCTGTCTATATTGTTTCTATAACGCGCAAAAATTTAGACTGTAAAATATGCGCTAATTAGACTCGTTTTGCAGACAATTGTTGTTACGATTTCCAAGAGCACTTTGAGTGGGCCGTAAACTTCCCCTCAAAACTCCTAATAAATAATACGCAGAATATAAACTAGCGTGTAAATAGGCAATAAGCTGCTTAGCACCTCCTCTGCACCTTAAACAGAGCTTGAAGTTGCTGGAGGCATGCTGTTAAATAGGATTAAAAATGCAACTGAGTGCCTGACAACTTAAACAAACGAAAAATCAGCTCATCATGTTTAATTTAGCTCACACTAACAGTATGCCTTCAGCGCTGTAGTGTGTCCGAGTTTATTTAAGAGAAACACATTTACACAACTATGATTGCAAAAGGCGTCTTTGACAGCCAGAAAATGTTTTTTAAATGCAAATTCGACACCTCCTAGGAACAAGCGGCTATCTTCCAGGAGCTTCCAGACACTCGGCTATCTCTCAGTAGCTTCCAGACACTCGGCTATCTTTCAATAGCGTCCAACACTCGGCTATCTTCCTGAGCGCTTCGGAGACTCGGCTAACTGACTTCTGCGGAGAGGTAGGTTGTCCTTTCGATAGCGTTTTCTTTGTAGACTAATCAAGACATGCTCCGCCATGATTATCTACTCTGACAAACTTGACACATTTTGGTTAGGACCTCGTAGGGCTTTCAACTGGTTAAAAAATACGCACCAAACTCGGGAAGTGGAAAAGCAGTTAGCCGAGTCCCGAAGCGCTCAGAAAGATAGCCGAGTGCTGGACGCTATTGGAAGATAGCCGAGTTCTGAAAGCTACTGCGAGTAGCGAGTGTCTGGAAGCTCTCGGAAGATAGCCGCTTGTTCCTAGGAGGTGTCGAATTGAAAAGGTAAACGAATTTTTTGTTTCTGAACCTATTGGCAAATTAAAGAGGTAACACCTCACCTGTGTAAGAAAACGACTTCGACGTCCACATCTTCTCTGTCTTCATGTAGGAAGTCTTTGAGGAAATGCGACACGGACTCGTAAGTGATATGCCCGCACACCACTATGTGTCTGTAACAGGAAACCTACGTTAGGGCAGCTGCACAAAAATAGAAAGCAATGGAAAACTCCACGCGAATCGTTTGAGGAACCGCAAGGGGATTTTCCATTCCTTTTAAAGCGGTTATCGTAGGTTCATTTGATTTTATTTCATAATTCCTTGATTTTTAAAGTGCAATTAAGGCTTTACGCCCGTATATCAAAGGAAGTTACTTCATTTTTATTTTTGATTACATCATTTTTGATTCTGAAAGTTCTACGTCACTAAATCTATGAAATATTTTCGTGTTGAAAGAACACTTATTTGGAGCTTTGAAAACTCTAATACGACTAACAGCTAATCTGTGATTTCAGACTACTGCCGAGCTGTAGATGAACGGAGAGTCTGAAAGCACTTCTCTCAAGAAACGCTCGAGAAAGACGGAATTAAGGCGTGAAGAGGTGAGAAAAATGGGATAGGAGGAGGAGGAAAGCCCTGCCCACAACAGTGTTAGCCCAGTGTCCACACAAACACACAATCGCCCAGCTCATCGTGGAATGCTGCTAATAAATTTCCTCAAGGAAATGTGTCAGCTCATAATCCATTATCGAAGAGCCAATGACATGAACAGAAGATATTTTGAAATCAAACAAGTATTATCAATGTAAATTTTTTTAAAAATAGCATGAATTTAATGCTTTCATTCCTTGCGATTGGCTGGCAGACGTGTGTATAGCGGTGATTAGTACGGAACGTTTACAGTTATGTGCAAAGTGAAGCGCTAGCTTATCATGCATCAACAACCCGACTATGTTAAAAGTGTCACGTTACTGTCTGAACTAGACTACCTGTGACCTACCTATCTACACCCTGAGCCACACAAAGTTTCTATATTCGACATCACTATGGTGTGTGTAAATGGTGAGTAAGAATGTTTTGTGTGACTCTAGGCTAGTGAGAGGGCGGAGGGCGTGCACAATGTATGTTTTTTGACAATAAGTAAACGTGTTGAAACAATCTCCGTGTAACTGCAGTGCGAACCCTTTCGTCCTCCCTTAATTCAAAGGTGGAATTCTACTCTAAAATACTAAGGACAAAATCTACTCTGCGTAAAAACTATTGCATAGTTTGGGTAAATAATGCAGATCATTCTTTCATTATTAACTGTAGCTACTTGTCTGTACATGTATGTGTTAACTTTACTATCCTTATATCAGGATCACAAATTACTGAAACTACGAAAATGGTCATGTATTGTTCCAAGACAGACTTATCCAAACAATGCGTCCGGAGCAAAACAAAAGGAAAAAGGCATGTCTACTGGAAGTGCCTACGCAAGAGCCAAGGAAAAAATCACGCTTCCGGGAAACCTAACCTAAGACCCAAATAATGTTCCTGTCCCCCAAACGCGTTTTTTTGCTGTGTACCTGTATAGTATCGCGTGCGAAAAAGTGTGCGTCTGTCATGAAAAGAGTGTAGAAAGAACGGGAAATTGAGTGAGAAAGAAGTATAGAGACGGAAGAGGATACAACATGGAAGAAGAGTAGAAGACGTGGAAAACAGAGAAAGAGGTGACGTGGATAGGGCGAAACGGGAGCTGTAGGTTGAGACGTTTGTGATATGCATTTGAAAGCCATACCTTTTGTACCCACCGGCTGAGCGGTGTGCCTTGCGTAGCAGTCAATCCACCATATCAAAACATGCTTTAAAGTAACGTATCTTTCCTCGAAAACATTTTTTCAAATCAAATGTGTGGCTATTAAGAGTACAATTACCCGATGCGAAGACAAAATCCAAAAGCTGCAGTGGATGGCAGAACCACAAAGCAAAGACATGCACTTCATGTTGGTGGTATAGTTCCAGAATAAACACAGGAATGAAAAAGGCAAGCATCATGAGACTTTTTTTGGCGCTTGGTGGAGCAGCGCCTTCTATCATTAACTAAACGGACATGCCTTTCAACAAACGTACATCCTGTTGTCAACAGTCAACTTCTACACACCCATTGAAGCTCGGTGAATGGCGCTTAACGTCAACAAAATCAACACAGCCGGGTGCTGGCCTGCCTACAGTCGAATGCTGGGCCTCAGATGTGAAGGTGATGTCTACTAAAGAACTTTCTAAGCTAACGATCTGCTAAATGGTCTTGCTCTCCTTCCCACGCTCTAAATTTTGTTAGGAATGAAAAATTAATTAATTTATGGAATGACCCGTGAGATATAGGCTAAGAATCTCATTTCCAGTTCACATTTATGCCCCTTTGGACTTTAATAGAAGTAGCGTGACACCTTCCGGAATAGCAAGATCGATAGCTATAGTTTATTCATAAATGAACGTGGGTCGATTGGAGGCTACGAAAACTGTGGTAATGGTCCCAAAGACAAACTATGCTAGGGGTCACCTGGCACCTGATGATGCTACTTTAAAACTCATGTCTGTGCCTCAGTTAATATTCACAGATGCAAACATGCTCTAGAAGAGTAAAAAAGGTGTTCGATCTAGCTATAAAGAATTAATCAAAACAAATAAAAGTATGGAAGGAAAAAATATTTCACGTGTAGATGGGAATACATCAAAAATGTCTATGAACATGAGGCTAACGAGGGGTTCTACGCAGCGGTGGATAAAAACACACAAAGACATGGCCACTGGGCGCGGTGGGTAAAATGCCAGCCTCCCAAATGCATATCATAGGGCTCACAGTGTGGGCGGGCCGGGACGGGAGAGAATGAGAAATAGACATAGAAGAGAGAGATAGACAGATAGACGGGTAGGGGCAATGGCTGTTTAGTATCCTCACCTTCGACCACGCTCGTTCTTCAGGGTGCCTCCATATTTGGCTCTAGTTCCGATCAGATCAATAATCTCGGGGATACAACTTGCGAATATGGCCTACGCACACAGACGTGACCCCAGAGTGTGATAACGACACACAAAACACACACAAAGACATGACAAGGTGAGCGCCGGCATCACAGAAACCATGGCTTGTTAGATGGCCACCCCGGCACTAGAGTGCCGACAGCCAAACACAGACAAAAAGCAGACATGATGTACAAAATTGATGATAAGAGAGGAATATAAAAAAAGAAACGAAGAAAGAGCAGGTTTTGTTTAATTGTGGGGTGGGAAGGTACTGCCTTCACATCTAGGATTGTTTGAATAAAAAGAGCTAGGACCGACATCTTAAATATATACTCATCCACCAACGAGCCAATGTTTCTTGGTGAGCGCGCCGGGATTGGTGTTAGGGATGTGGTTCTCGGCATGTGTGAGGACTAGCAGGGGCGACAGGCTGGGCACGCTTCCCGACAAACTGGCCTTCATTTAACTATACCCCTGGATAACAATCGCGTGGAATGCGTTTCTCCCAAATCTAAGTTTTTAGGGGTGGAGAGCACACAATCCCCTATGGCAAAATAAGCTTTTAGAAGAGACACCCCGTGTGAAGCGGTTAGTGTCGCAGACAGTGTTCTTCTTGACGTCCAGGGGTGGGGATCACGGCCGACCTCACCCGTTTACGTATCCTGAGTGGTGTCTGTGCCCACTTCTCGATTGGAATCCATTTACAGTACGCAAGCGTTATATCCTACCAGTTATATTACTTCGGGCATCTTGCGTGCCGCTTTGAACTGCGTTTCCTCAGTCTCGAAGGGCTGGCGGGCACCAAACTAGGGTAAGTTGTGAAGTAAACTGGAGAAGCTAGGAAGCAATAAGTTGCGAAATATGGCAGCTCTTGTGCAAACTACTCGGGGAGGTTTAATCAGCCAGTGAGTTCTAGCACAAATCTCTACTCTAAAAACAAAAGGTAGGTAATTAATGACATCCACCCGTCACATTTTTATTTAATAAATATTTGGATCAAACAATACAATATGCCATATGGAAAGTAAAGGAAAAAGACTAGTGCGAACTGATTTGACATTCTTGTATCTGAACAAGGCATGCCACCAAGAAACCGTTACATTGGCTACAGTGGTAGATGGACTAGTGGGCCTCTACGGCCAGCCCCACCCCTCCCTTCTGTCGCCCCACCCCCACAACACCTGCAGCTGGTGGCTGACGCATCACGCTAACAAATCCCGTAACTTGACTCATCTTTTCAAAAATTTAGTAATAAAATCCGTCACACAAATATTTAACGTTTTTATATAGTGTTGGTCCTATGCTCGCAAAAATAATGGCTGTATTTGTTGTTTTTTCCTTTATATTATGGAACACATTACGGGGGTGAGGCTGACAGGTAACACTATGTACAGCGATGGGGCGGGGCGGGCTGCAGAGGCCCAATCAAATCCAATCCTAGAGGAGGGACAGTCGTGTTAACACTTTCTATGGATTACTGGGAACTGGCTACACATACGGGGGTAGGAAACCCCAGAAGGAAAAATCTTAACAGTAAAAAAGAAAAAAATGACCGGCTGGATATGCTGTAAAGAAAGACAAAAAGGAAAGAAAAAAAGCTGTTGCTGTGATGCTTGCCTCCGTCGCTCCCGCTTGTACGCTCCGCCGTACTTGTTCCTCTGTGCTGCCAAGGCCGTGATTTCGGGGATCCAGCTGGCAAAGACGGCCTACACGGTCCAAAGAAAGTCAACACACGTCGCAAAAGGAAAAGAAGAATTATCTTGTTTTAAAACAGAAGTAAAAAAAATCAACTAAAAACGTTGTTATTATGTCGTGCAATATTAACATGCGGTTCTGCAGATCAATCAGGAAAATGGCTGCAATGGACAGGTTAGCTAGGGAGACCGTCACAGAAAAATTGTTCATCATTATCGTAAGAATGAAAGAATATAACTGAGAAGAAGAAAAATCTGAACAGGATATGATTAAGATGAAAAATAAAGAGAGATAAAAGAAAACCTTGCACGGCTTTCCTCATCATAAATTTTTTTCTGGAAATCGATATTGATCCTCCCAAAAGGAGATTTGGCTGCACACTCGCATAGGAAAATAATGAGAAAACGACTTACCAAGCCGACAAGGAGGAAGAACACGAGGAACGTCCTGCCGAGGACTGTGTTACAGTACACGTCACCATATCCTACTGTTGACATGGTCACGATAAGGAAGTACACACATGTCCAGTATGACAGCTGAGATGGGTTAGCAAAGTCCAGAGGGTCCCCTGAGTTCTCCAGCTGCAGACACAAAACCAAGGAAACAGTGTTAAGGGGGGAGGCTCGTCAATTTCCGTCAAAAAAGCAAATTTTCGTTTTTGAGATTTTTGAATTCTTTTCATCAAACCCTTTCATTATGTGGCTGATTGGTTTCAAATTTCGAAACCGTTCGGCCAGAGGACAACATTTTGTAAACTATTTTCCACAGGTTAGGTTAGACCGTTCAAACTTTAGGGCCATTTTACTCAATTGCGATATTTTGGGCCTTGCGCGCATGATTTAGGCCAAACCGTTTCACGTATTGACTTGAAATTTTTTCTGGTGTTAAACCTAAACAAGACCCATAAATTGAACCTCTAGTTTCCAAATTGAACAACTGCAAGTGGTTTTTTTTAACTTCTAAAAGATCAAATTTTGTATACTTTTAATATTTTTTGTGAAATGTAAATAACAATAGTTAGAAACCAGATGTGTTAAACCTAGAGGTTCAATCTATAAAGCCAAGTGTCTAGTTCAGGGAAACAAACGGATTTGGAAAAAGTTGTCGGATAGCTTCAAAACCTTGCGCGCAGTGAATATATGTCTTTGCAAGGTATTTTTGATATGCCTTTAGAGCCTTGATAAAGTGGCCCAAAATAATTATTTTTTTACAAATGTTCTTAAGGGTGATTTCAATGGAAACCCCACATTCCTTCAAAAAAATCAGGAAAGAAAAGATTTTTTTTTTAATTTAACCAAAATTTTAGTGTTAATGGCGAGCCTCCCCCCTTAAGAACACACGGTGCGGCGTTCAAACTAAAAAACAAAATGGACATCGTTTCAAATCAGCAAACGATTTGCTTTATAAACGTTATTTTCTCACCAAATGAATTATCCCAGCCGCAGTAAGCCAGACTGAGATGAAAATGGACACAAGTTGCGCCAGCCGAATGGAACTGGACGTCTTGAGGATGTTCAGGTACTGGAGAATGTCCGGCACAGTCATCAAGCGTAACGCTCGAAGGAAACGTAGACCTGGCAATGTTCAAAGTTAGAAATTTCAAAAAGGGGCCAGAAAAAGGGAAACTGTCTACTGAATTGACAACACCAAAGACATACCTATCCATGTTCTATCAAGGTAAATTGATACAAATGAGGGAGGTATTGTAAAGTAGTCAACAAATGAGTACATTTCCAGCATGAACCAGAATTTGTCACTAGCTGCTATAAACTGGAACGGAGAAAAAAAGACAGTGTTTAACTACGGTGCATGGTTTTTCTTAATATACTTCTGGACTAAATATACTCACTCGTATAAAAAAGTACACCATAAAAAATATATTGAAAGCTAAGTCTATTTGTTGAGTAATGTTGGTGCTCCATGTTTGGCACCTCTCCACCTCCAAACTGTAAACATAAACCGAGGCCATGAGCATAATTTTATAGGCTTTAATATACAGAAACATTAAAATTAAAAATTATAAACTGACCTTGAGGCGTCAATGAAATAGATGATAAGTGAAGCAATGCTAAGAATAAACACCAAAACAACCTGAAACAGAAAAAACAAACGTGTTAATAAAACTGGACAGATAACCTAGCATCTTTCCTATCGTTTCACGCTCAAGTATTTTACGCCCACGAATGCAAGCCGACAAGCACTCCACTGACCCCACTTCGGGTCGATGACAACCAAAAAGCCACGGAGGCAGGGCGGGGCGCCGAATAAGCTTCAGGGAATCTCTCAGCCGGCTGCTAGGAAACCCACGAACAAAACCCACTAGGGCTCAACTTGCCAGCTAGCCTGGAGGAAAGCAGCTGCGAAATTGAGCCCACGCTCTCCACACCTAGTGTCGAGCCGGTTTTACCCCGAAACACGTTCGCTCTTCCTGTCACACACACACACACACACACACACACAGACCCACTTCAAAGCCCGCGTGAGTGTGTGTGCGCGCGCGCAGAAAGGGTGCGAAAGAGGTGACCCCGTTTAGACAGCAGGGCCTTTTCAAAGCAGGGCTTCCTCATCTCCGTCAACAACAGCGCCTCAGCGACAACAAAGCAGGCTCCAGCTTTTGCTCATTTTTGCAAAAGCTGGCTGGTGCATGCATCTCCATGGAGATGCAAGTCAACAGTGGCTTGCGCAACAGCGCTGACGCGAGGGTCACGACCCCGCAGTCTGTGCACCGTGGCTCCTCCGCCTCCTCCTGCAACGCGCAAAAGGCCCACATATTGACCCCCGCTCAAAAATACTTCGCCTGTGCGCCGCCTGGCTGCCCGGCCGCCCGGGCGCCCTGCCCGGTCCGGCCCCCCCGGGCCGGGGGTGGGGTGCGGCTCCGATTCCCCAGATTGCTATCCAGCGGGAACCGGATATTGACTCTGGGGCGGCAGGGCGGCAAGGCGGCAGCCATCCGGGCTAATCTGCCGGTGTGCTCCGCCATGGCTCCGCCGCGCAGCCCAGTCAAATTCGCCCCTTTTGCACCCCGCCTCGCCAAGATGCTGGCGGCATCGCAAGGTGGAACCTCGGCGGAACGCTGCATTGGTGTAGTGACCCCCCCGAAGTGGGGCATCGCCACCTCCCCCACCCTGCCCTAGTGCTGGCCCGCCCGCCGTCTCCGCCCCGCCACCGCACCCCGCCACCGCACCCCGCCCCCCGGCCAGAGCCGCCCGGAGCGCCCTGGGGGGTCAGAAGGCTGGGCGGGGGCCCGGGGGCGGCGTGGCGGTGGGTGGCGGCGCAACGGGCCGGGAGCCCTGGCCTGCATGGCCCTCCTAGTGCTGTCGGGGTCCGCTTGGCCCGCTTGGCCCGCTATTAGCGGACAGTACCGATAGCTTTCAAAAGTCGCCCCCTTCCGTTCATCGCGGCCCAGCGGGGCCGGGCCGCCGGGCCGTCGTCGTAGTGCGAAAATCGATGCCCCCTTGTGCGGGACGTACCCCTGCAGGGGCCCTGCGCCCCGCTGCGCCCCCTCCCCCGGCCAGGGCTGGGGCTGCGCGGCGGTGCGCGGGGCGGGGCTGGAGGGGCGGGGCGGGGCGCGGGGGCGGGGCAAAGCCCGACGCGAAGGCGAGCAGTCAGTCAGACACAGCCCCAGACACACGGCCCGAAGAGTGCGAGGGAAGCGTCACAAAAAGTGGCCGGTTCAAGGCGGTTTGCGTCTTGTCTTGCGGTGCACGCCACCGGAGCGAGCGGCCGGAGCGCCTGACGACGGCAGGGTAGGCAACCCCCGGCGGCGCTGCGCTGCGTGCGGCGGGTCCCCCTTCAAACCGCGCGGTGCTAGCGCGGGCTCGGCCTGGCTCTTCCTGGCTCGGCCGGAAACGCAGCAAAGGAGACAATGGGCCCGTGGAGGGTACGCCGAGTCCGCTAAGAGATTAACCCCGATGTGCGCGCTGCGCAACGTCCCCCAACGCCCCGCAACGCCACGGCTGCAGCGAGCTTGACGCAGGCCGGCCCAGAAAATCTCCAACCAGCACTTCGTCAAAAAAGGGGTAGTTTTTCGATAAAGACGGTCCTTCCGGGGAAACTCGGGGAAGCTGCGCTGATGCCTGATCTCGGTCTCTTACGCATTTCGAGCTTCTCTCCGTACACAACACCAGCTGACCGTTGTAACTTTTGAACTAACTAGACTGGAGTGGGTTAAACGAGGTTTCATGAAAGCTGCTGACCGTTCTTTTTTACCCAGTCCCCTTCCTCTCCAGCAGATACGCCACGATGCCACCGCGGGCCGCCCACCGGAGCTTCCTGGGCGCAACGCGGAGAGAGACCGGGAGGCGAGATAAGCGAGACAGACTGTCAAACAGATAGGAAAGTGTGAAGGGCGGGGACGAAGCCTTTCCAAGTCCGCTTCCGACTCGGCTTCCGGCAGGACAAGCAAGTCGATTACAAGCAACGAGGTTCAAATGTTTACGTATTTGCATTGCACATTGTGCATTTGTAATCTGAGTATAATAAGGGACAATATTTCCATATTGTGCTTAGTTGCTTATACAATTGTACCTATTTCATGTACAAATAACTTACACCTGCACAAATACGTCGATAATTATGTACAAAAAGTCTCTAGGCATTTAGTGTGTTGAGATGCCGGCCCCTCTGCAGGCCGCGAGTTAATCTAGACGAAAGAAATCAAGGCCGAGAGCAGGCTACTGAGAGTAAGTGGTCTTCGCGGAGCGAGGATGCAGATATGCACATTTCCCAGGCCGTCCCCTTCGATGAGCTCGTTGGTGCCCTTGGAGGCCCCGAAGGCCTTGGTCTTGCACATGCCCCGCAAGCAGCACGAGCAGCGGCCCAGCCAGCCCGGTCGATGGCTAAGGCCCCGACCTCCCCTTCCCCTCCAAATTAAAAACGCTTCGGCCGATTGGCTGTCACCTCCCGCCCTGTCGCCCCCACACCTACCGGGTGCCGCCAAGACGCCGTGGAGTATCCTTACCGACGCCTTCTGGGCCAGAGAGTCCAAAGCATTCAAAATAGATTCCACGGGACACTCATCGAAGATTCATCGAATCGAAGACTAATCGAATCGAAGACGGACAGACTAGTCATTTCTGCTTGGCTGCCGCATCAGCAACTTTCCTCACGAACTCATGCAATTTTCATGCCTGTCTCCATCTTGCTTTGCTAATATTTTATGGTGCGTCAAACCGCGCACAGTATAACTTCTTCTCAAAAACGAAAAAGGCCTAAATAAAGCTCAAAGACCTCTATTGCGTATATGTTACAGAGGAAATAAGTGCTTTCCTTTGCACCCTACAGTTGTGCGCAAGCTTTCCGGGGACTGTTTCGTCGTTTTCCATTTGTTAGTGCACAGCATCGAATCCCTGATGTCTGCTAGACTGCCGCGTCCGACAGATGGCGGTGCGATACGGCACAGACTGCTTAATCTACGTCGCCTGGACGCGGCGCGATGCAATTCAGCGAAGCACGGACTGCAATACGAAATCAATTGCAATCGGCTGAAAAATGGAAACAAGTTGACACGAGTTGAGACTTAAGTTTTGATGGCTGTTTAGATGTTCCCACCATGACTTCACACTGACAGTTTCATTTTATGTTGGCGAAGGGTAATCAGGCGTTGCAGCGCCTTACTCAAGCGAGTCATCTACTTTTTTCAACATTGTTATTTCCTTGAACATGGCTGCTCGCGAAAGGATCAGGGTCCTCCTCGGCACTCATCTCCTTTAGAGCTCAGTCTTTTCTCTTCATGAAAAACATCGCAATGAACCTCTGTCGGTGCCTGTCGCCCCCGCCCCGCATGTCCAGCGAGTCGTTAAAACGGTCACGGCCTGACCTCCGAACCTGCCATGCATGAACACGACAGCAGACGATAAGTCTGTATTGATGAGTGCTATCAAGGTCATTGGCACTGGGCCGCTCGCTGGCAGTGGCTGGCATCTCCAACGGCCAAGGGGGAATCACTGTGAATTTCAGAGTACAAATCCAACCAATTTCAGTCGAATTCCGAGGAATTTCAGTCGGAATTCGATGAATTTCGGTCAAATTTCGATAAACTTTGATGAATTTCAGAAAATTTTACAATTTTGACGAATTTCAGCGTACAAATTTGGCTGGAGTTATTTCCCCTTGCCAACGACGCTATGGTCACACTGCGCACCGCCATCGACAAAGTACCGTGCACAGTGGGCCAGAAAACCGGTGGAGGCGGTCAAAATCGCAAACGCGTTTTGCGCTCCAGAGTCGCTAAATGGGACTCGAATCGAACGTGTTACCCCACCAATGGATTGCTCACTGAACGACGAATCCATTGGTGGGGTCACACGTTCGGTTCGAGTCCTGTTTACTCTAGAGCTGAAAACGCGTTTGGAGTTTTTGCCGCCGACGCCATCCTTCTGGCCCACTGTGCAGTGCTCCCACGTGCAAGGTAGCACTCTTTGCCTACTAAAAGGGGCGAGGGCGTGTTCTCTTTTGCCAACCTTTCATACAGCCAAGGGGGTGTCAATTGTCCTTCCTGTCCCCCCCCCCCCCGACTGGCAATAATTAGAGCGGAAAACGTTTCCCTGGTCGCTGCAATGGGAAACGGGGCATCCGACCCACTTTTGTTTATTTTCGCCGCCATCGGCCGGTAAATGGCGGCCGAGGCGCCGACGGCCCGCCGACGGACCGCCGACGGCCCAGGCGGCAGTAAAGGTGTCGGCGGCTCCTCGCACTCGGCGTAAACAGACGCAATGCTTTGTTGTATCGGGCCGCCGTTTGTTTGGACGCGCCAAATCACTCCTCGAGTCGTTATCTCGTTAAGCTCCGCGCCCGTCCTCGGTCAACAGCGACCCCCCGAAAAAAAACACACTTACTTTGAAAGACAAACAGGCGGAAATTTCGATTAATTGAGCTTATCTACCACCCCCTAGCTCCCTTACCCTAAAAGAGAGCGCTCCGATTTCGAGAGCCGGGGCTGACTCAAGCCTTGCGGTTGGAGAGGGGGAGGGGCGGTGGGCGACGACGCGTGCTTGTCGCCGCACGCACGCACGCCACCCTTTGCCCCCACACTGCAAGTCCCCCCGGCGTGCGTGCACGCGCGTGCGCCCGCAGACATTAACCGTCGACCCGATTCGGCTCACTCTTTTCTTTTTTCGTCCCACTCCGTAATTTTTTTTTCAGACAATGTAGTCCAGTCCGGGTGGACGGTCGCAGCGCACGCCAGGAAGTGCGCCCGCATGGCCGGCATGGCCGCCTTGGGCGCCTCGGGGGCGTTGGGCGCAGGCCAGTGGACACGCCGGGCCACCCCCATTGAGCCGTTTGGACGCAGGGGTCGTGGGGAGCGTACTCGCGGAAAAGGGTCGGGCTTTACTACCCTGCCCGTTGCATTACGCGCTCGCTGCACTGTTCTAAATGCCACACGAAATCGACAGAAAATTTAGTTTTGAATTGGCTAATAATTAACGTGTCTTGCTCAAGCGCACAAGTGCAAACATTTTTGTTAGTCGAATTGATCAATTTTTTCAAACAGTGTGGCAGTCAACAACGCTCTGCGGCTGGGGGTAGGTCATTTTCATACGGCCGTCCCCTCCCCCGACCTCCACCAAACGGCCTGACTGCTGGACCCGCGCCAAGCGCTCAGCACGTGGAGACGGAAAAGCCCATGAAGAGCGTTAGTCGTTGCCGACCCCGCATGGCCGCTCGGCAGGAGTAGCCTCACTCCAGCCGCGGCCATATGGAAATCCAATGTGAACGATATCATGTGGTAGCGGGGGTTAACCTAATTTTGGGGACATGCTATTATCGCAAGGCGGTGAATGGACATTTCGAGGGGTCCTATTCAAAAGATCTTATCTGGGCGTTCCCCCCAAGACAATCTTATCTTAAACGCTGGCAAATTTCACTCATTTTGATCAATCAGAATGAATACAACGGTAAGCAAAACATATTTCTAAATGCACTTTTGGTTTCTTTGATCTTCCATCTTTAGATTTACTTGAACAAACTCACAAATTATATTGATATGTAGCTGTACCAAATGATCAAACTATGTGAAATTCACCTGCGTTTAAGATAAGATTGTCTTGGGGGGAACGCCCAGATAAGATCTTTTGAATAGGACCCCTCGATTTAGTTATTTCAATGCAGCGGAATGAATTAAAAAAATGGAGAATCCGATGACCGCATTTGGATCGTGCAGCATTCCTTGCATCCAGACCATTGGGCTGCAAAGATGTGCGGACTACTTTCCCCCTAAAATCACACCGCGTCGCTCCAAGACCATGGTAAACACGAGGCAAGGCGAGGTAAGGTTAGTTTCGCTGGTAGGGTTGGCCGGGCTGGGGCGGCCAGGCTATCCTGGAGTGGCAACGCGGTACCATCGAGAGGTCCCGCGGCCACTGACCCAGCCCCCCCCCCCCAACTTTCCGCCCCGCGCCCCGCACTGCAGCCGAGTGGCAGTGCAGCCACAACACAGTCAAAAGGGGCGCCGCCACAGAGCAGCAGGCCAGTCAAATGCAGTCATATCCCGCTTTGGCGGCAAGCAATCGATCAAAGTGTCATTAAAATCGACGGCAAGGGGGTGAATTTCGGCTGGACCTGACCACGTAGTCGCTCCGAAGCGAAGCGGATGGGGTCACCGAGGTTTCATTCAGAAGACGGAACATTCGCACCGATTGCCCATTCATTGACCGCATGTTTCCAGACAAACAGGTAGGGCTTTCCCCGCCGAGGGGTGTGGAAAGTCAACAACACGCGGCCGGAACTTGGACCTGCCATCCACCAAGTACAACATTCTTGAGAGGAAATGCTGACGAAGAATCCGTCAAAGAGAACGGCAAACTTCATGAATGAAAACTTGCATTCGGACTAGGCGATCACCATGGAGTGGGAACACGGTTTGCAACTTGTAAACCCTGGGGAGGCGGGTGGCCACCAATAAACAGACACGGCTCCGGCAGAGTTCTGCGGACCCCCCCCCCCCCCCCCCACACACACACACCTTCCAAAGAAACCTCGGTTCCGAGCCGAACAGTTGAACGCGCACGTGGTCGCGGCGAGCGGCAGGGCAAGGCGTGCCAGCATGTAGTGCCAGGCGGGCCAGGCCCAGTGGCAGGCCGAGCGCTTCACTCACCAAAATGCGTCCGGTGGTGGTTTGTCCAGAGATGAGTTCGCCCGCCCAGTCCTTGGCCTCCGTCATGAAGTTGCCCTCGAACTCCTGCTTGTTCTGGCGGGCGGCCTTCTGCTCCTTCTGCTTGGGGTCGTTGGGCCCCAGCTCGGGCTCGCTCCGGCAGCACAGCAGGGCGAAGGCGCGCCATAGCAGCACTATGAGTAGCCCGGCGAGGAAGGTGACGATGCTCGAGAGCAGGAAGCACCAGTAGCGCCGCACCTGCAGGCACTCGCTGGTGGGGATGATGGTGGATTGCAGGCTGGGCAGGCTCGAAGTGTAGTCCGGCGGTTCCTCGGTCATTGTCTAACCCATGGCTCCCTGGCTCTGGCACTGTGGCACGGCCGCACTCCGCCGCACGCTGCCCCGCACTAGAGCAGCCCCGCTGCCGACTGAGGCCCCGAGGCCCCCGCAGCCCCACGCAGGCCGAGCGGGCCGCCGAGCGGGCCGCCCCACCCCACGCCCCACCCCACGCTGCCCCCTCGGAATCAATACTGGCCGGCAGCCAATGGCACCGCTCGCTTCCACGTGACGTCATTTAAAAATAGACGACCCTCCGCCAGCTCCCGGGCTGCGGCCCCCCTCCACCCCCTCGTGGTGACCTTTCAGCCCCCCACCGCCCCCACCTACCCCCACCGCGCGGCCGTGTTGTCAGTGTAAAGACGGCCTGAAATGAGTTCCTCTGACGCGAAAATGGCGGGCTGTTCATCCCATTCATGTGGTGGTTGGGTGCATATAGCGCGCTTCAAGAGTCAAGAGTCTCGAGTTGGCGGAGGCGGAGGCTGGCGGAGGCCACGTCCAACCGCCCGCGCCCGGCCGCCCGCCCCGCCGCCACCGGCCGCCACTCCCCCGAGCGCCACCGCTGCGCTCCCACGCTCCCACCACCTGGGCGTCAAACGGCGTGAGCACCGCGCCGTGCACGCCGTGCCGCCCTCGAGCGGGCAGAAGCCAGGCTGCAGACAACGGCCATTTCCAGACGAGACGCGCGATCGGGGCTTGACGCGGGCATCCATCCAGCCATCTCCGCCAGTAAAGGAGACATCCCCCCCCCCCCGGCCCGGCTAAAAGACGGTTGTGTTTTCGCCTGGACTCGTTTCCCTGGCTGCAAAGAGAGGCGTCCTGGGCCACTACGACAAGTACCTCGTGGTCTTCGTGAACCACGAACACCAGGACGTCGTCATCGGGCAAAGACTACTTCAAAGAATTTTTTTTTAAAAAAAGTTGCTTTGCTGGCTTTGCTTTGGTCTTTAATCGGGCGCTGGTCCGGGCTTCACTTGTCATCCCTCGCGTTCAGCCCGACGGCCAGCGTGAACTGCGCCAGCACCGTCATGTACGTCAGGGCCAGGTTGGAGAACTGCCGGGCAGAGCAAGCCAGTTAGTACTCCACGCACTGCGTCGCCATGGCGTCGCGCGGCTGCACTGCGCGCTCGCTCGGCGCCAGCCTGCGCCAGCCACCGCGCACCTTGACGGGCAGGCTCTTGTTGACGACCAGGCCGCCGCCCAGGACCACCCTGACCTTGGCGCGATGCATGATGAGCAGGAAGCGGAACACCTGCCCGTCAGACAGACTCAGTCTCGGACACGGTCTCGGACACAGCACAGTGGGTCAGAAGACCGGTGGAGGAGGCGGCGGCCAAACTCTAGACGCGTTTTGAGTTCCAGAGGAACCGAGCGTGTGACCCAACCAATGGATTCCTCGTTCGGAGAGCAATCCATTGGTGGGGTCGCACGTTCGGTACGAGTTCCATAGCGACTCAGGAGCTCCAAAACCCGCCTGGGACTTTGACCGCCTCCACCGGCCTTCTGGCAAATCCACTGTGCACAGTCTCGGACATGTAGTGCAGTGTCTTAGTGTCCACCTGGTCCCTGCACTCGGGGTCCAGCCGCTGCATCCGCAGTGCCAGCAGCTCCATCCTCAGCCCGCGGCCCACCTGGCACAGGCACAGTGACAGTAGCGAACGCCGCCGATACTCCGCGCGCGAGAGACCACCCGCACGGCCGGCGGGTCCAGCCACCCGGGCGCGGAGTAGCGCCAACGCCAATAATTCTTGTTGTTGTTGTAATTTCCAGCTGAGATCGCGGCTCACACCTCGTGCTCCGCGAAGCCGCAGTTGACCGCGACGGCGATGATGTAGGACAGGTGGCACAGGTTGGAGAGCATGAGGGAGCGCGCGCGGCGGTAGTCCCCGATGACGGCGGTGGCGCACGTCACGAAGAGCGACAAGATGGCCGTGATGCCCATGAAGGCCATCCAGCGCACCCAGGCCAGCTCGTTGGCGGGCACCAGCCCCAGCAGCAGGTCGCGCAGGCGCAGCCACAGCAGAAAGTACTCCTGCAGGACCTCCACCGGCACCGGCCCGGCGTCCAGCTGAAAACGCAGCCGCGTCAACTGCCTGCGTTTTGAGCTCCAGAGTCGCTAAACAGGACGCGAACCGAGCCAATGGATTCCTCGTTCGGAGAGCAATCCATTGGTGGAGTCACACGTTCGATTCGAGTCCCATTCAGCAACTCTGGAGCTCAAAACACGTGTAGCGTTTTGGCCGCCTCCACCGGTCTTCTGGCCCACTGTGCTCTGGGCAAGTTCCTCCTGTGTATCTGTGGTGCATGCAAACAAATGCCAAGTGTTGGGCCGCTAGCTTACCTCGCGCTTCAAGTGGCGACGCAGCTCGCGGCAGACGTTGCCCATCTGGTAGGTGAGCACGCACCAGACGGTCATGTCGCTGGCGTAGCTCACGACGGACACGCTGTACAGCGGCCACTTCCACGCGTACATGTCCGGCGCCACCTGCGTTTCGGCCAACAGGAAGGAGACGGCGGCTGTGACGATGGCTGTCGCCAGCCAGTTGGCGGTGCTCTCCCGGATGACGGCCTCCTCGAACGGCGTCCCCGTCACGCGCACCCAGCGCGCCTGGGGCAAGGCCATGGCCGAGGCCGCGGGCATGGTCATGGGCACTTGGGCGCTTGGGGCTCACCAGGGCTTGCAATGGCTTACCTGGAACCGGCGCCAGGAGTTGAAGTAGTTGGCGACGCCGGCCGCCGCGGTCCAGTGCACCAGGGGCACGAGCAGCAGCCAGGACTCCATGATCAGGTGGAAGATCTTGACGATCTGCAGCAGGAACAAAGGAAGTTTGACGTTGTTCCTCCGTTTGCCGACCCAAGAGCCGACGACGCACAGTGGGCCAGAAGACCGGTGGAGGCGGTCAAAATCACCTTCAAGGTGAGCGCCGCACAGTGGATTTGCTGGAAGACCGGCGCAGGCGGCCGAAACTCTAGACGCGTTTTGAAGTCCAGAGTCGCTAAACAGGGCTCGAACCGAACGCGTGTGACCCCACCAATGGATTGCTCTCCGAACGAGGAATCCATTGCTGGGGTCACACGTTCAGTTCGAGTCCTGCATCGACCCTGGAACTCTAAACGCTTCATGAGTTTTGTCCGCCGGCGCCTGTCTTCTGACCCACACTGCGCCACGGTCTACGGCCTACCTTCTCGACGAAATGGACGCTGTAGAAGCCGCTCATGGAGGCCTGGATGACGAAGGTCACGTAGCCGAAGAGGACGGCCATCCAGGCGAGCCGGAGTGCCGCGGCGCAGGACCAAAGCGGCAGCCTCTGGTAGCCTAGCAGGGAACACCTCAGTGAGGCCGCCGGGCTGGAGCAGGCTGGGAGACCCTCTCGTCCACCATGGCCTTACCGTGGTGCGTCCGGTGGATGGGCCAGCCCAGCGTGAACCTGCCGAGCAGCACCAAGTGGCGTATCTTGTGCAGCAAGTCCGGGTCTCGCTGACACCGGCGCGGTTTCGGGAACACCATGTCGAACCGCGGGGTGGCTGGTCGTCCGCGGCGCAGACTGAAAACCGAAAAGAAAACAACATGAGCCGGGAGTCGAACCCGCGGCCCCGCCTTGCGCGGTGCTCCGTGCGGAAACGGCGCGCAGTTGCCACTGTGCCGTGTGTCCGGGATGCCATGCCGATGGGCCTCGTTACATCGAACGGAGTGGCGGACTGTGGACCTTCCTGATGCGTGCGGGTTGTGGCGCCGTCCCTGGGGGCTGCTGGCAGTGTGGCGGCGTTGCTGCAATCACGCCGACACCAACGAGTCCATTTCGGCGCATTGTGCAATGCGGCCAAGGTGGCTGGGGGCGCACGAAAATCGGACAGTGTATCGCCAGCTGGAGCCTCGCGGCACCTCGCGGCCTCGCAGCATCCCTTGGATCCGGCGCGGCGGACCGCGCAACATTCATCCCCGCGCGTCAAAGCATCCGCGGCAGACTGATTCCGAACTCATCGCTCTGTCCCGCTCGCACTCGTGGGGTGTCCCGCGTGGGAGCGAGGGAGACAGAGCGATGAAGCACTGCTCAGCCTGCTGATGATGCATGGGACACCGCACTCCCCTCAAAGGACGTCGAGGACATGCAGGCGGCCGGTCTGCATCAATCATCCCCCGGACGCCGCACAGTGGGCCAGAAGACCGATGGAGGCGGCCAAAATCCCGGACGCGTTTTGAGCTCCAGAGTCGCTAAATAGGCCTCGAACCGATCGCGTGACCCCACCAATGGATTGCTCTCCGAACGAGGAATCCATTGGTGGGGTCACACGCTCGGTTCGAGGCCTGTTTAGCGAGTCTGAAGCTCAAAACGCGTCTAGAGTTTTGGCCGCCTCCACCGGTCTTCTGGCCCACTGTGCGGCGTCGGGACGCGTTCGGGACTCTTCGGGAGGCGTGCGGTGCGCCAGGGCGGCCAGGACCAGGAGGCGGCCGAGAGCGCCCGCCACCCGCGACGAGCCCCACGGTGACGGTAACAGGACCAATTTGTCACCATCCCCAACAAACGCGCCTCCTTGCGCTGCGGACTGATTCCGAGAGTCTTTTCCGTCGCTCTGCCTCTCTCGCACTCATGGGGCGTCCCGTTCCGGTGCAAGAGAGACAGAGCGACGAAAACGAGTCTCTGGATCGGACTGCTGCGGGCCGGTGCCCACCCACGGGCCGAATCGAGGAGGATCCCTCCTTCCCCGGGGCGCGAGAGAGACAGAGCGACATTTGGGGGTGGCTCTCGGCTGGAAAGCCACGCAGTCTGGGCCACTGTCTGTAGCTATCTCTTTTCTCTTTCCAACGCCCGCTGTGCCGCTGTGCCCGTGAGACTGACAGGGACAGTCGCGGAAACGGAAGGGGCACCACAGCCGCGGGGACGCGTGGGACTTCCCCCACCCCAACCCTGCCACGGCAGGTGTAGAGAGGCTGCCAGAAACCGTTCCACTCTCTCTTAAATTACAATCGAGGACGGTGCCATAAAGAGCAAACGCGAACGAAGCGGAAATGAAAGACCGCTCGGGTCGTCTGCATTTAAAGGGAAGTACTTACTTGGTGGTGGGAGGGGGAGGGCAACGTTCCGACCAGTTTCTCATACAGGACGCAGCCAAGGTGAGAATTCAACCGCTACGCGCATTGCGAGCGGAGCGGGAAGAAAAGCCGCTTTCTGGTCTGCTGACTGTTTGGCCGTTTCTACAGTCCGCAGTGTGTTTTAAGAGGCCCAAGAGGGTTATATCTTTCCGGCCGATCAAACCGCACTTTCAAGGGTTTTATGAAGTTTAAATTGGACTTTTGTTAACAATAGAAGGTGTGTAAAATAGTTTCGGACAGGCTTGTTTACGTACAAAGGTTAGGTTGCCCCTGTGTATCTTCTGGTGTTTTCGAGAAAAGAACCATTGGATTTAATACTGCTATCAAATGAAATCAAACATAGAGCTTCGTCACCAAATTTTGACAAAAAAAAAACAGTAACAATTCAAAGTAATTGAATCATTTTACATCTTAACTCAAGTTATAGTGTTGCACCTTATCTCAACTTTGCTGTCAGTGAAATGGCTTTTTGACAAATTGTATCAATCAGACTAGTTCTTTATTTGAGTGTTGTTCACATGTGCCATGTGATATCACAACACTGCTAATTCAATAAATGCAGTCATTTATTTGTCGGCAGCCCCTATCTTTTCTTGAAACAGCGATGGAGGAGGAAAAGGATGACGGAGGAAGCAGTAGAGGTACGGCAGACACAGCAGAGGAAAGCGAGCCAATAGAAGGCCTCGAAGACGAAAAGGTGGATGAAGACAAGACTGATGATGAACCATTAATTGATGGGGTGCTGAAGACTGAGAGAGATGAGCAATGCTATTGGTAAGCTCTTGTTATTTTCAAAAGAAAATGTCTTCAACTACGTTATAAATTTACCTTTAGTTTGTTTTCATCATTTTACATTTTTTTACATTTACAGCGGTAAAGAGCGCAATATGAATATTGCAGAACTCTTGTGTGCAAGTTGTGGGAGGTGGTTTCATGAATCTTGTATCAGTTACCAGCTAGGGAAACTAGTCCCATTCATGACAAACTATACCTTCTTCTGTAAAAACTGCTCCCCCTCTGGCCTTGAAAGTTTCAAAAAGACCCAAGCGGCTTTCCCACAAATGATATTGACTGCTCTCGGTAATTTAACTCAAAAGAGAGTCAAGGATGGAAGCTCTAAAACACAATTTTCCAAAGATCAGGACATTATTCCCTTCATAGATCAGCATTGGGAGGCAATGACAACGATGTCCCGTCGAGTTACCCAGTCTTGGCATGCTACTGTGAGTGCACAACTTTTGTTAATCTTAGCACTTCAACGCACACATTCACTTATTCAAATACAAACAATACTTTGACCTGTGAATATTATTTCTAGATTCACCGAGCTTTATTGAAGGATTCAGGCACTTTATTTGAATGTGAAGGAAATGGCACGGACAAAGAGACATTTGGTTTGAAATATTCCATGTCTGAAATCAAACCAAACTATGAAGCCATGATTAAAAGTGGTACCTTAAAGATGACAGATGTTGGAGTACAGCAAGGTAATGCTCAGTACTTGAGGAGGAAAATCCTTATTAGATTTTGTCCTTAAAGAGCTTGTGAAATTTTTCATGTGGTAATGAGAGTAATTCAAGTGATAAAATATTTTTTTTTTTACCATCCACAGCAAGGGATTCCTCAAATGTTAAAGGCCGTGGGACAAAGAGAAAGTTCCCTGACCAAGCAGGTGGCGCCGTTGGAAAGAGAGGACGTGTTGCGGGTGGAGAGGGTGCACCTAAATTGCCAGCTCATGGGTACCCCTTGGAGCACCCCTTCAACAAAGATGGCTACAGATACATTCTAGCTGAACCAGATTCCCATGCCCCATTCAGACAGGTATGTTGTAAAGAAATACGTTTTTGTTGTGACATTGTTTTTAATTCTTTTTAAGTAACATTTTGTTTCCTTGCACAGGAATTTGATGAGAGTAGTGAATGGTCTGGAAAGCCAATTCCTGGCTGGCTGTACCGCATGCTCAGTCCTAGCCAAGTTCTTCTTGCCCTTCATGATCGAGCTCCGCAGTTGAAAGTCTCTGAAGACAGGCTGACTGTGACTGGTGAAAAGGGATATTGTATGATTCGTGCTACTCATTGTAAGTGTTTTGATTTCATATTTTTTGGCTCTTTGAATATTAAGCAGCAAAGTCAACTTTGTGTTTTCCTTTTCAGGTGTGAGTAGAGGCCAGTGGTATTTCGAAGTTAAAATAGACGAAATGCCTGAAGGGTCTGCGACACGCTTGGGTTGGGCTCAAGAGTATGGAAATTTACAAGCTCCATTGGGATACGACAAATTTGGTTATTCATGGCGCTCAAAGTAAAGAACATGGACCTACTTTTAACGTGAGAAATAAGTTAATAGTTTTTGAAATTTTATGTGTTTTTTGTTTTTTTTTGCGTTTTAGGAAGGGGACACGGTTTCACGAGTGCCATGGAAAGCATTTCAGCGAAGGGTATGGTGAGGGTGATACTCTTGGCTTTCTCATTATCTTGCCTGAATTGAAAGAACACAATTACATGCCACCTGTCTACAAGGACAAGGTAATTGAAGAATTTACCCTTCATGCCCGCATATTCCACTAAAACAGTCTTCTTACTTGCACCATCTTATATTTTACAGCCTTTGGTAAAGTTCAAAAGTCATTTATATTATGAGGAAAAGGACCAAGTGATTGACACGCTCAAGAACCTAAAACCCCTTCCTGGCAGCAAGATCATCTTTTTTAAAAATGGAAAGTGCCAAGGAGAAGCATTTACTGATATTTATTTTGGATCATATTATCCAGCTGTGTCCCTGCACAAAAGCTGTTCTGTTACATGCAATTTTGGGCCCAAATTTAAATATCCTCCTGATGAGTTTGAATTTAGAGGGGTAAGTCTATCACCTTACAGAGCTTTTCTTAATTTTATATGACACATTCATTTTTTTTTGTTTCCCTCCACAGATGCATGAGAAGGCAGAAGATGCAATTGTTGAACAAACAATGGCAGATATGCTATGGCTGACAGAACATGATGGCAAACTGAGGCTTGATACCTATTGCTCATGAGTCCCCACACTCATAGGTACTTAATAAACGGTTTGCCCTAAAATTTGAGTTTAAAAAAATCCTGTTTCATTTTACTTGTTATGTAATTTTTTTATGGATGCAAACACTTGAAGAATATTTTATGAGAATATTGTAAATATTGCCACACATGTGTGTGAGTTCATGAACTCAAATAAATAGGTCAGTTGTGTTTTCAAGTGTCTTTGGTATTAATTGCAGACCAGAAATTCTAATATATACAAACAAGTACTTACACAGAGACATCAGACTTTTTTCTCAGACTTTTTCCTCAGAACTTCTACGTCATTCCTTAAATGATTCAGGAAACTTCTGAAAGGTTTATCGGTCTCAAAGTAACAGGTTGGGATGTTGAGTCTGCGCCGTGTTTCTCTGTGTGTCAGTATAATTTGGGTGTTGAATGAACACGATGCCATGACCAACCAATGAAGTGCTAAACCCTGCAAAATTACGCATATATTAATATCTTATCTTAGTACCCTTTACATTTAGGAATATATCAACATTAAAATTTCATAAACTTACAGATGGGACTACACTATAAATCACTATTAATGGTACTGTGGTAAGCCTTCTCAGATTCAAAATAAGCAATTGCCGTGGTTTAAAAGGAGTAGAAGCTCTTCTAAGGGTCATCTTTAGACCTTCGTCTGAATGTTTCTGCTTCCAGTTAGCAACCTGTAAAAAGATTCAATAATAAAGAAAAAAAAGCTTCTTGTCAGACTGGGGGAAGCACTCCATAAGAGTGAACGTCATGCTCACCTCTGCAACTAGAAGGTTCAGGACAACATTCAAAATGGGAAGAATAAATGTGGTGTCATGTGCTCCTAGAAAAACTCCCCATGGCAATAGGGACACGCATGCACCTGAAATGCATAATATATACCCATGATTTTTTTTAGCTGAGTACCTCCAAAGAGTAGTATATCTAGGGTGTCCTTACCATTACTTTGGTTCATGAGATAGGATCGTACTCCAAAAGAGGAAACAGTCACACAAACTACTTGGTAAAAAATTGTCGCATAAAGCTTGTAGTTTTGGCAGCCATATGCTTTTGCCAGATCAGCATTTGTTCTGGCAAACTGAAACATAAGAAGAAAATGATCTTCATGTAAACATCCAGGCATTAGGCAAGCTCCAAAATTTAGTTATGAATCTTACATTAAGAAAACCTTCACGAGAGGGCGATCGCATAAGTGATGCCTTTATTGCAACCATGTCGCCAACATGTTTCTCTTTTCGAGTCGTCCACTTTGCCTGAAACATGACATCAAAAAGGCATGCATTTCATGATAGTAAAAGTTAATATCGACAATCGACCTGTAATGACTTGTACCATGTAGATAATGGCTGGGGTGTTGAGAAGAAGCTGCAAGACTGTGCTGCACAAGACTAAGTTAGCCACACCGGGCAGCCCCGTCAGAGCCTGAGACCATTCATACACACTGGAGACGGCAGTGACTGGTGTCGACTCCAGTATAAACTTGGACAGCCCCTCAATGCTAGTGATGTCTGCATCGCGGAAGGCTTCGATAACTTTGCTGATGATGATGGTTCGGGTCTGCAGAGCAGGGCTCGGCGAAAATCCGCGGTCGATAGTCGACAGCGGTGAAGCTCCTCGCAAGTTAATGCGATGAGACCGAGGCAAAGAGGGAACACTGTAGTGGTGGTATAACCTCCTGTCACTTGCAGGAACAGAGTCCGCAGCGGCACTGCTGACTTTTAGGTTGAAGCAGAGATGCAGGTTGGGTCTGAACTGAGCGGACGCTGCCCTTGCGACACCGCGGACAGCGTGACATTCCATTTCACTTGAATAAACGTGCAAGTGCAAGCAGACACAGTTTACGAAAGTTGTTGTTGGTTGTTGCTTGGATGTTGTTTTTAAGAGCGTTGAAGGCTCCTTTAATTTCTCATCTCCAGTGCATCGGCGGTATGAGAAATTGACTCGACATGGCGCGATTTTAACGCGGTTTCGAAACATGTTTGAAACGAGACGCCGGTTCGTCGTTGTGGAAACTGTGGTCCAGGAGGATAATTTTACAAAAAGATTGAGATCAGATTAGCGTAAGTGGTTTTATTTCTACAGAAAACAGAACAGACAGAAGACACATTGAGTTACAGAGGTTTTTATAAGCATGTCCTTACATAACGGCCGTGCTCTGTTGCTTCATTTTCTCAGAAAGGGGGGAATCGTGGCGATCAGGTCATACATTTATTCCGCTTAAAATGATATGATTCAAATGATTAAATCCTCGACGTCTCCGAAGGCAAACAGAGATTATATAAATATGTAACTTTAGTTTCCCTTTTTTAATTCAGTCCTTTGCTGTTGCTGTCTGATTTTGTATCTACTGATAAGGAGAGTAGTTCCCAGGAAACAGATTGTATCACAACTGTGGTCCAAGGTAGTTCAATATGTTGTGGTGGGGTGCGAGATGTCTGTCGAACAGGTTTGTGCGTTCAAGGCATCTGTCATGGGTCGTTTCCAGTCCGACAAGTAAATCCGTGAGGCTTCAACTACCCCAGTTTTCATTTACATTTAACAGATTCAACGAGACATTTGATTTGCATTGCGATCACCATTCTTTTTTTAAAAATGATATATAGATATATGAGTAATCGGTCATAGAGCATTTTTCTTTAAAATTAGCATTCCAAGCTTACTTTGTGTTTCTAAGTCTCCATACTTTCACAGCAACTTTTACTCTCTCCCTCTCCCTCTCTCTTTTCAGTCTCACAAGTAGTTCTGCCTCTTCCTACATCCATTCATTCATTCATTCATTCTGCATCATTAACACGATCTGGATTGAGTCTCTTTGCTCACTTCTTACAAAAACAAACTTTTCTGTCAGGTATTATGTTGGTACTAGGTCTATCCAGTGCACTTCAAATCGCAAGCTTTAACTTTTTTTTTCAAGCAATCTACCATGGAAGGCATCGTTTAACCTACATCATTTCTTCATTTTTAAAACATTGACCATCTAGAATGTTGCGGACTCAGTGGTTAAAAATTATTGGACAAATATTGTCGTCCCAAGTGCAAATAATCTAAAAAGGGGGGGATTCCACTCATAATTTGGACGTTACTCTTAAATGATTACAGTTTTACTCGGACCTTCTGTTTGGAAGGTGTTGCGGCTAAGATCAGAGAGAAAATTCGAGCAGGCCAGATATTTTCAAAATAATTAATCTTAGGTACAAGTCAATAACTTTCCTAACAACAACATGATACGTTTAAAAGTAGTGAACTTACGATAGCTTAAACATTACTTCGATAACGTGAGATGATATTAGTTTCTTAATCAATCCCTAAAGCAACGTACTACGGTAGCAGCAAGTGGCTCTGCCCAGAGAAGAGAGCATCATTTTCGCAGATGGTACGTTGTACTCCCACGATCCGTTTTGGAAGTACCTAGCTCGGGGTGAGCCAGAAATCCCTATCATCTCCAGGGACTCGGCCGGGGAAGGGACGGGACGGGGGAGGGGTGTGCTCTGCGCTGAGAGGTGGTGAGGGCGCTATCGCTACACTGGCAAGCACCGGGACAGCTACTACTTTTTTTCGGGGCGGGGTGGGGTGGGGCCTTTGAGAGCAAAGGGGTGGAGAGGTAGGGGTCGCAGACTGGGGTTGTCACCGGGCGACGGCCAGGTGTTTTCTGACTAGGGTTCGCACCGCGCGACGGAGAGAGGCTCCCAGACTGAAACTTCCACCAGGATACAGCCAAGGGTTTGCAGACTAGGGTTGCCACTGGGTGGCGCGGCCTGTGGAAGTGCCTTTTCACAGTGGCCGACGCTTGTCGTGAGCGTGTCGCCGGGAAGGCGGCCACCCTAGCGTGACTGGCGCGCGGCTCTCGGGAAACGACGGTGACTTATTGACTATAAAACCAGCAACCTCATCGCGCCGTCAGGGAGGAGGAGTCGGCGCCCTGACTGTGGCTGTGTCGCTGCGTGATGGTGGTTCGGGGGCCGCCCCCGGGGGCCGTCCCCGAGCCGCCTCCAGGGGGCCGTCCCCGAGCCGCCTCCAGGGGGCCGTCCCCGAGCCGCCTCCAGGGGGCCGTCCCCGAGCCGCCTCCAGGGGGCCGTCCCCGAGCCGCCACCAGGGGGCCGTCCCCGAGCCGCCTCCAGGGGTTCCAGGGTCTCATGGTGGCTCGCGAGGCCTCGGTGGGGCGAGCCGGCGCGGCGAGGTGTGTGGAGTGGAGACGGTTCCTCTGGTTCCTCGGAGGCCCGGCCGGCGGCGGGTGGATTCGGCCCGGCGCCTTTGGCAGCCTACGCGGGCATGCTGGCGGCCCACACTGCCAGGCGGGGGTCGTCCACGCCGCCCACCTCGCAGTTGACGGCGCGGGCGTGGCCGTTGACGACGAACACGGCGTCGTAGCCGGGCGACACCAGGTACCGGTCGAAGGTCCTGGGCGAGTAGATGGGCCTGCTGGCCGCGCCGAAGCGCGCCTTGGACGCCGGCAGCGGCTTGCCCGCGCCCGTGATCATCTCCACCTGGCCTGCGGAGTCAGAGCAGAAGGTCGCGGGTTCAAATCCGGCTCGGTTCAGTGGTTTTTCGTCGGTGTTTGGGACGGCTTTTACCAGTGAAGAGGTCCAGGAACAGGATGTCGTCCTTGTCCACGGTGGTGGCGAACAGGTCGTAGCCGTGGGCCGAGGTGGATGGGTAGAAGGCCACGTCGCTCACGTTCAGCGTGCTGCGGATGTCGAAGTGGAAGGACAGGCCCATGGCTGCGGAAGAGAGACGTTTAGAAAGGCCAGGGCGTCGCGGTCCCCCAGCATCTAGATAGTCGCTTGAAATGCAAGCAAAAAGTGCCCCCCCCTTCCCAGACCCGCCACTGCTTCCCACTCACCCGTGATGCGCATGACGACGATGTCCACGCCGTGCTTGCCCTCCTGCAGCGCCACCAGCTTCCTCGAGTCGGGCGTCACGTAGACGCGGCCCGCCAGGTTGGGGAACTGGGCCAGCACGGCGTCCGTCATGTAGTCCAGCAGGAGCAGCTTCGAGTCCTGGCCCGTGCGCGGGTTCTGGCAGCGCACCAGCACGAAGCCGTCTGCGGGAGCAGAGTCCGAATCACAAAAGTGATGGTGGCAGGTGGCGCACAGTGGGCCAGAAGACCGGTGGAGGCGGCCAAAACTCTCGACGCGTTTTGAGCTCCAGAGTCGCTAAATAGGGCGCGAACCGAACGTGTGACCCCACCAATGGATTCCTCGTTCGGTCGGAGAGCAATCCATTGGTGGGGCCAAACGTTCGCTTCGGGTCCCACTTAGCGGCTCTGGAGCTCGAAACGCGTCTCGGCCGCCTCCACCGTCTTTTGGCACACTGTGAGGCGGTGGTCAAACCCGCGGCCGCTCTGTTAGGCAGAGTACTCACACAGCGCGGAGAAGGCCACGTCGACGGGCACGCACGAGTAGCGGCTGAGGTCCACGGTGCGGGCGTAGCGCAGCTCCTCCAGGTCCACCTTGGACAGCGCCTGGCGCCGCGCGTGCGACACGTAGCCGAACCGCATGCCGCGCATCAGGTCCTGGACGACAACAAGCCGGTCAGCACGGCGCGGCAAGAAACAGGGGCAAAGAGAAAGAGAAAGAGAAGAGAGAGAGATAGAGAGAGAGAGAGAGAGAGAGAGAGAGAGAGAGAGAGAGAGAGAGAGAGAGAGACAGACAGACAGACTTACGCGGCCCATCGGGGGCAGGAACAGGCCCTGGATCAGGTCGAACTGGCCGCGGACTGGCTCCAGGTGTACGGTCACGTGCTTGCGCTTCTCGACGGCGTCCCGGATCACCTGCAACAGTCCGGGTTCCGGTGAGGAAAGTCCGTGAAGCTCCGGGCGCAGCCGAGTCGAGCGGGGAGAGCGCCCGTGAGGTAGGCAGGCCCGCCGCGCAGGCGTGCGTCGGATTGCCTACCCTCGACTCGGCAGGCGCTTGCGGTATGCAGGCCCGCCGCGCAGGCGTGCGTCGGATTGCCTACCCTCGACTTGCCAGGCGCTCCCGAGGTGATTGCCTACCGCGGCACAGTCGAGGCACAGCCGAGGCACGTACCTGGATGGTCTTGGCTCCGCGGTCCTGCTCGCTGCGCCAGTTCAACACCCACACCTGGCTCGTGTGGGGCACGTAGGTCAAGCGCACGGGGTACTTGTCGGTCGCGATGGCCTGCGGGCACCGAAGGTACCGAAAGTGTAAGAACGTTACAAATGCACAGGCCGCGAGGACATATTTGGCGGCGGGTTCGAAAAGGATAAAACACGGAGGCCGCACCTCGACGACGGCCAGCATCGGCACGGAGATGACGATGATGCGGTCCAGGTAGGGCTGCGTCACGTAGATGTAGCGGTCCTCCACGTTGAGCGCCTCGCCCCAGATGCAGCGCTTGTCCACGTTGTCGCCGCACAGCGCGCTCTGCAAGGCCAAACGGTGTCACGCGCCGGTGGCGATACCCCGCGCGGGGGTCTACGGCTGGCTCGGCGCACGGTGTATCGCCTCGAGGGGAGTCTTGCTGCACAGTGGGCCGGGAGACCGGTGGAGGCGGCCAAAACTCCAGAGCCGCTAAATGGAACTCGAATCGAAAGTTTGACCCCACCAATGGATTCCTCCTCGTTCGGAGAGCAATCCATTGATGGGATCACACGTTCGGTTCGGGCCCCATTTATCGACTCTGCAGCTCAAAACGCGTCAAGAGTTTTGACCGCCTCCACCGGTCTTCTGGCCCACTGTGGGTCCTGTGGGGCCGGGGGCCGGGACTGACCTGCGTGCCGGGGATGACGGTGGCCGGCCGGATGTAGTGGTGCATGTGGCAGGAGCGCGGCTCGTGGATGGAGATGCCGCGGTCGTGGAACACGAAGAAGCGGTGCTGCATGGTCTGCAGTTTAAGCGCTGCGGGGCAACACGAAGGCCTCAGTCAACGATAAAGTGGAGCGAAAAAAAAATCTTGGGGTGTCGGTACTCGAACCCGCGACCCTCGGCTGGGGGCCTCGGCGGCCACTCACACTGCGCGTCCTGGCGCATGACGATGAGCGTGCTCATGTCCCGGGTGGTGCCCACGCCGGACTTGGCCTGGCAGAAGTACACGCCGGTGTCGGTGAAGTCCACGTGGCGCACGCGCAGCTCGGTGCCGTTGCCGATGGTCACGTACTTGCGCGGGTCGGTGGCGCGCAGCGGCTCCTCGCCCTTGAGCCACTGGACCTGCGGGAAGGGCTCGCCCGTCACGTGGCAGAACACCACGGCGTCCTCGCCGGGCTGCCGCGTCTGCACGCGCGGCTCCACGGTCACGGTGGGCGTGGCTGGGGAGGGAACGGCGGTTAGCAAAGGGCTTTCACGGGCAAGGCGCGACACAGTGGGCCAGAAGACCGGCGGAGGTGGCCAAAATCCAAGAAGCGTTTTGAGCTCCAGAGTCGCTAAGTGGGACTCGAACCGAACGTGTGACCCCACCAACGGATTCCTCATTCGGAGAGTAATCCATTGGTGGGGTCACGCGTTCGGTTCGAGCCCCATTTAGCGACTCTGGAGCTCCAAAACGCGTCCAGAGTTTTGGCCGCCTCCACCGGTCTTCTGGCCCACTGTGCGCGAGGACAGTGGTCACTCACTGTAGACGTCGAGGTGGTGGTTCTGGACCACCTCGGTGTTGCGCGGCGTGTAGCACGAGAAGTTGCCCGCGTGGTACATGTTGGTGTTGGGGATGAAGAGCGAGCCGTCCTCGAAGACGCGCAGCCCCAGGTCCACGGCCGGGTAGTGTGGTGGCTCCTCGGTGGCGCCAGCGGGAGCGCCGGCGGGCTGCGGGGCCGAAGTCAGCACAGTCAGCTCAGTCAGCACACTGCGGCGTTCGAGAGCTCGACGGTGCACCAGAGTCGCTAAACAGGACTCGAACCGGACGTATGACCCCACCAATGAATTCCTCTCCGAACGAGGAAACCATTGGTGGGGTCACACGTCCGGTTCGAGTCCTGTTTAGCGACTCTGGAGCTCAAAACGCGTCTAGAGTTTCGGCCGCCTGCGCCGGTCTTCTGGCCCGCTCTGCGGCGCTGCGGTGCTCACCTTGGAGGTGCCCAGGTACACGCCGTTGCGCTCCCAGACGATGGGCGGCGCGGGGGTGCCGCTGACGTCGCAGGCCAGCTCCACGTTGTCGCCCTGCTTGGCGCGCTGCGACACCCACTGCAGGTCCTTGTCCAGCGTCACCAGCGACACGCCCTCGATGGGGTAGCTCACTGCGGCAGGGCAGAAAGGCGACGTCAGATTCGGCAAGGCCAGGGTAAGTTAGGTTCCGTTTTCTGCGCGAATCTACGCGCACGCCAGACCCTACAACCGTGTTGAATGAACGGGCAAGTTTGTGGGCGGCGTCAAACTTTTGGCGTGAGGCTGAGAGCGCGAGGTCAAGCATTGTTTGACGCGGTTGTGGCCGCTTACGCTTGGTCTTGTTGAAGGACTTGACGAACTCCTCGCTGCTGAGCACCTCGTCGCCGTCGCTGTCGTCGTGGATGATGAGCAGCGAGGGCCGGCAGTTCTCGGGCCAGTCGGCGTGCACCTCGGACAGGACCTGCAACACCGGGAGTGTGACTTCACATCCCGCTGGTTTTGTGCGCGCGCGGAGGATGTGAATACGAAGCAGCGACAAAATTCTGCTTTCAGTTGAAAATCGTGGTTTTCGTTGACTTTGAGCGGCCACTGCGTCCGATCCAAGTCCAGTAGGCGTACTCTATCGAGGGGCTGGTGGTCTCGAGACCTTCCTCTGGCATGCCCTTGCTGGGGTGCACGATAACCGTGCTCAGTACGAGACCAGCGTTTCGGAGAGCAATCCATTAGTGGGGTCACACGTTCGGTTCGAGTCCCATTTAGCGACTCTGGAGCTCAAAACGCGCCTAGAGTTTTGGCCGCCTCCACCGGTATTCTGGCCCACTGTGCGTTGCCGCTGTAACCGGTATGTTATACCCCCCTGGAGCTTTTTACCCCCGGTACATCATACCTAGGCATGTTTTACCCCCCCCCCCCCCGGTAAAATGTGCCTAGGCATGTTTTACCCCCCACCCTCGAGGGTAGGGGGTACAATGTGCCTAGGCATGTTTTACCCCCCCGGTAAAATGTGCCTAGGCATGTTTTACACCCATTCTCGAGGGTAGGGGGTACAGTGTGCCTAGGCATGTTTTACCCCCCGGTAAAATGTGCCTAGGCACGTTTTACCTCGGGCGCTCCGCGTCTCTCGCAGTCTGGGCGCTCTTAGTGGGGGAAAGACAGAGCGACGACTCTCGGAATCCATCACCTGTTTGCCGCAGAGCTGATGTCAACGGGTTTAACAGTCATTTATTGGTCGGGTCAGCACTTAAGTTTCGTCTCGGCTGTGTCACACAGCTCGGTGACAAAGGGTGAGGGGTAAAACATGCCTAGGCACATTGTACCCCCTACCCTCGAGGGTGGGGGGTAAAACGTGCCTAGGCACATTGTACCAAGGGGGGTAAAACATGCCTAGGCACATTGTACCCCTACCCTTGAGGGTGGGGGGTAAAACATGCCTAGGCACATTTTACCGGGGGGGGGGTAAAACGTGCCTAGGCACATTTTACCGGGGGGTAAAACATGCCTAGGCACATTGTACCCCCTACCCTCGAGGGTGGGGGGTACAATGTGCCTAGGCACAATTTCCCGGGGGGGGGGGGGGGTAAAACATGCCTAGGCACAGTGTACCGGGGGTAAGGGCAGCCGGGGAGTAAAACATCCCGTCGACACCGCCAAGTTGGTCCAAACGTTCCTCAACGCGGGATAGCGTTTTTTTAGCGAACACAAAAAAGTCAACCGGTACGACTCACATTCCCCATTCATCCGAGCGATTCAGGAGATTCGGTTTGTCACTCTCTCGCACCCTCACGGAGAGCCCCGTGAGTGCGACAGAGACAGAGCGACGAAACGACTCTTCGCTCGGCCGGAGCGCGCCCCTGCTTTCGAAAGCGTGTTTGTCAGCAGAGCATGGCGGTTTTACAGCGGCCCGCACTTGGCCTCTTGGAGCGCCGCCAGGCCGAGAGCCCGTGCAGCGCGCTTTTTTCGGGTTTTTCTCTCTCGTTTTCCCCCTCACCTTGTCCAGCTCGGCGTGGTCCAGGTGGCCGTCCTTGTTCTTGTCCAGGTGGATGAACAGCAGGTTCAGCAGCACGCCCTTGCCGGAGGCGTACCCGCCGCGCATGCGCTTCTCGTAGTGCCGCAGCATCTTATCCTGAACAACAACAACAGCAGTGTAGGCAGCAACAACATCGACTAGGCGGCATCCGGATGAAAGAAATCCGAAGGACGCCCTCGCAAGTGTCCCCACTCTAAAAGTCGTATACAAAATATTCTCCCCGGTGAAAAATTCTCCATGGTAAAGAGTTGGTCGTGTACCCTGCCTTTGAAAATTCATTGTACCCTATTGATGTTTTGTCGAATTTCATTTCTATTCTACGTTGGAGCAGCCTTTCATTTGTAAGACATTTAGAGTGTACTCGCCGGGCAAGGCGATCCTCGTCTTGGGAATATTCCCGCGCCGGTCGAGAAGAAAAGCCCCGCTTCCGAAAGCAGAAGCTTCGCCGGGATTCGAACCGCTGACGCGGCGCGCGCGTTGGCGTTCGTTCGCTTCGCGTCCGCATGGCTGCGCGCGCTGCGCAGGGTCTGTGCCGAGGCTGTGCAAAGGCTCCACGACTGACTGTGGCTGTTGTAGTTAATTACTAGGGCCCATATCGGCACAGCGGCCACAGAGATTCGTTTGTTCGGGGTTCCTATCAGGACAGAGACGTTCCTGGAAAATTAATTAACGTAGAATGCCGCTTCCCCCTCCCCCTTTCCCCCCCCCTCTCTCTCTCTCTCGCTCTCTCTCTCTCTCTCTCTCTCTCTCTCTCTCTCTCTCTCTCTCTCTCTGTCTCTCTCTCTCTCTCTCTCTCTGCTCTCTCTCTCTCTCTCTCTCTCTCTCTTCCCCTTTTCCATTTCTATTCCGTTTTCTCGCTCGGCCCGCTCGCCCCCTCTCTCTCACACCAGCCAGCCTCCTACCCCCTTCCCCTCTCACACGTGAAAGCCACCACGGGCGTCCTTGAGCGGTATAGTGGATTGGGATCTGTCGGTCTATCTGTCTGTCGGTCCGTCTGTCTGTCTGTCTGTCGGTCTGTCTCTCTGTCCGCCTTTGTGTCTAACCCCGTATCTACCTTCCTCTCGGCTACTGTTTCACCAAGCGTGTGCTGCTGGCATTGAGCCCCCCCCCCTCTCTCCCCTCGCAGCGTGTTCGGCCTAACCGGTCGAAATGTTGTTGCATTAGTGAGTGCGTGTGTCCGGTGGAAATAAACGAGGCGGAACCGCGAACCGCCAAAAAGAAGTGGCAAGTTGCTGACGACGCACCTTCATCTTGTCGTAGTCCACGTCGGGGCACTCCAGCTCGCTCTTGAACAGCAGCAGCTGGCGGTCCACGTCGGTGTGCTTCAGGGCCTGCATGTCCTCCTGGTAGGCCTCGTCGTCGTCCTCGTCCTCGTCGTCCTCGTCGTCCTCCTCGTCGGCGTCGCCCTGGTCCTCCTCGTCCTCGTAGTGCTGCTCCTCCTCCTCCAGGTCCTCGTCGTCCTCGTCGTCGTCCTCCTCGTCATCGTCGTCGTCGGCGCGGGCGGAGGCGGGCGTGGGCCTGGCCGTCGAGGTGGGCTGCCGGAGGGCGGCGGCCACGGGCAGGGCGGCGCCTGTTGCGCGGACAGAAAGACACGCCTCAGGAACGATGGAACCTGGAGCCTGGAGCCTGGAACCTGGAGCATGGAACCTTGCTCCAGGTTCAAGGAACCTTGCTCCAGGCTCAAGGAACCTTCTCCCAGGTTCAGGGAACCTTGTTCCAGGCTCAAGGAACCTTGTTCCCCAGGAACCTTGCTCCAGGTTCAAGGAGCCTTGTTCCAGGTTCAAGGCCTGGACGGCTCGTGGAAACACTCATGGCGCGGCCCGCACACTGGTAGAACTCAAGCGTACTTTTACGCCTTTCTTCAAGCGTAGTAGAACTACGCTCGGCTTCAAGCATAGTTCTCCATTTTGCCCCTCTCCCGCCTATCTAAATGCATGGGAGAATTTCTTCACTACGCTTGACGTCAAGCGTAAAGTAGTCTTCGAGCGTAATTGTAGGCTTGAATCAAGCATACAACTACGCTTCAGTTTTACCAGTGCAGTTGATAAAAAAGATTAATTAACAGACTCCCGGAACCACATATCGAAGACTCTCTAGAGTTCAGAAAGAAGGCTTTGTGATTCCCCAGCTAGCGCGTGCCGCGTGCTAGCCTCGCTCCGGGGAGTCAGGCCCGCGGCGCCGTGGCCATGCCGTGGCGGCGGCCCGCACAGTGTAGCAACGCAGCGACCGCAGCAACTCACCCTTGTCGACCACCTCCAGCGCCGCCTGCGGTGGCTGGGGCGCCGTGGCCCTGGCGGAGACCTGCAACAGCAACAAGGCAGAGGCTTAGCGTGATTGGGTCGGAAAGAGAGAGACACAGCGCCGCACAGCGCTGCCGGCCCTCAACCCCTTGATGCCCCCTCCCACTGCCCCCCGCCCCCGCCCACACAGCTGCGGCACACTCACACACACATTCACACACACAGCGAAATATTTATTGATTGATCCTTCATGCCCATAACACAAAAAACAAGGCAACGTCATTAAAGTCACTCGTGTGTGAGGTATATCGTGTGTCACCCAGTCAATTTTTTTCCCATTGATATCACGTCGCTACGCTCCTCCCCCGCTCTCTCGTGGATGGGGGGACAATCTGTACTCCATGGGGTATTGACGAGTGGGTCATTTTGCTTTGCGACTTTTTTTCTTGCAAACTTGATAACATTTGAGTTTTGGGCACAGTAGCATCGTCCATTTCCCAAACTTGCATTGCACATGCACTTTATTCGGTTTCCCAGCAGTCAAATGGTTTTTTTTTTTTTTTTTTTTTTTTTTTTTTTTTTGCAAAATTGACCTTGGCTGTTTGTTATGTCTGACAAAAGAAGCTTGCGCGGCCGAGGGTGAAACGGTTTGGACTCTAACCCCAGCAGACCGAACGGATGCCGCCACGACGCCGGCTTCTGGCTTCCGCGCGCCAAAATGAGCAGCTGCAGAAGGAGAGCGGGGCGGGGCGGGGCGGGGCGGGGTGGGGCGGGGCGGGGCGGGGCGGGGTGGGGCGGGGTGGGGCGGGGTGGGGCGCCAACCCTATTTCCCGAAGCCCCACCCCGGGCCCGCCTCGGCACGCCTCGGCACGCCAGCCACCAGAAAGTAATATTTCGCGGTGGTCTTTGAAGCCCTCGCTGGCGCGGCTGCCGCTTGCTGGCTGCTTGGCCCCGGGGACGCGGCCAGGAGAGACTCGGAGAGACCTGCCGCCACACAGTGGGCCAGAAGACCAGTGGAGGCGGCCAAAACTCTAGACGCGTTTTGAGCTCCAGAGTCACTAAGCAGGCCTCGAAGCGAGCGTGTGACCCCACCAATGGATTCCTCGTTCGGAGAGCAATCCATTGGTGGGGTCACACGTTCGGTTCGAGGCCTATTTAGCGACTCTGGAGCCCAAAACGCATTTAGAGTTTCGGCCGCCTCCACTGGTCTTCTGGCCCACTGTGCGCCACTCCGCTTCCTTGTTCGACCGGGCAGGCCGGGCAGCTGGCCCATCAAATCAAGCGGCCGCACTCCTCCAGGCCTTCCCCGCCATCCCCCGCCATCGCGGCCGCTGCGGCCGCAGAGCGAACCAACACAAGCAGCCCGAGCGCAGCCGACTGACTCCGAGAGTCGTTTCCGTCGCTCTGTCTCTCTCGCAGTCACTGCCCGTCCCCTGTAGGTGCGAGAGAGACAGAGTACCAACTCACCGTTGATTTGGGCGTCCTTTTTTTCGGGAGAAGGGAAAGGGAAATTGGCCCCTGGGCGGGCACTCTGTTCGCCACAACGTCCGCGCTTTAGGGTGGCGCGACCGGACATCGCGGAAAAGCCCCCAACCAGGACGTCATCGGCAGAAAAACAAAGCGAGATGAGATACACAAAAAATGATGGAAGGCAGCCCGCCGCCGCCACCGCAAGCGCTACAGGAGGCTTCATTCAGCCGCGGGGCCGAAATGACCCCTCGGCAGGCTTTGTGGCTGGGAGACAATTATCTGCCTACCCCCACCCCAGCCCTCCCACGCCCCGCGCCGCGGCCACCACATGAACCGCGGCGGCGAGGCGACGCCCCGCGGGGAGCCTGCAGGCTGCGACTCTCTCGCACCCCTACGGGCCGCCCATGGGTGCGAGAGAGACGCAGTGACGAAAGCGCAGCAAGGCCTGGCGTGGTCGAACGGTGGTAAAAAACCCGACCAATATTCCGCTCCACCCGCGGCACCGGCACTGGGAAGGGAAGGTGTTTGGCTCGGCAGCGCGGGGCGGCAGGTAGGAGGCTGACTGGCAGGCTGACTGGCGCACAGTGGGCCAGAAGACCGGTGGACGCGGTCAAAACCCCGGGCGGGTTTTGAGCTCCAGAGTCGCTAAATGGGACTCGAACCGAACGTGTGACCCCACCAACGGATTGCTCTCCGAACGAGGAATCCATTGGTGGGGTCACACGTTCGGTTCGAAGCCCATTCAGCGACACTGGAGCTGAATACGCGCGTGAATACGCGTCTGGAGTTTTGGCCGCCTTCACCGGTCTTCCGGCCCACTGTGCGCCAGTCAGCCTGCCAGTCAGCCTCCTACCTGCCGAGCCGCGCTGCCGAGCCAAACACCTTCCCTTCCCAGTGCCGGTGCCGCGGGTGAGTGTTCGGCCGCCGCCCCGCCGCCCCGTCCCTTTGATCCCTGCTCCCTGCGGTGTCGCGGTGCCGCGGTGCCGCGGTGCGCACTGACCTGCGCGGTTCAACCGTGGCAGCCGAGGCGCCCGTAGTCCCGGATCTCCATGCAAGACGGAAGGGGCGGGCGGGGCGCATATAGAGCATGTGTGCTGAAAGGATTTCGCAAACGGGCATGTGTGTGTGTGTGTGTGTGTAGGTGTGCGTGTGTGTGACGGAGAGAGAGAGAGAGAGAGAGAGGGAGAGAGAGAGAGAGAGAGAGAGAGAAAGGAGTATGGCACACCGCGGCGGCCTTTGTGTGGCACTGCACTAGTGCCGCGATATCGACCCATAGCGACCTCCTAGCAGGCTCAGAGGCTATACAGCCGGGGGATATAAACACAGCCCCGCCGTGCCCCGCCGCGACAGTGCCACGCCCCGCTACACGGCGCCGTGGTGTGGCGGCCGCAAGCAGTGCGAGGCGGTGCGAGGCAGGGCCTAGGCCCCTCTATTGGCTTATTCGGGTGGGGCGGCAAGGGGCTGGCCCAAGGGCTGCACGCCGCGCCCTCTCTAGTTTTTCCGGCCGCGTCGGCGCACAGTGGGCCAGAAGGCCGGCGCAGGCGGCCAAAACTCTAGACGCGTTTTGAGCTCCAGAGTCGCTAAACAGGACTCGAACCGATCGTATGACCCCACCAATGGATTGCTCTCCGAACGAGGAATCCATTGGTGGGGTCACGTTCTGTTCGAGTCCTGTTTAGCGACTCTGGAGCTCAAAACGCGTGCGGTACTTTGACCGCCTCCACCTCGGCCTCCACCGATCTGCTGGCCCACTGTGCGACGCCCTGGTGGCGGAGCACACGGGCAGGCCCTCCTCGCCGCTCTGTCTCCCTCGCACCCCTACGGGCTGCCTCGCGAGTGCGACAGAGACAGAGCGACGGAATGAGGCTGCTGGTCGCGAAGGCTGGGCCGTGCGGCCGTACGTCAGGCCCAGGAGTGACTCGGACAACAACCCTATCGCTCTGGGGTGGCCGTGCCTGCAGCCGGAGTCCGAGTGGGACGTGTCTCTCTCGCACGCACGGGGCGTTCCACATGGGTGGCAGAGAGACAGAGCGACCGGGCCCTGCGCCTGCGTCTCGGAACGTGGTGCGGATGCGGCTTGCGCCGGCCTAGGGAACCGCTCCACCGGCCTAGGCACTGTAGCGGCGGACTTAAACAGTCAGTTTGAAGGCGGCGCACGGAGGCTGGTGGAGGCTGGCGCCGAGAAGGCGTCGCTCTGTCTCTCTCGCACTCCTCGAGCGTGGCGTATGGGTGCGAGAGAGACAGAGCGAAGAAACGGCTCCTGAACCTGCAGGCCGCTTATCAGTGCGGTCTTTTGTGCAGTGCCGGACAGCCGGCGGGAAAAAAGAGAGAGAGGGAGAGAGAGAGAGAGAGAGAGGGAGAGAGAGAGAGAGAGAGAGAGGAAGAGAGAGAGAGAGAGAGAGAGACAGCGGCCTGAGTCGTTTCCGTGACTGTCTCTCTCGCACCCATGGGTAGTCGGGTGGCCGGCAGGCGGGCCTCGGCAGCAGCAGCGGGGCAAGATCGGCCTCTGGGATTAAGGGATCAGGTTCTATCATTTCGTCCTCTACCCTCCCTTGTCTTCCCTCCGGACCGGATCACGAAGAAGACGAAGAAGGAGGAGACAATGATGATGATAAACAGCAACAAAAACAGCGATGACAACAACAACAACAATGCAGTGAAAATTCGAAATCCTCGTCTAAAGTATGGTGAGAGAGACAAGAGCTGGCCTGGTGAGTGCCAGCACACTGCTGCGCGGCGTGGAGGCGAGGGCGTGGAGACGATG